AAAATCATCCGGCAGGCCTTCTTTACCTTAAGAAATTTTTCCATAGTAAAATTAGGTTCTTTAGGATTTCCGGGGGAGGGGGGGAAGTATTTCCGGGGAAACCAAATTTTCTCGGCCCAAGCCTAAATTTTTTTCTAACTAGCGCATGCGTTTCTAAATGGTTTTTAACTATTCCTGAGCATAAAAACTACCCACATTTTAATTAAAAAATTTAATTTTAGGTGGAAAAAGCTTATAGAACCTATAGGATTAGCGGGCGGGGGGGGGGGGAAAACCCAAAATGACCAATTTTCGACTTTTTCAAACATTTTTCTAACTTTTTTGAAAGGTTTTTCTGCTTTAAATATAGTTAAAATTGACTAAAAACAATGTGAAAACACTTTATATTTGATTACTAGGTCAACCGGGAAAATCAGGAAAAAATTTGGTTTCCCCCCGGAAATACTTCCCCCCCCCCCGGAAATCCTAAAGAACGTAAAATTATAATTAAATAAGCTTCGATTTAAGCGATTTTTACAACGCAAAATTTCCCAAGTTCTTAAGCGAAATTAGGGATTCACAGCCGGAACTCGATGCAAATCGATGCAAAGTCCAAAAAGATGGCCGAAAAAACTGTTCAGTATCGAGGGAAAACAGTATTTTCGTTATAACTCGAGAACTACTATAGCTAGGTGGCTAAAAGTCAGGATTGTTGTTATTTAGGGCCTGATACATCTCTGTTCCAAATTTGGGGCCGATTGGATGTAACACGGCGAAATGCCAGATGGGTCGTTTTTTGGGACACCCTGTATACAGTAGGATTTAGGATTTACGTCAAAATCCGGAAATCATTTAAAGCTATACTCAGCAAACTACAGACAAGACCAATCCGTGAAAATGTTTGAAATGCATCGTCGGGTTCAGCAGTAAAGCTTTGGAAAGTGTGCGTACTGTGGGATGCATGTCTTCTCGTCTTGAAAAGCTCTTCTCCCCATCCTTCGCTACACGAATCCTCATTTTTCATTCCGACGACAAATGATTGGGCCACACGACATTTGCCTCAAAGCGGGGGGGGACTCCTTTTCATTACTGTAGCCCATCCGCTTTTCCTTCTTTCTCTCTTGCTATGCTATTGGGACCACCCTCCCACAAATCGCCGCTGCCCCAATCTTTGGATATTTATGGCATCTTGGAAGGAAAGGGAATGGGGAGGGATTTTCCGGGCATGGGGCGGTGTTTCGTTAATTTGTGACATTAAAAATATTAAGAAGTCAATTCATAAATAATATGTCTGCTTAATTTGAGCCACCTCCATGGGTAAAATTTCTCAAAATCGTATTTTTACGGCCTTTTTCTTCTGTGCGTATTTTTCTTTTTTCTTCTTTTCCGATACTATTGGGAGTTTGATTGGTTGAAGGTGGTAAAAGCCGTTGAATTCGGTCAAAATCAGAATTTTATCATTCATTTTCATTATTTGGATGGCTCGTAAAAATTAGTATAAGCATTCAGCTTTCATAAAAATCTCCAAAAGATTGATTGGAAAAAGCAGCTCTGGCTCATTTTATCAAAAATAAAGTATTAGACTTTTACGAGATACGGTAACTTGGGCTAAAACTAGAAACCGGAAGACTAGAGGTAGACTACGGTAACGACCGGGGGTTGGCCCCAGGTGGGCCGGTGAGGGTGAAAGAATGGAAAGACAGATCCGAAGTGCCCTGAAGCCGAGTGGGCCCTCAAGGGGCCGTTACCGAGGGGAGGGTTGTCATGAGGTGAGCGATCATGGGCCATTCATTGCCCCCGTCGAGGGCCATCCCTTATCGGTCCCTTAGGGCCAATCATTCAGCTTGCCTGAAGACACACCTCATCCTCACACTGATATATGCACTCTCACATTGCAGCCAGATAACCCCCCCGGCCAAGGGGCTAACCCCTATTTTACATTCCTCCTCCATGACCCTACAAATCAGTGGAATAGGGGGAATTTCGATGAAAAATGTGATTTTGCTGCGAAATGGTGAAAATCAATCAAACAAATTGAAAGTGATGGTTTTGATCACTACATCATACATCAACATCTACGTATAAAAACTGTTGAAAAGAGATGACCCCTTTAGGGCTTGGCACAGTTTTGTTCGACCCTTTTTTTTTCGACGCCATGTGAAAGAGCATGGTCGAATTAGTAGGACTGCATGGTTTTAAGATTTTTAAAAGTTAATTTTTGGGGTTTAAATGACCGTTAAAGTCGTTCACCCCAAAAAATTATCTTTGAAGTTACTTAACCAAATTTGCTGAAAATTTGTGTCCATACCTAATTTGGCGCGGGGATCATTTTTCTAATACATTGCTAAGCCCGAAAATCACCGGAACATAGGAATCTCGCGTACTCAGAACAGTTTTTCAAAATTTTCGAGTTTTTAGAGTGTTGCCTGTAACGTGAAAATAACATAGAAAGATGCGCACAAATTTTCTGCATCGAGTGTTGTATTTTCTAGAGTGCAGTGAACACTCTAAAAATTGCAAAAATAATAGTTTCTTAAATGTGAAAGTGGCTTTGTACGTCGAAGACGCCTGCGTATTATAGAAAACAGACTTGTGCATGCCTTCTTGAGATAATTCCCGACCCAATACAAAAAATCGGAAAAATAAATTCCTTTTCTAAGAGAAACTAACGAGTTACTGGCATCGAACTCGCGATGGCTCGCCTGGGGGCTCTGGGGACAGCCACTAGAGGGCGCCGCCGCCTCCCAGGCGAACGACCCGAGTTCAATTCCAGCCCCCTCTTAGAAACCGAATTTCTTTTTGCTCTTTTTTGCATTCGCCGTGATTTAGGTCGTAGATGCAAATCTATGCTTTTCCCTCCACACCTCATCAAGTTTTTTATTTTTGGCTGGAATCAAGGCCATTTTTGTAGTTTTTAGAGTGGTCACTGCACTCTAGAAAATACAACACTCGATGCAGAAAATTTGTGCGCATCTTTCTATGTTATTTTCACGTTACAGGCAACACTCTAAAAACTCGAAAATTTTGAAAAACTGTTCTGAGTACGCGACATTCCTATGTTCTGGTGATTTTCGGGCTTAGCAATGTATTAAAAAAATGATCCCCGCGCCAAATTAGGTATGGACACAAATTTTCAGCAAATTTGGTTAAGTAACTTCAAAGATAATTTTTTGGGGTGAACGACTTTAACGGTCATTTAAACCCCAAAAATTAACTTTTAAAAATCTTAAAACCATGCAGTCCTACTAATTCGACCATGCTCTTTCACATGGCGTCAGGCCCGTAGGAGGGGGGGGCCCAGGGGGCCCTGGGCCCCCGAAATCGAAGGAGGTCCGAAAAATTCATAAGGGGGGACCCTTATGATTTTTAGTTACAAAAATTTTTCTGCCTGCGGCGCTGTTTATTACTGTTTTTCAGACAGCTTTTTACTTCTATGAAGCCTATTTTTTCAAAATTTTTTGCCTGCGGCGCTGGTTTTTCATTTGCGAATCAATTGTTCATACAAATTTTCGCCTGCGGCGCGTTTTCTGCTGTGTTTTCACACGAATTTGAGTGTAGTAAACGCTTTTTTGCTCTTTTTTTCCCTGCGGCGCTATTATTGACGCGATTTTCGGATGTTTTAAAAGTGGCGACCGGGGGGGGGGAGGTCGCCAAAATTTTTGGCCCCCCCCCCCGAAATTTCGGTTCCGCTACGGGCCTGCATGGCGTCAAAAAAACCGGATCGAAAAAATGCTGTGCCAGCCTCTGTTCGGTTGGCTCGCAAACGGCCTTTTAAATTCTCTGGCTTTTTCCCCATGAGGAAAATAGCTATGCAGAATTCATCGGCCTAAGATAATTGAGAATAAGTGAAAGAAAATAAGTAGTTCATTCGATTTCAAAGAGCCGAACGGAAGGCCAAAATATTTATGACGTCTTAGCAAGAAGAGCACTTTAAAACCGAGTATCATTTTAACCGGGCAGCTTACCAAAGAATAATTATAACGTCCATTTTATTTTCAAGTTATGTAAGTTTAAGTTTAGTTCATCGATTTATATAAGTTATAAATATATAACTAGTAAAATAATCCTTACCTAACCTTCAGATAAAAGAATCTGGGACAAGCTCCCATCCAAAACCTACCGCATCCTAACGTGATGCTTCGATACCGAGGTTCGTGTATGTGCTCGTGCCTCAAGATATAACTGACATGCCATGTACACGCAAATGGGTAACATGGGAAGTACTGATGTATCATGATGGCTACTAGAAGGGATCGGCTTCATGCCACGAGGTAACCGACCATCAACACGCTATCCCGACATTTCATCCTTGCCAGCCCTAACCACCCAATGCACCCATTTGCATCACCCAGTCCAATCTACCTCAAAATTGGCGTTTATTTGCAGATCGGTGTTGAGTGAGTCGATGCACCTGGCTGGTGCGTATAGACGATTATCGTATTTCTTCGAATATGGCCCAGGGTTCCATTTTTTTCAGACACATTTTTTTTCAGGGGAGGGGATGAGTTAGAGGGGCGTATATTTTTCTGGTTGACACCTATAAAGCTTTTACTCCGGTTTCTAAAAACCTGAACGTATTTTTTACAGATTTTCCTGGACGAGGGTGCTTATTTAATAGAGGCAGGACGATATTTATTTTCACCTCGGAGGGAGAATGTTTAAAAAAGGGTGGATTAGAGCCAAATACGGTACCTACAGTGTATGTGAGTCGAAGCATTATTCTCTGCTTGTAATGCCTCATATCCCATAACCAATTAAATAACTAGTTTATTTATTATTGTCACAATCAAACAACAAAACCGTTTAAAACGATGTGGCCGATGAATTCATCGAGACATGGTGGGTGGAGGTTGAGCGAAAAGTGTTGTGAATTATCATCAGGTACTCATAAAGCTATGATCAAGTAAATGGCGAACACATAAAAGTTGAGAGGAATGTTGCTTGGCTTAGAAATGAGGATTGCACGGGTGGATACAATTTGCACACGATAATGAAGGCTTCAGACTGCAAGAAATTAATTATTGGAATAGTTCGGCACAGCGTGCACGAAGGCCCTGTAGGAATTGGGGGAAGCCTAATTTCGGCCAGAACTCGGTGTTCGTGATCTCTCCATCGATGTGCCGGTGCATCAGTCTGTAGTTTCAAATTTCTCAAAAAGTTTAGCTGGCTGCTTACTTTATGTATTGCCCCAGGTCTGTAAAACATAGTTGAGTGTTACGCGGAGCATTCGTCGTAAAGTTCCGATCAAAGCAGATTTCGGACTCCGTGCCACGCCTAAAAACATAGATGGACGGGGCAAGCATGGTGAGAACGAGCACTAAGAACAGATTCTTACTGTATATATACTAGAATTACGCTAATTAAAAATTGAAAATTAAATAAAAAGTAAAATACCTTTGAATCGTCATCGATAAGTCCATCTCGTTTGTAACGATTATCAAGCGAGACAACGTTTCCCCATCAGTAAGTGCAAATGTAGGCACCGGGTTGTTGATTACATTCAAGCCCAACTAAATTGCAACAAATTGGTGAAAAACTGTTTAAAAAATAGAGATATATCAAAACCAACGCCTACCATGGCATGGAAGATGTTCATCGCATTCTGATTGAGTGGTGACGTGCCGAGGAGGTTCGAGAGCTGCCCAAAGATATTCTGAAACACAAGTGAGAAAAAGGAATGGGGAATTACGATGTCATTCGGCAATGTTGCAGAATCGTTGCTAGAAGGCGATGCGGAATCTTCAGCGGGCCCTGGTGACTCGTTCTCCGTAGCTACATTAGAACCGTTAGCGGAAGTGGCCTGAAATGGAAGCTTGTTGTACAGTCAACAGGTATGATATGTTAATGTTTTGCCGTGATTATTTATGAGCTAGGTGCTATGTGGCATTCATTTTATGAAAAATCATTTAGAGAAATCGAATACGCATCGAAAGGTTAGGAATTGATCAATCCAGGGAGCCTTTTTTGGCGCTGGAATTCGTCAATCGCCATAATTGTAATGTTAGCGTAATGAAATTTTGGTATACTGTATTTCTGCGTATGTAAATTTTGGCATAAGCTTAAAATGTCGTATGTTGAGTATCTTTAGAAGCTGAGCTTACCTCTTCTGAATCGGCAACCTGATCTGAGGGACCAACCGAAATCGGGAGAAGCGTACCCATATGTGGCAGCAACGAAAGATCGAGCTAAAGAAAAACCAAAAGTCTAGTTTGTGAAAGTGGTCGCCAAAAATTCACTTAAGAAACATACCGGGAAATTGGGCAGAATCGATTTCTGAGTCGTTGGTGCCGTACTTTGAGCGCGCAATTTCTTCACGTAAGGCTGTGACGGCGTCTAGAAATCTTTATTTTGGAATAAAACGATGCCTCACGATAGCAAGCTTGCGCTCGAGTTGCTGGTAAAGGCCGTCGCTAGTATGCTTTCGCTTCAAGTGCACTTTCAGATTATTCGGTGAACGGTCGTCGTGGGTCCATTCACAATGTTTACAGGCCACTTTACACGTTGATCCCACTAAACCGAATAATTAACAAAAAAGCATAGCGTGTGGTAACCCTACTTCAGTGCGTTTTCAATATACTTACCAACGCCTTTAAGATCATCAAAATATTCCCAGACCGGATGGCTTTTCTTCCGACCAGCATTTCGCGACAATGGCGTCAGCTGAAAACTTTCTGTAATTCCGAAAAGGTATCTATTGGAACACCAGTGGAAAAAGACCGCTTCGCGGCCATTTTCCACTGGACCCCGTCCAGGAACCATGAATTTGAATATCTTCTTTTTTAGCCTGCGGCGCTAGAACCTGAGTCAAGGAGCCATTCTTTGGCCTGCGGCGCCAGAGCCAGCGTTTCGCTAGAATATTTGAGCCTGCGGCGCTAGTTACTGGTTTTTCTCCAAGATCTGGCCTGCGGCGCGAGAGCTTGGATCAAGGACCCATCCTTGGCCTGCGGCGCGAGAGCCCGGGCCGAGGACCTTTTCTTTGGCCTGCGGCGCTAGAGCGAGGGCCAGGCCTAACCTCGCAAACCGAGAGCCTGGAAATATGTTTTGTTGCCGAACTACCAAAAAGCAAAAAATTAAATTCTCCCAGGATCCGAACTCACGACCATTCGCGTGGTAGACCGAGCGCTACTCCACTACACCAAGGGGCAGATGGGAGGGGCGGCGGGAAAGGCCTCTTGGGTCCTGGGGAGGCGCGGGGGAAGATAAGGGTGACCAATGATCCCGGAGGGAGGCCTTCTGGTCAATATACAAAATTCGATTTTTGTCTGAATCTCTGGAAAGTTTGTAAAGATAATAAGGTGCCCATGATCCCCACCCTTGTTTGCATCAACGGTCTAAATTTCAGCCCGGAATTCCATCGGCCCTTCCAGTTATGGCCCGGACACCATGGCCTGTGACCACGATTTATTAAGGGCCTTTCAGAAAAATCCTTATAAAAACTTTATTTTAAAGAGTTTTGGAAAATCCAAAAAAATGTATTTGGGGAATTACTTTCCCCATCTACCCTCCAAAAACCAAGACCCAATTCCCTCTAGGCGCCGAGAAAACTTCCGGACAACGCGGCAAAAACCATTTTGTAAAGGGTTTTTTACTTTTTTGCTTATAAAATTGTTAAATGAAGGAATTTCGCAAAACAAAAAAATGCATCACTGACAAATGTGTTTCTCCACCTCCGTGCCAAAAATCAGCCCGAAATTCGGCCTGACGGCCTAGAAATCCGCTGTACAGAAAACAGACATACTTTTCTCGCTTATAGGATAGGATATAGGATAGCTCCGAACGCCGGGAAGGCGCTTCTCTGGAGCGCCTTGCCGCTACACGCGCAGCCCGAGCGAGATTCTGATTCTCACGTTCACTTGTGCTTAACCGAGACTCCTGCAACCTTTTAGAGTAGAGGTCCTTGGTTCGCCGTGCGGCTTGCTCAGCTGGGCTTTCATTTGCACGTAGCATCCTCACCTGGGCAGCATTTTGCTTCCGCCTGGACTCTGCGTTTGAGGTCGGAGGGGCTACCGCCAAACGGCACGCCAAATGCACTGAACCTTTCGAGACCCCATTGCTCGACTGCGAATCGGCCAGATCTTCGAGATTCTGTCGATTGGCAATGGGACTGGGCTCTCTTGTGCTAATGGCGTCCGACCTCCTCTGCGAGTTCAAGCGCGAAGTGGGCGTGACATTGGCTAGATCTTCAACGGGCTGCAATGAAGGTTGCGCATTATCAGGGGTCCCTTGAGAGCTTCGTAAACGTTTAGCACGTCTCATTGCTAATTGGGCCTCATGCTCCTCAGGGGTTACTCTGGCGCGCGCCTCCCTTTTGCGCTCCGCATCAGACTTTCGCTTCCGTCTATCGCGTGAACTCGGAGTCTGGCTCGACAAAACCTCAGGCATTTCGACAGGACCTTGAGCAAGTACAGGATCGGCCGGGGTCCGCTGTAAACTTTGGTCGTATTCCAACCTCAGTTGTACACGTTCCGCGCGACTAATCTTTTCCTTCTTTCTCTGTATTTGCACAGGCTCAGGTCTTGGAACAGGCGCGGGTTCCACTAGCTGCTGTCGAGGCACCCAAAGCTTCGAAGAATCAGGGTCCAGCGTTTGCCGCAGGTTCGGAACGAAAAATCCCGAGTCAGACAGCTTCTTTCCCGTATGGAGTGTACCGGTCGAGTTACTGCTGGTATTCGGCACCGAAGGCATTTTCACGATCTGCATGGGATGCCGCGGTGTTTGAGGATAGGCCGCGGGGTGTTGTCCCGGAAAACAGCTGGAGGGTGCCGCTACTCGCCCGGCCAATTGAACCTCGGTATTGCTACCTCTTCGGGTCCAATCGGCAGGCCCTCTCTTCTTCGGACCCTGCTGAGGCTCAGCTGTTTCCGACACCCTTACCGGGTCCGGCAGATCGGTACTGGTGCCAACAGGACCGACATTACGACCGTCAGGCCGAACCATCCCTTCCGGGTCTGGCTTGTCCAGCAACAGGCTAGCTGAACCCCTTGGCGTCCCAAGGGAGCGAGCGTTTAAATTTGTATGGCCATCGGAGGACGACTCCCCCTTGAGCGTATCGGCCAGAAATTCGTCACCCATTGCTGGGGCGCTCTAGGAAGGTGACTGTTCAGTGTTAACCTTTCGGCCAGCCACCCGGCAGGGATCGAAAACCTTCGGGGTTATCACCTGGGAGTGGGTTAGGTGGGGGGGCGAGTGGGGACGGGCTGGGGGACACAGGGGGTACTGCCCAGGCGCCCCAAAAGGGCGGCCCTCTCCGAAACAAAAACGGCTCTATCGCCCCGGAAATTCCACCAATTTGAAAAATTTAAAAGAGTCAAGATTCATCAGGTTCTGCTCTATCTTTCCAGCCGGCCAACTACTCCGATTTGGCCCTGAGCAACTGGCAAAAGCAATTTTACAAATGTGCATTTTATACAACGGAATTACAATATTTTTAAAAACTAACTGCTTGCGCATGATCCCCACTACCGAATACATAAGTGTTCTAAATTACAGACCGATATTCCGTCAGGGCTGCGAGTTATGGCCCGGACACCACGGATTGTCGCCCATTTTGTTAAGGATTTTTATTATTTTGCTTGTAAAATTGTTAAATGGAGGAATTTCGAAAAACAAAAAAATGCCTGTCTGACAAATGTGTTTCTCCACCTCCATGCCAAAAATCAGCCCGAAATTCGGCCTGACGGCCGAGAAATCTTCATTACAGAAAACACACATACTTTTCTCGCTTATAGGATAGGATCTAACGTAAAGTAATTAGTTAAACCAACGTTAGCAAACAATTCCCCTCGATTGCCAGAATCAGACACTTCAGGTGAAGATTGCAGAAGATCTTTGCAGTCGGGGTCCAGTTGGGGGGAACGGTACCGGTGATTTATTGAAATTGCTTGATACGGCTTCTCCATCGGCTCCTCCTTTCCAATCATCAGTTCCTGGAAACGCTACATGGCATATAGAAAATAAATTTGAATATTTTAACTATTTTGTTACTTACTGCAAGAATTGAAGGCTTGTGCTTCTTCGTCAAATGCTCCTACTTGTAGGCGTAACTAAAGAAATATCGATCTCCGCCATGAAGCGAACCTTACCTGATGGATTAGCGGGTCCGCCGGGTCACAGTTTAGACTCCTCAAAAACGATGAAAAGTTGGCCTTGTTCATCGTAGGAGCGCCACCTGGAAACGCAAAAAGTAAATAGGAAATTGTGAAATTTAAGGGCGACCAGAAAGTGGAAAGAACGTAGAGTTTTTGTGTTTGAAATTAGGTTACTTCGTAGGAAAATATAAAGGAGAGAATACACGAAATGCCGGAACAATAAAACTAACCCCATGAATATCATTGGAAAAGACATAAAACGGACTATAAAGGGTTGAAACTAGGCCCGCCAAGATGCCATTTTGAGTGGGAAAATAATTTTTTAGCGCCTAGCGCTCGAGGTGGGAGCGCGAAAAACTTTATATGGTGAAATCAAAAAAAGTAGTGTATTGCAAAAAATAAACCGGTTTTTTTTTGTATGACTGAAAACATAGAATTTAGATCCGCTGATAGTGATGTTTTTAGACAATTAAACTGGTTCCAAGGAAAATTGCTAAATGGTGTGGATCGTTTTCTCATAAAACAGCTGACGCGAACCACACCAATACCAATGATAAAGACAAAGGTCATAAACGTATTGGCAACCCAAAGCGGAAGGGCAGATGAGTTTCTGCCGAAAGATAAAGAAATCGAAGCGTGAATCCAGATGTCGCCGAACAGCCAGATGCATGGAATCCCCGGCCCTTCAAACTGTAGCGAATATCCGCACTAATGTCCACTGTTTTCCCTGGGCGTATCCAAGATATAACCAATACTCAAATTGTAATAAAACTATTTAAAGAATACGGCTTGATTTTGTTCAGTTCACGTCACATCATGACAAAAAGCCAGTCATTCCAAATAAGGCACTAACCGTGTTCCCTGCGCAAAAAAAGCCGCGAACGGAGGCTGTTATCGGGCAGAAACTAGTCCTCTTCCTCCCCCCTCAGGCTCCCCCCAAGATCCGCTGCCAGCATTTCCCCCGTTGAGTTATTCCATCGCCCAAATGACAATCCGAGAAAAAACATCGCCCTCATCTTTCGACAGCCAAGTCTGCTCCAAAAATTTGCAATTATACCGTGGACTGATGGGAAATTGAGCTTGCCGAATGGGAATCGAACTGCCGCCCGATCGGCTCGAGGCTGGATTGGAGCCACCAGCTCCCCAAAAAAAAGACGGCTGTGAGAATCGGCTAGGATGAATGAGCAATAAGACGTGGCATCATGAAATCTTCGAAATTAGAAGAGATTTACCTCAGCTTTTCTACAGCTTCAAAGATAAGTACAAAAAAATCAGATTCATTTTCAAGGACAATATCACGTTGTGAAGCAAGCACAGCGCTAAATGAAATGAAGGATGAAATGTAAAAATAGTCAGCACATTTTTAAGGGGAAAGCTATTAGAAAGGGAAATCAATCTTAAAATGGACTAAATAAATAGGCGGCAATGGGGGGCGCGGATACCGACAAAGGAAACGCAGATGGTGCGCACAACGTGTTAACAGATGTGATTATTACCCGATAACATATCCTGCTTTCGAAATCTCTATCGGGAAAACAGAGTCTTTGACGTGTGAATAATACAAGAAAATGTATTGCAATGAGACGGATTTCAGGAAGGAAATGAGATCGGGAAATGCCTTTGGAGGCCCGGCTTGTCGGGCGACTTTGAAAAAAATTGGGGATCGTAAAAAAAATCGGGAGCCGTGAAAAAATCCGGCGGCCATAAAAAGAGCTGCAAAAAGCGGAGACTATAAAAACAGCGCTTTAAACTTAACCACCCGGGGGAACGGTTTATTTTTGGCGTGTTTGCCAGTTTGAAACGAAAGTGGTTCATTTTTAATAACTATTTCATTAGTGCCAATAGAGGCAATCGAAACGGAGAGATTGTCCATCGGGGGGTAGCGGGTGGCGAGAGCGCACAAATTGGCTCGGCGGCCCTATTTGATGAATAAATGGATGCGCGACGGCTCACCCCCCAAAAATTATGACCTCGGGGATAAACGCGGGAAAATTTGGATTGCTGTTGATGAAATGAGGATAAGTGAGAAAGCCAGGTTATTGAAAAACCAGATTAAGCAGTCGAAAGTAAAAAAAGTAAAAACACTGCAAGATCATGTGAAGGAAAAAGTACTTTACCCCTCCCCCGCCGGAAGTTACAACATTTTTGTTATATTGTCGGGATTTTGACTAAGCCATTAGATCGAGCATCAAAAAATACTAAGAATTTTAATTAAGCCTAAAATAATGTGCAATAAAAAAGTTAGAGCGAAAACGTTCGGGAACTTCCGACTGGGGGGGAAGGGGGGTTAGGGTAAAGTCTTACCAAAAATGCCGACCTAGCACAGCCGTTTGAAAATCCTCAAAATGGGCAGTGGATCCCCGGAGGGCATGGAGGAAAAGATGGTGGGAAGGTGCCAGAAACTGGCCCCCATCATTTTGGCGGCTCTCAAACCTGGCTCCTCCTCCACCTCCTCTTCCCCCTCTTTTTTTCCAACCCACCCTGCTTCAAAGGCTTCATGACGCGCAACCAATTTTTGACGGTCTCGCATGGTCTCTTGACTACTAACCCCCCGTGCTCCTCCCATCCCCTGTAGGGGAAATGGAACGCCCGAACACTCCTTCTCAAATGCTCCACTTTCCACCGATAAACACATTTGGTTTTTCTCGGACCCGTCGCTTCCCCCCCCCCCCCCCTTCCCAACAAGTCTGCACACAGTGAGAGGATCTGATCTGACCGCCAATCCACTCCTTGTTCCTATGAGCAAATTGGAGCAGATATTCTATCGAAGATGGAAGCAGATCGAAAAATTTTTTGCACGCGACCCGGTCGTGCCAGTAACCCAGGGTTTAGCCACAAATATCGCCGTTCCTCTAGTAACAGCTGCCGGTCCTTATAAAAATTGGTGAAAATTGTCTTTAGAATTGCAAAAAAGTTAGCAAAAGTTATGTTTATGTGTTTTCCTGCTGTCACTAAAAGCTTGGGGCAGTCAAAAGTTAGACATAGTTAGGTTAGTAATTACAAAGAGAAAATGCGGTAAAGCAGATACGGTTCTAAAATCTTGTAGTCTTGCAGTTTCTGTCTGGATTAATTTCGAATTATGTAAAAGGAATAGTCCTCAGAAAGGTGCGGCGAAAGGATGCGCACAGGAAAGGATGTTGATGTTTATTCCAGAGTCATCGCAATTGATTTTGAAAAAAAATGTTCTCGGCTTATTGTATGCTCATGTAAATAAGGATTCTAGCAAGGTTATTAGCCCACTAAAAAGGCCAAATGAGAGAAAAACATTAATAAACGGAACAAAATACTTCATAACATGGAGATAGGTAGAATGATACTAAAGGTGCCCTAGCATCCACAATGTCCCGGAAGTGTAGAAAAGAACAGAACCGACCTGTTCTTTTCTACACTTCCGATGATCAGAACATGATCATGTCGTTCCCACCTCCGATGGGAACGACATGATCATCTCCATCCGAATCAATATTCTACAGTAACCCTCGGATCCAAAGGATTGAGGTCGAATAACCAAAGCGCTAGTCCGCATAGCGTTCCCCGTCGAAGGGAGACACACAAAAATAAAATTGGTTGCAGCGCTGCGTGGAGAGGGTACCGGCTCGTCTCGAGGTCAAAATTGTGCCTGGGGGATTCGAATCCGTTGGAGGCAAAGTTTTTTTCATTGGTGGTGCATAGGACTGAGAGGAGGGTTCCGCGGGATCCCATTCGGTTTTTAGGGTACAGAGGCACCAAACCAAGGTCGTAGCTGGTCGGCCCCGTCGGCGACCAAGTTGAAATACGGGTCGACAGGGCCTCATTTTCCAGCTGCAGCCAGGGGGAAAAGTGGGGAGGGACGGATGGGGAGCATCGAATTGAAATAACCATACGGGGGGGGGTACGGTAGGGGTGCTAGAAGTTCATTTTGTCGATCTCAATTACAGCGGAATTTTTAGCACGCCGGAGTTCAGTCCGCGGATTTTCACCATTTTGAAACCATAATGTTGCATCTATCGGTTTGGCGAAATTCACTGAAAAAAGGCATTTGCAACTCGATGTAACGAAGACCCGTCATCTTCGTGAAAATTGTCATTACGGAAATGGAGGTAACGACAATCGGTATAATGAATGGAATTTCGGCATCTATTGCACGGAACAACCTATCGCCGTTTAAACCGTGACGAGCATGTTTGGGACCAGAGGTATCGGTATCGGCAACCTATGCTTTCAATATCGATGTGCCAACCCGCAACCAGATACCAAACCCGAGCAGTTATAATCAAAAATGCTATGTATCAGCCAACCATCAAGGTTCGCCTTTAATGGCACAAATCTATTTGATTTTATAAGGCTGATCACTTGCTCAATCAAAATAATACCATTTTACCACACTTACTTGATTTTCTCGATTTTTAACACCTTTCTCGGTATGGCCTCGAATTTAATTGCAATTTAATGAAATCTATGACATGAACATATGCTAATCTCTGTAATCCCCGTAGCAGTGCATAATTTGCCAAGCCAGCTTGTCCAAATTTAGGTAGCTTTTTTGGAAATCAAGCAGTTATTTGAAATAACGCAAGCCGGAGTCCAATAATTTTGCATTTATTTGAGGCTTTAGATTTCTAGTTGTTTGTTTCTAAATCAGGCATTTTTATTGTCTAGCTTTAAAAGCGAAACGATGAAAACTGCAGATTTATGCGAGATCCGCAGGTTAATTGCTGATTTTACGCCGCAAGACGCTTGCATTTTAGAAAAAACACATTGAATATCGAGCAAGCTATGACCAGTTTTAGAAAATGAAACCTGGCTCATTTACTCATCTTCTGAGATCCTTCGAACCATGTAAAGATCATTCCGACCCGGACCAACAAAGGGTTTTTTTGGGATACCCAGTCTCTTTTAAAATTCTTTTCACCGATCCATTCTCCGCCGATGTACAAGTAGCGTAGGTATTCTCGATACCCTCCTCATGCAGCAATTTCGGTGTGGATGGTCGGGGGGCCGGTCCGGATATGGGCTGTATTTCTCACATGCCACTTGCACAACTGTGACTGTCTCACCCATCTCTCATTCCGCCACAAAACCCATTTCCTCCCTTTATATGGCACGTCATTTCAACTGAGAAAAGAGGAGATTTTTCGGGAAAATTCGCTGAATCCGACCTTGTCGAGAGCGACCTTCTTGCTCAACAGATAAACCCAATTTAATCGGATTTAAAGGAAGTTTATATCGGCTTTGCGGCTTTTATTGATCCCGCAAGATTCAGTAGTCGAACTCCTTGTACACGCTGGCACCTCGATATTCCGACTCATTTCTAATTCCACCATTCTTGGCTGCCACATCCACCGAGCTTTTTTAGTGCACACACACCTCTGCTCTCACTCACATTCATCCGGTTTGTGTCTTTTCGAGGTGGACTGCAAGAGCCGAAATTGCGGCTTTTTGCTCGTCCCGAAATCTAAGCCACTCATCCCCATTTACGACCTTCCCCCCTTCTCTTGCGCTGTTGGTGGCTTCAGGCCTCGGCTCTTATTCTTGGTGATTTGTTTCGGTGTTTTCTAAGCTGTGACCCCCGGTGCTCTCGGGCTAGTATTATAGGTGGTATTTCTTGGTGAGAGATTCTCTGAGTAATTGCCCCCCCCCATGGCATGTGAATACTTGTTTCGGCGACCTTCGCCAACAAAAGTTGACCCCAATGCAGACAGTAGTGTTTACAGGTGGCAGCCATCCAAGATTTGGTCCGTCGTTCTTTACATTTATTGACTTGAAAGAGGTTGATGGGCAGTTTTTAGGAATTCCGGATTTAAAGTCTTTGTTGCTGAAATTTATTTTTGTTGGTGGGTACCGTTCGATTTTCAAAAAATAATTTGTTTCCTTATAGATCGTTCTATTGATAATAATGTTTGAAATTTTAATTTCGATTCTATACTGATCTGAGCGATCTTCATTAATTTTCGAACTGTCGGCATTTAATTCTTTCCGCCTTTCGACGTCATATGTAATGGAATTGCTGGCAAACTATTCAGATTTCAGAAAACAAACGGAATTCCATACCCCAAACGGATAGGCCGAACCCTCTAAATAACCAAGAAAATGGGCAATCAGGAGATTTTCTTTGAGAATTGATTGTCAGCACACAAACTCTTCACTTGCTAATATGTGGACGAAACGACTCCACCACAATAACACCACAACAACGCGAAAACCATTGCGCTCTCCTTTACCCCTCCGAAAAGTCCGGTGAGCGTGACCCCTGCCGGTATGGGTCGTATTTCTTCCCCCTTCAAATTCCTCCCCCATTCCCCCCGCCCCCATGAAAATCCTTGTTTTCGATGGTAGAGCGCATACAAAGGAGCCACGCTCTGCTCTCGATGGCACTATTTTTTCACGTTGACGTGCTGTGAGGGGTACATGCAAATCTCTCCCGCCGGGGACGTCCACCCCAACCGGCTCCTCGGCATCCGCCGCAGTCCACTTTACACAAATCATGTTTGCCAAACAATATATCGTATTTTTCTAATGTAGGCTCAAAGATTTTATCATTTCGATAGGCTTAAAGGAAATTTTATTAGAGGAAAGGCTTGGTTCTTTTATCAGTGGATCGATTTATGCTAATTACATCAGTTTTTATTATGTGATTTGCTTGCATATACTCATTTAGACAGGGCAACGCACAAATAAAAACTAGCCTTTAATTCAAATGCCTAGATGATATATTTTTCCCAAAGAGAACCCACTGAAGACGCGCCTATTTTCCGGAAAGATCTAATCATGGACTTACTGTATCGTAGTTGCTTTTGTCACGTATAACCCGTCAAAATAAACCGGAACCGTTAAATGGAACTGGTCGGCACCGCTTGATCGTCGCTGTGCCAATAGAACTTTCTGTCTGCTGTGGCATACAAAACAATCGGTTTCTTCTTAATGAGATTTCACCTCTTTCTACGCCATCATGCTGTCATTCAAAACGTGGATTGGATCCAGTCAGATTCAGCTCAGCTTTCCTTCGATGACCCTCAACATTCAGTATGCAGATTGAAGTCCCCTGTTAGCAAACTGCTTTTGATGTTCCCATTGAGATCCTTGAGAAAGCTGAAGGTCAACTTTCACTCGTGCTCGTCTCCCCTGCGCGTCATTGCCCGGATCCCCGCCATCATTCCTTTTTCATTATGGAAACTTTTGTCATTTTTTTCGTAACTGGAAACTCTGAATGTAGGAATTTTTGCTTCCAACGATTTTGAGTAAGAACTAGGTGAAATTCATCGGCCGAAAGTCCCTGTGAAAAGACCTTGTGTTCAGTATATTTTGATTGCAAGACCTTACCTGTTATTCTACTGCCGATTATCGAAAATAGCAGAATTTTGGATTGTTTCTTTTTTCTAAAATGCACTCTGTCAATTCCTATTGACAAAGGGGTTGTGGGTAGATTATGAGTCTATCCTCCACTGTGTCGACAAGTCAAAATCAATCTCCTCCCCACAATACTCGTCCTCATTTTTCAATCAATCCCTCTTTACCCTCCTTCTTTCCTCAGTGCTGACAGTTTAAGGTCAACCGCCAACCTATCCCACCCACCCTTTTCGACGGCCCGTTTTGCGGGTTAATCGGAGCAGCAACGCGCTATGCATTCATTTCTAGCAAAATCGACCTTGTTTCCCTGTACATATTTTAACCCAAGTAAACTTCAAGTTATCTTAAATCGTGAATAAAAATGCAAATTGAGCCACATACCACCACCTTCACAAAGATCCCTGGACAGCTTCTACCACCTACAACCTCGCAACCAGTACCTCCTCTGTATGATTCCCCTTTTTGGTGCTAATCCCGGACGGTCGTTTGACGGACCGTTCATCCGTCGGCCAGCCCAAAAACAAGAGAAGAGGGGGCTCTTGCTTTCTGACACTGGTTTCGGTAGGGCTGGGGACCTCACGGTAGCGAATGCGAGGCTCAATACCCCCCCAGCTATATCGGATCTGGTTCCCTCCATCCATCCACCAGCAATCCCTGTCTACACCCACCCCCGCGCTAACCCCATATTTTCAACGAGTTTGTACAAATGCCGCTGCAAACCAAACCCACCCATATCCGGAAGCTGGGCGAGAAATCCGTTTGGTTCTGGTTCATTAGCGGGGGGAAGGGTTTAATGTCCTAGATTTTTCAAAAATTCACTGTTGTTTGTGGCCTATATGATCGCGACCCGGGAGAGCATCAAAAAAATATACTAAGATTTTTAATTTTAGATAAAAAACTGTAATTCAAGAAAGTTATAGCAAAAGCAAAAATAACCTTGAAAACGGGGTTGGTGAGCTCGAGACCTATACGAACCAGAATGATTCCTGGAACTTACCTTAAAACTCTCCCCGTCTCCCTCTCAACGCATTTCCGGTGTTATTATTTTCCTAAGAAATGTACGAGCATTTTCTATTTGCATTTTCACGCGAATTTTTGGGTCAGCAAGTTCTTGACTACTCTCGTACAACCCGTTAGTTCCTACATACTTCCATGCCAATTCGAATCTCCTCGATAACATATCCCCCCTTCCTCTGCCCATCAACGTTTCTCGAAAACAACTGATCATCCCGACCCAGCTGTCAATTTGAGATCCTCTCACCTCGCTCTTCTCATAGTTTATGGCATTCTTCTCTAATTCCTCGACATCGATCTCACATCCAGACATTACAGCGCTCAGAACAATCGTTCGCTCCATCTAACCCGATATATTAGGCCAAAATTGGAATTTCATTTTGTCGAAAAGCCGATCACTTTAAAGGGATCGTACGGTCCGAAGTTGAAGCAAAAACTGCCAATCGGGGTCGGTTGGGATTGAACTTGAACCGGCTGCAACCATTTGCACAACCAAGGTCAGCAAAATCTTAATGTCAAAGAAGCAATGGTGCTCCCCCTATTTGATTATATTCGATACCTTTACTTCCGATGAGTTTAAATACTGTATAAACGAGTAGACGAGAACTAATATTATCGAAAAATTCATTTTAACGTCATAAATAGCAACCTTTTAATTATCTAATATCGGCAGTCCTTTTAGGGACATTTCCAACCTTACGATGCTTTCACATATATCTTAATATAGATATATTTTAGAATTTCAGAAAGCCCAGAATGTCATCGGTTTCGACGGGGGCTGAGAAGACAAAAAAAGGCCCAAGATGGAAGGTATACTTTAGTAAGGGTTCTTATATTCGACCTCAGATATGTGCTGCTGCTCTTGTTATTACTGGACTGCTGACTTTGCTCTTCGGCTTCTTACTTTATGTCGCCATCGTACCGGCAGTAATCAAATCGCAGATTATTGAGGTAGTTTTTTGGGACCATCGCTTTCAAGGTTCCTAAACAAACGCTCTCACGAATCCGACCCTCTGTTTTGCAGAATTCCCGGCTCGTCGAGGGCAATCAGATGTGGAATAAATGGATCGACCCGCAATATAAAATTAACTTTAACGTAGGTCATTTGAAAATTAGCCTTATGGAGTGTTTTCAGGTATGGGTGCACTCAATCAAGAATCCGGATCAAATACTCGACGGGGAATTGCCGGAGGTGGGGACCACCGGACCTTATGTTTTTAGGAAGAAGATTGAAAATAAAGTGGGTTCTTTTATTCTATAATATATTGAGTTAATTTGAGGTGGTTTCTCATGAAAATGGAACAGTGACGTTCAAACGATTTGATTACAAATTCTTCGATGAGGAGGCTTCTTGTCCAACATGTATTCTCGGGAATAGAGCATGGGTTCCGAATCTCATCTATCAGGTTAGTGTTTTCAACTTCGCATGGCTTGTATTTTTGTACAATTTATGGGAAAAAGCATAATTCAAAATAAACCCGTTTCCTATTTTTAACATTCTAAGTTACGTCATAATACCACATTTGCAGGCAATTCTAAAATAATCCAGAATAATCTAGAATCCCTATTGATTTTTATACACAGAAAGCATTTTGCAGAAATTCGTAGAAGCAGCTTCTACTTCCGGGATGAGAGCTGCTGCCACTGCTCTTCTGACACAAACCGCTTTCCTCGAAGTTGATGTAAGAATTTGTACCATCACGTTGTAAATTAAAAGCCAGGTGGGAGAACTGCTTTTCGACGGATACAAGGACCCATTCCTTGACAAGATCTGCGAGATTCCATTTATGAACTTTGTCTGCGAGTCAATTCTTGACGTTCCTGAACGCATCGGTCTGCTTTATGGGGTATGTATTTTTAAATTAACCAAATTCCCAATTTATTAAGACAAATGGTACAAACGATGGCGTTTACGAGGTCAGTGACGGTGTCGAAGACTCAAGCACACTTGCCAAGGTTTTGAAATGGAATGGAGAGGATCATGTAAGTTTGAAAAGTCTTGATGTGTTTATTCATATTTTAGAATTGTCTAGAAGCTCGTTGATATGAGACATTTTAGGTAGATAATTCGTGGTGGAGTGATGACGAGGCTCGAAAAATCCGTGGCACGGAAGGAAGTCTTTTCCCACCATTCATCCAAAAAGATCAGCGCATCTACGTATTTATCACCCAGTTATGCCGGTAATTTTAATTCCAAATGTTATATCCTAATTTAGTTCTGTGTACCTAGTATTCAAGGAAGAGGTTATGTATCGTGATATCCCTGCGTATCGCTTTGTTCTTCCGGCTGATGTACTTGACCAATCGCTAGACGAAAACAAAGGATACTGTAATCCGACAGACAAGGTCCGTTATCGGAATAAAATTAACTTAATTAACGTGCTTTAGAAGTTCTTCGCTAGTCTTCAGAACGACACCGAATGTCTACCACGAGGTCTTTTAGACATCAGTCACTGTCAACAAGGTATTGTTTGCTGTATTATTTTAATGATATTCAGGACAACCACCGATTGTCATCTCAATGCCTGCTTTCCACTATGCACCCGATGAAGTGAAGAATCATATTCGTGGCCTTAATGCCACAAATCCGGAAACCGATGAAATCTATGTCGATATCGAACCGGTATTTTTTTTTACACCTTTCCTGTATTTATTTTTAGCAACTTGGTTCCGTTCTCTACGCGCAACGCGTTTTCCAAGTGAATATTGAAATGTGGAAGGGCGAAAATTTAGCATTCCCGTAAGTATATCATTGTACGTGTGGTCACTTGAATTTTTCCGGCTTTGCGCTACAGCTTATTCATCATTTATTTATAGTGTGAACCTCAAGAAAATGCGTTCTTCCATCGTGCCTGTAATAACCGTACGCGAGATTGCCAATATTGATGAAGATACGTATAACATAATCAAGCATGATTTGATCGGTAAGGACAATACAGAACTATGTATTACATTATGCACTTAGACACGAGTGCATTGGCATACGGTGCTTCAAAGGTTATTATGATCCTCTCGCTTTTCTTTTTCGTCGCTGCGGCAGCACTTGTGATGTTTAAGGTTGGTATTTTCTTCTCTTCAAATCGGTGTTTTAGCAGTTGATGGCAAGAAGCTTACAAAGACAGCATTCAATAACTCCGTTGCCTGCATATAAACCAAACAAAGACTATCCCTCGGATAATTATCTGTAAAGCTTTTTTTGTTTGCCCATTTTCATATTCGTATAGTCATTTTTTCAGATTTGTTACCCGGTGTCATATACCGGATTGTATAGTTCCATTTTTCGATAGTTTTTGCCTTTTCAATGCACATAGCTCCCCCACTAACCAAACGCTCCTAAATACGGGTTGTTGTCTCTATTTTTCTATTCCTCACACCCAACAGTCTGCCAAAAAGCTCCATTTATCACCGTACTGCTCACAGTTGCAGGGTATTCCTCGATCAGCCGAATGCCTTCCTCTTAATATTACGAGAATGTACCCTAGCCAGCCTCCCTCATGTTTTATTGCCGTAAACATTGTAATAAATTTAAAACCTTAAAAGCACTTTTGCTGATAAAAGTCAAACATTTGATACCATACGGTACGCTATAAGCACCAATAGTCGCGGTTAGGTCAAACACATATCAACTGCTAATGTATCCTGGGGGCAACCCACGCGATCTGCGCTGATTTGAATAGGCATCCGGACAGAGCAAGCAAAATTCATATACTCGACCGTCAGTTGCTAGCCAAAAATGTCCTACCAACTCTCTCCGCTGAAGTCTAATGGACAAAATCGCCAACCAGGTACAGTGTAACTTTTGGGTTTCTGAAACATAATATAGTCGAACGAACAACAGACCAAATGAAAGACAGGCCCCGTGTTGCTCCTTTGAAAATCGTACAGGAAATCCATGCATCGTCTGAAAGTGTTTCCGCTGCGATCCCGATTACACCCACGAAAGCCCCACTAGTTCCATTACCCGACAAATTAAAGGTAAGCTTGCACTTTTTTTGAACGTATCCACCAGTTCAGATTTTCTCGGGTACTTCTCATCCTGAATTAACTACAAAAATCTGCCGACATCTCGAAATGACGCAAAGCATGGCGCGGCTGAAGAAATTCTCAAATAATGTTAGGAATGTGCTATTATCCTATTTTGTGGTTTGCAGGAAATAAGCGCTGAAATCGTGTGCTCTGTACGTGGTAAGAGCGTCTACATTGTGCAGACTTCACATGGAAATGTCAACGATCAACTGATGGAGCTTCTCATAATGGTCCAAACCTGCAGAATGGCATCCGCAGCTAGGTCAGTGGAGCCAAATAGTCATTTATAAAAATCTAGGATTACCGCTGTTATACCCCACTTTCCCTATGCTCGCCAAGACAAAAAGGAAATACACCGCGCCTCTATTACGGCAAAACTGGTTAGATGATCTGTTATTTTTTAGAGAGTACAGGGTGTCCCAATAAAAAAGGTCACGCTGGCATTTTGTCATTTCAAATCCGATCGAATTGAAATTTTGAACAGAGCTGCGGAAGGGAATTTAAAATGTTCACAGAAACTTTCACCCCGATCGGTACAGTAGTTTTCGAGTCATAGCAAAAATAAACTTTATTTTACGTTTTTAACCTTGATTTCGCCGGAATTGAGTTTTGGAATGTATCGCAAAAATGAAGCGCCGACTTTTTTTACCTCAGAAATTTTTTTATTTCGTAAAATTCGTCTTGGACCTAGGTTGTTTAAGTAATTTTAACAATGTGTTATCATCCCCGATGTTAAGAAGAATGAGGGATTTAGGGCCAAAATTGATGTTAATTGATGCAAAGTCCAAAAATATAGCCGAAAAAATGAAGCAAAAGTGTTGAAAAAAACAGTATTTTTGCTATAACTCGAAAATTCCTGCACCGATCGGGCTGAAAGTTTCTGTGAACATTCTAAATTCCCTTCCGCGGCTCTGTTCCAAATTTCAGGTCGATCAGATTTGAAATGGCGAAATGCCAGCGTGACCTTTTTTATTGGGACACCCTGTAGATACAGATACACCACTGGTATTTTCCCATCCCATTAAACCGCCACCATTTCAGATTGCGAATTTGCTGGGTCGGGCTGGTGTTGGGCAGTTGATTACCCTTGATCTGCACGCTAGCCAAATTCAAGGGTTTTTCAAGTTTCCCGTCGATAACCTTTACGCGGAACCACTATTTTTGGAACGCATCGGGGTAAGTCGCATCATATAGCGTAGAATGATTTTCAAGGATTTCATTCCTGATTGGCGCGAAGCAGTGATTGTGTCACCAGATGCCGGAGGAGCCAAACGGTTTATTTCATGGCAATTTTCTCAAAAATTCTTTAGAGTCACATCAATTGCTGAACGCCTCGCCGTCGACTTTGCCATTTTTCATAAAGAGCGTAAGGTGGCCAATGAGGTGGACCGTATGATTTTAGTTGGTGATGTCAAGGATAAGGTCCGTATAACCTTTATTTTTGATTATTCCCTCAGATTGCTATTTTGGTGGACGATATGGCCGATACCTGTGGGACGATGTGCTTAGCCGCTGCTAAGTAAGTATACTGTCTAATTAATGATAAAGTACTTTGCTAGGCTAAAAGAAGCTGGCGCGTCAAAGATCTATGCTTTCTGCGTACACGGTATATTCTCTGGAATGGCCTTGGAAAGGTAAATAAACTTATTTTTCATAGTTAAACTATATATTCTAGGTTGAACGAGTCCGTTTTCGAGGCGATGATTGTTACAAATAGCGTCTCGCAAGAGGACAATATGAAGAAATGCCCGAAAATTCAGGTGGGTCGTAGAAAGTGCAGTTAAAAAAAAATGAATTTTTAAGGTGTTGGATATCTCGGGCTTGCTGGCTGAGGCCGTACGACGCATTCATCATGGTGAATCCGTTTCCTTCCTCTTCAACAACATCCCAAAAAAGCCCGTTACTGATGAAAATGGGGATTTAGTATAACTGTATGATTTCTTGCGTGATCCTGAGCGTACAACTAAAATTTTTTAAACTTCAGATTATTTATGAAATACATCATTAATGAGCTTTCCTTGAGCGTTTTAAAACACAACGAATTATGTATATAATTATTTCAACGTGAAGTGTTAAGTGGATATGTGAAAACGGCTCATTCAGTGATCATTGCCTTATTTAGACGTTGGTTGGGCAGTCGATGGATCCTGAAGAAAGATAGCATGTTGATATTTCAAGATAGTTTCATAGAAAAGATCGTAATCCTCCGCAGCACTACGCATTGGCAGCCTTTTTGACGTTTTCTGTGCAAAGCCACGTTTCGGCTGCGCTTTTTTTGTTGTGTTTTGGTCCGGAAAATCAGATTTATAATCAATCCAGTCGGGCCAGATTCTGGGGGACTCATCCGCTTGAACGCCCCATGACATTTTGATATGTTCCTCGCGCGAGAGTTTTTCTGGTCGCCTTTCGTGTTTTCCTGTCCAGGTATGGATTAAGAGGTTTCGATGGCTGGTGAAGTCGGCGCGACACGTAGTGTCTGGACATGGAAACTTTGGTCCCTTGATTTCGCTCAAAATACTGTTGCTGGCTACTTCAATATCGCGAAGGTTTGAGGATGGGACACTTCGTTCTGGTGTACAGTGGTGGATGTTCGGGCAAAAGAAATATTCCCAGTAGCGGCTCTCGGTGCCCACCTGCAAAATCTGGCTATATTTGACCGTTTGTCTACAGCTGTATGTTTGAAAAACACATTGGGACTCCAAATTGCATTTTATCTTTTCCGGTTTTTCGAAATTACCTTGAAATTTTGTTGATCTCGCAAGATATCAACGTCAGCTCCTGTCATACCACCCGATTTTTCCAAAGCAATACGACCTCGGATGGTGCATGGCTTCTCATACAATTCCCCGCTTCCGATATCATAATACTTCCACATTTTCACACATCCATGCAAATGCCCGAACGTAAATTCATTATAGTCCGCTATTCCTGGGATATTCGCAACGCATTCCTGATCTTGGTATAATTCAGCGAGGTAGACACTCATGCCGATGGTCTGCAAGATTTTATGATTTTATCTAGTGTCAAAATTCCAAGCAACCTTTCGGTGGGTCAGTGCAGCAAATGCATCTTCGGCACTGTCGATCGCATGGTTTCCATCAATATATTCGGCGAAAAGTTGCCTCACTTCCAGAATTACCCTATCAATCACCCCTTGCTCGCGTAAAGAATCCGTAAAGCTAAAGCTCTTGACGCTTGCATAGTTAATATATCCTTGAAGAGCGGCCATCAGCACAGAGCGTCGATATACCTCGGAAAAGACCTTAGGTTCACCGACAAAAATAAAATTACCAGGGTTTGTACTTCGGAAATGAAAGTCAGTGACGCCTTGCTTGCCCAATTCCGCAAGGACGTGACGAATTAGGAGAAATAATTGACCCACAGTCTATCAAATGCTTTTGAATGCTTCGGGCTGCTTCTCTTACCTCAATTTTTCGTTTTGTGAGATGGATGGTGCGATGCCATAATACTTGTCCATCCCGACTCTCAACACGTGCCACCGCCACATGCCAAATGATCCGTTTTTGACCTTCTGTGGAAGTGGCTAATGGGGTCGGAACATCCAGATAGATCAACGCTCTCCTCATTGGACGTAATGTTAATTTGCGAAGAAGAGATTCCAGCCGCTGTTCTGAGAAGTAAACGCGAACTTGTTGGGCGCGGTATTCGAGCATGGCTATTGGGGCTTGTCTTAGGAGTTGCAGCTGATCTTTGAGCATCTCTCTATTTCCATATTCTTCCACGATTGTAGAGAATTGGCTGATAATGATCCTGATTGTCTTTAACGTAGATTTGAGATATTCCATTCTAAAAACAAGTTGGTGTTAGGTGGTGAAAATGGAGCCAGAAAAACGGTGCTGGATTTTTTTGGGGACTAGTTAATTACCTGGGGTCTGTAAGGCTGTGTTGGTGCGCAACGAAACTTAATTCAGATTCTTCGCTGCCACAATCGCAAAAGAAATTGGTTATATTTGGATCGGACAGGGCATATCGTGAACACATATCAGCCACGTTTGACTCCTTTTTGACGTTCAGACGATAGTCCGTTTCCAGATAGAGCAACCCCTCTTTCAGACCGTCGATTAAACCATCGATCACTTCTGCTCGTAATAGACCAAGCTTCTTCCAAGCGGTTAGGACGCCCGTCGCTTTCTGGACTGCCTGAAAATGTCATTGCCCGGGCGGATTTAAGAAACTATTAGATATTCCGATTTACGAGGTAACCTACCGTAAATGCGATCATCAAATACGGATCGGTTGATGCAGTAAAACCGCGATCCATCGCCAACACTAGCTTGATAATTTGATAAACGGTGCCATTCCTCAAAGGCGGATGACCCCACTCCTAAAACAAATGTTACGTGGGGTAACAAAATTACTGAATTACCCAAGCCCATTTTTGATAGAGTTCAAACAGGTATTTTGCAAAATCCTCGCCAAGCTTCTTGTTGAATAAGGAGGCAACCTCTGGGTCAAGCCAAGATGGAGGACTATTATCTGGTGGTAGTAACGGTAGAATAGTTTCACTAAATAGTGCGAAATTTTTAGTACTAAAGTTCAATTATTTTGCTTAAAAAGCCCACCTACAAAGCCAGTAAAGCAAACGCGCGACGTTTGCCTGGTTGAAATATTCCTTATCCGTATGATTCGTGACCAACTTAATCCCTTGGATCTGAGGTTAAAAATATGCTATTCAATGTCGTAAAAAATACCATTCGGGCCATTTCACGGGCACTTTCAAAGGCATTGTTTGAGAGGCCTGGGATATATCCCTCCAACTGTGCTTTGGAATTCCATGAGGCCATTGATGACAGGAGAAGCCGACGCCGCAGCGGATGTTTCGCTTGACCGTATAAATTAGCCACTTCGGCCAAAATAACTTGTGTCCGATTGCTGGGGGTCAACGGTGATTCACCAACCGTTGCTTCGGCTTGGCTTGTTGGCTCGGCACTAAAATACTCAACGTTTTCCCACCAATTTTGTTCTTTGGAGGGTTCTGCACCTACACCTAGCCCATAAATTTCTAACATATCTCTTCCCTGTTAACAATCCGATTATATAACCTGGTCCATCGAGACTGTAAAGGGTGGCATTCTGAAGCGAAGAAGTGGAAGATCAGTAGGTAGATCCCGCTCGTAACGAGCATGTCTATTTTGGGCTCATATATGCAAAAATAGTGGCGGAGTGTGTGATACGTTCTATATATGGTCTTAAAAAATTCAACAGAGCAATGTAAAAATGAAGGAATGTTAATGGTGCGCCAGTTCGGCGTTAAGGGTGATCGATATCCGTAAATTACTGCAAGCTAGTCAAAAGGTTGTGAAAATCACGTTTATTTTTACCTTAGGGCCATAAAACCCGACATTTTTGCTGATTTGCATATGAAGGTTTCCGGAGAGCAATTTCGACTTTGCCGCGTCTGTGGGTCTGAGGATAACCTTTTTCTTACTAGTTAGACTTTCGCTTTGCTAATAACTGACACTGAAAGGGCAAGGATGAAAAGCAGTAGGTTTTTTTTGGAAAATTGGGCAAAGTAGGTTATAGTAATTGCTGAGCATGAAGTTATTGAGAAGACAATCGAAGCTCGAGCGAACCGGAAAAAAATGTTATCCAGAGCTTCTGCTAGGTTGACCCGGGGTTCACCCACGGGCAAAACAAATAATTGATAGCATTGATCCTTTAATGGTTTACTCAAAGGTCAATGGGACGCCAAAAGCGCATTGATAAACCGTGACTCGATGAGCATGTAAAAAACATATTCGACATCGGAAGCCACGTTGTTGATTCGGGAGAAAATGCAATCCCTCGTTATCTGAATAGCATATTCAAATTCCAGCAAGCAGTTCACACGATCAACACAATTCACAAATCTTCATCGAATCCCTGGTTGACTTTTGACTTCACGTGATCTTTAACAAGGGGTTCGACAAACTTCTTAACAGCTTCGCATAAGGCGATCCCTACTTTTGCTGTATGCTTGCTCTATTTGCTGTCGGGCTGTACGGGGGGCTTTCGGTCGCCTAAAAAGTGTCAATTTCCCGGCAGCACTTGCGGCAGAGCGGAGCTGATCGTAGCGACAGTGCTAATCACCGGTTCGACCCACCGCGCCATTGACTGTATTGCCAAGTAGCGAGAGTATTCGGTGTGATACGAGCCCTATGCTCGCCCGAATATCAATAATATTACTCGTTGTTTGTCTTAATTCAGCGACAGCACAACTTTGGCATACAGGCGATAATGCGACGGTGAAGGACTGCAAGTGAGCAAGCAAATCATGGCCTTTAGTGTGTGTTTTAGTGCTAACTGTGACAAAGATGAGGGGTGCTGGCAAAAGACGATTCAGTTTTATGAAAAAGTGAGACACCATTTATACAAGAAACTGCCAAAACGCACGAATTTCTCCTTTAGCAGTTTATAAGCTTAAAATTTGCTTTTCCTCTGTCCCGCCATCATTAGCACCATTTCAGACGCTGATGGCCCAATTACGGGGATATGTATCGGTGCAAGTTAGTATTGACCAGTGGATGAGACGACATGGTGACAAAAAAGGCCAAGATTATGCAGCGGTACCTACAAAATGGGTGCTAACTAATTTGCGCAGGCGCTTGTGGAAGCCCAAAATTCGATGAATGGCAGGCTGAACCCAGCTGGAGATGTCGTCGATTCGTCGACAATTTCAGTGGTGATCAAGTCATTATTCGACAAGATATCAGGGGTTTGCTTAAATAAAACAAAATAACTTTTCCGTATCTTCTAGTATTCGGATGACAAAAAAAGCTTCATCCCGCACTTTCAATGCCCATTACCCTGTGGATATCGGCATGACATGTACCGAAATCTCTTCTTTGCATCGGTTTGTATTTTGTGATCATGCTAGGGGGAGGTTAGCCTCAAATTTTCGTGAGCAAACCTATTCGGGGGACCGGCGAGACTTTTCTGGGCAACTTTACTAATACAATCGAAGATTGTTGTCTGTTGGAATTTGAAGTACCATAAAACATTTCAGCTTTTTCTCAACATCTGCCTCGCGGTCTCGCTGGTGCCTTTGATTTACAAATTGGGAAAGCAAAGGCCACTACCAAGGAAAGCAGCTCTAGTCGCAAAGGATTGAACTGCTTGAGAAACTGATCAATTTCACCTAGTCCACGCAACATTCCTCAGTGCACTACTTGCTCAATTTCATGACAGCATTCCCAAGGCTCGAATAATAAATTGCTTTCCCAAAGACCAGATTGAGAAGAAGTACGCACGCTATTGACCGCCAACCAGGTCTCCGCCTTTATACACCAAAGTGTTTTTTTATAACTTTAGGTTAAATTATTTTAGTTTTTATTATTCTTTCTGGCAGGGCATGAGAGGGGTACATCACCTTCCAACTTACGCGGGAATGCCATGCACTGGCGCCTACGATATCCTTGTGTAACGCTTTCGACTCCTTCTGATTTCTTTTCCAATTGAAAAGCCTCGGTTATGCAGCGATTTCTCTTGTTACAAATGCAAAAAAATCCGATTAGTTGAATTAAAGAGAATAGTGAGTTTGTGCTTATTTGTTTACCGCATCTCTTAGTAGGAGTCGGAGCCCGTTCCGCGCTTTTAGACATTTTTAATTTGTTGAAAAGGACATAGGGGTATTTGATTGATGTTGAATTCGAGTATCTATTCGGTTATGAAGTACTACTCTTTCACTTTACTAGATCGTTTTTCTTTCGTCAATTCTTCGCCCTAATTATTGTGTCTATTTTATTCAAATGCTTTGATTTCTAGGCTTTTTTGGACGTCGACTCTGGAAATGCCAAAACCGAAGCCCAAGTCTGGGCCACAACTGGTTATTGACAATGAGCCTAAATCGCCAGTGGTGAAGATACCAACCGACGCTGAAAGACAAATCTATAGCCGTCGTCTTCGCACCACTTATGGTGGGTGCTAGAGTTCTTGTTTTTAAAGTGTTGGTATTAGAACTATTGGACATTGGCAACGCGAAGGGTGCATTGGCAGAAACCGAGAAGTTGGTGAAAAAGCATCCAGCGATGGTGGCTGGTGAGGTAAGAGTTTGTTCGAGAAGTAACGCTGGTCTTTAGTGCTACAAAGCCCTAGCGCTCTTCCGTTTGGGCAGGAATGACGATGCCTTCGCGCTGATCCATAAGCTCGAGGCACGCCTTTCAGTTGAAGTTTTTGATGACTGTGCCCTTCATGGTCTCACACAATTCTATCAGGTATACTTTACCAAATGGTTTAGCTGTGATTTAAGGAAGCTTCGCTGTTCGACCGCGTCGTTAAAATCTACGAGAAGCAAGTGGCGCTGTATCCGGGGGAAAGCTCCTTGAAAAAGCTTTATTTGGAATACGGGCGTCAAACGGATTACGACAATCAGATGAAGGTGGTGTCGAAAAATTTTCTAACGATCTTTTTAGATTGCACTCAAGTTGAACTCGTTGTTTCCCAAAAATAACCACTTTCTTTGGCTAGTTTCTTGCAACATTTCTCAGGTATTAATAGTAGTTCGGCGCTTATATCGGGTTTAGGCGAGGGCAACGAAAGATGAGAAGATGAAAACTATGCATTATCAGCTGGCTGTGCGGCGTCTCGACAAAGAATACAAGGATGGCTGCTTTGACGAGAAAGGTTGGTGTTTATCCATAGTCTATTCTTTATTTTATTCTAGCATTGGCCCTTTATGCTCAGTTATACGAAGGAATGAATGAGCTCCCGAAGCTTTACAAGGTGTATAGCGACGCCATAGCGATTAAGTCAAAGGTATTTTTATGTAACCTTGGGCTTATGGTTGGACCATTCAATTCAAATTTTTTTAGCGTAGCAAGGGAATCAAATCAACATTTACTTTTAGGCACTAGGAGCGCCCGAAGAGATTCATTCCAAGATGGATCGTGTCAAAGGGAAGTACGATATGAAGGGTGCCATTGAGGATGCCCTTCAGCGTCTTGCTCACAGGTAGCTCGTCAGTCCTTTACATTTTTTAACACTTTATTTAGGCCCCTGCATGATGGCTATTGGGAAACGCTCTACATTCTTCTCAGAGACCTTCCGTTGGACGAGGCGCTAAACTACAAGCAGGGGTAACTTTACCTGACCTTTTATGGAAATTTATAGAATCATCGAGCGGATCGAGGACGTGCTGGAGAACATTGCCAATCATTTTGACTGTGCTCCCGACGCAAACCCTGAGGAATGCTGGCAGCTTCATTGGTTCAGGGCTCGCTTTTTGAACTTTGTACGCGAGGCCCCAGATGGCGCCTGGAAGAAGTTGATTGGGCACGGTATGTTTTTGTGTGGTATTTTTGGATGGTTCTTTTAGCGGATGAAGTCTACATTGCGGCACTCCATGCGTTGCTCAAGACATCCTACAAAATTCCATACACGTTCATCACATCCAAAGATGTTTTCTCGTAAGTTTCAAGCATCTTGCACATACCTGTATTTTAAGGGGCTTGAGTGAGCGTGAGCTATCGCTTCTGCGCGAGATCGTTTGCGATGACGCCTTTTTGGAAGACGCTGGCTCCCAAGAATCTGCCATAGTATGCTTGATGGAATATCTAAAATTTTTTCCAGAGCTATGCCTGGGCCGCAGTGCTTCGATATCAAATCCTGTGGGCCTTCAACTGGGTGACGGTTCGCGATTATTTTTTTGCTTGCATTTTCTTTAGGACACGACACGGGATTTCGTAAAAGCCTTTTACGCGGAGGTGTTCGAGCAAATTGGTTGGCGCAAGCTAGGGCCTGGTCTTTTCGAGATTCGCCATATGCCAGTTGAGATTGTCGACATGTTTGCAAAGGTCGCTGGTGAGATGATGTGGAAAGAATATTCCGAGAACGGTCAGTCTTTCTTACTTTTATGCTATTACCGGTCCAAGGCATCGGATAAAAAGTTTGCTTGATTTAGGAGACGAGCAGATTGTCTACGAGTTTCTTCTCTTGTTGGAAACACTGGTCCGTCCTCACAAGGATAAAGTCGCCGACCTTCGGGTATTGATGCTGAAGCTCTACTCGCATCTGTGCTTGATGGATCGTACTCTTCTTATGGCGAAACGCGTTGATGTAAAAAATGGACTAGTTGACACTCTGGGTCATTCTCTCTTTTTGCAATACGAGCAGACGATGAACTTCCAGGTACAGTTTTAATATGTGGTAAATTATTCACTTCGGTCTTTTCAGGCGGCTTGTCACAAGTTTGTAAGCGCCGGGCAGTTCTACGATGCGACGGAGCGCGAGGTAGTGTATTTTGAAGGGCTCGAGAAAGATGCATCTGGCGAAAAGCAAAGAATTTTGCAGCGGGCTGGAGTCGAACCGGCTATGGTTCGCCCCACAGCCCAGAGTCAGCCATTACACCATGGCGCCAAAAAGCCCTCCATACCCTAGGGGTTTTCCACAGACGGTTTCCGGGTTTCACACTTTGGCCTGTGCCGAAATTTGGTTTTGCATAAAAATTACGAATTCCGAATATGAATTAAATATAAGTACTGTCGCGTCGGTCGGTCACCCCGACCGACGCCTGCCCATCTTTCTCCAGCCCTGAAGTTAGGCCCTATATCGAATTTTTAGTTGAACGAATGCATCATCCAAGAATATCGTCAGGGCACCTTGTATCGAATCCCGCTGCTCATCGAAACAGCCAGCAACTTTAAGAATAGCATTAATGCGGCTTATTGCGACATGATGAATCGGTATGCATATCTGTATAAGAAATAATAATATATCAACTCTAGTTGGGCCAGCACTATGCAGTTCGTAAAGGGCTCATATGATATCATGTCCGTGTTAGCAGCCTCTGCGGACGAGCTTCGTAAGTGGAAAATTGTTGTGCGGTAGGATGTGGTTTTTTTCAGCAGAACGTTTTGTGGACTCACGCGACGTAAACCTCCAGACTTTCCGTTGCGACGCACGAGAAGCCGAGTATACTGAAGGTTTGCTCAGGGAGAAGGAAAGGACTTTCCACGAGCTGGTATATTTTTTTGCTAAAAGGAGTTACAATTTTTAGGATTGTTCAATTCGACTTCGTGATCAGCTTATGAAGTCTGTCGCGGATCTCGGCAACATCAAGAATGTAGGATTCCATTTAGTTTCTTTCCATGTAACAAGCTTTTAGAATGGTTCCGCAAAAGCCCCGGAAAAGTTGAATACGTTGGCCTCCGAGGCAAAGGCGCGGTATCCTCCACCGCCCAAGTCGGCAAGTTTTTAATTTTTTTTTTGATGACCGAGTTTAGGTAGTAACACGCATGGATGAGTTCTTCGCGATCGGTCAGAAGATAAAAGAAATGGTCGGATCCTCCCGGAAAGATGTTTTATTCAAAAAGGTACATTTCGCTAAAGAGTAAGGGGTGTAATTAGATAGCTAGAGTAAGGAGTAATTTCTGTAGGAATATGCTAGTGGCTAAATGTATAATCTAAAGAATGAATGGTGTATGTAGAAGTACGCAATCGTCATTGCCCCCGTTCGTCAATTCTTTAGCACACTGACTGGATATGTTTTGCCGGTATGTGCCCCTGCTCGCATCCCTTTAAGGAATAGTCGTTCTAAACGTTTACGTAAATATATTTGCTGAAACTTTAAAGTATTTTTCAGAGCGCCGACCGATTCCTGGATTTTGATCCGGGTACTGGAAACGCCTCATTCAAGTCACTTCATTCGGCGGGCGAGAAGAAAGAAACTGGAAAGAACGGATCTGACGTGTTCGAGAAAGAAAAAGGTCCAGAACAACGCAAACAGCGCGACGGAGCAAAGAAGGTCGCTGACGGTGCGGTCGAAGACGTTCATCCGAGAAAGGACCGGTCAACTGGATTGATTTTGGCGACCAAGCCTGTTTCGACATCCGGCGAAGAACTTGGCTCAGCCAGGATCACGGATGACGTCCACGTCGAGATAGATCAAGAAACCGAGGTTAAACCTGTCATCGAAAAGCCCACCCATCAGGACGATCAGGGGACAGTTGATCTTCAAGCCAGTGCGGACGGAGTCATCGACGGTGACCACCAGTTCTCCGACACCGACTCGGTTCGAACAGCACTTCAGTTGCTAGACGTTGGCGAAATACACAGTGAAGAACCACAGGAAGGGCATCAAGAAGAAAATGGTCAGCAGCAAGAAAGCGATAGTGGCAGAAAACAGAAGGGAAAGAAGAAAAAGAGCAAAACGGTGGTAAGATTTTTTAAAGCCCTCCTGTTTTCCTCTATCGTCCAGAGTTAGATTTGGGTGAGACAGTCTGAGACTTTGGCATATATATTTGGACACGGGGAGGCGGCGGATTAGGTTTTATGGATGGACCTCGCTATTCCGGTTCGATTGATGTGCATTTAGACTTTTTTATTTTTTTCGTTGAGCTTTTCTAAACAACCTCCAAGTCCCAATTCATGCGAATTTAAGCAAGAAACCGGTTTTACAGAGGCATGTTTCCGGAACGGGCTCGGGTCAGGTGTTAAGCTATACCATTTGATGCGTCTCAATTTTCCGCGTCAGATTATCCCGATAAAACCCCCTCAGAGCCAGTTTAGACAACCTTCATGCCTCAATTTATGTAAATCGTAACAAAAAGCGGTTTTACAGCTGCTGTTTTCCGGATAGGTAGCGGATCACGTTTTAAACTAACTCGATCGATGCATCTCACTCTCCCGCGTCGGTTGATACCCATAACCCTCCCCCCCTTAGAACATTGTTAGACAACTCCAAGGCGGGTTTTAGTCCTGGGTTTTTCTCCCATCCAATCGAAACCTGCCATCGTCTATCACTCTTCCGCGCAGAAATCTAATGCTTTACAGGAGGCTGGCCCACACTCCGGCGGCGATCAACCGACGGCTGCCGAGCCGTTTGGATCGATTTCCGACTCTGCTTCGCTACCGCCCGATGCTTCGCCTGAAAACGTTGCCGTTACTACAGCCGATCTGTTCGATTGTGACGAAGAAACCGCTGAAGACAATGCTATTCGTACACACGCCCGTTTCCGCCCTGATGACGTTGCACGTGTGATGTTCAATGAAGGTGGTGGCATGCCTGATAACTACGTGAAGATGGTTCGGCAAGAGGTGCAAGACATCCGCGGACTCAATGTTACGACTAGCGGGGTAAGGATTTTACATGACATTCCACGCAGGCAACGAGAAGGGCTCCCGAAGGCGCGGCTCAGTCGGTTAGCCATGGCAATCCCGAACAGAGGGCCCGGGTTCGACACCGGAGAACCCCATTTAGCCGCTGTTTTCCCCCAAAACCTTTTGCCAAGAATTTGTTTTTTGCTCAAAGAATATGTTTCAGCTATCAAAATCAGTTGAAACGGCAAAGAACATTGAAAACCCGACAGGGGGCATTAATTTCAATTTATGCACACGGTCGCATTTTGCGCAAACAGCCATTCTAAGCTCCAATTTCGCCTTACTTGGGGTAATCGACCTTGATTCTTCCAAGACTCAGCTCTCATTTCCTTAAAAATACCGGTTGCAGGATAAAAGGCCAAATACTTAGAACAAAAGCTTTAAACTGTTGTTGCCATAATAAGGCAGAATGGGTTTTCGATATCGCTATCGCAAAAGATACGCGATCGTCCGTAGCACATTTTAATCTATTTGGTTTCTCGATTTTACCATGAAGCTTTCAAGATGAATCGTGATTTTTAGCAAGACTGAAGGGTTTTTCCGCTTAGGGAGTACATATTACACCATCCGTGGACAGTTGAGCTTGCATAGGCGCGTCTCCTACCAACTTTCCTATACGTCCTTTTTCGTTAAGGAATGGACTGCCGTGTTTAGGTTGCTTCCCTGTGTTATCTGGATTTTATCTAGACTTGATTTGGTTTTTAGGAAGCAGCTGTTGTTTTTGACGCAGCGGTGGCTATATATGAAAAGGTCAAGGTCGAGATGGCGGGAACGGAATTGCCACCGGTTGGTTGAGGTTCCGCTTAAAACATTACATGTTCTTAGGCGGTCCGCTCTCTTTTCGACGGGTTCCATGGCCTTATCGAGGTATTCAAGAAAACATTGTCGGAGCAAGGTGGATGTGTGACATTGGATGTACAGGCAAGATCTAGAAATTGAAATAATCTCCGTTTGTTCAGGACTTCCAAGCCCATTTCAAAGATGCTGATTCGAAAGAAAAGTATCAAGGCGACGGCGCCGTTCTACAGCGAGCCGCAGAAGAATGGCAACAAGCTCTTGACCGTGATAAAGACGTAGGTGGCATTTTGGCATTTTTATCTTGCGTGGTTCTCGACAGGGGTCTTTTAGGTAATTGCTGGCTTTATTGAACGTATCGATGCAATCGTTTATACGATGCGCACTGGACAACCAAAGAAGGTAGATGTAAGTTTACGTTCTCGTCGCTGCACCTCGGTTTTTCAGGTCAAATATCCCTACTTGGAAGTTCCCAATGGATGTAATATGGACGATTTCGTCAACGTTACTGCTTTCGACTTCACGGTGGACTTGATCAATTGTTTGCATGCGCGGGCTGCCGGTGTTGAGTATGAGATGAAGGAATACGAGCTCGCGTATTCAGGTAACTAATTATGCTGTTTGTTTGCACCTTCCCGGTACGTTCACTAGAGATCGTAACCGAATATGGCTAGGATTAGCCTCATACTACTTTCATTCTCATTGTCGACACCTAGAATTCGTCGAATACGCCGATACTTCTTCGTTTATGCAGTTGTCTCAGACGATGCGTCGTTTCAGTTTTACGACACAGCTACTTTGCCATAGGTGAGATTCCTGTTATTCTTGCTATTTTCTGATTTTTAGTCGCCTAGCGCTAGAAATGTTCGGGGTTGGCCGTAGCCGTGAGGCGACCCACGCTGCCACCGGCAAATTGCCGCCATTCCAACATCCCACTGCTCCGCGAAAACTGGTGGGATTTGAAGCTAACGCTATCCTACTAGATATAAAAAATAGTCTCTGTGTGATGACTGCCCGTATATCAAAATTTGAAAACTACGCTATTTTCGACATTCAAATTAAGTTGTTTTTGAAAAATCGGGCACCCTCTTCGTTAGGAATTAACGCTCTTATTGTCAGACACCGACTGAGATCGAAATGTGGCAACGAGTCAAGGAATTTTCCAAGCAAGCTGAGCAGCATTTGTACACCTGGGCGGTATCATTTTTGGCGGGTATTCATAATCAGCGTTTTAGATTTTGTTGACCAACACTTACTTCGATCGCGGTTTATGTGTGGAATGGGGACAAGTGAGCAATATGTTTCTTATGAGCTACTTCCACTTTATTAGCCGTTCATTTTTGCTTCTGTAAAACACTAGGAAAGGCTATCTGTTACATCGGTAATTTTCATTGGTTTCCAATTTTAGGATGCCCGGAAGACAATGCTCCAGCCGCGCAAACACATTACCGACTTGATGAACGCCAAGCATTTTGAACGGACTGTTATCGGCATCGCTCGTCGTCTTCATGGGAACATCATCGAATATGAAGCCGCTCACAACATCAAATAATTTCCTTGGTTCTTGGTCAATAATGCGGGTGCTAGATTATCAATTGCTAATCGGGTATCTTTTTTTGGAAAAGCGCTTGGTTTTGTTGTCTTTGTTATTGTATTCAATAGTTACATCTAGTTATTTGGTTTGTGGTGTAATTGCTACTTTCTTTGTTATTTGTCGTTGTTATCGTCCGAACCTTTTTAACGAAACTTTGTTTTGTCCCAGCTAGTACCACCCATAGCTATGTTCAGCTTTGACTATGCTTCTAACAACTCGCGCTGGACGAATAAAGTTTCGTTTTAAAAACTTTGTATAATGAGAAAACGGCAGTGCAGGCTTATACGGTGGTTTGCAAGCGGGCGGGTAAGTTGCTATTCGTCGAGCAATCGTAGAGGCTCGAAGTCCCGGTAAATAATAAGGGTTTGAACGTTAAAGGTCTAACTAGATCTGTAGCCAATGCTCTGTTCAGGTAATTTTTAATGCCCTACCACATTATTTTTATCCGCTGGCTGTTGTTCTGCGTGTGGCAACGAAACTTTATTATGTCCTTCAGCCGGCAAAACATAATCATCAAATAACTCATGGACGTAATGAATAAAGTATCGTGAAAAGCAGCCAACGTAGGAGATCAAATCGACACGTATACCCGGCGGGAAGATAGAAGAGAACCTTTGGATGTGATAAAACACGGACAACAACCGGTGCAAAAAAATTCTGGGCTATGCGTTTGAGATTCTGTGTTAGGGACAGCGGATTTGTTAAAGTTTAAGGATTCGAATCAGCTAAACTCAGGCTTTTTGTTGCGAAGGGCAGCATGAGTCCTTTCGCGTTCGGTCCAAACTGCTTGACACATTCCTCGAAAACCTGAATCGACCTTCTATCAAACGCCCTCGTGAACAATATCAGCCGCCAAATCTTTTCATTTTACCGACCGTATTTTTGAAGCAATTTTTTCGGCAATGAGCATGGAGATTCGGTTTGTCCTGTGAATACATTTCGTGGCACATCACGCACACTTTTTCCAAAAGATCCGCAATCACTGGATTTCTGACCTAGAATTTAATGATCAAATTTCCAGGGTAATTCTGCCATTGTCTGGAATGATCTTTGTGGATCAACACCCACCCGACAAACTTTAGACCGCGGCTTGGCCTCTGTTGTAGTAGCAGTCAGCAGAATACATAGAATAAAAACGAAAGCAACGGGCAGTTGACTTGTTCGGTAGGCAGTTGTGGCTGAAAATTCGGTTGAGTGATTGACCGTTTTTTAGAAGATACCATGCTTAGAGCTTCTGACGGTCGAATTAATCGTACTGGGAATATCTTCGCAAAGTCGCTGTTCGGCCGTGTTTTCCATCCTGTAATTATTATTTAGATTAACTGTATTTACAGGGATACGATAAACTCAGAAAAAAACATTTCAAGGCAGTGATTTTTTAGGACACCTGGCGATGCTAAAACTGAAGAATCGATAAAAGGGTTAATGAAAAGGAAATGGATTTTTGTTTAGGGTAGGTGAGGCAAACTGGCTGCCAGTCATTACTTCGAAAATCATTACTTCGAAAATCATTACTTCGAAAGTCATTACCTCGAAAAGTCATTACTTCGAAAAGTCATTTCTTCGAAAAGTTATTACTTCGAAAAGTCATTACTTCGAAAAGTCATTTCTTCGAAAAGTCATTACTTCGAAACGTCATTACTTCGAAAAACATGCATAGCACGTACGCTAATTGACACCATTCTGCCTCTACCGGTCCGTTTATTCGATCGAGTTTTTTATACGCCGCATGAAACAAATCGGCAAATTTTTACTTTATCCCCAGATTTTTCGATGTTTTAGTTGGTTAGTACGAACATTTTCTGATGTCACTTCAGAGAGCATCAAAACATGCACGGACATTTTTAGATAAACATCGTGATGCTTCAGTGATTGAATGCAAGGATCATTATAACAAATAAATAATTCGTAGAGATGGGGTAATTAACAATCCTAATACAGACCGAAACTCTACACAGTAATAGCCTTAATAGAATAGGCATATGGTACCTACGCAATAGTTTTATCGTCAGTGTCATGAATTTCGTGATCTGAACATTCCAAATCAACATATTTTCGAAGTAATGACGTTTCGAAGTAATGACGTTTCGAAGTAATGCCTTTTCGAAGAAATGACTTTTCGAAGAAATGACTTTTCGAAGAAATGACTTTTCGAAGAAATGACTTTTCGAAGTAATGACTTTTCGAAGTAATGACTTTCGAAGTAATGACTTTCGAAGTAATGATTTTCGAAGTAATGACGTTTCGAAGTAATGCCTTTTCGAAGAAATGACTTTTCGAAGAAATGACTTTTCGAAGAAATGACTTTTCGAAGTAATGACTTTTCGAAGTAATGACTTTCGAAGTAATGACTTTCGAAGTAATGATTTTCGAAGTAATGACGTTCACCCAGGCAAACTATGCAAGCTTTAAGGGCATAACACGACTATTTCAAAATATCTGAAATGGTGTGGGGTGCAATCCCATCTAAAGTCCCAAATAAAATCTGGCGTAGCATGGGAAAATGTATTTATCGGGAGCGCAATAATTAATGTCTGACTAAACGGAATGTTTTCGGGTCACCATGTTGAACGAATTAGGCATAAGAATTATGAGCCATCGGAATGAATAAAAAATAATAATGAATATTAATAGGTTGTTAGGGGTATCGCGAGCACTCATCCACAAAAAGGTCTGCCACCGATGGAGGATTCAAAATTGCCCATAAGCAACGCGCGAAGGTGGGCAAAGAGCGAAAAGGGTTGGCTTCATCATCGCTCTTTTAGGGCACGCTCCACTTAACCTAGCCTTTTTGACGCTATTCTTGGCTCTGTTCTACGCCATTCGGCGAGGTCCCACCTCTCCGTCAAGCCCTTCAACGCAAACGCCAAACGGCAAATAAATAGACCAACAAAGAAAGACGAAAAGATGAAACATTATGTGAAGCGATGACGAAATCGGCTTGAACGCCTCGAAATTACTTTTTAACCGCGGGCTACCGGAATCTCCGCCTTGACTCCAGGCCTAAAAAAGCACGAACCGAACATGGGCCACTTTCGGTGTTGGGCACATACACGTGAGATCAGAATTTTAATGCAATGGCCCGCACACGAGCAGTTTCCATTTTAGATGTGCCCAGAGGGGGAGAAGAATTGCAATGGCATTTCGAATGCCACAGTTTTGGAACAGCAAGAAAGAAACAGTGGATTTAAAAGGGGGATGGGATAGGCGGCGTCAGACTCAGAAAATAGGAAATGATGTAGATGTAGATGCGGGTGGATGTAGACGACGATAATTTTAACATTTTTTTTTCTCTCGCTAGTTTTTTCACTTCTATCGCCTGCCCACATGAATATCCACATTTTAGGTGCAAATTTCGGAATTTTCTGAAGAGGGCGGTAAAGTGAGACAGCATGAATCGGGATGTAAACATGCGTCATGCCGAATTGAATGACTCAATTTCTCCCAAATATGCACACCCCGCACCAAACAAGGGTTTTTATTTTATGTCCACTCGAAATCTGGAAAATCCTTGAGGACTCACTTAATATGGATAAGTGTGTCTAGCTACCCGTCTGACGGCTTCTGGCTAAAGCTAAAGGAATAGTGTCAGCTAGGCTAGTCAAGGCAAAAATGATATAGGCGTTGCTACCCCAAAAGAACAAATTTGTACTTTTTCTTGAGAAAAAAACCCCCGAATCATTTCCCGGAAAATTATAGGGGTCAGTTTTTCTGCTTTTCCGGTTCCGGTTACGACCAGTCAACTAATTGCGGATTTTGGACATGCCGAGAGGGTTGAGGGAGGGCGGAAAGGAGGTGCACAAGGGGGTGATGCGTACTAATTGGCATGTTTTCGAGCCAACTTTTTGGCGCAGCTGCAGAGAGGGCAAACGTCTGTCCGTGCCAAGTGGTCACCATGCTCCTCAAATAGCTCCGTCATTCAGATTCCCAGACCGAATTCCCGGAGCACGCAAAGTATAATTGCTAGTGGTCAGCATGGATTTCGAGAGTGAGGGGGGCAGCACGGGAATTTCGAACGCACTTACAGTTTAAATCGCCACCCAAAAAGCTCCTTTTTCTAGGGGAGAAGGGTCAGATCGGTATGATTGTTACACCAGTCGAACGTCTAGAAAGCAGTGAGCCTCTTAATAACAAGTTTTTTTATTTAAATACGCCGTTTTGTATCTGTTTTAATCTGCGTTTGGGGTTGCATTTGGATCTAAACAAACGGAACGCTTTGTTGATTTTTCTTAGGTTTTTTTTGGTGCAGGGGACAAAATTAATTGATAAGAAACCCGGCAAAACCGTAATTTTTTTACCAAATGCGTTGATCTAAAACGCGTGCACTCAAATAACGAAAGCGATTGCAAACTCTGTCGAGATAGAGGGGCGTTTTTTAAGACATCCCGTATTGTTTTGGATGATGTGGTCAGGGGATTACGGTATCAGAGATATTTCAAAGCAGCCAAAAAGTTGGGAAGACCATTTTAAAAAGGATTAGGACACAGTCCGTCCTATTTGCGTTCCAACATAGACAGGTGTAGAATTGCATTGCCCCAAGACGTCCTACTGTAGCCAGCGAATGCATGAGTCAGGCGATTGTGAGCAAACGAATGATCCGTAACACATGAATACCCACTCAGAAACCTTCCCAAAAATACGACGAGTCAGGCGAGGGTGGACCCCTCTTTATTTTTTTTTTCAAGAAACCGACCCACTGCTTTTAGAGGGTCCGGTTTGAAGGGTCACTTGGTTGTGGCTGACTGGTGCCTCTGAAACCGGAGCCCACCCCCGCCTTCCACCGGAAATCGGCCACGATTTCTGCAGATGCCCAGCAACAAAGTTTGGATCGAGCAGTCGTTCTTTTTAAGAGATGGAAAGCCAAAGGAAATGGACTCCCCAAGAAATTTCAGTGTTCTGTGCTCGTGCTCCCAGATCATGCCCTTCGCGTGCCGGGTTTTTGGTTACAACGGGGTCGACAATTGGGACTTGTTTTGCCCGCGAAAAAAAAATGTTATGGAATTGCACGGCCCGAAAAGGGCGATCTGGTTCCTTATTATGTTTCGAGCCTTTTGCAAAAAAAAACTGCAGGCGAGGGCCGGCGAAGGCGGCAATGGGAAAATATGAATACGGGGGCGAAACGAAGTTTAATGTTGCTGGAGGACGGATTAGGAAGAGTAGGCGTGTCTGAATGCTTAAAAAATTGGGTTGATTGAAGTTTAAGGCTTCGCTTTTTAGGTAGACAAGCGATCAACCCAAAAATTTGAGTCAGTCTCACGAAGAGAGAAATTTCGGGCGGACATCAGAAATATTATTTAGATATTTCGATGCTGTGCGAAGAGGATTATAGACCAGTCGTGGGGTATTTAATTAATGGAGAGACGGACGGGATGACGAGGACACGATCGTTTGCTCATAAGGTTTCTTTCCATTCTCGGAGACGGGTTCCCGCGATGATGAAGGCAAATATAAAGAAAAAAAAAATAGTGGCTCGCGTTTTCGAGATCAAATAGACCATGAATATTTTCGCCTGGCTAAAATGCTAGCAGCGTTGCTGTTAAACATAAATATGTTAGCTAGAGTTGGGTTCTGAATTTCTAACAGTAAGTAACTACTAGAAGCCCTAGAGACGGGGCCCTCTTATATACCAAGCAGCTGGGAATGTTAAACATGTTTTGAAGATCTTACTCACACATCGATGTGGGAGGAATGCCGCCCAGATTCTACAGGAAATTGAAATTCTAACCAAGATGCGCCCTCTAGACGTAAAGAAATTGATGAATGACGCGAAATCAGGGCGAAAAGGAAAGTTCGCCTTCTGAGTCATCAAAATGTAACGTTTAGAGTTTAGGAAAAATGGGTCTGGTGTAGGCGATGTGCCATGAGATCACACGATTTTCGGGGTTAGAGCGTTTGAATTTGATTATGGGCATGTGCACTGGTAGGGACCGTGGGTAATGGAAATATTTTTGAGGTCAGAATGTCATTTAGTCGGCGGGTAGGTGGTCACAATTTGATTGGCGCCCGGCTGTAATTGGGTAAGTGCTATAATGTACAAATTGTCCAATGGCATCAAGACATGGTTTTGGGGTGCAAAATTAGAGCGACTTGAAAAGGCCACAATCGATAATTTTAGACGAATGATATCGACATTAATTTTTCAGAACAAAATACGCTTTGATGATGTTTTGTTTGCCACAAGATAAGGTGTCAAATATTTGCATATGCACATGCTAAAGCCAGTTAATAAGATTTATTTGTAGACGATAGGGGTGTTTTGCCGTGCGACATTGCTTATTCGATAAAGTTCGAGCTTCTGAATTATTACGTTTTGATTTATTTAAAGTATCAAAACAATAGCACCTTTCAAACACAAAACACGTTTTCACGTTTTTTTTTAGATGACACAAAACGAAGACTGCTAAGTTCCCGAAACAAAGGTTGCCCCAAATTCGCGTATCATAAAATGACGTTAGCCAACGTCCGTAGTGGCTGTATTTGTAGCCACACTCCGATTTGTATGAGCTGCCTCCCAGTTGGCTGTCCCTAATATGGCCAAATAGAGCAAACGCTCTGGGTCGCGAGTATTTGTGCGTGAAAACCTTGGCCACACTAGCCATACCAACACTCGCCAATACCTCTCCTCTCCTTCTAAACTATCACTAATTCGCTTGCCTCGCTATCGATCTATATTAGCTAAATATAAATTTTTGTCGGATGCGCCCGTGTTTTTGAATGACGCGCCGAACCTAACCCTTTGATCTGGCTACACTTTTTACTTGAATACGACACATGCAAAAACCCAGCCAATTTTTTACCGAATCTCATCTCGCCCGTAATTTGTCGAAGTTCCCTAGAGAATTCCTTCAACGTAAAACCGTAACCAAGACACAAATGAGGCTAAATCATATTCTGCCTCACGTCGATCGTCAGCCAATCAAGTCCCTGTTAGGAAAAATGAATTTCAGAGGGGAGATCAATGGTTTTGGAGGTTCTCTGGGGAAAAAATCAGCTAGTATCAATGCGTATTAGAAATGCCAGGGATAGCACAAGGATTACTTAGCGCACAAACCTTGCCCCCAAGGAGATAATATTGAAAACATGCGGAACGAAATTGCATGAAAATACAGATTCTTTATATTAACACTTGATGCAGAAAAAGCAAGCGCTAGCTCACCACGAACAATCGCTGGCACGGTGCCTTTAAATAGTTCAGAGTGATCTTGAAGTGCTAGCGTACTCATTGGATCATTCGTGACCAAGCATTGGTAGCAGAAAGAAACCATAAACGCGTACTTCCAGCCCACTTTCCGCCCCCCAGGCTCGCGCTTCTCCTCATCTTTGCTTTGATGATGTCCGTCCGTGTTCTCACTTTTTGGGGGCCGGATTCTTTGGCCACTCATCCCCTCTGTCTATTTTTCGAGTTTTTTTGCAACGAGGCGGAAAGAGCAGTGGTCGTCAAACCGCACTTAGCGCTCCCCTGGTTAAGAGTGGAACGTGACGGAAACTGAATAGTCGCTCAAAAGGGGAGACGTTGCAAGACAATACGTACGGTAGAAACGTTCGGACGGGGCTTGTCGGAGGGGCTTGCGATTTTTGTCCGGTAATGGTGATGTTTGAATTAAAGCGTTGGATGAAGGGATGGACTCAAATGTCTAAAATCTGGACCAGGTGGCAAAAAAATCTCCAATTGCAAGAATTCTTTTGGGCCGTATAATTGTATTAGAACTTGAAAGAATTGGAATGGCATTTAGAAAAGATTCTGGTTGGTAAATATTGGAGAGTTGCCATTGCCAAGCTAAAAATTTTCGGTGCTAATGCAGTTAGGGGGTGCATTCCAAAATTGGTAGTAAGGGGCTACGAGGCGCTCCGCTTAAGCTATTTGGTTTTCAGCTTCATCTTAGGCTTAAGTTAGCTTTAACTAAGCCTGGCTTAGGTTTTGGTTACTTTTTTCGAAACAAATGCAAAAATATCTCATCAAGTAAATCATAGAGACCCCTCTGTAAAAAACGGAATATGGGTAGACCCCCCTTTTTGAATTTCGAGAACGAGTTTTGAGGCTTCTTGGGAGTAATCAGCCTGGGGCCATAAACAAAATTTTTTCGCATAGTAAATATCAAAACTTGGAGTTGGGCAGGAAGTTCTGGTCAAAAAGCAAAATAAGAAATCGTGAGCGGATTCGAACCTTCGTCAGCATCCTAACAAGTGAGTCGCTTACCACCCGGCCATTCAACTGGTGATTCCATAGTGATGGGAACGCCTCATAAACCTATCGATAATGCTAATTTTTCGGATGTAAATCATCATTTTCCGGAAGTGCTGTATCTCTGTCCAGAGGCCCATTTAGGAAATTCTGACTAGACCGTTGGGATCGCCATAGTCGAAAACCTAGGGGTAGCCGCGAGCGTTTTTCGAAACTCCACCGTGCCAACTTGAGGTTCCCATGTTAATCCTAAACCCAAGCTAAGCTTATCCTGCGCTTCAAATTGACTTACGAGGTCAAAATGGGGTCATGTATGGGTTAGCTTAGAACTAAGCTTAGTTTGGCTCAAGCTAAGCTCAGGCTTCGTTTGTATGAAGCTAGCATAGGCTTAGGCTTAGCTTAGCTTTTCCAGAGGCTTCGAGTTTAAAAACGGCATTTGGAGCGTCTCGTAGTCAAAATCCAGATTGCCCCCAAGTGCATTCGCACCACATTTTCTACTCAACTTGACACACCGACTACCCATTTAATCTCTCCGCTTCATTCCCTGGTTTCCTCCCGGGAAAAGCCAGAAATTCGGCAGCCTGATCATCGACAGAGACTATCGAAGGAGGCTGGCATTTGCGGGGAGGGGGGGGAGGGGAAAGACAGAAGAAACCGCCCGCCCCATTGTGGCCACAATTAGCATAATCTGGGGCATTGGCCCTTCTTCGAGGCCTTCAGGTCTCCCCTAGGGGTGCTCTGTGGCGCATTGTTTGCGGATAAACATGAAATTATGCGCTGGCTGGTCCCACTTCAAAGTGCGTCCCACCCCATCGTCGGCTTCGTGGAAGAGGTTCAGGGCCAAGGCCACATCAACCGCCAGGATTTTGGTCCGCTCTATGATTACGGATTCATGATCATGGTTTTCAAGGCTGTGTTCTTAATTATATTGCCATTTACGGGCTCGAGGTTGAGTCACTGCCCCATTTGGGGGATATCCTGTGCTGCCCCTTTTTATTGCAAATATTTATCCTTGCAGCGTCAGTAGTCCTTGGGGCCAATATTCTCAAGAGCTCCAGTAATTTTCAGTGTTCCAAAACTTACTACGAATCTTCTACAACATTTTCTAGAATGTCCGAATACTCGAATCTTCCATCTTATAATGAATATACTGATGTTTATGCGGCATCGACGGCGGAGCATTGGTAAGCGTTCAAAAGCGCCGCATTAACTTCATCAGGTCAAAAAATCAGTCATACTTTTAAAGAAATCATGATTCTTTCAGTGCTCTTCAAAGGATTGTAGGCGAACTTGATGAGGTTCAACAGAACATGGATGCCGAACACGAGTACTACACCCCAAAAAATGTATTCAGTCCAGAAATTATGTAACTCTAGCTCAGCTGAATTTTCATCCTCATTTAGGATGACCCGAAGTATGATTCAGCAAAATATAATTGAAAGCTGTGTCGATGAATCGCCGTACTTTGGCTATAAAACGGAAGCTGATCCTCTTTATGGGTAAATTTGGAGATTAATGCCTTGAATTCCCGAATTTTTAGAACCATTCGAAAAGAGCCCAAAAATGACGTGAATGCTAATGCGACAATAATGTGAGTTAGAATCATGTTTTGAAAGCTTGGGTTTTAGTCCGCCGGCCGTGCCGGCAAGAAATCGAATTGGGGCCGCGTATCCGGATCATTCGCTGGAGCGAATTTTAGAAGATTTGAAACTCCCGCAGGAGCATAAAAGCAAAATGAGGGAGCGTATGGAAGCATGGAGTACGTTTGATCCTAACCACGGTTCTTGAGGCAAATATATACAGCTATACATTAGGTAAATGTCCTTTTAGGAGACGACCTACAACTCGATTCCTACGACGCGGGACTTACCATAGCCCTAATAATCGTCATCGCAATTGGCCTAATTGGTGGTGCGCTTTTCTTTATGTAAATAAAACTTCAAGAATTCTGAAAATTTATTAATCTCTCTAGGGCTAGTTCGTTCACCTGCTAGACCAACGAAATAAACAAAAAAAATGGAGAGCGTACTTGTATATCACCATAAAAGAGACACGAGACAAATATTAAGGGGAGATATCGTACGAGGCGGTTCATATATAGAGAAATATTGATACAGGTTAGGAAAAAATTAGTGCGGATCAGCCGAATCGAGCAATTTCAAGGTTTCTAAAATTGACGAGCCAAGCAGAGGTACGGTGTCTACATTTGGGTTTAAGAGGAAATGAAGGGAATAGGTGATGCTTATTTCTTAGCAGCAGCGGCAGCAGCCAACTTCTTCAGACCCTCCGTCGAGTGAGACTTCGGTCGCTCCAGGGGCAATCCCATACCACGGGCCCAGATCAACTAAAATATTTAGATCAGTTAGAAAGATATTTTACGTACGATAAGAAAATTTTGCCCCATTTTTTACCTGGGAAAGACATCCGAGAGCACGAGACACGCCAAAGAGCACGGTATAGAACGACATTTCCGTCATTCCGAAATACTGCAGCAAAACTCCAGAGTGAGCATCAACGTTCGGCCATGGGTTCTTCGCCTGGAGTATTGGAGGATTAGCTTTAGCAATAATTTGCTCACCTTTCCTTGCTCGAGAAGAATATCCGGGGTGACCTTGTAGATGTTTGAGACGAGACGGAAGAGCTTATCCTTAGGCAAATGCTTGAGCGCGAACTCACGCTGGCACTCGTAGCGGGGGTCAGTCTTGCGGAGGACGGCATGTCCGTATCCGGGGACGACCTATCTGAGGGTTTACGGTTAATGTGATATATTACATACCTGTCCGCTCTTCAGGTGCTTCCAGATCCAGTCCTTCAGCTGTTGCTCGCTGTGGTCGAGGCCGATTTCGCCGACAATTTTGTTGAGGAAGACAAGCACCTGAAAGGAGGGTTTTGAAAGTGCTCGTAATTATCAAAAGAATTAGTGGTTTGGATGAATTTTTTTTACCTCCTGGTTGGCCAATCCGTGAAGTGGTCCAGCCAATCCGGACATAGCGGCCGAGAACGAGAGGTACGGATCCGACAGGGCGGAACCGACCAAGTGAGAGGTATGTGCAGAAACGTTTCCTCCCTCGTGATCGGAGTGGATCACCTGAAATAAAGCATTCATGATTTGCTTCGCCAAGCATTATCATTTCTCGTATAAACCTGAACGCACCAAGTACAGGCGCATCAGCTCGGCGAACAGCGGATCGTCATATCCGAGCATGGTGCAGAAGTTGCCAGACCAATCCTTCTTCGGGTCAATCACACCAACGGCCGATCCATCGCGGTAAAGGTTACGGTAGATCATGGCGGCAACTGTGGGCAGCTTGGCGAGGAGATCCATCGAATCTTCGTAGGCGTACTCCCAGTAAGCGGCCTTCGGCACTCCGCGAGCATAGGCGGCGGCGAACTGAAAGTATTGTGTTGATAGTGGAAAATTCAGGTATTGCCGGGGTCTCCTTTTCTGCAAAGAGTTTTTACGAAAATGGTATTTATGGGAGTAACATCTCCAAGAACCTGATTTTCGGCAGCTTCATCGAAAATGCTTTAAGCGGGCACCACGCCGTGTCCCTGACCCTTTAATTAGCTGACTTACCTTGCTCTCATTGTTCAGGGCAGCAATAGCGGCAATGAACTGTGCCATCGGGTGCAAGCTATCCGGGAAGTTGTCGAGCATGCGAGCAACGTGAGCGGGCAGGTCGGCACGGGCATTCCACTCCTTCGTTACCGCGGCAGTCTATGAGGCATGGCTTGTTACTTTTGGGCAAAATCTTCGTACCTGCTTCTCGCTGGGGACATCACCGGTGAGGAGGAGCCACCAGATACCCTCGGGGATTGGCTCCTCACCGCCCTGAGCCTTGGGGAGCAGCTTTTGGCAGTCGGGAATTGAGTAACCGCGGAAGCGGATGCCCTCCTCGGGGTCGAGCACCGACGTTTCCGTCACCATGCCCTTCATTGAGCGCATACCACCATAGATCTGAATTTTTAGAAATGGTTTTGTCAAGTGCAATAATTTTCTTTGGCAGGTTGGTAGAGGTTGTTTTACGGCGGCGTGTGGAACTAAATTAAGATTTTAAGACACTTTCCCGGCTATTTCGAGTTAAGCGTCAAAAATTATACAAGGACTGGAGATCCAGCTAGGAAAACTCAACCTATACCGCTTGTCGTTCAATAAACATTATTTGGGTCATAAAGAAACAATTTTTAGCATGAGACATTTGAGGGCAAGATCAATCTCTTACGATATTTTTTGATAGTTTGACCAATGGTATGCATAAAATCCCGGCATGAAATAATGTCGAAAAACCGGTGTTTTTCTGATTTTTTATTTTCAGATCAAATTTTAATTGTTTGAAAATTAATTTCGAAGAACTTGGAATATTTTTTCGTATTTTGGTTGCTATTTTTGGTGTACTGCCTGAAGAGGGAGAACTATGTAGAACGTATGGGTCAAGGTTGGTTTCCACCCCCGGTGTTTCGCCCCACCCCCCCTCATTAAGGAACCGGTACCGTATGATTTTATCTTATTAAAACTAACCATATCGACGGTGACTTGCTGGACAGCGGTGTTTCCATGCTGAGTCCTGAACTCCTTGACCTGCTTGTTGTGCTCGGGGATCTTCTTCGACAGCACCTCCTTCAGATTCGTCGATTGATCACCACCAGTGGACAGGCAGGCACCATTCTAGATTACAAAACAAATCCATCAAAACGATTGTTGGACTGACCTTGGGGAGGAGAGTGGGAAGACGACGGAGCAGGGCGGATGATACCGACATGGCCGCAGTCGTTGATTACCTACAAAATACAGTGTTGTAATGGATTCCTTCAAATGCATGTTGATGAATTTAAAGGGTGGTTTTCAGAAAATTGATCTATTTTACGAAATTTAAATCAGGGATTTAAAAAAATCGTAATTAGCTTATTTATGTCAGCTGCAGCTAGTAGCCATTATTTGATCTTTTAATGAGGAACTAGACTAACTATAGATTAAATCTAGGCATGAGTAAAATTATTTCCTGTGCATTTCTTAAGAAATCACGGAATTCTTAAACGAATTGGCTATAAATGACCCAAATATTGGAATTTTTGAGGCTATTTGGTCAGCCAACGTGGTTTTATGCAAAATGTCATAAATCAATAAAATGAGCGGGTCAAGGAAGATGGGGAATGGGGCATTGGAATGACTGAGATGGATAGATTGGATGTTATCAGGTCAAGTCACAACCACTTATCCTTTGACCTCAGATTGACACAAGGGGCGACTCGACCCAGGGGATACAAATCAGGCAAAACCCTGGGTCCCGCGGCGCTGCGGTTGTAGTTTGCTGTCTTTCGCCGGGTTTGGAGGCTAAAGGGCCATGCTCAAGGGGGTCTTCTACATTAATAAGGCTATCTTTATAGCTTGGAAATTGATTGAGGACGTTCTTGACTAGTTAGACTTTGGTTTTCAAAATTAAGGTGTCAATTTCAGCTGAATGCTCCTGTCCTTGATACGATTCAGTGCCAGACCTCGTGAGGATAAACGGCCACTTTATCGACAGATCTTTACGAACAAACGATTGGACATCGCCCATAAAGGTAAACTCGAGATTTTAGTGAAGTATTTGAAAAAATGTCGAATGATATTCGAAGAAAATTCCGAGGGCTTACCCCCTTGACTGTAACCCTCTTATGTTGACCGTGGGATTTCGTTATGGGAGATAGCACATCTTGTGCAGAATTTTTCGCTGATTCCGAATCCGTTTTCAAAAGTTGCGGAACCCCTCGAAAAATAGGTTAAAAATCGATTTTAAATTTGGATGAAATTGGCCCACTACGCCTCTGGGAGGTTCAAATAGGCTCCCCGGAGCCCCCCTTCCGGCAGCTCGATGGTACAATGGTAAGGCGGTGGTCTCATGGGGGAGGTGTCGCTGGTTCGCCCCCTGCCCGCGGTCGTATTTTTTGCTTTTGCAATTTTTTTTCGGAAAGTGGTGTTATACTTACCTGCAAGGCCATCATATTGCTTTCTACAATTTCCTTTTTTTCGAAATGGCTGTATTCTATCAAATATGTCATAATCACAGGCTTTGTTTTCTTTAACTAGAATAATCACAATAGCCCTTATAACAATAAAATTAGGCAACAAGGACAGTTATGCCGTAGGGAATAGCAACACACCCTGACCGTTGTTAGTATGAATTAGGCGATAGTTTTTGTTTGTGAATTTTAGTTATAAGACATTTTATTGTTATAAGGGCTATTGTGATTATTCTAGTTAAAGAAAACAAAGCCTGTTATTATGAGATATTTGATAGAATACAGCCATTTCGAAAAAAAGCAAATTGTAGAAAGCAGTATGATGGTCTTGCAGGTAAGTATAACCCCACTTTCCGAAAAAAAAATTGCAAAAGCAAAAATACGACCGCGGGCAGGGGGCGAACCAGCGACACCTCCCCCATGAGACCACCGCCTTACCATTGTACCATCGAGCTGCTGGAAGGGGGGCTCCGGGGAGCCTATTTGAACCTCCCAGAGGGGTAGTGGGCCAATTTCATCCAAATTTAAAATCGATTTTTAACCTATTTTTCGAGGGGTTCCGCAACTTTTGAAAACGGATTCGGAATCAGCGAAAAATTCTGCACAAGATGTGCTATCTCCCATAACGAAATCCCACGGTCAACATAAGAGGGTTACAGTGAGGGATTATTCATATAGCTAGATGCTAAAACTGTTGTATTAATCAAATGAATCAAATATGGTACTTCTGGATGTTTAACATTTGGTATATTGCGCACAAATAGGCACATTTCAGTTGCGGTCCGATCAATTTTTGGATTTCTCCTCTTCAGTACGTCCTTCATTTTGGTCAACTCATTGATATATTACAAATATATTCGACCCATTCGACAGGTTTGTAACCTATATTCTATTTAATTTCATGGTTTTGGTACAATTATTGATTTTGGCTGAATAAATAAAATGCAACTAATTTCAGGAGGAACGAGAACTATTAGAGCGAGAATTGCTTGAAGCCGATAAGGCCGGCTTTAAATTGAAATAGGTTTGTAAATATTCTGGTAACTTCATTAATATCTTCAATTTTAGATGGTTTCCCGGGTTCTTTCATTTATCTCTGGCCGCTACGACGCTTTGTTCGCTGCTGGCATAGCACTCGGGTCTGGATTTGAACTTTTCAAGGTAATCTCCGGTAGAGAAATTACCAAAAACCATCTATTTTAGATTCATTTTGAAGTAGCCGGTGTCAGTTTTTATAAATCATTCAAAAATAAGCAATTGGCCAAAGAATTGGAGGCCTTTGAGCAAACGTTGCAGGTATGAATAGGATTTGCATTCGAAAATAATTATTTTAGAATCATGACAAAATCATCAGTGAATATGCAGGCAAAAATGATGCTTAGAGCTTTTTAGGTTAGATTAGCTTATTAGCTACAATTTTTTGTTGTTTAAATTATCGTCTTCGGTTATCATATGTTTGAGCGGTTATCCCGAACGTTGATTTTTGTTTTTCTTCGAGTCGAATATTCAGCATAAATTTTCAAAGATATAACTGTCGCTTACATATTATTTTTCTACAATTCATTAACCACATTCGTACATAAGTATGGCTCCTTGGAGATAATGAAGAAAGGAACAGCGAAAAAGGGGAGACAGACTCGGGTGAATAGCGGAGCCGGATATGGACACGGAATCGAAGGAATAAATTGGGCCGCAGATCAGCGCCAGATTCGAGATTAAAATGCAACAATTGCGCTCACAAAAGCACTACATTCAACGGCGGACAGCGCTTCTGGTTTTACTGTTTTTTTTTGATAAGCTTGTAACCACAGATACAGGTCACCGGTATCGTGAAGGGGAAAAATAACCAGGGGGAACTAAACAGACAGGAAAGAGGGATGCAAAAGTTGGGTAAGGAGACGTTAACAGAGCACGCGGAGTTTGCATTGCACGGAAAGAAAAGTGGGTACGGTAGGTTATGGCGGGGTGGGGGAATAAAAGCTATTCTTCAAAGGGGGTGAATGGTCAAGAGTTGGTTGTGTAGAACGATATGGAATGGAAAATGTGGAGAGGCAGAGATGGGGGTGGAGAATAGCGAGCACGAGAGAAACAGAGCAACAAGGGTCAAGTTAAATTAATCCATCAAGCCACGCTGTGCTGTGGCGGCGGCCGCTGATTGTTCGTCAGCTCCAGTGTTGGCCATTGAGGAATAATTTGCCTAGATAATTCAAAGGTATTTATTTTAATTTTTGGTTTTTTTTTACCTGTGCCCCTGAAGCGAGCCTCTCTGCATCGGTGGCTTTTGGCTGATTACTGGTGCTCGGAGCCGCTGCCTAAAATTTGGATAACATACGAGGGGCGTGGCTGCTGTGATTTTAGGTGGACTCTCTTTTGCAATCCTATTTGCATATATATTTTGGCAGCGGGATGACGGAACAACAAAAATTTTGAAGGCACGATCATGGGGATGCAAGCATATTTTCACACAAATAATAACTTTTTGAGGTGGTCACAATACAACTGAATGTCAAAAAACACGCAAATTTTGAAGGGTAGCTACCATCAACGACACAAAATTCGTTTCCATAAAAAACAACTATTTTTACCGCTTTTCGGGTTCGTTTTTTGGATGGTGCCGATTTACATACTTTAAAAAATAGAACAAAACCCCCCATAGGAAAAAGAAACAGTTTTGAATATACAGAACGACACAATAGAGTGACTCCAAAAAGCAGCCACAACCACATTCAACAACAGAACTTCCAAAAACATACTGGAAACATTTGTATTGGTGGAGTTGCAGGCGGAGAGCATTTGATGTTGATTTACAGGGCGCTGTATCCACGTCTTGGTTGGCCACCCGTTGATCCAGAAGAGCCCATCATCCACGGATCCTCTTCCCCCCTTGGTGATACCGATGGAATGCTGATCGTCTGTGTTGGTGCCGTAATTGTGACGGCCGACGAGGTCGATACCGATGGATCGCCCTGTCAAAATGGAGGACGTTGTCGACGCGTTCACAAACCATGCATTACATAAAAGCCTTTAGAAAGTGATGGAAGTTAACTACATTTAAATAAATGGGAACGACTGGGACTATGGATTTTCTTTACCATGGCATGGGTTCCCTATGAAATTCGCGGTTCTGGTCTGTTAGCGGGGGGTAGGGATGGGCCTTTATCACGCGAAGGATTTCTATTACCCAGTAGGATTCCTTAATAATATACGACCTAGCTTTACATGGCTTTATGTCTTTTTAACTTGGAAAATCATAAAATTCTCGTAAATATTGATTTTTGATTTCGAAAATTGAATCTTTTTAGATGTCTAAATTTTTCTATATATTTAGTTATCGAAAACTACCAAATAGCGTTTTAAAACAACACCCTAAATCGCGCGGGATTTGCTTTGTGGGCGCCGGCTAATTAGCGTACCACACACGGGTTAGAATTCATCGAGAATTAGCCAGAAAATCCATAGTCTTGACAAAACGAAAAGCATAGTTAAGCTTTTGAACTAGCATCGAAGGATATTTTTTACTATGAAACCATCACTCCCTGAAGCCAACCAACACCACAAACCCAAAAATCTTCCCGCCACCAACATATATACCCATTTGTGAGTGATATGGACGCATCACATCTCTAATTTAATAGCATGCAATCTTAGGGAGTTTAGGAGTGTTGTTCCTTTTTGAGGATACAAGGACTCGGGGGGTGAGGGGATTAGTATGTGTAGAAATAAGGGAAGCGGAAACCTCGACTATTGTTACCACTGACCGGGCGCTGATCGTTCGAGTGCTGAAAAAGGTATGCTTTTAATAAATAGACATTTACACCATACCTGAGTATATTGTTGGTATTGAGGGTGGAAGTTGTGGATAGCATCTTGCATAATGTCTTTAGGGTTCATTGTTTCGCGGAGTGAGGAGGAGATGGATTGGAGTGTCACTTGGCGGCCGTCGTTGGAAGAAGCTGGAATTATTTTTAAATGGATGGAACATTTTATGTTTCAGGGCAAGGTTTTGTTTAGGTTTTAAAACACTGAGCCGCACCTGATTGAGCATCAGCATATACCGTAACTGAAAACGCAAAACGCAGCGCGATCGCAGCGAAGAACATTTCGATGCAGATGAAGAAGTTTTGGTATCTGAAGTATTTTATTACAGATATGGTTTCCTTAGTCTCCAATAAATTATTCTTTTAGAATTTTTTAAAAATAACTAACCCAGCAGCAATCGTTCCGACCGAAATCTCACTACCATTTGCCAATGTCACCGGGTCGATGGCTCCGAACGCACCCAATACGGCCAGCATGAAGCCTAAAATATCGATAGTTTTCCCGTTTTGTATCGTCCCGATAAACCAAGTTCTGAATTACTGTACCTTGCCAGAATGAGAGGAAAATCACACTTTTCACCGTCAAGAACTTCAGCACCGGGGAGTAGGGGGAGAGCAGATCCTAAATTAAAAACAGCTTAAAAAATTGGCACTTTCACATACGCGTGTAGCCGTATAGAAGAGGAACAATCCGTATAGAGCCAAAGAAATCGAAAAGTTGTAGGCAAATGAGATCCACACATATCCTTGGTCAGCACTGAAATCAATCACTAATCTCAATTGGTTATTTGAAGCCCAACCTCCAGTTTCCTTCTTCGTATTTCCCCATTGGCTGCAAAACGATGGTAAGCAGTGACATCAACGGCTTGATGAAGCAGAATTGAAGCGTTGCCTAAAATTAGGGCTCCAATTTTCTTTTCTGTTTCTGTCTTTTCTACCTGCTTGCAAAACCGTAGGAATTGGATGGAATATTGTTTGCCAGCCAGGCAGCAAGTGCACGTCCAATAGTTTGTTGGTCTGAAAGATATTTGATTCAGACTGCCCGATTTGAACATACTTGATCTGCTTTCCTCTGATTTCCGCCATAATGTTGCTTTCGCCACCGAGGTATTCATAGCACAACGAAAGGAAGGAATAGATCACAAAAGCTAAAAAATAAAATGAAACCGCGATATACTCTGCAAAAAGCAAAATGTTTGCCGCCAGCAGGGGTCGAACCTGCGACCTTGGGCTTATTAGACCCACGCTCTAACCAACTGAGCTATGGCGGCACGGGGGGTGAGGTCTCGGGCGATGTGATAAACCATGCGCCCTGCACCACGCAGGCGTCTTCATAGACTCACCTTCGTAGCAATCCCTAATCGAATTGAAGTAAATATAGACGTTGTTATGGAAGAAGACGAGGGATAGCCACGAATCAAATGCGTAGATCGGGACTAAAAGGACCGTGTATAAACTTCGTCTTTTACAAACCAATAAATAAAATCCGAACGATCCATCGTTGTTCGGTCGGGCAAGAATACCAACGTAGATGTTGATAGATCTGTAAAATCGATTTAAAATTATGGTTGTCATTTTGCTTACCTGATGAGAAGTTATGAAAAGTGCAGCCCATGTAAATAGCCCGGCGATGGTCTGGGCAGTGGCGGAGCGGACGAACACGTCGCTCGTCACGTTGGCTATTACCATATCTTTTTGACTTCCGAAGTGTTAGCACATTGGCCCTGGAATAACAATATAATCTTCTTTGCATATATCTTTGAATCCAATCGAAAAGTGAAAGAAATTTCGCGAAGAGAATACATATAATTTTTGATTGTCAATTCCCTAGAGGTGCAATCAGAATTCAAAAACGAGTCCGACGCCGCCCAGTCCTAATCGGTAAATTTAAATGAAAATAAAAAATACGCAAAACCAATACTGAAGGCCGATCTGGCTAATGAGTTTCAGAATTTCCCTCATGGGTTCATCTTCCCCCATTCATTGGTTGTCTCTCCTCCTCTCCCTTTCCATCCCAAACCAACGTAATTCAATTAATTAATGAAATTTCTCGGAATGAATGTTCTCGGCAGGGCGATGGCGGCTAGCTTAAATGGGTGTTCTTTTTCGGTGACGGACTGAAAGCTAAAGCCAAGCTTTGCCTTTTTAGCGGTGGTCCCTAAAATTCATTCGGAAATTCCTTTTGGTGACGAAAATCGATGGGTGCGGAGTGTCAGGCAGTGCGTGGAAACGGATTGAAAATGGCTGCCTTAGCGAAGGGGCGAGGAAGGGGATGCGGGGAAGGCAAAAGCTGGATCGGATAGGGTGGAAAGGAGAAAGGAAAAGGAGGGAGGAGAACTAAAGGCATAGAGCCACGAACGGGATGTCATCCAAATTGTCATTGTTGGCAAAGCTAACGTTTCGAAGGGAAATTTGGATAGGGGAGTCATGTATCAGGTTGGAAGGTAAGTGCTGTCGCCGAGATTTTGGAAGGCTGGCTAAAGTCGTAGTTAGCTCGATTCAGGACATGCGATATGTCATTTTGTAGCTCTCGGTCTGAACCGTTTTGGGAGGAGGGTCCTGGGCCCCCAGAATTAAGAACGGCCGAGATCCAGGCCCAAGAAGTTTTTGGAAAAATCGAGCGAAAGTGTTTTTGCAAGTTATCTCTGCATAGAGTAGTTTGCATGCGATAGCTTTAACGCCAATCGATAGCGCTCGAGGAGTAGATATCGATAGACCTTGAGTTCATCAAAATTGGACACTGGACGGCCGAGATATGGGCCGTTGAAATTTGGCCCATTTCTTAGAACTTTTCTCGAAATCCCATACATTTGATCAAAATCCGCTCGGCGAGTCCAAAAATAAAGCGGCAATTTTCGGCACCTGCCGGCCAAATCCAGCGAAATGTATGGGATTTCGAGAAAAGTTCTAAGAAATGGTCCAAATTTCAAAGGCCCATATCTCGGCCGTCCAGTGTCCAATTCTGATGAACTCAAGGTCTATCGATATCTACTCCTCGAGCGCTATCGATTGGCGTTAAAGGTATCGTATGCAGATCACTCTATGCAGAGATAACTTGCAAAAACACTTTCTCGTAATTTTTGAAAAAAACTTCTTGGGCCTGGATCTCGGCCGTTCTTAATTCTGGGGGCCCAGGACCCTCCTCCCAAAACGGTTCAGACCGAGAGCTACAAAATGACATATTTCATCCCAGAATCGAGCTAACTACGACTTTAGCCAGCCTTCCAAAATCTCGGCGACAGCACTTACCTTCTAACCTGAGATTTAAAACTTCCGGGAGCGTTCCTTAATGATTCCAAATTTGAGAATTATTCAGATCAATTCAATTACCCAAGGAAATCGGATGCCTTAAACTCGAGGTATTCTACAAAAAGTGAAAGAAAAATCAGGCAAGGCCGGCAAGGCGCAATGCAAAGAATAAAGCGGTATCTTATCATCGTCAAAATGATAAGGTTCGAAAATAATGTGGGGAACTGACGGGAAATAGGATCAGGTCTTTTCAGATGCGCCGCGGGATTGAAACGGAATATAAAAGGCTAAAATTTCAGCTTTTACAAACATGACCGAGCGTAAAAGATAGGTTAAGTAAAAAAACTTTGTAAACGCTGTGGTCAGGAATTGTAATTGTTTGTAGTATCAGAGGGCTGAAAGAACCCAATTTTCCGTTTTCATTTGGGTGCTAGGTATCGACTAACCGACAGCCTCCTGTCCTTGCCCCCGCCGTCGCCCTTTTGATAACATAATAGATTGGCAGGGCATTGGACTTTCCGACAAAAAGAGATCAGAATGAAACCGGAAATAGGATGACAGCAGCAGCAGGGGATCGTCAGATCGGATCGATCCCGCACCAAACCCAGAAGGGGGGGGGGGGAAGGGACACACAACCTAACCCGTTGGTTCGGAAAGTGTCGAAATAGACTGTAGAATGGGGAGAGGGGCAGGCGAGGACGCGTCACTCAAACAGCCGCTCGACTACAAAGTACGCTTGCAAAAATTGAAAGGTTGAGTCATAGCTAGGGGGTGGGGTTCGTGAAGCCAGCGGATGGACAGCCGATTTTGGATGGGTTTCTGGGAATGGGAAAGGTTTATCACGCGCTTGATTTCAACGGTATGAAAGGGTCCTCCTTTTACAAAAAAAATTTTTTAAGGGCTAGTTCTTGCATTTCCGCAAAGCTAGGTTTATTTTGTGATGAATTATATGATACAGATGATACTTTCGGTAATAACCTTTATCATTAGCATCCCTGTTTATTCAGGATCTTTACTAAACGACACATTCTAACATTTGATGCATTGACAAAACAAACTCCATTCATCGTTTAAACATTGACTCAAAACTCCAAATTTTTGCATTCAAATTACAGCGCGGCGGTTTTCCGATTCAGCGCATTTAAGGTTAGCATTTTATGTTTTGCATGCGGAATTTGCACATTTGAATTAGAACCGGAAGCTGAATAAATCCTCTGATTTGAACATAGATCTTATTTTAATAAGATCAGGTTTAATAAAACCAAAAAATTCGATTGCGCTACGAAGCCAGACATTTTTGAAGCAAACCTGGGGGGGGGGGATGAAAGGCTTCTTTCTCCCGATCCGGGGCTGAATAGACCGGAGGGGCCCTAGAGGTCCCCCTAGTGGGCCCATGGCCACAGAGTGACGATCGATGGCCACCCGTGGGCCCCCAGGCAGCCAGCCTTCAAGGCCCACAGGGCCACGGACGGGCCCCTGGAAAAAGCGCCATGTCGGCCACGATGAGCGCCATTCCTCCCCCTTCACGCCAAATTGGGATGCATCTCGTGCTCTACGGCCATCACACTCCCTTAAAGCCTGGCTTCTCGCTATCTGACTAGCTAGCTGACGTCATATTTGAATGAAACATCACAAAAAAGGAAAGCTTGAAGGTGTAGGAGCAAAATGATTGTTGCAGCACAGGGAATTGAAATTTTAATGGATCTCTAAATCTAAATCCCATAGTTATTTTCTGAAGCTATGAGGAGGTTCGAGCTCTGATCGATCACTGGCCCGGAAATTACACATTGGCATCCGGCAGCATCGCGGTGCATTGGGTCCGAATGGAAAGGGTATCCAATTTTACATTGTATGCACTTAAACCGGAGACAAATTACAAACAACAACTTTAACAAACAGACTCAAGAAAAGAAAAAACTATTGTTATGCTAGCCCGAACCCAGAAATCCCCAGGTTTCCTATCTATTTCCAGCTGCGTAGCATAGACGTTATGAGAATGGCCGCGTGGCCCCGGCAATGCGTTGCTGCACAAACAGAAGCGAACCATCCTCGAAAAACCGACAACGCGTTCCCGACACAGGCAGACATCGATTTTTCGAGTTGACAATGCCCAAAAAAATGACAAATTGGTTTTTGTTTTGATGTTGATGATTCGATTGCTTGGCGTTGGGCAGGCGGGCGGCAAATCTATTAACTGATCCATTTCGATGTGAAATGCCTAAAAGTAAAAGAAATGGTATTAACGGAGTGATCAATAATGAAGGGGGTCCTATATTTTTCGAATTGACGAATAAACAAAAGGAAAGGAAAGTTGAACTGTTTTTTTTTACCTTAAACCGCCTAAAGTACCAAATCCCACCACGACAGCGTATAAAAAGAACTCATATTAAGGTTTTTTCTTAATTCTAATTACAGTTTTGCCAGATTTTACTAGGGGAAAGCTTCCACAGTCCCGGACGGGATTTATCAGAGGGGTTTAGATCAAAGAAAATAACAATAATATAATTCCAAAAGGATGTCCAAGGCAACAAACTTAAAGGTCATAAGTATGAGAAGCAACGTGGTGCTTCTCGTAAAAGATGTGTTTTTGCTTGTCGAGGATCGCCAGCAGTCGGTGGGCGATGGCTAACCGAAACCCGCTCCCCTTTCCTATGAGATTGCAATCTGCGATCCAATTATTTTCGGCTGAAGCGGAAAATCCTATTTTAGGGGGCAGGCAACGAAGGATATTGTCATAAATTTATGATAGGTAGAATATAGAGTCTGTATACGGCTGATTATTCCTCTGAAATCTATTCAAAACCCAGAGGATTTGATCAAAGTTCCGGCTCCTGTTATAATCTACAAGTTTGCAAGCAAAACACAAATTGTGCGTGTTTATTATGATGTTGCGCTAAAAAACCACCATCTGATGTGATTTTCATGCAAAAATTTGAATTAAAAAATGCATAAGAGCCCTAAACTTAATCCAGTCCGGAGATTTGAGGGTAGTACAATTTCTGATGAACTAAGGCGCGTTAAAAGCTAGCGAATCGACGTGAAAATAAAGTGATTGTTTTTTTATTTAGTAATTTAATATACTTTTATTTCAACCGTTCCTACCACTCTCCCTCTCCTCAAAACCCCCAAAGTTAGTGACAGAGCTTTGGGTCTTCCCAGAGATCCACATCTGGTTGCAATATGGCTGGAACCCGCGGTCTCAGCTCTACCCCCACAAAAAGGAATAACATTTGGGCTTCCGACCCCCAATTTATAACCCTCGCTTCACCCCCCATTTTCCGTACAATGTCATCTCGCATGGATCGATTTTCCCCGATAGATCGATCGCTTGTTTTTGCATATACATTTATAATCAAAAGCACGGTACAACAACATCAAACATCATCTGACCATTCCAAGTCGCCAATAAATTAAGAAAAGATCACAGTACCGCGACCACTTCGCAACGGTAATTCCAGCAATAAATAGTGGACACGAAAATGGGAGCGCAAGATCAAAGTCGTGATGTTTTGTAAGGCACAACGCGGAGGAGTACTGTACATGAGGGTAACTATTTGGAACACGAGTCTTTGAGGATGGATCTGGTATAAGGCAAGACACATATGGCACGAATTCAGCACAAATCGATGGTCTTTTATGGGACAGCAAATTGGTTTTAAAGAGATTGAGAAATGAAAGGGCGGTTTTCGAAATATACTAAGACTTTCATGCATTAAGTAGGTGATATTGGTATGGTTTTTAAGTTCTTTGGCTAAACTTGGCAATTTATAGCTTCTAAGCCTTTTTTAAAAATCATCCAATAAAATCAAATCGCAACTACGTCATATCTAAGATTGAAAATGAAGTTGTAATTTCTAGGGTTGCCAGAATTGATGGAGGTAGTTCAACGAGTTTGCCGTATCTAAAATAAAATTATTTATTTTGATGCTTGGACATTATTTGAGATCCACAATATGTATAATTTCGATTTCATACCTGTCAAAAAATTCGTCGTCATGCCGGGATCCGTCAATGGCTGCCCATCTGGTGAATACGAATCAGAACCACCCGTTGAGGAAGCTAAATAAAATCGATAAATTGGTCAAATCGAATTGGCTTGAAATGAATCAAATAGTTGCAAAACTCACGGTTCCGAACATGCATATAACTTGAATAGTGGAAATGCAGCGCCATTGGCCCTCCCCCTGGAACGACAGGCCCAACATGGCTGAATGTCGGATAGTGCCTAAAAGTTAAAATGTCTTGAAGTTGAAGAAATATAGATCATTAAGGTTTAATTAACACTCACTGGCTTCTCCAATTTCCGAAGGCATTCTGAAGGAATTTTTCACCATCTCCTTCTAGGTCAACATTCATCCCATCATCGTTCAACTAATTTCAATATATTTGCAAATTTTACTGTTAACCCACCTCCGCCAAAAATTTAATATAGTCCACAGCGATCTTCAACGTATGGATTTTGCTCATTTTGTCGGAAGGCATATGCGGGATTTTTCGGCGGAGGATTGCGAAGGCATCATTTAGTTCCTAAAATCGGGGGATGAAGTTTTTGCCAATTTCTTTGTTTTGCACAGTTGAGTAGGGGCGCGGGTACTTGAAGACCTATGCCGCCGCGCGTTTACCACCCGTTGGCCCTTTAGCCTGGAAGCGTAATACGACCCGGCAAAGATTCTTTGTTCTCGCGCAAATGGATCGAGATTTTGTTAAAAGTACTTTATTTTCGCTTATGCATCCGCTTAGGCATCAAAAAAGCCTTAAAGCAGCAACTACAACTAAATTACAAATTCAAACTCATCGCTCAGATTTTTTGTCTAATTCCTCCCACATCCCACGTTCGAATGCGAGTAGGTAGCTTTTGAGGTGAACTTTTTTCCTTCAGCCATGCCCATCTTCCAGTAGGGACCATGACTGGCGAGAGAAAGGGATAAAGAAGAGATGGCGAAGAATAGCCATAAATCCTTACCCTCCCTTCAGCCGGGGCCCCCAGTTACCGTAACCCTTGCGGGCAGGGGAGCCAACGGCCAGCCGGCAGCTTTATGTCCCAACTTTCTTGGTGGGAAAGGGCTACTAAAAGCTGCTCCCGGGGCCCCGGTAGAAGATGCGTAAGAAACGCATTACCACGAAACCTAGAGAAAATCAAGAAATTAGATCCAAAATTTACCCCAGATACCAATTCCCGGTTACAACGCTTGATTTGACCTTAAGCCAATCTTTAAACCGAATAAGCAAATTAGCTACTACCTACCTTGGTTCTTTGGCGCTCTCGTTGATTTGCCGAATCACGCTGAACCTAAAATGTTACTCTTTCTGACTTTCTCAAAACGCAAATCAAGATTTCTAGAACGATTTTCCGGTCGTAAAACTAACCGACAATTCAACAGCTGACTTATTCGAAACTTTTGGTGTCTTGTTCGATCTCGTTCGGCCCATTTCTTGCTTAAAAAGGTGTTTGAAGGTTTTAAACATGGAGGCAATACGTAGAAAAAAAAATCTATACAGCTACGGTTTTTATAGAATGGAAGAGCGCTAATGGGTGTTCCTAGATAAAGTAGTAAAACAACAACGTATGGCAACTATCTGTTGGATGGATTATTGGTAATAAGGAATAAACAGTCAGCGATGGCGAGGACCATGTGGTTGGGCCTTTTCGCCCCGAGGGAAGGAGAGTTGTCTCCGCCTCTCGGGAGGGCCAAGGGAGGGACTGAAGCTAGAGGAGCAGCAGGTATCGCTAGAGGAGGAAGAGGAGGAGGAGCTAGGGAAACGCAATTGAGTGAGAAATCTGCAACATACTCGAAAACTCAAGATTGCTCACAAATGCAATTGAGGAGTATCGAATCTTCCAATTAGCATGAAAAGCTCGAATCAGGAAAATCGACCCTGTTCGTTTAATGCGCTTTTATTCCTGCATGAAAACAGGAGATCTGCATTTGCTGTGTAGGAAATAATACATATTATATTTATCTTCTTCCGTTATTTCGGCGTATTTGTTTAGGCATGCATTACAGTACGGACAAAGTCGGCAATGTTCACATTTCCGTGGGCGTCGTTGTGGCCAGCGAGCAGGGCATCTACTTCTTCATCGGAGAGACGTTCGCCTAAAAATTGATTATTACGTAAATGCACTACAATACGTGTTTAAATTGACTCTTAAAAGTAATGGTTATGGATTGATCATAACAGCGCAAAAAGTCTTGAAAATCTTTTTCATTTATGAATTTAATAACGAAGTTTGCTTTTTTGGAAGCTTATAAACTATTAAAGAGAAGTCGAAGTGTTAATCCCAAGCCAGGCGTCCCGCTAATCGCATAGGATATTTTGTGCATATCATCGACAACCTGCTAATCCGACAACCAGACGGGTTGCGCATTTGCCTCTACCCCCCAAAATGACCTATTGCCCTTGGGGTATCTGGTTGCACCTTGGCACCCCAGGCATGTATATATGGAGATTAATGTACAACGAGCAATGCTGGCAGACAGTTGGCAATTAAGTGTAATAATTTTGGAATAATTCACTTAACTCCAAATTCGATTCATAATTTGTGAAACGTTAATAAATTGCATTTTAGTCCATTTTCAAAAATACGGCTTACCGAGGGTAGTAAGTAGATGACGGAGCTCAGCGACGTTAATCAGCCCCGAACCTTCTTTATCGAAGTGTGAGAGCCCCTCCACAAATTCGTCCACCGAATGCTTCTCCCCAAAATCCCTTTCAATCGTTTGTGAAATACATGGAAAAATACCTGTTCTTGTTTACCGACTGAAGAATGGGGACAAAGTCTTCGAAAGTGATTCTCGTGTCTGGGTCAGTCCACTAAATCAAGTCAAAATAAATTGAAAAATTGGTAGGTTTGCGTTAATATTACGCGTGTAAAATAATCTTTACCTGTGCACAGCATTTCTGAATTTCCATGTCGGTTGGGTTTTGGCCGAGAGCGCGCAGCACATCGCCAACCTATACAAAACGTTTACAATTCTTACTATGCATATTATCACTTTTCAAATTATAAGAAATAAAAAATGCAAGTATCTACTATATTACTATGAATGATTATATATAGCGTAGCTTATTAGTAATATTCACCTGGGTGACCTGGATACGATCATCCCCCTTCGAATCAAAATAACAAAACACCTCTCGGCATTCGGATAGCGTTTCTTCGATTGACGAGCTCATACTAAATAGGGATACTCGATAGATAGCGGCAACTATTGATGGCATAAAAAAATAAATTCACGAATCGTCCGTTCCATCGACCATTTTAAAAATAAACGCAACGGGCAGAGGTGTGAAGTGATCGGAGGACTCAACGATACCCCCGGTAAATATTGACGAGCTGCGGGCCCCAGAAATAAAAAGAGAACCTCCCAGTGCTGAACTGTTCGGAACAAAAGAGGATTGTGAATTATTGATAATATAGAGAAATTGAGAACATGCTACTGGTCGATATATATATACCACCATCGCGGGGCAGCGAGAATATCGGGGGAAATGCGCCCGGATATGATAAAGATCGGCCGACATCGACCCAAATCCGAATATTGATTTTGGTTCCGGTGAGATCTTATGCAAGAGCATCGAATCAACCACTTTGTAGAAAAATGAGATAACTACGTGTTGTTCCAATTTTCCAAAACTGTACTTTAGCACCATGTATAAAAAAGCACTTTAAAGCAGAGTGCTGCGACTCTCAAGACGTTTGCATTGGGAGAGAACGAAGTTGTTTGTTGCAAAGCTCGCACTGTTGTGGATTTATATAGAATAGCAGTTCTGCTCAGTTTTATTCCAAAATCTGCAGCTAAAGCGGTGGACCATGTTGCCAAATGGCAAACATTTGTTGGTAACGTCGAGCAAGAGCATCTGTGCTCGCCTCTCAATTCATTTTGTTTTTATAACGAGCCTGAGAGGCCAGATGTGGGGGGTTGAAAAGTCAGTTATAGCTTGTAAGACGATGGGCTATTTTTAAAGTTGCAGTTGTGGGAGAAGGAAATAAAGGTATATTGGTGTTTGTTAGTTTTTTTGAAGTTATGATTGCTTATGTGAGATTTCTATCCGAATAAATCAAAAATATTCTTTTGTTAACATTTTTGCAAAGCTGACGGCGTCAAAACCTACAGACCATAGCGTGGAAAAATATAAGCGATCCTTCAAAGTACAGCCCCTTGCATCGGTCGTTTTAATGTTTAAATGGGATGGGGTGTATGGCGAAGGAATGGAGGAGGGTGGGTAGGGTGATTTGCGTTTCGCGCCGTGTACGGGGGAATGTTGACCGAGTGCGTCGGGAAGGGAAGGGAGGATGGTTGAAGAAGGAGAAGAGAAGACCTCCTTTCTTCTATTCCTCTTATGCACTGACCCTGAATAGCCTGAGGGTACGGAGGGAATGAGGAGAACGAAAGGCGAGGAGGGATTGGGACCGTTGGAGGAACGTCTAGCAGGTTGCATGACTGTGCTTGCTAGCTCTCTCTCTCTCTCTCTCTCTCTCTCTCTCTCTCTCTCTTTATCTCGCTCGCTCGCCCATACGTGCATATATTAACGACGGGCAGACGGGTGGTAATAGGTGCTCATTACCAAAAACGTTAGTGCAGCACTGGTACCATAATTTCTTCTTAAAGTCGTGTTGCGAGAAAGTCCTTAAAGGGATACCGACGGCATAGGTCGATGTCCCCTGAACGACTTTTTGGCACGTAGCCAACAGGGCAGAGAACGTGCAAAGGGGCGAGACGCAGAGACATCTTCTTTCCCTCGCGTCACCGATTACTTACGCCGTCGTCATCCCTTTAAAGGGGCTCTTTCAGCAGCGCCGTTTTCCATGAATTTTTGCATGCACTTCCGGTTAGAGAGCACGTCCAATTAAGAGACGCAGACACCTCGCATGCAAATTTTTCCACGATTTGTGCAAAAACGGAGGTGCTGAAAGTGCCCCTTTAAGCAAGAGTACTTGGCATCTACATTTTTTGGACTAATTTAATCCACATGGCATGATTTAAGACCTCTCTTGATCAGCACTCTCAAAATGACTACAGTATCGTGAAAATTCGTTTCCTCGTTTTCCTATTGGCCAATAAATGATCGCCTTACTTTTATTTATCGAATAAAAAATTATCCCCTCCCATTTTTTGAAAGAATTTGAATTTTATTACCACTTTTTTCGACGTGCCATGGAATAGCGCTTTCTAAAAACCACTGTACCTGCAAATATTCCGAATAATAAGGGGCCCTGGCGCTTGCTTTACTAGGTGGACCGGGTTTTTAGCTGGCAGAACTTCTTTAAACAGCTTATGACTAAGAAATTGGACATTTTTTTGAACCGCAAATTTATTATTTGTACAAGGTATCCGAAAACACCCAAGTTTCAGGAATATTTGCATATATTAAGATATTGAAGAGATGGGCATTGGCGAGGCCGGCATATGAGTCAGCACTTGATCCAACCACTAAAATCCTTAGTTGAAATTCTTATTGAATGATCTGAATACCTGAAGTGGAGCATGCAAATGGATTTCGACCCAGCAAGGCGTTGAGGTGACATCTTGTCGTTGGTATTCCGCGCCCCAACCCTTAAAATGAGCGCACATCAGTTATACAGTAACGGACAAAAGTTTATCACCCTCGTTTTTCCGACCTTCTAGAGCGATTTCCCGGAAATCCCCGGCCATAAGACTTCCAATTTACAATTTACTAGATGTAAAATTACACGCTTATTCCGAATTTGACCCTTTTAGAGCCGAAAAATTTTATTTTAAGGGTCAAAATCGCGAATAACTTTTTACCCTAAAACACGGTCAAAAACAAACCTTTTTCTGCGACGTTTTCGGGGTGCGCCATTGTGATATTCGGAATCTCCGATGTCAAATTAGCCGGAATAAGTGTTTTCCGGATTTTTATTGGGTGTCTAGATACCATTTCCGGAAATCGAGCAGTTAGCCTTCGACGGGCCTTTAAAAGCGGTTTTCGGCGTATTTCAATAGCGGATCTAGAATCTACAGGGTCGATTACATTAGGAATAGTGTGTTTAGAATGCGAAGAAAACAAAATTATTTTTCTAGAAGCATTTGTTTAGAAAGCGCAACCGAGAAAAGTCAGGTTGTGGAAAGGAGTGCTCGAAACAGGTCAAAAACGATTTTTCACAGAGTTTTCTTGTATCACATCGGAAAGAGCATTATCGAATGTGTAAGAAAATATTGTTTATGGTACAAGAAGGAGACTTTCATTTTTGGCCATTTTGTTAAGCGAAATCGCAGGACCGGGGGCCAAATTTTTGCGGTCGTCGACGACAATTCTTCGTCATAATTTTCTCGACTGTTGGAATCGCTACAAAATTTGGAACGAATGTATCTTAGGTAATTCGATAGCGTAGATTCCGAATTTGATAACGAAAAATTGCGAAAATGTCAGATTAGAAAGTTAGCATTTTTTGGTTTTTGGGTTTTGGCGGCTTCCGATCAATAAATCTCGGATAGTTGAGAACATTTTGTTCTTTGAACAATGTTTTTCTACACATTCGATAATGCTCTTTCCGATGTGATACAAAAGAAACCCGCGAAAAATCGTTTTTGACCTGTTTCGAGCCCTCCTTCTTAGAACTCGACTTTTCTCGGTTGCGCTTTCTAAACAAATGCTTCTAGAAAAATAATTTTGTTTTCTTCGCATTCTAAACACACTATTCCTAATGTAATCGACCCTGTAGATTCTAGATCCGCTATTGAAATACGCCGAAAACCGCTTTTAAAGGCCCGTCGAAGGCTAACTGCTCGATTTCCGGAAATGGTATCTAGACACCCAATAAAAATCCGGAAAACACTTATTTGGGCTAATTTGACATCGGAGATTTCGAATATCACAATGGCGCACCCCGAAAACGTCGCAGAAAAAAAGTTTGTTTTTGACCGTGTTTTAGGGTAAAAAGTTATTCGCGATTTTGACCCTTAAAATAAAATTTTTCGGCTCTAAAAGGGTCAAATTCGGAATAAGCGTGTAATTTTACATCTAGTAAATTGTAAATTGGAAGTCTTATGGCCGGGGATTTCCGGGAAATCGCTCTAGAAGGTCGGAAAAGCGAGGGTGATAAACTTTTGTCCGTTACTGTATATAAAGGCAGCGACAACCATTTTCAATATACGTAACCCTCAAAAATTCTCACCTTTACGAAAGACATCCTTATAATTGACATATTCGTCAAATCATAAGAAGCATCAAAGCCCCTCTGCGCACACTCGACCAACAACTAAAAAATTAAATTTATTGTGAAAATAAACGGTATAAAAATCTATAAGAATTACGAAAATGCGCACCTGCCGGAAATTTGTAGTGTCGAACACCTTCAAAGAGAATTTGTTCACTAATTTGCATACAGTCGTCGGATGAAAACTATTGTTGTAATTGCAGTTCCGGGACTAAAGAATGCATTTTTCTGCGGAATTGAACTTACTATACCTGTATAAAAACTGCTGCATCAGATAGGCACTCCGCAAATAAGGTTCCTTGGTGCCGGACGTATGTTAATTTTACGCCATTTCCAATATGTCTACGTGTACTGAAACGGAGTTTTTGGCATTTAGCATTAAGCCACTTACCTCTCAATCGAGGGACTCCGATTAACATTTTGGAAAAGGCCCAGCGATATTTTTGAGCCGTTTGTAGAAGGGTCTAAATTAAAGAGTATTGATATGTTTTACACTAAGTACCGACCAGTAAAACCATCAATTATCACTTCATTCGCGGATACGCGAACTTGCGGGCCAACACGAGTATTTAATTCGTAATAGCTTATCGTAGCCCAATGTTCTGCTTCAGGGTACGGTACCTATCAATTCAAAACTAGCTTGAAAAACGTCCAAAAAGGCTTACCGGTACTGTACCAAGCACGGCCGGTAAACTATATTGAATCTCCATCGCGTCTGGTTTATGTGGAATCTGCTGCATTTGTTGTTGCCTGAAAATGGAATTCAAAATGCTTTTATTAGGGAGAATTCCAAACCTGTAAATGGCATTAGAATCCAAATTTAATGGCATCTGGGTGGTCGAGTCAAGCTCCTGCCATTTTTTTAGAGATGGTGGCGGCCCATTTTCTTTTGGGGGTGGATCGGTAAATCTGGGGAACTACTTGGTGGAGTCTTTAGATGCCTCGACTAACCTCGGTACTAACACTGGAGGCAAAACACCCGCGATTTCAACCCGAATATAGTGATAGGGATTGATGCAAATCTCTTTTTGGCCCGATTCGAAACAGAAACGGCAGCTTTCGATTGCCTAAAAAGAAATTGCAATGTATAGTCTTCCAAACCTTTAATTCATGGTGTGATTGCAAGTCAGGCCAACGATACACACGGCAATAAATCACGTGCGGAAGAGCTTTTCTAAAACACCGATTAAGAAAATAAAACTATCGGACCTATGCGAAATTTGAAGTCGTCCGTCCAGCGAACGGGGAATAGTTACACAATCTGATGGAAGACGACCCGCATTCTAAAAGAAATTTTAATACTCTAGAACTAGCACGAAAAATGCTCATAATTTGCACTGAAAAACTCCAACCTTTAGCGCCATATCCAATGAAGCCAACGATTCCCGATTATGCTTTTGCAGCTTTTTCATCAAGTTGTCGATCGCCTTCTTTGACCATGTATCATCCTCATCACCTACAGAAGAATCGATTTTAACGCGGATGAAATGATCGACCGAAGCACTTCAAAGCACTTTTGCTACAATATTGCCTCACCTTGCTTCCACCACGCATGGCCGGTACGCAAGATTCCTTCAAATTTCATCCCTGCGGGGGATCGAGAGCTGAAAAAGAATCCTAAAACGACGTCACCCACAAAGAGGCTTCAGAAGAGAAACCCTGGAAATGAAGAGACGCTGAGAAAAAGTGCTAAAAAGGCGAGTTGAGTTTCCGGGCTGATACTCTTATCGGTAGGATGGACGGGAAGTGAGGGGGAAAGGGAGGGTTGGACTGCTGGCCCACTCTGTTGACAGAAATCTTGCCCTCTTCTGAACCGATCGATCCAGTTCGCGCGAAAAATCGAATCATCGGTTAGCTGATTTTGCTATTTCATTGCTTTCAGCGGTTTTCGGCCTGAAATAAGCTTTAAATGGCTAAACATAAGCTTCTTTCTTGTTTTTTTTTGGCTGGCGAGGTTTCTGGCACTTTGAGCTTCAGTATAAGATTTACTTTTCACGTGTGTGCTAAAGGACGATTTGCACTTTATTTGTCGAGGAGAAGCAGCTGATATATCACGAGTGCGAACCCCCACATTTTTAATGTATTTCGAAAGGGATGCAGACGACATGATTCAAATTTCAAAATTGAAATCTGAAAAAGCCTTTTTGAAAATTCGAATTTAACATATTAACTCCTGATCCTTACTGAAACGGCTAATTCAATAGCCTTAGCCCTTGGAGGCACCGTCCCTTTAAAGGTGGGCGCAACCGGAAAGGGTGGAGCGTATTAGTGTTTTTAGGAGGGGCTGCAAAAAGGAGAGGGTAGCTGTGTACAGGTGATAACGGAACAGCTGGAAAATTAGAGAGGGAGAGAGAGAGAGAGAGAGAGAGAGAGAGAGAGAGTGGGATAGAGATATAGGTAGAGATTGGTAGGGCGAGAGAAAGAGAGAGAGAACACTGCTCACGAGTAATAGCGTGCGTTTGTATTTGGATATAGCCGGAAAGTTTGAAGGGGCATTGCCTGGCTTGAAATACAGTTGGCGCGAGGGTGAGAGAGCGAGAGAGGGAGAAAGTCACCGAGAGACAGGGCAATAAAGTGATATACATAGAGATAAATTAGAGATCTACAGTCCCAGGGATATTGTCAAAAAGGTGATCGAGGTCTATCCATCTCCTCTAGAGCCCGGTGTCGCCCATCCATCTCCGAGGTACAGCCAAAATGACTGACAGGGAGCAGACGGTCCGGGTTGACGGCTTGGCGCCACCCTTTTTGATTCGACAGTCAGTCGACAGCCCTCCTCCTCCCCCCAATACGAGGCCTACTCAAAAAAGAACGGGAATACATAACAACCAGTGTTCGTCTCTTTGCTGCGCTTTTTCGATAGGGACACCCATCGCCATGAAAGAGGTCAATTTCTCAAGCCATTTATCAACGCACACTCCGATGTTGTGGGTTAATTCGGACAACATGAGGGGCCGGAAATTTGCAGCGGGTGATTAGTGATCTTGAGGGATGATCGTGTCGTTTGGAGTATGATGTAGAGTTGTGTTTATTCATGTTCAAGTCAAGTCGCCATTCAGGTTACTGAGATCTCAGGGATCTGGATAAATGTCTGCGAGTTCACATTCGAAGGTCTGAATAAATTGAGCAAGGGAATTCAGCTTAACCGGATCGCCAATCTAAATATTTTGAATTGCCTGAACCATTTGAACCGAGTACCCAACTATAGCATAACAGGTGGAAAGTTCGGCTCTATGTAATATTTTTGAATTTATAACCGCGCAAAGCGAAGCTGCCATTCACCAGCATTACTGCGTTCTGTTTTTTGCTGTTTTACTTCTCATTCAACTTCCTATCCAACCAGGCAAGACAGTGGGTGGGTTGAGTGGGTGGACTGGATGTATTGAAGGGAAGGTAAGATCGGGATGGGTAATGAGCCGTAGGGCCTGTGACGGTCACTCTATTTTGCCGACAAACCGGCGCCATCGTGCACCATATGGTGAGCCCATTCGCTCAAGGACTTTCAACATCCTTCTCTTCCCTATGCCCGCCACAGTACCACAACGTCCTCCATAAAATAGACCGCTAGACCACTAGGTTGGTGCGTGGCGACAGACCGCTAGGTAGGTGCCGTAAGGCGTGGTTGCCGTAGAAAAATTTTTTATATGTTGTGATGCTTTTTATTACATTTTCTAATAGTTATACAATCTTTATTTCCCTGGTTTTTAAAATTCTACTTTTTCGGATTGAGTGCTCCTTGAGGAATTTTAGGCTAGACCCAATAATGGCTACGCTTAAAAAGTTCCTCAGGGTGCACCATCAACCCGGGAAGATCGGGGGGTGCAACCAATAAAAGAACAGATCATGGCTCCGCGATAGGATCCTGAGGGCAGAAATGGCCAATCAATGTCTCTGGACCTTTTCTATGCTCTCAGGGTCCCATAGAGAAACTTTCGAATAAAAATCGGGCTAAGGAGGCGCGATATTTTGAGTTGGTTTGAGGGGCTTTTCCAAGTTTAAAAAGTTCGTCGCCATTAAAAAATGTTATAAGGAATTTTTTGCAAAAAAAAATTATGTAGTGTAGAGCTCGTAAAATCCCTGCCATTTCAAGGAAACGTACTGATACGGAATTTGGAAGACGTGAATCCGGACTAGCGGAGAGTGGGACTATTCTTTTCCAATTAATTTTTTGCCCACCCTGGCAGGCTGGTAACTATGGAGACAATAAGCTTCTTCTCGCCGTAAATTGAGACAAATTGCGGGCAGCAGACGGACATTTGTACAGTCTGATTTTGGGCCAGCAGAGAGAAGGGATATTAAATGTTATTATTTTTTAGATTCTGGATATAAGCTATTTGAAAAGGCGGTGTAAATATTTGGGTCTCTGGCGGGCTATGTAGATACACATTATTCAGAAAATAAGGACCTTTGTTATGACGCAGAATGTGGTGCGAGATGGACCCTTTAACATCATCGAGAAGAGACGTAAACATAAATATGTATACTCATCTTACAAGCCCCAATAGCATAATCATTATAATCATAATCTAAGTAAGGTTGGCATAGTCAAACCTAGCTTTCTGATCCGAAATCAGCCTAGTCGCCAATCCTGAATAGGAATAGGTCGTGCATAGAAAAATTGGTCAGGTTTGTAAAATGAGGAAGAGTGCCGGGGGCGAGGGATTTTTCTTGCGCCTACCAATCCGGGATTAGACGGCCAAAAGCTGAGTCGTGGTTTCGTCCCCCAATGGCAATTATCTGATTGCTTTTTATTGATGTGTAGCTTCATTTTAAATTAACTAAGGTAATAAAACATCGTAAAAAAATCGCCACTAATCATATATATTGAAATCACAATTATACAGAAGCAATCTGGGTTATTTAATTGATCTGCAGAAACCGCGTAACTCTGGCATCAAACATCGGCTTCTACATCACCTTCCATGTTCTACGCTTTTCATTAAAGCAGCAGGTGAAAATCCCGTTGTTCATTTCATTAAGCTGGCAATAAGAATCTCCCCAGAATTTACATACATTTTCAAAAAGCGTCTGTGTCCAAAATGTGGCCTTTTGATCCAAAAATGTCGGTGCCCTATCATCAATATATTCTGATAGCAGTATCATGGCCATCGATGATTTTATACATTACCGTTATATGGAAAATTAACGCAGCGAAGGCAAAGATTCAAATATTTCAATCGCCATTCTTTGTCTTGATTAATTTACAGGTAGAGTGAATATGCAAGTGGGGGCAAAGCCCGTTTTCGTTTCTAGTTTTTTAATGATTTTATTTTCTGGATAACTGGGCAATTTTTTGGGAAGCTTGTGCGATTTTATATGATACCAGTAACGGGGATGGTTGCGGGAACGTGAGAGATTCAATTCTATACAGACCGGTTGATTTTAAAGGATAGCTGATTACCTATGGCATGTTGAAAGAACAGTAATTATTATTGGTCAGTTGCCATTTGCTTTTAATCGGTTGACTCTTTACATGTGGCCGATGAGGTATCAGAAGGTATTTATTTCGTTCTAACCATTTGGCTCTTTATATTTTCGTAAAGGAGAAAGCACTTTTAAAATTCCAGTATAACACTATGATTTTTCTTGTTTTAATTTTAAGATCTGGAGCTCGAAAAATGCGTTCCGATGGTTCTACGCTCAATGGAGCATCCCCATTATTTTTAATCTTATTCTCTTCGCTTCCGGTTGTCCAGGAGACCTACAAGACCGTTCTGGGACCATCGTCCTAATCAACGTCTGCGATCCCGTATTAATAAGATCCAAAGCTTAAATTCAGTTTTCAGATCCCCGGCTTCCAGGCTTTAGTCACAGAACCAATTTGCATGATTTCTTGCGTGATTTGTTTCACGGTTGCTTATACAATCAGTGCTAGAAATCAGAAATATCATGAAATTGAGCATAAGCTACTGTTGTGCTCTATATTCCAATCCACCCCTTGTTTATTCGAGTTTTTCAGAACAGCTTTACAGGTTTGGGGGATAACAGAAATGTATCTAACGATTTTGTTTCTAGACCCTGGTTATCGATACTTATAGTGAGTCTCCTCTCTATACAATCACTTCATTATTTGCGTATGTTTTATATTATTTAATAAGGAACGCTGTATAGTTTGATATACGTTGATTTGGCGACTACAATTCAGCCCTATTGTCTGCTGGCAACAAATCGGCAGATACGAAAGCTATTCACATTGCCATTTGTTGATCGGCAAAAGATCAGCATGGTGAGTGAATTCATGACTACAAATGAGCCACGACCCGTCACCATCACATGATAAAGCAAAAATAATAATGCGAATTTCCACAGATTTAGAAAATACGAAGCGCTGAAATATAATTTTCATGATTTGTAATTTGAGTTGTCTCAAACACTTTCCTGTTTTAGTCAGTAGCCTAATTTTATAAAACACCGGCTCGGCTGCGAGATGCATTTACAACCAGAATTCAAAAATAAGACGTTTCCGAGAAATAGGTCTTTTATGTTGTCTGCTGGGCCCCTTTGGTAATGAAATTAAGGCCAGAAAAATTTGGTGTTCCGGTCCGAAAAAAAATTCATTTCCCAAGATGGTTCGGGCTTTGGAACTGCAAATTGGCAAAGGAGGAGCCTTGGATTTTCCTTGCCGAAGATTTAAGATCTCATTTTATTTCACACCAAAAATAGTCATGCTCAAATACTGTAAATCATTTCGCGAACATCTTCTAGATGAGATGGTAGTGAAGAAGAGTTTTGGAGCTTTGCTGTAAATTTCCTTTGACATTTTCCGATCCCAGCCTACCGTACACCAAATTGGAGCGCGAGTTTTTTGGGAGTGTTCTTGAGCCAGCCGAAGTATTTCTTCTTCGTCCCAAAAAGTTCTGGAAAATATGAATAGAATTATATAGCCTAAAAACTGACTCTTCTTCGTCGTCCTCCTCCTCGTAGGCTGCGGCAGAGGAAGTGAAATAGTATGAAAAACTAAAAAATTCATGATAGTATATTGAAAGGGTATAATTACAGAAACTGGAACATGGGCTCCTTGGACGAGGTCGAATGTTGGTAGTGGTCCCAGAGGGCGATCCTTTCGGACCACAATCTGAAGGCAAACGGTCTAGGGTTAGTCAAGTTCGCGTAAAAAAATAATTATAGGAATTTATAGACTTGATTTCTTTAGACTAAAAATAATTTGGCTGTGCCCAGTATCGTATCTGCCTAAACCCAATCTACTACTACCCTGCCCCAATAACCTAGAGGCTATAAAAGAAATAGATAAACCACCTGAATTCCATGACAGCACCCCCCGAGGCTGTGGTGACCAGTGAATGTGCCGTATGTGTGTGGGTATTTCGAAGCGGCCCCAAATTTACGGCCTGCACAATTTCGATGCAAATGGGCTCGGACGGGGCGGAAGAAGGGCAAAAAGAAGAAGCCCGGACGGATGGCACAGAGGATTGTTTTCGGGAGGAACGAAGATGAAGAAGAGGGGAGGAAGAGAAGATGGAAGAGGTGAAAGAAGAGATGGACCACCAAATAGCCAACCCCCCGAATATGCTTCGTTCCCGAATAATTGAGAGGTGATGAGAATGGGATATGAAGGATTGCAGTGAAAGGAGGGAGATGGCTATAATAAGGCATACAGCCGAGATTGGTTAGCCAAATCTCAATTGGCTAGTTTTGAAGGGATTGGGAAGGCGCAAGCCAATTAACTTGGAATTGGGCTTAATATCTAAATTAGCATAAATTAGCTATGCTTCCCTTCCTTGTGCCTTTCTGGGCCAACCCTCTCTTCGATTTTTACATCGCGTCTCCCGTTGGCTTTTGCCAACTGTAGACGAGGCCTGTTCTACATACACAAGCTTTTCTTCTCCTTGTGACGTATCGGGAAAACCCGCCTTTATAAAGTACGCCATGCTCCTCAAAACGGAAGATCGTCCTATTGCAAAAACAAAGATATCAGCCTCGTCGCACGTAATCCTCGAAGTTAGAAAGTTGGCGAATGGAAACTATGGATAAATTAGGTTCAGCCACAAACTATTTAGGTGGTCATATCGGTCGTATTTAAAAGTTCAGCCACGGCAGTTCAAAATTAAATTGGGATTACTGGAAAATGGTTAGAAGCTCCATTTTACGATAATTTAAGGTCATTAAAGATTTATTTATGTGTTGGATAGAATAAAGTTCAAAACCCATCAAAGCTGTCCAAAACTCAATTGGGTTTACTGTAGGATGCTTAAATAGGGTAGCAGCCCTATCAACTACATAAAAATTCTGGCAGTGTATCAAAATTTAGAAAGACATTTTGAAAATACAGAAAATTCCTGAATAAGCGTTTAAATAGGATTTGATGTTTCAAGGGGTCATTAAAGCCAAAACATAGCATCAAGACTGATCTACCAGGCATGATGTTCCGGTTTGTCCAGGATATGTGGTATGTTATCTGTGTGAGGATGTGCGGGAAGGATATTCGTGTGAGCCGAGCCGTAACTGGATGTGCTGCTCGCGGGAATCGTGTTGGGGCTCCCGTTGCCTTTAGGGCCATGTTCGATGACAAAAGGGCCAATGTTGGGAGTGTATGTGTCCTCCAAAAAGCGAGAAAGAGGTTCTTCTCACCTGCTCGTATGCATGGGCGCACAGCCATACCGACAAGACGACGGCCAAACTGCTCCACCACACCCACAGGACCTCCGAGAATACACGCTGAATGTTGGAGATAAAATGGGGATGTCGAGGGAGCCTTGGTATTTGCCGCTTTAAACCCTAACGTCCTAAAGATTTTACACGAAGCGCACCAGAACTAAGAATTACGTCGATTTTGTCGACAGTCGGCTTTTTTCACTCCGAGAAATTTCAAAAACTATTTTAGTTTAGGCGGAAATGTGTGCGGCAAAGATCTAGTGGTTGTGATCGGCAAATTGCTAAATGCTAAATTTTACAAGAACTCGAAACTGTTGTAGCTCTTCGTTTCAATCGAAAGAAGAGATCTTTTTTGATCAGCTTTTGTCTGGTCTTCGAAAAAATACAGATAACACCAACCTGCCACTTGTTGGAGTAAAATGGCAACACCGAGAAGAAAATGCCAGTAAGTCCAATGAACAGCACAACTGCATAGATTTATTCGTCGAAAAAATTTGATTACCATAATTTGTTTGATCGTCCAAAAATACGCCCAGCAAACACCGTGTCAAGAATATCAGGGATACAAAAATTGTATAAAAGAAATATTCAGCCGAAGCGTTGTTCATCTGAAAATATAAATGAGATGTGGCTGACAAGGAGACGTTTTTTGGTGTGAATGGAGTTCTGAGTGGAAACCAGGCCTATTTTGTGCAGAATTTTGCGCTGATTCCGATGCTGTTTTCCAATTTTGCTAAATAGCTCGATTGCAAAAGTTACAGCTATTTTAAGATAATTTTTAGGCCCAGAGCAGCCATATGCTATGCTGTGCTACTTTTTTGTTATAACGTTTTAATTTTGTTTAAGTAGCCTATCTTGTAGAGAATTTTTTTCTGATTCGAATGGTATATTTGATTCGTGCGCTACTGCCGATCGTCGATGGCTTACAGGGGTGAGAAATAGGCTATTTTTCACCATTTCCCATACAAAAATCGCAGGCCATCGACATTTTATCGATTTTCAACAATTTTGCGTTAAATAGCTCATTCGATAGGGCAAATTTTTCTGAATACGGTGACGATATTTATTTTTGGAAAAACAGCCGGGAAAAGCAATATAATGGTCCCTAAAGAGGGGAAAATTTGGGCTAAAATGATCTTAAAATTGCTATAACTTTTGAAATCGAGCTATTTAGCAGAAATGGAAAACATATTCGGAATCAGCGCAAAATTCTGCACAAAATAGGCCTGGTTTCCACTCAGAACTCCATTCACACCAAAAAACGTCTCCTTGTGAGAAATGGATTGAAGGCTAGAAATGGCTATTTGTAGGGTAGGGTGGATGAGATAGGGATTGTGAGGGATTGCTTTGCTTGAAAAGAAGACATGGATTCATTATTTATTTACGAATTCGAAGGGATGGATGGCACGATGGGGTGAGCGTCTTCATTAGCTCCCCGCGGTTTCGTGGCTTTTTTACGAATAAAACATACATAGTCAATGGGAATGGCTGATTGGAGGGAATGCCATGTGCTTTCGAGTTTGCGATTAAAAGTTGCATTTATACCTAACCATTTAAAAACTATGACTTTGGAAAGCATGCAGCCAACGCAGCCCTAATTGCCTTTATTATAGAAGGTGCCAAGTCGACAAGAAACTTCAATCTTAAGCATATTACTTTTACGAAGATTTTTACATACCTCGAGCAAACCAGAGAAACGTTGGCTATTTTCTATCTTTGCTAGGTGTTGAATGGACAAATCAGGACCAACCCCCCCTAAGGGGTTGGCCTAATTGCGTGTTGCACAATTCCCTGTGAATTCTCACAACAATCCCCACCAAGACCAAAAATATACCCATTGAGAAGCATACCGTCATTGTTGGACGTGAGAGGTCGATATGGGTGCCGGACGGAAATGCCGAAGCGGGTGGAAATTTCTTGACAACATCGTGGCCCCAAGGAGGGGTTAAGCCGAGGGCTTACCGGGGCTTGCCCTCTGCCCTCAATCACTAAACACTTGATGGGGCAGATGGATATTTTAGGGGTTTGTAAGTTTTACTTGGCGATCGCTTGTTTTTGGTTTTTAGATAAATAATTGTGTATATCTTTTAAAAGTAAAGTGAATTTTCTGTTAAATACCAGAGCCTAGGTTCGTATTTCCTTCCAACGGACAATTCGATGGGATGTTTTTCGGACTCCCAATGGAGATTTTCTAAGTTTTGAATTGTCTTTTTCAAATTTGTAGATGTATTCTTGATATTGTATGTAAGAAGGCAGTGACGTTCCCACTGTATCCTTCCGACCCACCGCAGAATCCGAGACCACCCATGTTGACACGCAGGGTGGTCCCGGAGAAATTACTCGAGAAAGCATTCTTTGCCATGCCTTTCCCCCCGACTCGCTGCCCTCCTATTCCCCCAGTCCACCCGTAGCACGCAACATTCCACTTTACAGAGTGAGATCGACAGCTGCGAAAGCGTCGAAATTACCTTTTTCTTTCCAAGGGATTCCATAACGCCGAATACGAAAAATCTGCAAGACTAAAATTTCGAATTACATTTCGATTCTTAATTGGGGTAGCAGTCTGGCCCTAAACGCGTTTAGCAACACTGGCATTACGAAGAATGCACGAGTCGATTTTCACCAGAATCGGGATTTGGTGTCGTGCAATTCGCGCTTTTGAAAGTCGCCGTTTTTAGGGTTCGTGATTTTGAGCGTTTGTTGTTTTGGTTTTTGGTTTCCGGGAGATTGGAATTGGGTCGGGTGGTACTAATTCCCGTGATCCAACCCCTGACACGGGACGACTGGCTTGATTTACAAATACGAAAAAATATAGAAAAATGGGGGAGGTCGAATCGATAAAATTCGCCAAATGCCGCCTTTGGCCGTGCGTAAAAAACAGCACCTGGACATTCACATTAACTTTAACTATCGTACGTTCGTTCGTAAAGCAATACCGCAAAAAGGTAAGCATCATTTATTTTGCAAACTTAAACTAGACGCTCGTCGAGTTATTTTGTTGGGGAGTAGAGCTCGCGCTGGCGGCCGCTGAGCCTGCCTTCATCGTGATGGTTACTTAATTTATATATCAAGGTTGCTTTAACATTTCAAGATCATTAAAACCAGATTCATTAACTTGAAACTGTTTGAGTTGTTAAAATTTTCTACCTGGTCCAGCAGCAATCATCGGTGTAACGTTTGGCTTTTGGGTGACTGCCGGAAAAAGTGCGATGCCGGTGAGGTTGCGAACCATGAAGATTGCTCTCGCCAGTCTATCGTCTTCGGTTTTTAGCGTTGCCCAGAAAGCCTAGGCAAAAATATACATTTTCAAAAGATCCGGTCGTACAGCTGTTTTATTTGCTACTTCCGGGAGGGTGAGCGTCTTATCGTCTTCGATACCTTCCAGCTCATCCATTTTTGAATTGAGCTAAAATATGGATAATTTAATGCATATTTTATCAGTTAATTTGTATTGCCGTTTTGATATTGGCAAAAACAGTACACACATGGGTTGTTTAATTGAAATTCACCTGGTTAACAAGGTCGGTTCGAATTCGATGGACTTCCGATTTTGTATCGGTCACATTTTGAACGAACTCGTCATATTGTTCCTGCATTTTTTTTAATCTTTCGAATATTCTGCGCCAAAAATACCCTAATTTTCTTTTCTGTAGCCCAGTCGGCTTCCTTGGCTTCAATCTCATTTTTTGGGAGAGTCGTGTTTTTCGCGATACTCACAAATTCCTGAAATCAACTTATTACTTTACATATGTTTTATACACGCACTGAAAAGTTCAAATAACGACGCAATCTGCACACCTGAACATCCTTATCGCTCAACCCTTTGAAGAACGGCAAATCTGGTACTCGCATCTCGATGCAAAATACCGAAACGAGGAAAATAGTCGAAATAGCTAGTTTTTGAATCATGGCTAGTTTATCTAACCGCTTCGATCGGCCGCGCTTATATGTGGTTTGCAGGGTACCCAATTATCACAGGATTTGTCCTTGTTTATTGTCACGAATCCGAAATAACAAGCATGACGAATAGGGCTCCACTAGAAATCTGGGTAAGCTGTTGGAAAGGGCGATCGGAAGGGGATGATAGGTTATAGTGTAGGATTGAAACAATGGGAAATGAATTGAGGCAAATTGGGCCAAGTCCAAATTGTGTGAGCAAGGGTAGGGGCTAGGGTGAGATAGTTCTTGACAGATATTATTGTACAAATTTTATTTAAGTAGTAAAATATATTCTAGGACTTATGATCAATACATGGCTTCGGAAAAGCACGTACATACGCCGATTTAAACGATAAAATTTGCTTTCGAAGCCTCGTGAAAAACTATTTATGATATAGCTCTGGAAGTTTAATTTGGACTTTTGATACCCAAAACCGTCAAAAGGCTGCTTTATCCTGCCTTCTCTTAATTGCTTTTCGAGTTTTGCAAAGGGATCTTTGTTCAGAACACTAGATGGGTCAATTATTTTGAGCTGACTTGTGTTAACTATCCGTAATCTATAAAAGATAGCGTTCAAACTCCTTTTCACTGATCGGGTCTAATCTCGATCAGCAGCTAAGAAAATCGTCTTGCAAACGATTTTTTGGATAAGCAGCCAAAATATTCGCCCACGAATATTCCAATATCGTTCAAATATATCCTCGATATTTAGATTCATCAGCGACATCCGCTCCCATCCCGCGTATAAAGGCCACGTCCACCGCCATCGAGAGGAGAGAGAAGACCGAATCCTGACCCAAATTGTTTCCGCCCATACCGTGCCCAATAACAAAAGGAAGTCCAAAGGCGAATGTGAACCCGCGCACGCTAAATATTTACTGGTAGCAGCGAATTCTTCTCCTCCTCTTATTCCTGGGAAATCCGAGCTCGAGCAAGTTTTTTGAAAGATTTTTTTTCTATTCCTTGATTTTGCGCCTTTTCGGCAGCAGCGTTTTTTCCCTTCCCTGTCTGTATTGGATCATGCTGACCACATTATATACCCAGTCGGGAAAGGGCTTCCTGATTGAATCTAAAAGCAACTCTGATTTTTTTGTGTGTGAATTGAGGCATTCCTGGGTCGCTCCCAGAAGATAGACTTTTTAAGTTTTTAAGAAAATTTTTTAAGGGCACGATGATCACGCGGGCGGCGGCGGGGCACGCCGAAGCCTCGAGAATTCTGGCAGTCGAGCTGCTGAAATTGAACCAAAAATCGCCAGGGGCTGCGGAATGGGTAACGAAGGTCCAAGAGGGGGCAAGCGAGGGAATACGCAATGTAGAAACAAAACTTTCAAACCTATCAACTAGGATACCTAAAATGATACAAGAAAATGCTAAGAAATTTTTGGCAAAAAAGATAAATGCGGAAATCGATAAAGTCATTCAGGCTCGAAACGAAGCATTGCAGGACCTCGCCGAAGCCTAACGAGCTGCCACCGAAGAGCTGCGAAGAGTGGTGCCCGGCAACATCCCGCCAGCTGCACCAGCGGTAAATGTAGTAGAGATTAATGACCGTCAAATCCAATTCCCACTAACCCCAACCGCATGGAATCGTTTAGAACGAGGCTCCAGGAATCTTAGCTTTGCAGATCGGAAAAGGAAACATCGCCTCTTTTTCAGGATCCGATGGTGCCACAACCTTCTCACAATGGTTGAGGAGAGTCGAGGATATCTTGGCAGCTCTGGCGGACGAGGATACCACGGACGCCCAAAAGGTAAAGTTCCCTTGTCGTGCCTCTGGACGGATTCACGCGCGAGAAAATTGGGGAAGATGGAGGAGAAGAGGGAATGATCCCAGACCGATGCCCCGCTTTTGATTTTATGATTTGCAATTGATTGTGTTTTATATGGGCTAGACAAAATGAGTTTGAAGAAGTTTCGGGGCAATTTATTGCACGCAGCGGGCATTAGAGCAGCGCGAAGGGCGCGCAGTTACTGGAGAAAATCATCTTGCAAACGATTTTTTGCATAAGCAGGCAAAATATTCGCCCCCGAATATTCCAATATCGTTCAAATATATCCTCAATATTTAGATTCATCACCGACGACCCGCTCCCATCCCGCGTATAAAGGGCACGCCATCGAGAGGAGAGAGAAGACCGAACCCCGACCTAAATTGTTTCCGCCCAATAAAAAAAATGGAATTCCAAAAGCGAATGTGAACCCGCGCACGCTAAATATTTGCTCTTGTTGTTTTGCAGGTGTGTGAGCTGCAAAATACCTATTTCAGGGTTTGAAGAAGGAAAAAACTAGCCACTAGCATGAATACCAATAACCAGCTAACATTCAGCGTCGCTCAGAGAAAAAAAACACAAAATTTCGATCTGATATTTTTTTTAAAGTCCAAACTGCTTCAACACCTTTAACGGCAATTTTCCGCCCCATTCATAGCCTCCCATTTCCTCATCGACATATTTTTTACCCATTTCTTAATGCTAGACATGTTGGCCATAGAGGGGGCAATGTCCACATCGGTTCACGGGCCAGTTGTTTAGCTAGAGGGGCGGGTCTGGCCCTCCTGTTGGGCCCTTTAAGGTTGGGCCCTCTATACATGGGCCACATAGTACCCCACCCAACTGGCACTCCGGGCCATCAGCAAGGGAGGGGAGCCCGAGGTCAAGCCTACCCATTTTCTAAAAAACCCCATTTTGCGGGCACGCTCCCATTTTGTGGGTGTGTGTCTGATCGATGAGTGAAGGCCGTCGTGTCGTCTAGTATTTGCCCAGTTCCTCCTATTTCGGGGGGCTTCATCGTAAATCCTTCGGAGAGTAATTTGTCTACCTGCATTTGGCAGGTTGTCAATTAGATTTAGGAGGCTTGCCCCAATCGGGGAGATCATTTTTTTGTAACCTGGTTAATTTATAACTATGATCATTCAAATTATTCGGAAATATCTACTTATTTTTCCGGGAAGCTTCTTCAAACAGTTTGAATAGCATTACCGAGAATTACACAAAAAGATATTCTTATAGATATTCAAAAAGATAGCCTTCAATACTTGTATCAATATTTCTTCAATTTTTAAAGCTTTTTGTATGAAATATGTATATTTGTTCAGATGGCATCGTCAAGGGGACGAGAACGGATCCGTCAGAGGCAAAATGCAGGATTTTCTTTTGCGTTCGGGTCATCGACGCCTAGGGATCTGTCATATCTAAATAAGGTACATTTTCCGGGTTTTTTCTATGCTGGATTCAGTGCAGATTTAATGATAGTTTCTAGGTTCCTAAAAACCTGCGGCAGTATGACACGAAAGTGCCACGGGAGGAGAGCGGTGGGCCAAGTTTGGTGGAGTACATGCGGCAGGCTCGTTCGTTGACTCCTTCAGGTTTGTTGAGTCGTTTATAAGGCGCTGACTGATGAGGGACCACGAATTCTTGGTTTAATAGAAAAAATTGGTTTGCGCGCCACTTTGGATGTGCACCGCTCCACAACTTTTCTAAACTTCTAGCTTCTAAATTCAAAACCGCTATAAATTACAAATTATATCAAATTTAAATCTATGCATTTTTAAGTCGTACTTGCGTTATTCGTATATACTCTTTTGCCAGACATTCCCTATGCGCTACCGTAATTTCAAAATTCCCCAAGAGCCTATAAATCTCCCCGTTCGAACGCATGTCCAATATCTCGCATACCGCCATTCCCCCGAAAAGCAGCAGCTCTTGTCAAAATGAGTGGTGCCAAACTGAAATGAGCGCTCGTATAAACAGGGCGATTCTCTTTTCGGGTTGGGTCGCCCTCCTTTCCCTCCTGCTCAGTCGCTTGGTCCTGGTTTTCATGTGGGCCAAATACCCTCTCCTCGAAATTGGTTTCACCCGCCTGGGCCCCTAGCAGCACACGCACGCGCACAAATCTTTCCAAAAACGGCCTCCCGTATCCCTTTCGTGTGGGTCGAAAATAGACATACGAGTTTGGGGGAAGTCGAGAAATCTGAAACGTTTTTGTTAGGGGGTATTCTTGTAATGAAACGTAAGATGACGTTTAGTAGTGAATCAGTTTGGGCATTGAGTAGCTCTAAATAAGCAGTTTCAATGTGGATTTTCAAATCCTCTCTAACCATTACAAAAAAGTATTCATTTCAACCATTACTCCATTCCATCTCCGGCCAAACGATGACCACCCGTCAAAAATTCATCACGAAATTTGATCCGTGCGTTTTGGACATGGTGCAACGCTTCGGCTAGACCCCCAGCCCTTTGCACAATTGTTTCGCTCCCCTTCCCCCTCCACACGCAGCCGGCAAAAGTTAATTTTCGTTCAGACCACACCAAACAGCAAATTTTAGAGATTTAGGCCGTGCGACCTTCCTTAAAAAGCGCACCAACACGCTGAAACCCCTTAAATTAGAGCTACCTTTGTGAAAAGGTCAAAGTTCGCTCAATATTCCTCCGCGCACAATTTATGGCTTTTTCGGCCGAGCAAGGCAGTAAATTGCTCGACCTTTCGCTCGGGATGAAGTCTTCCACTAGTCTGAATTCAACAATTTTTTTTGGGGGTTGTGGGGCGACTTTTTAGGGTGTTGGAAGGGGCGGCGTGGAATTGCCGGAAGTGGTCCTAAGGGGGAAGGGCCCCGGGCCATACGGGGACCCAAGAAATGAGCAGAAAAATGGAGTGCCGCTACGCCGGAAACCACCTCGACACAACGCCGGCAATGCAAGGAACATGCGCCAAAAAAGCTATATTGCAAAAAATATTGAAACAGAGACTTTGGGTTAGTGGGTAATGAGAGTTGGGAGGAGGCGATGGCGATGTTCCTGAAGCGGAAAATTGATTAATATATGCAAATTTAGGTCAGGACCGTGGGGGTTGGGCTTTTGGCTCTTCGACGCCGAGGGATTTAAGTCATATTACAGGTAAATATGAATAAAATAAGAACTTTAAAGCGCACGTTCAAGCATCTGCTCCGTATATCACGGGGTTCTACTTTCAAAGAAAGGCTGAGAAAAGGAGAAAGACGTCAATAGGCGCTTACGTAGCATTCAAAGAGCTCTGCTTTAACTTGCGCTTTACGGGTCTATGATAGCTGCTAATAATTCTGCAATTTTTTTAGCAGCCACAAAAGGAAAATGGAAGGGCCGCGAGCCTCGTTCCGAACAACGACCCCCAGTTCCAACAATGAGCCGTTCTATTACAGGTAGAAAAAAAATTATAAACTATCGTAATTAGTACCCCTTATTTATTGGTAGTCTTAGAATCGATTTATCTTCCTCGAAAGTCCATCATCGACCTGCCGATGCCATATTTTATGATTTGTATGTCGCAATGCTGTGACTTCTCTGTCAATTTCAAAAACCAGCTTGGCTCCTCTCTCCTATCGCTATGCACGAAAATATTTCCAAAATAATTTTTTAGTGGACCCTTCCCGGAACCGGTCCCATATGCCCTTCATAACGAGACGCACCCAAGAGGAAGAAGGCGAACGAGAGGAGGTGTCTTCCGAACCTGATCTTGTCCAGGTAACAACATTAGCATAAATTTTTATCAAAAATTAAAGCAGGACGTTCTTCTAGTCGGTACAGCTGTAGCAAGGTTCAAGACGAAGGTACAAATCTTCCCAAAAATACCCTCATGTCAAAACCATAACCACTGTCCGCTTAGCTAATATTTGGAAAAACCTTCTTCGAAAACACGTTGATTTTTAGGACCGAGAAATGCTAAACTTCGAAGAGGAGAAGCGGAAGCAGGATGAAAGAAAAGCAGCCGAAGCCGCTGGACGGCCGCCGGTAGGCTGAAAATTAGCTCAAGGGCCGGTGGCGATAGGGTTTAAATGACCTGATTCTGAAGGATTTTTCAGCGCAGCGATTCGGCTACAAAGCGAGAATCCCCACATCAGCGTAAATCCTCACCAGCATCTCGTCCGACTAGCAAAGATCAGAAAACTTCCACAGCAAAGGTTGGCCGAACAATTCATCGAGAAATTGGATCTTTGCAGCCGTCGTCACCAAGTACTCCCGAAAAATCGCTGCCTTCGAGACAAAGATCGGTGGAAAAGGTACCCCCTATTAATATATATTAATGCTGGTTGTTTAGAAAAGCGCACGTGACCGTAGCCAGAGTCCGAAAGTGATAAAGGTACCAGCTGCCAAGAAGGTTTTTCGTAAATCTCGTTTGAACTTGTATTTAGGAAGAGCTGCACCCGATTGAAAACAACGCCCAGGAAGAAGCCGTGGCAAAAGCAGAAAGTCCAAAGCCCCTCGCAGTCGAAGAAATACCATCAAAGGATACCAAAGTTACAAGTAGTGTAACATAATTTAGTTAGCGGTAAATCCTCTTTAGCGAATATCCAGGGCGAAGTGAGGGCTAGCTTGATTACGACAAAAACACAAATTGAGACCCAACTGGGAGAGCAGGTGACTGTGGTGAGGGCTGCAGGTTTTTAAACCTTAAAAAAAGGATTTTAGGTAGAAGACGTTGCTACCAGTTTCCCTTCAGCGAGAGGAAAATCCAAGGAAGAAACGGTCAAACCAATAGAAAAAGAAGAAAATGATGAAGTTCTGGTGAAGTCACACCCTCAATCGATTATGAAAACATTTAGACGGCACGAGAGCAACCCTCTAATGGAACTGCTTCATTTCCCAAAGCCCAAAATCCTATAGAAATCGATGACGATAATCTAGATAGAAGCTTTTCATAATTGTCTCTTTATCCCTTGTCTTTCACTGTGTTCTATACATTCGAATAAAGCTTTTAGACCAGACATTTTTATTTCACAACGCACAAGAGATCGAATCTTTGGAGAAACTGAAGAGCATGTTGCAGAAAGAAGGGATTTCAAAATATCACAACCCAATTATAAAGATGCACCTGATCGTGACAATTATTTTATTGTCATCACAGACGTTGACCAGCTAATTAGAAACAAAAACAGAAAATTGGATATGTTATGTATACAAATGAATTTCAAACTAACCCGTCGACTAAAGGGAGATTATGTTGAAATATCAATGTTTTTGGGTATAGAGTTTGGGCAATTTTTGGTGGACACGGTCAAACCAGAGATTGGCACATTCACGGTGGTAGATGTGGCCTTCGAAGGGTTCGGAGTTGTTCATTGTTATGGAACTGAGGCAGATTGAACATTTCCTGAAAAAATATCATTCAACTAGAAACTATTGAGAGCATTATTAGGATTTCCTGTAAAAAAATTATAATTTTGAATTTTGCTTTAGCAGGTGCGAATTTATGTTGAACCTACAAATTAATTATATTTTTATGTTTAGAAATGAGGCACTAGCTTTAATGCCAATGTTTTGCATAAAACTGAGCAAATTCCCGTCATTTTCACGGAATTCTGGGAATAAATAACCGTACTCTTTTTCGTAGTTTGTATCCGGCGCATCAATTATAACTAATCGATGGAAATTCTCGAGTCTTTCCCAGATTCGCGTTGCCTTCTCGGCTCGTTGTCGCAGATCGTGCGGAAGAAAATCCCGATTAGGACAATTCAGTCGTTTCAGTATCGCTGATACCTGGAATGCTCGGTTATCTACATGGAGAGGAGATTCGGGTGATTGATGGGAGGATGGATAAAATGGAGCTCTATGCAACCTATCGCCGATTTACTAACGTTATGCAAAAAATTCATTATGCCTAAATTAATTACGCCGAAAATCGTGAAACCAAAAGTATTATCTGAAAGTCGTTACCCGGAATTTCGTTACAACATATTTCATTATTCCGAAAGACAAGACGCAACATTATTATTATTTAACCAGCGCCCAAAACCCGCTTCGCGGGCCTTGGGCGCTGGAATGCGGCCTTTGCATGAAAAGTTTGACTTTCTGATAGCTCGGGTCCTTCGGACCCCCTTCCCTGTCCCGACCAAACGCGCGAGTGCAACTTGCAAGAATGAGGAAATTTGTATTTTTTCACATTATGCAAATTAACCTGCCTGGACCCCCAAAAATCAATAAAACCGGCTTTAACTTTGTAAACTTGTATTTTATCGAAATTCTGAGAACGCCATCGGAAAGAGGAGGGTCGATTCCCCCGGGTGGCGGAGAATTGAGGCGTTTTGGACACGGGAAGGCCCTCAAATCGGGCCTCGAAAGTGACATCCACACACACACACAGTTAGACTCCAAAATTATATAAGGTAGGATCGTTTTCTTTTCGTTTTTTTCTCATCGCCAGCAGAAAGTCAGATTGCGGGTTCCGTAATGCAATTTCGATACGTTAAAAGAAGCTTATAGCTGCCCTAAAGCATGGCGGAACGTAGACTTATGTGGCAATGTTACTCGAAAACAGTATTGAAAATATGTACCGATGTTCCGCAAATATTTTTCATCCGAAAAACCAATCTACGACTAATTGGGCGTTGTACTGCAGCACCAGGTCCTCTTTTATAGCGTCGAGCCTATCCATCAACTATGTTCCCCCAATATAAACACTAGCATGAAAATGGATCCAACCTTGCTGAGGGCTGTCAGATAATTGTGTCCTCTCTCCGTTACAGCCACTTCTTTCAGCACATCAATGGCTTGGATCCAAACTTGATCAGCTTCTTCTAATATATTGCACGCTTCGGTGATCAGAAGCGGCCAGACAGCTTGTAGTTCTCTGCAAACTTCTGGTCTTTTCAAATTGCATCTATTGACGCTTGCCAGCTAATCAGCCTAATAACTTTTCGCAATAAAACTACTTACTTTTCCATTCTAGTATCAATTTCTACCGCGTTATCTTCCCGAAAATCAAGAATCGAACCCTGGTCCGTCGCCGACGATTGCTAAAAATAGGATAGCAATAATTTTCGCACCGGTGTACCTGAGCAGCATTTCCTTGCGATGTCTGGTCCTTATTAAAAACGTATGGAAGGCCAAACGTTGCTTTTGGGAGAACCTTGCCACTTTTACTTTTCACGGCACCTTCTTGGTTTGGAGCAGCGGTATGACCCTAAAATAAAACAGCTTCGATAGAGGGTCAGCAACCCACTTCCAAAAAGGGGATCGGCAACTGATTCATCGTCGATATTTCCACCAAAGAAAAATCTTTCTGCAAAGCAATGATTTCACTATTGGTTTGAAAACTACCTGTGCCAAGGCAATTAACGCCAACAAAGTATAGAATTCAGTTCGGTCGAGCTGACCACGATGTTTTCGGCTGGCGGCGTTGAAAATATAGGAGAGAAGATTCGGTGGGAGACCGGATTTGGCCATTAGGTTGTATACTTGAAGCAAATTTGCGTATATATATAATCTCAATTACCAAGTGCTGTATTTGGTGGTGATCTTTCGGAAGTTGCTCCACAAATTGCGATCACATCGCGATAGAATTTGGGGACTTTTGCTTCTTGGAGGAAGATTGGTGGTATGAAGCCGCCTCCGCCTACACACTCTGAAATTTCGAACGTTTCGAAGGCCTTTTACGCGTTTCGGGAAACGGCTTTTTATTCAACGCACTTTTTGAGCCATTTGTCGGGGTGTTCGCCATCTTCATAATCTCTTCCATAACGCCCTGATAGGGCCGCATTGTGGCCATCACGTCTGGCTGCCGGTAGAATTGCCCTGTAAATATTTTACAAACTATGGTCAAAGTTTTGCTACATAAAAAAGTTATTGTCAAGTATATGGATACAATTGTCAGTCGACTGAACTAACGCGAAAAAGCATACAACCACCCGATTTTGGGGGTGGTGACCCATTCGTGTGGCCGTTTCGGCAGTTCATTGCACCTGTTTCTAATTATTTTATTGTTTTTAGGTAAAAACTGGCAGCTGTTATTAAAATCGATGAATAGGAACAGCTGATTGAGCTTCAAAGCTCTAAGGAAACCGTTTTCGGGGATGATGCGCGAGCTTCAACTGATTTCTGCAAAATATAGCCAGTCCAATGTTGATAAAAGCTAGTATTCAATTTCGTCTCAGATATTTATTCTTACTACCTTAGGTATTTTTGGCGCGTCGACCAATTGAGATTTTATAAGAACTGCAAGTTTTATTTGTTTGACTTATTAGTGCAATTTCACTGGAATAGCCATGTGGGATAGTTTATTTTCTACTGGCAAGAAATCCACCTACAGTACACAACGAGCTAGTTCTCAGGGAGGAGCTAAAGTGAAATGAGGAATGTTGATAATTTCGGACGGCTGTGCGTTCGGGGGGGAGTCACCCAGACAAAAATTGGGGGGAAAACAAAAAAAGAAGACGGGCACACAAAAAGCGAGTCACAACCAGAGTGATGGCTGATGGTAAACGGGTGTTTTTATTCAAATATGAATAATATATTCACTGACTATTAGCGTGGTGTTGGGAAATAATACAGTCGGGGGCAATATCACTCGCATATCACTAACGGGCTTGAAAATGAAACAAATCGGATGGAGACAAGGGCAGAGAAAGCCTGGATAGAAATTTGGGCAAAAAGATGACGAGATTTTGAAGGAGCGGCTGATGGCGAGGCCGAGCGTTGGAAGGATAATTTAATTGAGGCAAGCCAATTAAGAGGTTCCGAGGATCAGAGCGACGATCATACCGTAGAGACCCAACACCTGAAAAATGGCATATTATTAAAATGTTTTATTTTTCTCGCTGTTCTTTCTAAGGGAAGCTTTAGCTTTTGTTCTTTCTGTCATGTTTTTCTGCACATTCTACAGTATCACTTAAAACCGTCAAATGAAAGTTTTGGTTACACGTCGTAGTTGGAGATAAGACCCCGGACTCCCGGTTTCACCAGTCTGGGACCGACTATCGATTTTTCCAGAGACCGATATATGGTCTTGATCTCTCAAAAAAGTGAAAATTCTAAAAAACTATGGGAATTGCAAACACGTTTGGGGAAAGCTTGCATTCTTAAGCGTCGGAGGAGCGTTACGAACTTTGAAAAACTCGCTATTTTAGAAAAATTATTTTTAGAGTAGTAGAAAGAAGAATTAAGAACTGTGCATACCTCAGAGAAGATAAGGATGAGGATCATTCCGACGAAGAGACGGGGCTGCTGGGCAGTTCCGCGGACTCCAGCGTCTCCGACGATGCCGATGGCATATCCGGCACCAAGACCGCACAGTCCACAGGTGAGACCGGCAGCAAGATGGGCGAAGCCCTTGTTGAGGTTGTAGCCTTCAGATGAGGCCTGGACCTTGCCCTTCAGCACCATAGCCACGACAAGCCCGTAGATACCGATGATACCTATAATAAATATTCTTGATTGCAACTAACTGCCGCCCATATATATCTACGAATTTTTGGGTACATTTTATCGTGAAGTAGCTCGACGCCTTTCCATGGTACATTATTAGTATTCTCTCTCCGCCTTGGCTAGTGTCTAGAATATTAATCTCTGCATTTTTCATGTCCACCCCCCCGTTTCGCAATCTCCCTAGGAGAGACCCCCAACAGTCAGATCGATAACTGATCTCCGGTTACCGTCCACGGCAAACGTGTCACAACTAACTACATTCCCCAATTTCCCGATTGTATTACTCGCGAAGAACATAAGGTCCCCCTTTCAACTCAACAAACATCTGTTTTTACGGTCACTGTTTGTGCCCCTCGGCCCAAGATCAGAAAAATCGATAATTGGTCCCTCCCCTGCGAATCAATAGGTGAAACCAAAAATTCTATTTTGACTAAGAAGTAACACGGGTCTCTTAAGGCACTTCATGCCGTTCTTGCGTTCAAAAATTTTTAAGAATTAGACGTTTAGCACCTACCAGCCATAATAACGGGGATGACGGACTTCATGATGAGCTCAGGCCTCATCACACCCATCGACGAGATGCCGACGGCTGACTTGGCGGTACCATAGGCAGCTCCAAGCACCGTGAAGATCTGTGCCGAAGCAGCTCCCATGTATCCGAAGAAGGGAGCATAAGCTGCGCGCTCGGCCGATGCCAAATCGTACGACATGGTTACCTGGAAGCTCATAATTTATATAGAACTTCATTCTTATGTACACACGTCATTGAGGGGCAGAAAATGTGGAAAACAATAGTCGAAAGGGAAACCAAACCACAGCACGGGTAAGAGAAGTGGGAGACCAGTCTTGGATTTTTCAAAACAATCGGAAAATTCCTAGAGCGACGCCGCTGGAGCGATTCGAAACGGCAACTATCACAATACTACTGGAATGTGTGAATACACGGAGAGGATCAGCTAGAGAAGCGAAAGCTCCTAAAGAGAGCGCTCGATTTACGTTGCTCCCATAATCAGAGCAACAATCATACCGTACAATCCCAAAACTTCAGCGAAGATAAGAATGAGGATCATGCCGACGAAGAATCGAGGCTGTTGGGAGAGGGCACGAACTCCGGCATCTCCGGCAATTCCAATGGCGTATCCAGCACCAAGACCGCACAATCCGCAGACGAGTCCTCCAGCAAATTGCGAAAATCCTTGGTTGATCGTGTATTCTTTGCCACCGGAGTTGATCTTTCCGGATACAATAACAGCGACGACGAGTCCGTAGATGGCTACGATACCAGCCATGACGACGGGGATGATGGCCTTCATCACAAGGTCCGGTCTCGAAACAGCCATCGAAGCAATGCCGGTACCAGATTTGGCTGTACCATAGGCAGATCCAGCCGCTGTGAACATCATCGCAGCCGAGACGCCAAGGCTTCCAAAGAATGGACCATACATTGCCTGCTCATTCTGTTGGATGTACGCCACCAACGCTTCTTCCGACGGTTGGTCGGTCATCCTGGAAATGCAAGCCGGTTAGTACTGACAGCCCCAGGCATCCCGAAAAGTATTTCGAAAAATGTAAAATTGACTGGATGTAAGAGAAAGGCCTAAATGGGTGGTCCCGGGAGCTGGATGGCTATCGGGTGCGGGCTCGTATGGGTGAGTGTGTGTGGGGCCGAGGGAGGAGCCTGGGCTGCCTGGCCGAAAACCGAAGAACAGAGGAAGAATCGATAGGCCGACGAAGGGCCGAACACGCAGCGCATATTGGGACGCCACGCAGCTACTGCGTAGTTCCCGCGCCAAATCGCGTCTTTTGAAAGCTCCAGCCAGCCGGGTGGTCCGAAAACCGATGAACTGCTCTCGGGCTGCCCTCAGATTAGTCTCGGAAGGTGAACAAGATGGGAAACACAGTCGAAATCGTTCATTGACAAGCTCGCGTCAGTGTTCGTTGCATATATCATCTTACTCAAAAGAACCTGCGGCTCTTTCGCATTATCGGGGGAAGGTTATCTGGGGGGAAACGAACGTTTTTGTAGAAGTATAGAAATGCCTAGTAACTCAATATAAAGTGTTTTAATAGTGTTTTTAGTAATTTTGTGCATTTATTTTAGTATTTTAAAACACTATGTAAAGACTTTTAAAACCTTGAAATATTGGTAAAAAATCGGCCATTTTTGGTCGAAAAACGATATTTTTGATATTTTTTAATACAAATTTGTGGAGTTTTCATTTTTGGGAATAGGAAAAACCGTTTACAAACACTTCCACTACTTATATTTGAAAAATTAGATCCTAAAAAAAGTTGGTCCACCCCCCCGCGATAGTCCGAAAGAGTCGAATTTTCCAGTACTCTACCAATTTGCATCTAACGAAGGCTAAATTGAACTTTCCAAATAATCGACTCGACGAGAATATATACAATCATTCGATTAGAAAAATTTTTCATGCGGTTCCCGAGCCTGAGGCTCAAAGTATAATACACTCCTCAATCCGTTTTGACATGCAACTTTTGTTTCCAAATCCACCAACTGCAATCATCAACATGAAATAATTTATTCGACTCTCCCAACATCAAAAGAAAAGGCCATGTCAAAGATGGGTGAATACCGGTATTAAACGAACACAGTTAATTAGGCTAGAACTAAATGAAAATAACAAACTATAAAAGCTATCGGAATTACCACGGGCGCAAATTTGATTTGTCAGTAAGGTGGTTTGGGTTGTTGGCGAAATCTTGCTTGAATTTTCCTTGGGCGCTTTCCGTGTACTTCGTAATCGTTGCTTGCCCCACGTAGGTGAATTCGCCGTTGAGCCGCTGAAAATAAAATTATTAGTAGGGGTTATCATCATCATTAATAGTAACGCAAACAAATCAGCGATAGCTATATACCTGATTGATAGCCCCGATCGCTGCCCCGTGAGACACGAGTAGCAGATCTCCTGAGTATTTTGTGGTGACGTAGTCGAGCATTCTTGAAACGCGATCACAGCAAGCATCGTCCCCCATTCCTTCGCGCGGCAAAGTATGCTTAAAATTAAAAACATAAAATAGTAATAACAAAATTACCTTTGTGAACGCTGGTAGATAATCTACGTCCGCTGTCGAATAGCTGTCCTTCAATTTGTCGGCATTCCAAAACGATGGAGGGGAGACGCAGAGGTACAATACCTCACAAAGCCCTGGCTCCGGCTAAAACACGTCTTATTTCGACAATAACAAGTACCTTGACAGCTAGACCCTTGGAAGAGCAAATCGTGTGCGCCGTTTCCATCGTGCGATCGAATGGAGAGGCAAAGCAATGATCAATGTGTATATTCGCAAAACTAAAAAAGGCTATAGTAGAACCAAAGAAACAACCTACTGTTTCTGCAGCTCCAGTGCTTGTTGTTTGCCACGAGAAGAAAGAGGAGAGTTGTCGCGATCAAACTGCTCATAACCCTGAAAACAGTGAATGCACAATGTAAATAAATTACCTTTATCTTTCGCCATTGCCTATTGATGTTATCCTCGCGTTCGCAGTGACGAACGACGTAGATTGAGCGCGGATATGAGATCATCACCCTAAATCAAAATATTTTCATCGAACGAATTCCAGAGAAAAGATTTAAGAAAATAATGGAAGTATTTTTTTTTTATTAATCCGGGTGAAAATACGAAGCGTTCGCAATCCCGTACGACCGTAAAGGGGTGTTTTTCGTTGTGCCGGTTTCTTGCAAATAAATCAGTTCAAGAAAGGTAATTCTGCGATTTCAAGTGAATAGTTGCTCAGATTTTGAGTCGTGTAATGAACGAGGTATATGTCGGATATGCGGGGGGGACAATTTTACGCGGGGGGGACGGGACAGGCAGGCCTTTTTGGCTGTTTTCGTTATTTTCTCGGAATTTTCGCAACGGCCTTCGATAGAGCATGGAAAAATATACTAAGAGTTTTTGTTTTAGCTAAAATTAGTGTAATATAAAAAAGTTATGGCAAATACAAAATCCGTCCCCCCGCGTAAAATTCCCCCCACCCGCGTAGCCGACATATACCATGAAAGAAATTTATTCATGAAGTCCCGAGAAACGCCTCTTTTGGCTTACCAAGCTTTTGCGGCGATCGGAGGGGGGCGCGCCTTTTTAGAGGGTAATTGGTATTGTTACGTTGCTAAATTGTACCGGAACTATAATCCGGTTTTTAGGGTAAATTTTATCTATTACTAATACAATAGCCGAGACTAAATTAGGTGAGGCGCGTTTCAACCCAAATCTGGTAACATTAGCGTTGCGGAATCGACTTAGGACCATTCTTAGCGCATTAACAAGAACAGTACTGCGCCTTATTCACGATAACCTCTGGATAAACCCCAAGTTATAAAATTTTGAATAGATTTTACTTGATATTGATTAGTAACGATATCAACATGCATCGCAACAAAATTCGTAAACGAATGACTTATCCCTTTATTTACTATGCCTGTATTTTGAGATAACAAAAACGATTCAAAGCTGCCATCAAAGACATGTTTAAGTTTAGGAAATCAGGGTTATTTGCTGTGGGTTTAGTTATATTATCACAATTTGAGGGTCACAGTTTCTGAAACCATTTGCATAGGCTGAAATTAAACGGTTCGAAGCGGTCGTAGGGTTACGAAGGAGTCGTTGGATGTCTTTAAATGGTGTGAAACAATTATACGCTGAAATACACGTGAGAATTTTGGGAAGAGCAACACTCAGCCGGTCACAACCAGTCGCCAGAAAGAGCTATAAAACGATCACATATCGAGTTGAAAAAAGAAGGCGAATAAATTAATAAGGAATAATTTAGGAATAAATAGGGGGAAGCTAAGTGGGAATTCAGAAAAATTGCTTTAGCGCTTGGAGTCAGCATATCGATGTCGGTATTCATAGTGCCATTTGTTGAAGTCGACATTGAAAACAACAATAGCGCCGGAATCAAGTCCACCAAGGACGAAACGATGCGATGCCGAGACGGCTACGCAACGTACGGGGCTGTCCGTTTGCTAAAACATTGTCATTTGTCATTTAATTGATCTTATTTTACGCGCCGTGCAACCGGATTGTCTTTCTAACCTGGAATGTGTATAGCTGCTCGAGTGGAAAGAGTCTCCAAATATGGACTCGGCCGCTATCCGATCCAGCCACCACATATTCGCCATCCCGCGTAAGACAGGCACATTCTAGACGTTCGTTGATGTCTTCTTGGTCAAGGGGTCGTGCTGTTGTTGAGAAGGTTCGGATCATCGAAGTTCCGAAAAGCACGAAAACGACACATTCGCGGCTCATCAGTAGAAGAGACACCTAAAAGGGCACATTGAATATCTTATAGTGAATTTGACAAGCATATAAGCTAATTGCAAACTTTACCTTGCACGGTCCTTCAACCCTGCGCAGCAGGTCGCCAGAAGTGGTGTGCATTAAGACGGTACCGTCTAGTATTTTTTGATTTAATTTTATGAATTCTCGGCAATTACCTTCACATCCTGAGAGCACCATTCCATGTTCGGCTGAAACGGCGAGCGCGGTGATTTTTGCATCATGTCCAGTGAGAATGGCTCGTGGCGATGGAGTTTCGCCCGGCAGATTGTATTCTCCAGCGATCACTCCGGCCTAAAGGGGTAATTAGCTTTTTCCTGCAAGCTTACCTGTCCATTCCAATGCCATAATGCAACCGTACAGTCGAGACTTCCGGTAGCGACATAGCAGTCAGCGAATAACGACGTCTCGGATCGAGCCACGCATGTTACCACATCACCATGGCCGTAGACAACTTGTCGGACGCGTGCTGAATGGAAATTAATTGTGGTTTTGCCTGATTAGCATTACCTGAATCAGAATCAATGACACGGAATGAGTAGTCCGGATATCCACAAGCAATTATGAACCTCGTGTCGGTCGTCGAGACAAAATTATTCCACTAAAAGTCATGACTTGTTTTTGTTATCGATATAATACCTTGATTTTCATCCGTTGATCGAACGAGTCACCTAGATGGCGACGTGGCGGCGGCTGTGACGGATTTCCAGAGGCAAGTAGAGGATCGACAGTCAATGGCAATTCCACCACATTTGAGTCAGACTCGCCCTGTTTGTCGTTCATCGCCAAGGCTGACGGACGGTTGGTCGAATCTGTAATGCATCTTATAAAGATGTCACGCAGGTGTTGCTTACATGTATATCCGTTGTCCCATCGATTCAAGGAAAAGACTAGGTTGTTGGCAATAGAGAGAACGAGGGGCTGTGGAAGTTGTGACCAGGTGTTTGCAGCCAAATAGACGACCGGCGAATTTGAGATGAACTTCATCAACATGCATAGGTCGTCCTCGCAGCGTCGGAACATCATTGGTGTCTGAAATAGATATAGGTATACTCTGGATCAGATGGATATTAGCCACTAATTGCAAATGAACTGACCATCGTCATCACAGAATGCCGTGGTGGATGAGCTTCAGCCAATAATTGTACGGGAGTCTGTCCGAAACTTTGTATCTGCTGCCGCAGGGCTTCAGCTTGAACGGAATTTTCGATAGAATTCAGGTTCACGGCTCCCTCATACGTAAGATAGTAGAAGACGTTGGTGGCACGAACCTGAAATGTTACAGCTATTTGACCTGTCAGCTAGATCAAGATTGGCTATTGGGCCCATGGGATTGACATACAGACCTACCAGGCTGATATACCTGCCATTTATACTAAAAAATTTTGGATCACTGGTATATTGTATCAAAGAAAATAGTTTATATGCGGCGTTTTAGGATTTATTTAGTAACCCACCGCTTCAGGACCTCGCTGCTTGTAACCGAAAATCAGATCGATCCATTGATTGAGATGGCAGCTAACCAAGTCACTTTCCAGGGCTTGTCGATGGACCAAGACAAAATGTTCTGCGTTTCGAGACCACGGAGGCAGCATGGCATCATCTAGAGACAGCCATTATTGTAATTGACGTCTGAACATTTGCATACCCAATTTTACAGAATCAGCTCGGGTACCCAGCGGGAAGTCATTCGAATTTCGGAACATTTCAGGTAGGTAAAAGAGTTCCGGAATCAACTCCTGCAAAGAAGGTTTGCAGATTACTGTGTTTCATACCTTAACGTCGTGACTGTCTCTCTGACAGCGTTCCCAAGTTTCGGCAATGGAGTGGAACATACGGTCTGGGTGGTCGAATTTCCCGCCTTGCATATGGATAAACATCGATGCGAAGGGTTCCTAAAACATTACATATTTCAAGCCGATTGAACGTTGAAAAAATCTGCTTTGTGAGACTTACCACACGATAAAGCCAATTGAGGGTGAATGCCTGAGTGGAGTAGTGGGTACCATAATGGAATGGTGGAATCGTTTCATCTTCCCAGCTCGCGTAACGGTCTTGGAAGAATTTGCGTCGCGTTTCCGTCAACGATCCGATCGGCTAAATTGATTTTATACAAACATAAATATATTTTATACTTTTTACGATTTGAATGTAATTTCCTGATACCTTGCTCAAATCCCTGAAGTTGCTGGCTTGGTTCAGATCCAGGGTATCCGAGGTATAGTTGGTAAGAATCCATGGGAACACAGGATACTGGTTCAGATCATTGAAGGTCCGACCGGCTACCGTATTCAGGAACATTAAGTAGTCAAAGTTCGAGATTTCGCGCTAAATTAAGGTAATGTCGGTGAACTAATGTTACCTTTTGCCATTTTTGGCACATATCGGAGTGCTTGAAGAGTTGTCTTGGTGTCATCAAAGACGTTTTACGACTTTGTGGCAGACCGTACTTGACGCCGACGCCGACTCGTGGCAATTGGTAGACGACTTTTTTCACGGTTTCTTGGTCAGGGAAAGCAAACATGATCGCCGCTGAAAAAAGAAAAAGTTAAAACAAGCTATTAGCTGAAGTTGTTGTGCGGATTACTGTGGACTTTATTAGCGCCTGAAATAAAAGAAACTGACTTCTAGTCGAAAGGAACAGCTCGAGAGCGGTATTTTGAAGGAGGTGGCGTCGCAGAAAGACAGCACGGATTTCTTGTAGGTTCCATCGGCCATGGAGTGATTCACAGTATCGAAGAACCTGTAATTTTTTAGTTTAGTTTTGGTGCTTCTAATTGTGCAACACCAATACACAAATATTTTTCCTCAAGGTGTAACCCGGGGCGGTATCCGGTGTGTATCTCTTCCACCCATCCTTTCACTCGTTTTCATACGTTTTTGCTGTTGCGTAAAGTGTCTCAAGCGGTGTGGCGTGTGTGTGGATGGAGTGAGAAGGGGTGTGGGGATGGGTTACACACGCCCATTGTGTCAATCAATCTTCATTGAAAGACCACCGCTCATCCACCTAGATAGGACCGTTTCGGCAACATCCCTTTGGGCCTCCGTGCAACACCTGACCAACTCATCCGTCTCCCAACAAAAACCCCCCAATTTTTTCGTTCCGAATTTTCGGCGCAAGGCTAGTGCTAGCAGCCAAGCACTGACTGATTGCAAAAAAGAGCAGTGTTACTTTTGACATTTTTTTGCTTTAGTATTTGGGCATTTCTACTAGACCTTTGTTAGATAGTAACCCGGCTTTAGCTTTTTCTTTTAGCTCATTCGATTGGGCTTGAAATTCAGTATCATACAAATTCATGTTTTTACCCATCGGGCTCGTAAGGGTCGTCGACAAAATCGCTAAAAAGCGATGATTCCCTTTTTAGCTCTTGTTAACAAAGCGCACGACTCATTTAGCTGATTGAGCTGTTGGTTAAGTATTACAAACTCTAAAACGTTTTAGAAATGACATTGTCGTTATATTTTGATATAAACATATATTCGCCTTGATTATTGATCTCTTCAGGTCCCCAAGTTAATTCCTTATACTCCAAACTTCTGCGTACGTATAATGTAACCCTCCCTTCACCCCCGGCAACCTTTCTCCTCCCTCCTCCACTTCCGACAAACCCGTAATCGAGATAATCGGGCCCGATAACCAAAGAGGGTTCTGTCCTAACTAGAGAGGAAAGATACTACCGTCCCGATCCCTCCTCTATTGAGACATGATATGGTGACCAGACTCAATTGAAATATGGCCATTTAGGGAGGGATGGGGGAGAGGTTGCTGAACGTCCTGAAGAGAAAGGAGAGGGAAATGTTAGCGGGTGAAGGCCGGCCACTAATGCATAATTGAGCGCTGCTGAAAAAGGGGGTGGGGCAACCTGGGCCCGCCTCTATGTTGTAGCCCCAAGCTATGGCTTATGGAATTTATCGCTGAAAGAGCCATATTTTCGTTCTGCTTTACGTATGAATCCCAAAATACATTTTTGTGCAAATTATACGCGAGTTCTTACCGTATTTTTTATAACATGGAGGCATTAACCTCCCCCCATAATATCAAGTCCTACCCGCGAAGATCATTCAAAAATTGTGTTGAGAATCCAGAAAATCTGAATAAGCTTTCTGCATATCCGTAACCCTGTTAATTGGGCATTTTGGACAGTTTAAGGTAGCCAATACTGATGGAATTGGCGAAAATCCATGTAATTTACCTCCTATTTTTTGGGTATCTAGGCCGATCGAAATAAATTTAGTAATACAACCCCTTCGATAATAAACCGCGCATCCCCCTGGGGTGAATAAAACTAAGAGTTTCTAATGGAGGAAATACCATTACTGTGATTATCACTACAATTGCTAAATTAAATACCGTAGGCCGGACTAGGTCTTTGATAACCGCTTATTTACCCTACCCTACGCCTATTGTAACCTCACGAATTTCCAAAATCCATCTGGACCACGCCTCCTTACGTCTATTTTTATTCTCAGGTTGGCCCCGCCCATCCATTCCTCCCATTGCTGACAGCCGTATCGTGCAAAAAGTGGCGGCCGACTGCCCGGGCTGATTGATCCATATCCCGGCCTTCATCCAAAAACTGCTACTGTTTAGCCGACAAGGCCTCATCACTGCTCAGACGTCATGCTGGGCAACAACCCATCCAATGTCTTGCAGGTGGCCAGCTATTATAACAATCAGGTAATTTTTACTAGATTATTTCTTGTGCAGCGGTTCTGTAATACAGTGTCTGTTTAGGTCACCTATCGGAAGAACCAGATTCATACCAATATTTATCGGGTTATAAAGCCGGTACAAGAGCTATTGAAGGAAATTGAAGCCCAGGAACCCAGGTTTATCTCGACCTTAGTCGAAAATAATGGCCGTTATGAAGGGGTATGAGTGAATCTCTAAAGGCTGTCAGCTAGAATCATTTAGTTAATTGTACATTCCCCACATGAGTTCGAGATCATTCTCTTTCTCAATCAGATGGGTGTTTTCAATTTCGTGGATGATGGCTCAATTCCCGGTCATGCCGTTCTCAAGTTGAGCGATGGACGCAAAAGGTACCATCATTTCTCGGCTCATTTTTGATATCTCAACTTTTATCCAGGTCAATGTCTCTTTGGGTGGAATTCATAACGGCAAGCGGATATCTCTCAGCTCGCAAAATGAGGAGCCGTTTCCAGACAATTTTGGCTGGTGCTATGGAAAAGCCGCAGTTCAGGTGCGGGGGAAAAGCCTTATCCTTTAGGTCCAAAGCTAGCTTGGCAAATTATTCATAATGAATATTTTAGAGATTACTGCAAGCTGCTGACAGAGAGCTCAGATGTCAGACTACGCGTCGAAAATGAGTACACAGTGCAGATTACATGCGCATTCAAATGCAACGGAATCTGGCCTCGCTCAGCTGCTCATTGGCCAAATACAACTGTGCAATGGCCTTCTCATGGACTAGCAGCAGAAGTAAGTATCTACGAAAAAATAAATCTAGTTAATATCAGGTGAAACAAGAAGGTTTTGATTTGGTCAGCAAGGAGTCTCTATCCTCTGTGTTGAATTTAAATAAACAGGTAAGTCAAAGATTGCGGATTTATCAAAGAATCTAGGCAAATTCGATGGAGGGTGACGCTTGGGGACTAAGTTTCCACGTTGCCGAGAACGCGATGCTAAGTGGGAATCGCCGAAAAGTAAGGAAAGCCCAGGGTCGCTTCATGCTTTTTAGGCTCTTTCCATTCTGAAGTCATTGCGGGATAAACATCTCGAATTTCCGGGCACGCCAATAACGGCCTATATTCTGAAAACGTTGGTGCTATTCGAATGTGAAAAGCATGCAACTGATTATGAATGGGATGATGTTAGCATCGCGGATCGATTGATCGGTGGGTGAACTTACACTTTTATTGTTTTTGCCATGGCGGTCATATAGCAGATTTTGGCATGTTCTAGCATCTTTTCGCCAGTCTTTCAATCGCTCCCTCCTTCTCACATTTGCCCCAGGGGTCAAAACGCGTTACCCAAGCCGTCCATCTGCCGGTCCCTAATGCGCGATAAGTAACGCACAGCAAAGCCTACCGCCCCCCGGAAAAGCTACTCCCTCGGGAAAAAGCAGTGAATGGGCATCCCCCTACTTTCTCGAATTATCGTCTGCGCTTCACAATCTCCATGGTAGGGGCCCTCCCTTAGAAATGCGGCTGAATAAAAACAGGTGAGGCCTTATGCGATTATGTGGAGAGGTCGGGCGATCCCATCGCCAGGGGTCCACTCAATGGGTGTATCCCTCATTCAAAGTGACACCTCCGTCCTCAGTCCAAATCTACGATAGAAAGGGGGAGCGGGTGACTCGCATTTTCCCAAAACGGCCATGGTACTATGTGGGTATAGCCAGGAATCGGGGGGTTATCCGTCGAGGTTTTCTTTGTGTTCAAAAAACCATTTTCAGGAGTTCTACTACAACTTGTATCCTGCCTTCAATGCCATCGGTGTTCCCACTATTTTCTCCCACATCTCGATTTACTCCGTGGAAAGCCCGTCCATCTACTCGACGAAGGGGCTCGCAAAGCTTGGCGCCTTGTTCGAACGTTAATGCTCAACACCCGCGCCTTGGAAAGTCTCTAATTTCTAAATATATCGCAAATTTACCTTCTACTCATTATGATCGCCGTTTCTGTTTTTCGCCATTTAAGAGGTAAGGAAAGTTCATGCAAATTAGCATAAACCGGTTCTTCTTTCTTTTGCGGGGCCCGCCATTCGCCCTGTTTTCCATAGCATTTCTGATAGGCTTTTCGCCAATTTTAGAAAGCCTGGTTTACATGAGCCTTCCTTATCTCTTTAAATCAATTTTCTAGTCAAGGGTCTATCGGAATCTTGCTTGTCCAACTTCCGCCCCCCTTTGGGCGATCGATGTATAATCCAGTGTTGGGTTGAGTAGTTTGAGTCCAAAGGGCCCGGGTAGGGCCCAGTAAAGGCCCCGAAAAAACGACTGGGTGCGTATTTGAGGGGAGGAAGGCGGAAAGAGCACGCGTTACGGGAAATAATCTCCGTCATCCATCAAAAGACGGTCACTGCTGGCTGGACCCCACCCAGGGGGAGATGAAGGGGAGCGCGAGAACCCTATAGGCAGCCATGGGGGTACCTCCTACATATAGATATCCAATTTGGAAAACCCAAATTATGTTTTTTTTTGCCAAAAGGAGATGTGTCAAATTAATTATGGGAGGAGGAAATAATAAGCGGGGCTCCCCCGTAAAACCAAGCCTCGGCGTAGTTCTCCTCAGCCTGCCCTCCTTTAACATATATATCCTCTTTTAAAATATTCCCATTAATAACACTTTCACAATGCTACGGGTATCGCGTTTGGTTTGCCACGGTTTTTGTGTGGTTTGAATAAAAATGTTGGAACACAAAAGAGCAAACACACCTTTTGGTCTTGCTGTTTGTAAAGCGGATCCTCTTCATCTGCATCGAAATAAAGATCGTTGGCAGTTATGGAGAGTGTTCCAGGGACCAGTAGTCCTGGCGCGATCAGCTTCGCCGGTGTACTGTAGCTCGTGCTCTCTGTAAAGGATACTGTAAAATTTGGTTATGTCTTCCTTGCCCCCGTACCTCAAACTTAATACCTTCCTCTATCATATTTCGTTTTTAGACGTCAGGCAAGAAATTATTTATTTTATTTAAATACAAAATCTTTATTGAAATCGAATCGCCTGTCGGATCTCAGGATTTTATGGTTTCCGGTTCTTACACAGTTCTCCAAATTTTTCCATGGAATTCACATTCAGAGCCGTTTTGCAAAACAGAACCAAGCAAAAGCGCAATTTTGATGTTCGCCCGTTGGGTTGAATAAAAGCGAGACATATTTTAAGGTGACTTTGATATGAATCAATTCATATCAATTCAAGACCAATTCTAATTCGACTACTGATTATTAATGCTTTTCGAGCTCTTGGTCGTTTATTACTCGCTTTTCGATCGGGGTGACCAGAAAATTGCGAATTCGGGCCTGCTGACGCGCGCGCGGTGGGCCAAACCGGGACATGCGGGGACAATTGAGGCTTGCTGACAGCCCCCCTACATCCAGGAGGCAGCAATTATGTTCTTGGGCTATAAAGAGAAAGGAGGGAGGGGACCCCCATCCCGTTTCTCGGTGTATTCTGGAGAGGTTGTTGGGCTGTGAGCCGGATGATGAGTTGTGACGGCAAGCGGGCGGGGGAAATCGAGAGCAGACCTGGGCATTAGCCCACCTTGTCCTTTTTGTCCTCTTTCCTACCACTACGACGACGAATCCATAACGGGCCAGTGTTCGAGAAGAATTATGGCTTGGCTGAAAGGCACCGATACCCGCCGAAACGACCAGTGGCCCGTTTTGGATTTGTATAGACACAAAGGGGATGTACGAGGAATGGATTTTGATGAGCTCGGTTGAAATCACTAAAATCTCCTTTCACTCCGCAACAACTCGATAATTGATGATTGTGCACACATCTGTTCCCAATCCCACACCCATCGAGTGTCCACCATTTTTAGCGGACGGCGCGAAATTGGTGGGCAATTAGCGCATTAGCGCGGTGGGACGGGCGTCTCATATCACCGGGTCATCCGCTTGGGCTGCCATTTGGCCTTCAACGAATTAAATCCCATTATTCGGTCGGCCGGTGCCGGATATTGCGTTCCGGAATATGGGTGGGATACCAATTTTCGAGGGACTTGGTGTACAAGCGGGCTAAGTGCGATATGCTTGCGAAATCAAATGTTAGCCAAGCCACATCCGGACCCATAAATAATTTTTTTCCTCAAATACAAGCTCAAACTAAAAGGCGGATTTTTTTAAAGGGTCGGCTCTTAAGTGATGCGGTGTATAATACATCGAGCCACCCAAACGCCGAAAATAATTGGTTGGTAAAATTACTTGGAGACATCTCTACTTTTAACGATTTCAACTGCATAAAATTACAAATAATACCAAGCTGCTTATCCAAAAACACCGTGTCAGTTTTTTTGAATTCGTTTGACAGATTTGCTCTTTTTTCCATCACGCTGAATGGGGAATTTTATGCGAGGGGAGATATTAAAGGAATACGGTACCTAAGAAAATGAACAACTGCCCTCAATCCTTCAAATATCTCTTACCGTTAGGTGGTGGTGGATCAACTTCTGCCGCCCATTTATCGATATCACTCTCATCAACCAGTTCTTGTTGCTGTGGACGAGTGGGTGCGACCGATTTGGAAAGTTCACGCAGTCGATTTTCCTAGACTTTGTATTAATTTCAGCTTTTCCCAGCTACCTCATCCTTTGTTGGGCTTGCCGCCTCGACTTCAGGTCTGACTGCAGCTTCTTCGTGTCGTGAACCGGCGACATTCGGAACGAAACGCTTCCTCCGACGCGAGTCATCTTCCCATACGTCCAAACGCCAGAACAGCTCGCTAGAAATTGGTTGAATTTAGCATATAAATCTTCTCTGAAATCGCCATGCGCTTGAAAACCAACTTGCTGTTTTTGCCACTTGACCACGCTCCGCTTGGACTTCGAAGGATCGTTGTCATCTTGTCCAAAAGTTTCGAAGCAATCAATGAGTCGCGTCTGCGGCTGCTCGCAATTACATGATCGCACCTCGCTTCTTGCTCGCCACGTTCCATTAATTGTTCTCCAGTTTCGCTCTAAAGGTGCGTGTGCTGATCTCAAAATCAACTATACCTCAAAGGTGGCATGTTTATTCACGTCTTCAGCCCTCAGTCGGTTCAAGATGAAGTCGGCTTCGTTAGATACGCGAAGGACATGATCACGGGTTGCGTGGGCCATTAAGCGACCTAACGAGCAAATTAACATAATTTTTCGGGCTAATTAACGGACCTTCGTTGACAAGTTCAATGAATGCAAGACCAGCGTGTTTTTGGAGGGATGTTTGCCATTCTTGAGAACATAGCAACATTACCAGCTCGATCACGCTGCCGTTCTTGTTTTTCAGGGTTTCCATAACTGAAAACACGATAATCATTATTTACTATGCCTAAAACTATTATATTTGCTTTGAAAGGAATGATGTTTACAGATGAAAGAGCAGCGTACCTTTCATATCATTCATGATCTCCTGGCCATGGGTCCCAAGCAGGGTTCGCTGCAGGAAAGTTCTGAAATTATAGGATTTTGTAGCATTGAAGCGAAGCCAACTGTAATAAATACTTGATATACCATTACCTGAAATCAGCCATAATTTCTCTCAACAACGGAGCGGTGGTCTCGAGGGCCGTCTGCAGCTTGCTGGTCAGGTAGATTCGCCGCTCACCCAGCTCCATCTGGGTTCTTGGGGCAGCTGCTCTCGATAATTTCATGGCTTCATCGGCTTTGTATTCATTCCCATCTTTGTTTACAACTCCGGGGGTTACGCGAATCGCCGAGATGCCTGTCTCTTCTTTTGATTTTTCGGCTTCATCGTTTTGCTAAAGAAAAGGTGATTGGCTTCAAAATATTTGTTGTGCGTTTCCTTAGAAACCTGATGGACATACCTCTTCGACGTCAGCTTCTCCCTTATCCCCATTGACTCCTTCGACATTATCGGCACTTGAACCAGCAGTGGGGTGACCGTTAGAAGACACCACCGAGGTTTTGCGAGTATCTAAAACCATTACTAATTTATAAGGTTGCTTTTACCGTTCGCTCGTGGCGTCTCATCGTTTGTCGAATTAAAAAACGGGCTGGGAGTTGTTGGCGGCTCGAGGATATCCCTACAAATCATGGGGTTTGTCGGTTCTCTCGTTTCCTATTCAATTTACCTATATCGGCTGACCATTAACACCGAGACCAGATAAATGACCGCCAGTGCCAAGAATTGGGCTTGTCGATTCTCTTCCTAAAAGAAGGATATCATAAAATATGGACCGTCAAAACATAAGATTTGTGTAGACTCGACTGACGGCACGGTGTGGTTCGGACCAATTAGAAATTAGGGTTTTAGTAGTTTATTGTTTTCATAAACAGTTAAGAAGGTTTTGTTAATTTAGCTCCTTCTAAAGCCCTATTTTCTCAAACATATAAAACGTGAATGTGCGGACATATCTTTGACACCGGTTCCAAACGCTACGAATCCTCTTAAATATTTGTATAGATAGATGGAATAATATACGTACCACCATATCTCTGTAGACGATCCCCTTAATCCTTTGAAGATCGATATCCTGAAGCAGACGTCCTAAGTCGGTCAACCCTTCTTTTCCTTGCTAAAAATGGAATTGAGCAGGAACTGGAATGCCATACCGCATCTAGACAGCCTTGAACAAATTTCCTGATTTGGTCTCCTTTACTGGTGGAGAAATCAAAGGTTGCGGAATCAGGAGCGGCTACCCGGCACGCTAGTAGATGTCGAACCGAAGCTGTAGCAACCAATCGAAGAGTTTGTCGAAGAACACCCCCAGAAGGCATGTTCTTTTCCTGAAATTTTGATCGTGACTAGTTAGAAATGGGAACGCCCAACCTGTTCTAATTCTGCAAAGCTGACACCACTGACGAAGACAAAAACGTCAGTCAAATTGACGAATCGTGACAGCAACATCGCGGCTGCCTCAATTGGCAGATCTTGGGCCGTGGAATCGGTGATTTCGAGCTCCGACTAAAGATTCTGCCCTTGAGTTTCTTAAAGAATTTGCTCACATTTGGGCTTGTAGCGCTTGCCAACAACGGCAACAATCCGCCACAAGCCATAATGATACTGTCGGTTAATTGTGAGATGATATGGACAGTATTTGCAACAAAGATCTAAAAACCAGTCGTTATTGCGTACTTGCCATCTACATACCTGATGCTCAGACGCATTGACAACATCGACCAATTGAGTAGAAGTGGATTGTTTCCATTCCTCGACCACCGTTTCGATGGATGTCAGCAGATCGGAGAGGAGACGGAGATGTACTTTAGACCAAGAGAACTCCGGTGTCCGATAGACCGGCGATGGTCGGTCCGCATCTGATTCAGAACCACCCGCTTCCGCTTCATTTTGTGGACTTTGCGGGTTTTTCTTTGCAGCCTCATACTTGTCCCAGGATACCTGAAGGGCGTGTTACAGTAATAGTTGATTATACCTTGGATACCTTGGAATGTGCGATGGCCAATGTATCCACCCAGACCCTCCAGCCGCCGAATTCATACCGGATTGCGTGGTTGAGGAGGATGCAGAACATTTCGAAAACCTGGATCGTAGGTAGGGGATAAAGTCGCAACGACACAATACCAGTTCAGAAATTTCCGTTTCCGGTTGATCTTGAGGGAAGACGTAGCTAAGAGAGATAAGCCAGTCTTGCCACACAGACATTTGGAGAATGGTTCTAAAATTTTTGTTTAGAAGGTTTTTTGATGTCGTGGGTTTTATTATACATTTAACTCACCTTCTGTTTTCCCGGCTATCTCGGCACATAGTAATCATATCGAGTAGAAATGCTTTTTTGACGGCAATTGTCTCACTGCATTCTTTGCTCGTTTGGATAAGCGATGCGATCACCTGTAATAACATTCAGTCAATGATCCTTACTTATTTTCTAGTTATTCTATATAAACTAACCTTCAACATTTGCGGATTTTCGAATTTCGTCTCCGGCGTTGGCGGATTGTGAATGGCGTAAGAATGGCCAGGGTTCATCTGCTCGATCAGGATCTCATATAAAACATTGTAGGTGCTGATGGTGAGATATTCGGCGTGCAGCAATAGACGATCGCTGAAAATGGCGCATTCACTGCGGGAATTACAAAGCTCTTGGTGTCAAAATGTCAAAAATTAAGCGGTTTTAGACCTGTGGTAAGGGGAATCCGGGCATCGCCAGCGCTCGCTGAAAAATATACGAACTCGAATTCAAGTTCCAAAAACGGCAAAAAGGCCATCATGACAGTGTGGTGATTTGAATATCGTATTTTAAAAATATCCGACAGGCGAAAGTCGATTTCTAAATTCTGAAAGGTTTACCTGATCAAGGAGAATAAATTCAGTGCTCCAACGGAATCCTGCTTGCGCTTGAAGGTGGACCTTTGGAGGAAATAGCTAAATACAATATTTCGGACGAAAGAGTTAATTCCTACCCAAACATCTTCAAAGCCGGAATTCTGATAAGTTGGTTTGGGCTCTTTAGCAGCTTGAAGATCACTCCAAGAGCTCGATTTCGATCCATTCCCGGAATCATAATGGCGGGATGTTCAGCCAACAATTTTGTCAATAGAGCCAATACATCGTAGAGGTTGTCATCTTCATGGACGGTGGCGACAAAATTGAGGAGGGTATGGATTTCCTCATCACGATTTGTGTCTGCGCCTTCTTCAACATTCATTAGCATGAGACGATTGATGAATGTGAGGATATGATGGCGGATAGAGACGACGTGTTGATTCGGGAATGTTGCGAGGCGGGGTTCCACCTGAAGTTTATTGAGTGGTAGGATTTCGTGGGCCCTTACCCGATATTCACTCGGAGATTTCGGGGTTGAAACATAATAGTAATGTTTCAATGCATGACACATCTCGACGACAGTTGGGACGCGTCGTAGAATTTGTGGGAAGTTTGCGTTGGCGAGGAAGTCAGAAGCCAGGTATTGATAAAGGTGAACCTGTAAGAATTCTACTTATAGAGATCCTAACGAATGCCTTGAAATTACTCTCAAACCCTACCTGAACATCAGAATTTGCGTTGCTCCACAGCTTCGGATTGAACAGGATGTGATCGAAAAGCTGTTTCAAGAGCGGTACTCCAGCAGGACATCGAAGCAAAAACTTTGCCATCCCAATCACCCGTTCCACCACGGCCATCGTCAAGTGGGAGCTATCGGCCTGAAATTAACCTGTAGTTGGCTAGAGACAAAATTGTATATTTTGTATACTTGCAAAATACAAAACTAAAGGACAGGAAGGAGAACAGGAAAATCATCATTGAAAATGGGATATTCCCTTTGAAACCTTGTGCCGATTACCTGTCTTTTAATGAGGATACATTCTGGGTTCTAGAAGGGGGTAAGTGCTTTGTTCAAAACCGCTAGTTGTTATCACCCACGGAATATTTTTGTTACTTTTGAACGAAGGATTGATGCTTGAGAAGCCTTCATACCTTTTGAAGCGCGTGGGCGATAATCAGAAATCCTTTGGAATGGAAAAGCTGTTGCTGACTGGTCTGTGAGGACGATAGTAGCAAAGATATTAAAGAAAGCAGAGTTCCGCAAACGTCAATCTGAACAGATTTTTTTTATTGTATTTTCAAAGTAAAGTGGTACTTACCTCAACGGTCGAGCCATCTTCATATGGTAGATCAAGTTGGCTGAATAGTGGGAGCAGAATTTGAATTCCACCAACAGATTGTAGGGACTGATCGATTGAATGTGTCGTGATTACTTCGACACCCTAAAGAAATAAAATCAGTTATATCTTTCTGATCACGTACCCCCTTCATCATGGCATGTGGTATTTGGACAAAATTGCTGGCAGTGCCCTTTGGTGGAGAATGGAGGCAGAGCTGTCCATGACAATTCTTTGGACAATATGCCATCAATAGTGAAGCATTTAGGCGACCATCGAATAGATGCTAAAATTTGATTTTTAAGATCCATTCTATCCAATCTACCTTTTTGTATCCATCAGGAAGGTGGCTTTCCGCATCGTGTTTGAATGAGGATTGGTATGCTGGCCCAAGACAGAATAGCGAATTGGCTTGTTGGATCGTCAATGCTTCGGCAAAAACATAAACCGCGCCTGAAAAGAACGTTTAGTTCAGTAATACGACCAATTTTATAATTAACTAACCCATTTGCCCACAAAAGGCGGAGTCCGCTTCTCCCTCCGGGGAAATACCGATTGAGCATTTGTCAAAATGATCCGAAACGGTAGAAGCCCAGTTCATATCAATTGTTTCCACCAGCTGTCCGTCAATGTAACATTTGATTTCTCCTTTTGTCCATCGTGAATAAATGTGGGCAATTGCTACGTGATGCCATCGCCTGGGGGTGAGTTCCGCCTTAATTTGAATTTACGAATTAGCATTTGAAAACTCACCTTAATGCATTTACTCTGCACCTTCCCTTTTGCCTTTTCAGCATTGATGACAAGGCAATTTCCAGTAAAATGAGCACTGTAGCCAGCCCCTTTTTGAGTTCGGAAGCTAGAAAATGCAAGAAATATTCTATTTACTGCCAGAAGCATACCAGTAAAGCATCGGCTGCTCCTTTTCAAAGGTCACGCTATTTAATGGATCCATTCGCAGCCACGTTGAAAATGAAAACCCGTTTTGGTAGGGAAATTTGGATAGGGGTGGGACAAAGATACCCTGAAAGCCAAAATTCTTTTAATTGAAACATTCCAACCGCTTGAGCCTTGCCAGGAAACGAGAATAGAACATCTGCCCCATCTTTTTGCGGCATTTCCTTCATCACTTGAAGCAGTTTGAGCGAATTCCGGGGCTAAAAAGTTTCTGTAAAATATTAACACGATAAACTGACCCATGTCTGATTAACAGCTTGTAGAGATCGGAGGAAATGTTTGGTTTCTTTAACGGTAATCGAATATGATGTGAGAACGCCGAGCAATTGGACCAACAAATCGGACAACACGATTGAGCAATTCGGCAAAATGTTTAGGACCTAAACTCTTGTAACTTTTACTTAACAGCTAATACCTTTGAGATAAGTCCAATCCTTGAGCATGCTTCAAGATTTCTGTTGCTTTTTCGAACGATAGCAACAAAAACTGACCAGACCTCCGCCTGAAAATTGATTTTAGTAAATGAATAGATCATGCTTTAAACAATTCTCTTGTCAAATTGAGCAAACCTGTAGCACTTCATCGCAAATATTTAACAGCTCATACATCCTTTCGATACTTTCCGAATTCTCGATTATAAATCGATTCTCAAGATCGAAAGGCCCTCCGACAAGCACATTGAAGATTGAGTCGACAATATATTTATTTCCGGCCGATCCATCTTCAATTCCAGCTTTCAACCTCGCAAATGTCTGTTCCGGAGTTTCATCCGAATTGTGAAGTACAGTTGTTCTTGCTTTTTGCGTGCTTATAGCAGGCGGAGCAGGAGTTGTTGGTGTGGGTGAAGTTTGCACCGGTGTCGGAGGTTTTGTTTCAACAGGAGAAGGGGTTGCAGCTTCGGCTGGCGTTTCAGCTGCTATCTCAAGCTTGATATCCTCCGGCTCAATGACTTGAATCGGAGGTTCATCAATGGTTGGCTCTTCTTGATGTTGTTCATCAGACTTGATGATTTGATCTTCTGGTGGACTGATTCGGACGTCTTCAAGGATTTCGTTGATGCTTTGCAAGCCTGACTCATCTTGTTCAGAACCTCCGGGTGACGGTTGAGCTGGCTCGAGAGAAACCTGAAAAAGAATTCATGTTGGGTCATCTCGCGCAGAATGGCAGGAAGGGGCTACTTTTTGTTTTTGAATACTTACCTCATCCAGCTGGTCGGTTTCTTTTTCAAGCTTCAAATCACCAAGAACATCTTTTGCATCGCTAGGGACCCTGTTTACGATTCCATGATGGACACCAGGTATTGATGTTTCTGACGGTTTATCCTCAGGTGTCGGACCTTTCTCCCGACTGCCTGTTTCGGCTTCTTTCCCGTCGTCTATCGAGGTCATCGACCTAAAAATTTGCTTCAAAAAGATTCTTTAATTTGATTCACTGAATTATTCAAAAAAATATAAGAGGGGCTTCGAAAAACGACTCAAAAAGATGTGCCCAGGTGATTTTCCGCCTCGTGGACACGAGACACCGAAACCAATTAGTTGCACAGCGATTTGAATTACTGGGATTTTTATATAAAATAACCATTAGAGTAAATGATGGCATTGCGGGAAATAAAAATTTTTTATGACGCAACCACTAGCCAAAAGTCGTAAAACGAAGCAAACGAACGATACTGACGCGGGTCCATGGAAGGGAAAGAAGAATAAGGGGTTGTGGATCAGTTACAAATCCGATTACGAGACGGAATTTGATAAAAGAAGTGGGCCCGAAGGCCCTAGAGGGCCCACAAGCTAAGGGATAAAGGGCAGGTAGCCGAGGGAGGCCAACGCAAAAGGGAAGTTTGTGGTCAAAGAGGGAGGTCAGACAAGGGATTATAGAAATAGATGAGGGGACAGAGCCTGCCAACGAGAGAGTATAGATTTGTTGGAGAGATTAGAGAGGAGAGCCATGCCCCGGGAAGGACGAAAAGAGAAGAGGGTAGCATCGTAGAGTCGCTGTGGCTACGAGACCCTCCAGAAGACGTCAAGATATGAAATCTCACAGGAGAGAGAGACACATAACACATGTCGCCGCAGGGCAAAATCCCAATTATAGGTCGGAAGGCTATGCCTGCATCAGGCCCATGTAACAAAAATTTGACCGATTGGAACACTGCAATTATGGCTTATTACTAGTATAATAGATAAGATGCGAAATTTGATTAACTAAAATTTGAGGATACTTTGGCGAATTTGATTATGCGATTCAGTTAGCTCTTAGATAGTGAGTCCCCAAAAATGATGGCGATAGGCCCGAAATCGGGCCGAAAAATCAAAGTGTGTTTTGCCTATACGTGATTCACCGCCCTTCGAAACGTGTGACTATTTGGGGTGGGCATGAACTTGCAGGAAGGAACAGTCTAAATTGTCTAAAATTATCTAAAATGACCATCTTAAATTGCGAGGCTTTTGTGCTGTATAATACAGATGTTTTCATTAACCCGTAGGGCGTAGTCGTCCAGATGGTCCATTGCATTAATGATACCCTAAAAACGAAGGTCGTTGGTTAGCTAGCTTCCGGCAGTGACAAATTGCTTTAATTTTGCTTCGCACCGGCAAGCGGCGGAAACGCAGCCTATAGCCATTTAACGGCGGATCAGTTGGAGCCGAGCGGAGGAATAAGCTGTGGATGTTGGGGACCAATGATTTTCTTGAACTAGCAGACCATATATTGCCATATTTTATAACGAGGACAATGGTATAATGGCAGATCGGAGTCTACGCCCGAAGTCAGGAAGCTGAGAAGAATTCGCCATCGTAAAAACAAATTTGGGCGGCGTGGGCTGGCGTTTTTAGTGTCAGCCAAAAGATATGCTAATAAAGGGTGGGCAAGGTGCCCACTTCAAGGCGGTGAATTAATGGAATTGGGTGGGAATGCGAATGACCGTTGGTGGGTACGGTAGGGGAAGGGGAAATTGGATTAAAACGTATTAAGAAGGTAACTTCTCAGGAAATGGGCGTGGGATCAGCAGCGCAGTTAATGTTTTTGAGTTTTACGTGGATAACTAAAGCTTAAATTGGTTTAAATTATTTTTAGGCTTAGGCGTAGGGTTTAGGATTAGCTTGGGTTTTTTAGTAACCTAAGCCTACATTTTACCTTTTACCCTAATGTAATACAGTGGTTAGGCTGTACAAGATTAAGAATAATAATCATAATGCTTTAAACGCTGCTAAGCGGAAGCTTTTTTGCTGAATTTAATTTATCTGAAAGCTAATTTTGACAACAAAAATGGGAGAGTATATTAGAGGTGATTCGCGCGTTAACGCTTAGCTACCATTTTCCTATAGTTATTTCATTACTTTCCTAGAAAAAAAATCGCTCCCCCGTGTTTCGGTCTATGGCCTACATGCGAATTGTTGTTTCATCCCCCTCCCCGGTCCCATTCACTTTTTCCCCTAACCCCATAGAGCACAGAATAGTGTGCCGGAAAGATGTGCAAAGAGAATAGAGGTGCGGAACGTTCGTTTCACCCTAGAAGCCTCCTTCCACTTCCCGGCTGCTTATCCGCTCCTTCCGCGCGCGCTAACCAGCGGCTTAGTTAAGGGGATTACGGTATGAGCGTACAACGGGGCTGGCCACAACGGCCACCCACCCCTCATTTCGCCCATCTGCGTTCCAAAGGCACACCCACCAATTCTCGGACCCGTCTCTTTTGGATTTGGGACCCAACTGGAGCTTCGACTAGCCGAGACACCACATCGATCATCCACCCCTTGAAGGCTTCTGGTTCGGCTCACACTTCTCCACCCCCATCCTTTCACAAATGAAATTGTCGACACTCCTCCTAATAGGCCTCTGTGTCGTCGCTGTTGCCGCTAAGAAGGTCATCCAATCTTTACTACTTTTCGGAGGGTCCATGGGGAGCTCAAACCAGGCACAACCAAGGCTGCCTTCCATGTAGATTCTATGAGGGTGACATCTAAATCCTAGTATGCATCGAAAATAGTTTATTTTTGTTGAGACCTTGCAGAAAAGGCTTCAAAAGCTGTTTACCAATGTATCTGACAGGGGAAGGATTTTCCTAGAGTCAGCAGAACGGTATGTATGGGGGTATGGAAGGCCATAAATCAATGAATGCTTATTAGATTATCTTACAAAAAGGCGACTGTTTGGACCTCATTTTAGGGTTTTGACACATATAAAAATAGACTCATTTGAATACATAGATTTATGGGTTAATTTGTACTTTGCGGAGCTGGCTTCGTTTGCTCAGATCTCTACGATCATTCGCACTAATGATGAAAATTAAAACCATAATGGTGGCGCTGCCAGGGGCCGTTCTCGCCGGGGCTGGCGACACCCGCGAAATGTTTCTTTAACTCTAATGTATTTTAAATAACACGCTGCAAAGCATGGGAAAGGCCTAATTTTAGAAATATACCGCTTTCGGGGCAAGCTATTTTGTCACTGGTCCTTACTTTTTAATCATGTTTAAGAAAAACAGTGTAAGCGACGAAAACATGGCGAAAAGGTTCTAATGTAGAATAGGGGTATAAGAACCGGACAATCCCGGCCAAATGGCAATAACCCGCACTTCAGACCCGAAGCCTTCCTCGACCCCGTCGACAAGGATGTGAGTGCTCCAGCTGGCAACCGCCAAAGTGCACATGCCAGATTGTTCCATCATCAAATGGTCCCAACACTGAGGTGGCGAAAGTTTTTTACAATGAAATATAACTAAAAATGTGAAACATTATTTTGTATTCTTCAAGGTCCTTTTTGTAGAACTTGCACTTCGTATTAAAAACAGCCGAATCTGTGCTACCTCCGCGTACCGCTTAATAGTGGTGCACCTTCTGGGACATCCAGCCATGCCATTTACATAAGATCCTTGCAGCTCGAAAACCAATAATTTCAGATGCTTTGCGCCTGTTCCCCACCAACCCAACCGAAATGCCAATGCCCCGAACCAGAACGACCCACGACCACGACGACAACCACCCAATACCCAATTACCTCCACGAAACCTGGCCAAATGTCATGCCAAAATGTAATTTTTGTTTGCTCTCATAACATTGTTTGAAGATGTGCACGTTCTCGTGCATGGATTCATGTGGACGCCTTACCACCAACAACCAGTGCATCAAGGTAATTACCCTCCACGTTTAATTATTTTTTAAGCAATGAAAATATTATTCCTACTTTATAAAGTCGCCTAGAAAGTACTAGCAATCTCGCCCAATTCCCCTATTATCCTATGCCCGTTGGCCACTCCTCTCGCGAGCTTTAGGTGTGCACGGAGGCGTGCGGCTTCTCATGCGGCAAACAAGAGAAGAGCGGTCAAAAGGAAAACCAGGCCACATATAGCGAGTATAAGGTATAGATTTACTACGCATACCAAAGTCCATTACATCCTAATTTCATTATACCGAAATTTTAAACAAATAATTTTTATATATAAAGATTAAGTCACCTCTTGGGGCTTTTTAAGTAAACGGAATTGGTTAATGGCGGGTCAAATTTCGGCATAATGAAATACCGGCGTAGCCAAATTCTGATACGTTGTTAAGCGGTGATACGTATCAGGGGTGATTGTTGATTTTAGTTTATACTGCCTGTCGGGGGCTCAACAGCCACGACGACTAGTACGACAACGACTGTCGCACCAATTTTGATTCCTGTACAACCGATTCCACCTCCACCCCTTGTTCCAATGCCGATGCCGACGTTTATTCAGTCATCAACGCCACTTCCGACATTAGTGGTGGGTTTTGGGGCTACTTAAATTTGCTATACCGTATTTCATCTAATCTGAGAAGGAATTGGGTAAAAATCGATCAATTTTTCTTCCTCGTTCCAGTCAATAGAAGAATTATACGGTCACGTAATTTTAGCCTCTACCTCCAGTCTCCCTTGGCACCGTCGCGCCACCAGTGCAAGTGCAAGTCGTCAAGGTAAAAATTTGAAACAATTTTTATGTGTAAAACCAGGTTGCGCCACAGTGTATTCCCGAATGTATGCCGGACTGTTCACTGGCCTGTACGACAGTTAGGGAAGCTATGTCTTTACTACGGTAGGCCAGTGGATATTCTAAAATATAGTTTTTAGTCTGGTAGTGGACAATCGGCAATCGACAACGATTCAATGTGAACATAAATGCGCAGACTCGTGTTCCAGGTGAGATCTTGGACGTGCCGAAAAGTGCGCACTTTAGTTTCTATAACATTTTTACGCCTTGCAAAAGCAGGGACATAACTTTCACGATATTAAATTCTTAAACTTAATTTAGAGTCTGTATCACCACTGGTCTCCCACTCCATGATTGCCTCGCAAATTGTTCACCAGCTTGTCAGGTTAAAAATAGCTGACTTTGAGATCTGAAATGTGGTATAGGAAACCTGCTCGTTGACGAAACCAATGCAATGCTCGGCCCGATGTATGCCCGACTGTAATCCGACGTGTTTGACGCTGCTTTTGCCTATGGTACTTCTTGTTATTTTGATGATTTTGGCATTATTACGCTGTAGAAGTTGCATTAGAAATTGGGAGTAAGTGCTGGTTATATCAAAATTTGTAGGCGACATATACGATTGCGACGACGGGTCAACCGGAACCAACACGACCACGTTTGCTATCATTGCCACCGGCTCCGACACTTCCTCCGACACAGCCACCCACATTGGCGCCCACAAACTCTCCAGTAGCATCAGCATGTCAACATGAATGTTCGGTGCAATGTGAACAACAGTGTGGTCTTAATTCCGTTTCGGGACCGGCCTGTTTGTCTTCTTGCCAGGTGAGATAATTTTTACTCTATCGCACTCTTCTTAACTCGTCAATCTCTCTCTCTTTTTTTTCTCTCTCCCTCACTCTCTCTCTCTCTCTTTCTACCTCTTTCCCTTGCTTACTATAACAATAATCCATTTTTAGACGACCTGCTATCCCGTTTGTGTGAGAAGAATGCGAAAAAAGCCAATGCCCAAATCGACCTATAACGGATATTAAAATTCCAAGTATCAAATACACCAATAAATTATTTACCCCCAGTTTGTCGCCATTCTCTCTGCTCGCCCATTAGTGCACAAAGAAATCGGTTTCGGGATGTGAGAGATGCCGTAGTTTGCCCTTCTCCGCTACACTACACCCGGTCTTCCCCCCTTATCGCAGCTGACTAACCACTCAAATTTGCCCCGGCATTTCTATATTGGCAGCTGTTGTTCGGCCAATTTGAATTTATTGATCTGTTGCTTTTTGATAAGAACTCAGTAAGGAATTACCACCATAACCCAACAAATAGAATCATTCTTTTGTTGCAGGAAAAATTTACGATCGATTCCGTTTTGTTCCGATAATGGGTGACACAAAGAGCTACACCACAGATGAAATATTTCGTGCCGGCGTTGCGATTATACACTCGTTGCCAAAAGACGGTAATAAAATCATTTTTCTTTAGTCTTTTTGAGGTCCTGTGAAAGCCTCGATCTCAGAAAAGCTGCAGTTCTATTCATTGTATAAGCAAGCGACGGAAGGGCCCTGTCGGGTACCGAAGCCCGGGTTTTGGAACCCTATTGAAGTGGTCAAATGGTAAATTTCGACGAGAAAAAGTGCGGATAACATTTTATTGAGGAATGGCTGGAAAGGACTTGGTGATATGGATTCTGAAGAAGCTAAGGAAAAGTATATTACTGGCATGCTAAAGAAAATGGATCAAGTCGCAGAGGTTGAAAAGATTGAATGGCTCTATTAACCATTGTTAGGCATATGATACTAGTGAATGGATGGAACAAGCAACAGATGAAGCTCCAGAAAAATTAGAGGCAATGAGGTAATCGTAAAAACTCTATTTTCATCCTTTTAGACATAATTTTGAAGTGATTGGTCGACCTTTTTCAATCTATGGCAAAGACCCCGCTACTGTGGTATCAATAAAATTAGTTTCTAGCCGGTTATTTAGGAGCCAACAGTAGACAATACGCACGTCCAAGAGCTAAGTCCAGAAAATCAGTCTTTGGTCCAAGGGCATACGGTAGGTGATATGTACGATTGTTGACACGGTTTCAAGATCACCGAAAGTTACACAAGTGACAATGAGTATTGCGATGCTGAGGAAGAAATCATAAATATGCCCGAACCACCGTAACATAAAAATTTATGGATTAGACTTCAAATTTAGGGCCGAAGGCGTCAAAGTAAGGTCTCGACGTCAAGCCGCTGAGTCACTACAGCTAATTCGACGCGAGCTCCAGGGCTTGGCAAATCAAGGTTCACCATCGAACCCCAAAACAACTTTCAAATGATTTAGTTACCGAGCTCTCGAAAAGTCTGGAAACGAGGCACTCGCTATTTAACACTATGCTTAGTAAATTGGTAAGGCGTAGCAGGAAGCTTTTCAACGAATTCAGGTGCAAAAACCGGTGCCAGCACAGCAAAGGCGAAGTATTTGGGTGTGGATCGTTCTTTTCGGATGGCCAATACTACTTCATTACATTATGAAGTACAGAAATCTGCTTCGAATGCTGCCCCAGTTCATTTACTATCGATACTTTGCGTAGTTGGCTGTCGAGATATTTTGAGATAAAGTGCTTTATTAGAGCTTTTTGGGCTGTACACTTGAGCAAAGGGGAAGTTAAGGCAAGAGGCAGTGGCTGAATGGGAATGATTGTGATGAGGAGATTATCGAGATTTTGATTGAGCCTAATATCTTGGGTATCCATGGTTATCGTATCCAGGTGCATGTCCGGGTGGAGGAGGTTGTCTGAAAAAGAGAATTCTTGAGATCATATAAGTTTGTATTTACCCATAATAAGGATCAGCTCGTGGATCTGGATAGTATCCACCATCACGACGAACATCAGGAGAATAGGCGTAGTTTGAAGCCATCGTTCCCGGGTAGGCACGAGGATCATACTGTAATCAATATTTTTTTAATATAACTGCTTAAGCTAACACGCTACGGAGTACGTACATCAATAAAAACTCGTTTTTAAATAATCACTTACCGCCCGATTATCCATAACAATTCCATTTCTCCTATTATAGATCTTCTGGAACTTTGCGACGATCAGCATCAACAACGAGATCTGTAAATTTTATCTAGAGCTATTCTTAGGCAAACAAAAACAGACTCATATGGATTGAATTTAAAGCCTTTGAATCAGGTCACATATTTTTTTAGAAAGTTGCGACGCTGCAGTCGCTTTTGGTTTTTGGATCGAATAGAACAGTAATTGCTTATGCAAATTTCTTTTTGGACTGATTTCCTGAATTTTCTGTTTTTCAAAACTAAAAAATTAAGTAGTATCCGGATTTAGTTTTCAAAACATTCAAATCCACAGTTTTAATTTAAATAGTACCAAACCTAATTTGATTGTTTTGCCCGGATTTTTGGCTTTTCCCGGCCAAACCGTGCGTTCAGTTAGACTGACTGCACATGGGGGACAGTTCTCCGTTTTCGGTTCCATCAATTCTCGCCGACCACACCCTAATGCCAAGGAGACACGCATCCATCGATTCTACCCAAAACGGGAAAAACAGGATCGGCCCAATTTGGTGGGAGTAATCAATGGTGGGCTTTGAAAAAATTGCCAACTAAAAGCCACAAATAAAATAATAACTTACGTGCAAAATTTGCAGCCCCAAGAAGAAAATACCGGTGGCGATGCGAGCCAAGTTGGACTTTAAAGGTTTATATTGAAATATTGATTGCTGTCGCTTACATGGCTCAACCAGAAAATCATGAAGGTCGAGATGAAGCCACGAATGATATCTGAGGACGTTGGAATGTTTTCGGATTAAAGGGATACCGATAGCCATCAGCAGCATCCATGGAACGAGTAGCCAATGATTGTAGATGACGATACCAACAATCAAAAGTACAGAGGCTAGGATGAGGAGTACCCACAGCGAGACGTCGATTAGCAGCCAGAGATTTCGGGCTGTAATTGAGGTATTTGAAAGGTTAACATGTGGCCCCATCTACGAAATGCCGTTGATTTTTGGGAATTTTGCATTTGGCTGAAAACTTACGATCACGCGAGTATTTCAGTTCTTCTGTATACAACCCAAACGAACAATGGTAGCTCGTCGTGTCTTCACTAAAATATTTTTAAGAGATGGATTTAATAGAGAGCATTTTAATTGATCTAGAAAATTGAACTTACATAACAACAGTGGTAGTTCCAGTTGGGTGTAGGGTCACCTTTCGACTGTCTAAAGCCCATAAAGTCAATTTTTGGGAGCCACAAACCAGCCGAAATTTTTCCCTCTGCATCCAGCTCGCAGTTGTTGTAGTGGGAAAGATCTCCATTGTTAACGGTATCAGAGAGGCCCCATGCCCCCAAACCGGAGAGGAGTGAGTACAGCAACTAGAATATTCACATTTAATAGCTCAATATTATTTAATTAATCGAGAAAACATTTTGATTGCTTCCGGATTTCCAAGCCGAAATATAGTCCTCTTATGGCTAGGTATCACTTTTTCATTTCTCTGATGGCAAAATCATCGATCATAACGCCAGCAAATCCTGCTAGTAAAACCCGGGGCTTTTTGTACTTTTCACGAGCCGCCTATCCCTTTCCATTCAGCCAAGCCCTCAGGCTACACCCCCGTCCACAGCAGTCACCCAACTGGTTATGGAAAATCGACGCGCTGACCTTCCCTCCTCCCCTTCCCCCGCCCCGGCCCGACTTCTGCTCTCCCCCACGGCATTATCACATTCGGGGGAAAACACGGTGAAAGTTGGGATCTTGAGTGCCTTGAGCCGGTTATTGCTCAACCCCTTACTTTGAGAAGAAACCCCGCCCGAATGGATAACTTACCAAAGAATAAAGTGCAATTAGAATCGTTGCCACGGAGAGACCGCAGCAAAAACAATGCCGAATCTGTACTTCGACCTTGGCCATTACCTGCAAAGTTCGTTTGTACAAAAAAGGCTGTGAAAAAAAGCATTAATAAAAAGTAAAGATCGAACTCGTTGTGTGACATGTTGTTCCATTACCGTCTGTTTTTACTAAAATAGCAGGAAAAGCAACATTTGCAAACGTGCAAGACTGGAACCTGTCTTCTCAAAAGGTGTACCCGTAAAACTCGGAATCGTAAAGACTGACGATGTCTAAAGGGGAGGGGGAAGGGTTAAGGGATATAGTTGGAAGAGGGTGGAAGGAATGGATAGATGAGGCTCTATTAGGGTCAGCCGGGGTGGCGAGACAGACATGAACAGAGAAGGAGAGATGGTATATCGCTATCCCCACTGATCAGCCATTCCAGCCGCTAATAATTGACTAGAAGATCTCGGGTGAGTCGGGATTTCAGGAGATGGTTTGGAAATATCGATTGTTTTTAAGGTAACGGCTTAAAACAGGGACTCTACTAATATCTCAGACCTTACCTAGTTTGGCAGAAAATCCGAAAGTCGTTCTTTATGGACTTGGCTAGGGTAAAAAATAGTGAAGCCGACGGAATGGACCAAATATAAAAGAGCTTTTCACAAGTTTGTAAACCTGAAACGAAATAGGAGGAGGCTGCGAAGAAATTTTACGCCTTGGATTAAACTAGCAAAAGTTTAAAAGGGGTATGAATTTTTTAAATTCAGATGAGAAAATATAAATTTCGATAACCAGCAGTGATAGGCCTTCAATAGAAATTACAAGCGGATTTAACCACTATCTGCATGATTGGCTATAGCAAATCGCCGCCGGAACCCTAATAGGTGACCAAAAGTCGGGCGTGCGCGCGCGGATGGGGAGGGGCGGATATATGGATGGATCAAAAGGCAAAAGAAGAATAAAGGGGGGAGGATGTTGTCGGGCTCGAGGGGGAAAGAGGAGGAATGCAATGGAATGGTTGTGGTGGATTGGAGGTGGAGGTAGAGGTGGAGAAGAGGTGAATAGAGAGCCATCTCCAAAAAGGGGAGCAAGAGATGGGTGGAAGAAGAGAAGGAGAAAGAATGAGAGACACGCCCCATAGCCCCACCTTTCCTTCACCCACAAATGGATTCCGAAACAGGCGAGAACTCCTCTCAACAGTCACCCATCCAAGGGCATTTCTTCTTTTACAGAGTTGTACGAGTAGCTCGGGATGGATGAAGGTATTGGAAATATCGCTTTATCCATTGGGTGGATCGTGAAATTGAGGGGTATGGAAGCGTCCTAGATACCTTAAAACTGATTGTAGTTTTTCCATGCCTGACAGCGTGGGTTTAATTCCTAACAGATACAGGGTACCAGCAAGGGAAATCCAGCATTTTGCAAAAACTTTCGGAAGCTATTGTACTCTTTTAGGTCAATTGCGGCGCCCCACCCAAATCGCCGATTCGATGGCCTTGAGTGCATTGACTAATCGCCCTTGTTTCCAGAACTCTTTAGAAAAAAAACAGAATCGGGCGGGGGTGGCGGCTAACAAAATTTATCTTTACTGGGGCGAGAAAGCTGCATTACCTGCACAAGAAAATAACAAGGTGTCGGCATCACCCTCCAAATACCCCTTTTGCCGCCTTAGGATAAGACCGATACCCCATACTCGCCATCCTAACATGCTCTACCTCCTCAACCTTAAGAATTCCCCCCTCATTGCTAGGGTGTGAACTGCCAATTAAGCACCTACAAAAAGCACGACACCGACCGATGGGTGAGTAGCAAAAGAAATCGACGGTTCCTTTTGGCAAAAACTCGTCGATGCTCTTCGCCACCGCTCCTCATCCCTAGATCCCTCCAAACATGTGTGTATGCAAGAGTCATGCCCAACAATCTAGGGCAAGGTGAAAGTTCTTCAAGGAGCCCGGCTCCGCCCGATGAGCCGCAGCTTTTTTTAGGGCACGTCAGCTTATGGAAAAGCCGCAAATGGGTTCGAGCCTGGTGCGAGATTCTTTGTTGGATAGGGTACGACAGTTGTTAAAAAGCCGGTGGAATGAGGGCGTGTCCAAAAAAGGGAAGACGGGAGAATTCTGCCAATAATATTTATGACAACGGTGTAGAACTTATCCATACCATAAAATGCTCAAAAACAATAATGTGTTTAGAGACGGTCTCAAACGCGCGAATCTATTCAAACCAACCGGACCTTCATAAATCCACGGGGAAATCCGGTAAACAGTAAATAGCGTGGGGCTGAACATCCAACGATTCGAATGAGATCCGCCAAAGAATAATGATCAACCACTCGCGGGAAATAGATGCTTAAGAAGGAGAAACTCAGGGATTGCAGCAATGGAGATGGCGGTGAAATTGGGCGAACAAAGACTGGGAAAGGAGAGGGGATTTTGAGCATCGACGTCTCGATATAGGTCATCCATCCATCCCATTGACAAAACATCTACCCACTATCTTTTCATCAAATATTTGCTTAGAATGATGATCCTCGAGGAAAAGCTTGTTCATAATTGGACATTTCATGCAGAACGAGTGCCACCTGAGGATCATATATTTTGGGCATGGAATATTTTGGCTATTATGACGTTGCCAGTGCAATGGTTGAGCATGGGGCTCATCCGGTAGGTTTTTTTTTGCTTCTCGTAAAACACGTAGTTTCGCCATTTGTCGATAATGCCTGTAAACCGTTCACAAAAAAGTAGCCGGAAAATTATACTTAATTCTTAATTTTTCTCGTCCCATATATATCTTTTACGTTAAATCAGTTAAAGTAACATATGATAGTAATAATGAAAATAATGAAACTATCGTTCGTACAATTCAGCCAGAGCCAATTTCGATATAACTGCCGCTCATTATTTATTGTTAATAGAACAAGGGTGCTCCATGTTTAAGAGTAAGCACTAAATTGGTCACGTTTTGGCCTATGAAGCGTTTGTTGAGAAGAACCGGTCACTTGAATTATCGAATTGATTTTTCGTTTGCAAGATGAACCCGAAAGCTTTGCTGAGAATGGTTGTTTAACCTATTCTTAAAATACTTTTAGAAAAGCCACACCCGAATCTATTTTTCGACCATACGCCGGCATGCTCTTCAATATGCAAATATACTTTATGGTTACCGATTTTTGTATGAACGCTATTAGGTAGCTTTTGATCTTAAGTATTATCCGAAATTGTTGCCAGACCGGTATTGACAAACGACGTGATCAGCCCAGCCGGCAGACTCGCCAAACTGTTATTACCAATCGGGGCTGGCAGTGCAACGGTCAGTTCTAATAGCCGAAATTGTTTGGTAAATGTGTTCTTTAGCCTATTTTCACGGGATTGGTGGCAAATTTTCTGTGCGCCGCCACGGTGTGCTTTCTTTATTTGGCGGCATCATCACATTATCGGATAGAGGCGGTGGGTGGTCATGATTTTTTTGGATGTGGAAATGTGGGATAGAACTGGTAAAGTGGTGCAAACAGTTTTCAAAAAAAATGAAATGGTTATGAAGCAGTATAAAAATTTTAACAGAGGAAAATCAAATTTTAGGGCCCAAAAGTAACGATATTTGTGGTGCTCTACCATATATTGATCGGCGTCCCAATATGGATCTCATCCTATTTCCTCGAGCCTGCCACCACCTACTCAATTCTCACCATTTTCTTCATTTCCCAAATAATCCTATGGACCGTTTCAGCACTCGTGTCTGCGAACAAACGCATTAAGGTAAAATTAGTCATACGCTTATGCTACTCCCTTTTAGGTTTTTGATCTACATTCAAAAGAAGATCCCATCAATTTTAGCAATTTAGCGGTCAAATTATATTTACAGGTATACTTATATAATGTCGATACAAATTTTCAGCTAACTCTTCCCATTCTTTTCTTAATTATTGCATATTTTGGGACATTTTGGAGGCCGAGTAAGAATATTCTCGCTCTAGTATGTTCAACAAATTTAGATTTCTTCAACGCTTTTGCATTTCTGTGCGGAGCAAGGACACAGATCAATTTGCTTCAAATGCTATTGTTCAGTCCGGATTACAGAAGATGTGCGGCGCAATTTGCTCGATATTTCCAAGCAAAACTATGCTGCCGAAAGATTTGAATTTAGCTTATAACCACGTTAAGAAAAACATCATAAAACTTTTTTATTGTTATAATCGTCCATCCCTGAATACATAGCATGTAATATTGTGTGTAGCGTGTAGGCAGAAATCGGTTGTATGTGAGACATAAGAGAATGGGCAGCTTGAGCAGATTACCTGGAATGTTTGTAGTATTAGTGATCATGCGGAAAAAAGTAAAAAGATATACCGCAAATGTGGCATGTGGATGAAGTCGCCCTAGAGCTGCCGAAATTCTGCGTTTTGACTTTGAGGGTGAATCAACCATACTCTTAACCTACGTTCTTTATTTTCAAAAATTCTCACCTCCGTAATAATCCTTCGAACAGATTCATTATTACACACATCCGATTTAAGATGAGGCATCGGCTTTGTGCGTTGGAATGGGTCGGATATTAGAGGAAAAATTGGCTCTGATTTCAATAATTATTCGCAACAACCGATGCAAATTACCGCCATCAACCTCAACATATTCCACTTCCGATGACGATTCCACTCCCGTCGGCTCACCAATCGGCCCGTTCGATACAATAAAAACAGGGCATAAAATAAGGGAAAATAGCAGACAGGCAGGAATGGATGGGGACGGCATTTCCTTCCGCGAGACACCAAAAATGGCCGGCGGCATGTGGCCGGGCGCCCATCCGTCGTGACGCCATGATCAAGCTCTTCCGCAAACATATTCGCCCGTCTTTTCCACCAACGGCAATCAAACCATCCGTTCTTCAATCAAAACAACGCGTCTAAAAATAGAATGAGGACGTGCTGTTGGAAAATGGGGCGATTGAGGGTGTGTACTGTGATTGTCGAGTGGTACTGTACTTCGTAAACTAAAAACTCAACTAACCGTCTAGAGGAAACTCGGATCGGAACTCGATAAGGTGAAGAAGTTCGCGGATTTTATTTTACAACATTATTTAGGTTTGGATCCAAGATTTTCATACAAGTGTTTTCCAGTCAGCAGAAAATTAGCTACTAACCCACAGATCTCGCAAATTGCTCATTTTGCGGTTTTGGGAATAAAAACAACGTTAAAATGCTTAGTAAAAGAAAAAAGAAAATAAGATAATATAATAAGAAAACTAAAATAGCTGGTTTTCTCGTGGCTGCATATAACTTACAAATACATCCAAAAAAAACCATTTCCGGAACTGTACGCTTCACACCCGCTCCTCATGATTCTCTCTATAGAAACAATAGAAAAGCGCAGAGTGCGTAGTCTAGGTAAACGTGGTTGGGATGAGAGCGGAACGACAAACTCCGAGGATTGAAGGATGTGAAACGAGACCCAAAAAACAGACAAACAGAAGTCCGGGGAGACTGCGTGTGCTCTCGAAACCGTGGGAAGTGAGCCCGCGAGGAGTTCCTTCTGATGGCCCTATCACTTTCCAACAACAATCTATACCTGCCGTCCCCTGGAACGGCTGTATTGAAGCGGTCAACGAGTAAAAGTAAGCGAAAAAGATAGTGTTTCCTGTGCCTTTAAAGCCTCCCAAAAGTCGAAATTCTGGGTGAAATAACAATCCTTTCCACCTATAAGCTCCTACGTATAACCCAACATAACCAGATCATATATTTGAACACTGCCCCCTCACCTCTCCGTCATCTCAACCCATAGAAAGATAGTCGCGAAAAGTGGTGGGCCCCTTTTTTCACCTGCATACTCTTCCGCCGTGCTCTTTTCATTGGGTCCCCCATACTCTGGGAAGGGCCCCGAAGCGAGCGGTAAACACGGATGGGTCCCCGGGTCCTTGGGCCTCTCTTTGGCTCTTCCCTCAATTCTTCCTTTCCACCAACAAATAGGCTTCTGAAATCTGAACCGTCCACCCGTCGGCTTGGCCGTCGACTCCCGCATGTATGACTGGATTGGCGTTTCCGATGGCCTTTTTCTTTCGAAGACTCTTAAGTTCGGGTTGTTGTTGCACGGGGGTTTTCAGATGGCACGATGAGTATTTTTAGCATAGTGGATGTGAAGTAATGTTTACTTTGGATGTGGAGGTCATTGGACGGTTTCTTAACCGGGTAAAACAATGGTTTTCAAGGCAGACATTTTGTTAGGTTTGCTATAGTTCACCGATGAAAGCTTCAAGGGGTTAGGAAATCTATTTCCCTCGTTTTGACCCATATGTTCGAACCGGAATACGCAATTTTTCACTTCTTAGCTCCTTAAAAGATAATTACGGAAACACCCAAGCACTTATGAGTCCCTTTACAAGTTTTTAAAATTTGAATTTTTAACTTTTGTGAGTCTAATCTTGAAATCTATGTATGTGACGCAATCCTCCGAAACACTTTCCAGCCGATTTTCCAACACCCTAAAATCCCTTCTCTGCTTACCTAACCGTGACAAAAGCGACAGGTTCTGCAGGTGATACCATCCGCCTCGAGGTGTTCAAAAGGCGCAACTGACGATGGTAAACGAATATTTTCACGCCCAAACAGCTTCACCAGCCATGACGGCAAGCAGTAGCACGCTTTTTCTTGAGGCTCCCCCTGGGCGATAGGGATCTACACACACAAGGAGGTGGGCGAGGTGCAAGAGGAGGCGGATAGGAGGGTGCTCATGCTCACCGCCCCAAATCGGCCCCCTATCTGACCGAGAGTCGCCCGATTTGCCCAGCCACCAATTCATATATACGTCTCCATCCATTAATAATCGGAGTATCGGGAATTTTTCTAAAATACGGGACGATCTGACAATTTCGCCCCCCCCCCCCCAGGTGTCAATTGGCTTAACGCACCCATTACGCAATTTCCGGCCAACTTTTGGCAACTCAAGAATAAAAACCTGACTTTTTCAGAAATTAATTTAGGAATAAAACGTATGCCAAATGTATTTTCTCGAAATTTAGCCAAAACCTTCGGTTTCCGGCCCTTACTACTCATATTTTATCAATTATTTCTCTAAAGATAGTGTCGCGAGTCTTTTCCCTTCCTAATTACATGTCAATCTGGAAAAATTTCCCCGATAGCCTTATCAAACCCCTGAACCTCGATCAATATTTACTGTTTTCAGGCTGGCGGGCTTAATTTTATGTCCCTGTCTGGTGCTGCCAGAATGGACGCTCAATCATATCGCTATTGAATTTCACAATTCTGATTTTTCAAAATTATTTCCTTCTTTGTAGTTTCTCAATTCCGCGATAATATCTTTAAAGGCTCCAACAACATTGGGGGGGTGGGTTGATCGCGATCTTTTCGCGCCTGATTTTCGGGTGGCAACAGCTGTGTGTTCGGTCCAGCTGCTAGAGTGGCTCAGATAGTTATTTTATGCCCGATACGTTACGTTGAAGCGAATGGGTAGGGATTTTATTGCTTCGTACAGCTGCAGTAGAGATGTATAGTGTTTCGTACAGATGGCGATCCAGTTAGGTCTAAAAACTTAAATAGCTGGAGTGGAATGAATCGGTAGTTTGAGTGAGCTTTTAAGGATAACCATATTTTCAAACCGGATGTAAATCGAACTTGATTCTCGGATCCATTCCTCAATCCCTCGATTCCCATTCAATGTTCAAAAGGTGTTGCTATTCGCAACTGTACCCCCTTCCCCCCATTTCCCCCACTATCCCAATCACGGATTCCAATGTCCAGCTGTGAATTGCATTGAAGGATCGTTCTCCTCATCCTTTCCTTCTTTTTCCATTCCACACACTCGGTTGATTGCCTTCCTCCTCCTCTTCTTCACCCTCCCATTGACAGTGCAGTCTTTCCATTCGCCCTCTTTTGTTTTCGGTTCATTCTACCCCTGGTGCTCAATTGCAGGAATTTCCCTGCCCACCACTTCGTTCGACCATCACCCCTGGTCCTTATTTCATTCCCGGAATTCCATTAAAATAAATCTATTCAACGCCCCATCCGGGAGCGCTTTCCCTGCCCGCGGCAAGCGATTAAAAATATCGACAACAATCAATTGTCTTTCGGGGGAGAAAGCCGGAAAACTGGACATTTTGTGGGTTTGGAGACGGGGTGTTTGCGATGGAAATGTTGCGAAAAAACTTGTTACCTTTCCGAAAATTAATAGATTGAAAACCAGGTTTTCCGGAATGTGGTTGCGATCAAACTATCAAGATCAAACCCAAATAATTTTTGATAGAGCAACAGCCCTTTGTAAAAAAAACTCAGCTTGTTTTAAAATTTTTTCTAAAAGTTCTAAGCGAAGTTTTAATAACCTATGACCTAACTTAGATAGCGATAGCCCTGTGCCCGTGCTCCCGTTTATTATGGCGTATTTTCCGGGCCGTGACGACCAACTGTTCCCCCCCACATCCATTGCGGCTCAATCGGATCGGGCTGTTTTTTATTCCATTGTCGTTGTGAGGGTAACGATGACCCAGAGCCCTGAATCGATCTTTGTTTTTTTTTATATTTCAACCGAGCAGCGGGTCCCGATTGCAGGAGCCAGATATTTTGTCTCGCGGGCCGGCCAGATCATTCGATTGCTGGTAGTTTAAAGTCCAAAATGCATTTAATGTGTTTTATCCCTTTTAACATGTTGAAAATCAATAGTGTTGCTTGAAAACCTGATGGACTTTCGGACGTTTTTCCTGGGTTTCACGGTAAATAGTGACGAAATCGGGTGAGGCATCATTTCACGCGGGCTGGTAACGGAATTTCCAAAGTCAGCGATCAGCCATTGTGCGTGGCAATTTTCGATTGTATAAGATACTTTAGTTCTTTTACATGCGGGGGGGGGGGGGCAAATTTTTTTCAACTTTTTTCTTAGTCTGAATTTTTAATATAATTTGACGATGTGTTTCTAAACTGCTTTTTATTGAAAATTGGCATATTTTCATCAATAAACCCGCAAATCTCGAAAATGCGGTAGAAATTTCTAATTTTTAACTATTTCTAACTGCTTTTTGGATGGCTTAAATTGGACCGCCATTCAAAAAAGTAATATATTATTAAATTACTATATATACGTAGCTATGCTACGTAACTATACATTTCTGGACTTCTCAAAAATGAGAAAAAAACTATTTCCTATTTTTGCTAAATCAGTTTCGCTTCGGTATAACGAATGTCGGGATAATGATTTGTCGGTCTAATGATTTTTTTGTGAATTTCCGCGCAATGACCCACCTTTTTACAAATGCCACACACCTTGTGATGCAAAAAAACACACGGGAGATTGTAGATGGAAGGGGCAAGTATGCGGGTGTGTATCTATCTGTATCCTTCAACCCGAGTCCATCAATCGCTTCCGTGGCTATCATAAAATCGGAGGGGGAGAGTCACCCCTTCACCAATCTTTCTTGCCCCCTTTCCTCCACTGGCATCGATTAATTAGGCAATCATGCGAATCATATGTTTCCTCTCCTCTCGTCAATAGGAGCTTACCGTCGTTGACAATTTTTACCACCATAATATAACGTTTTTGACCTGTGGATCGCGCTCTACCCTCTAGCTTGCCCTTTTCTTAAAAACTACTTCATAAAATTTAGGGCCTCTCTGATTTTTCTTTAATTGGAATTAATACCTTCCTTTCAATACTGTATTAATGTCATTTTAAAAAGAATTACCGTATATTTCAAACGTTTTGCTTCAGGTAATGGACGTGGCTACGGAACGCGCTGGCAGGCTGCACCAGTAAGGTTTTTCTGGGTTGCTCAAATCTAATTTCAAGCTATTTTTAGCTATAATAATTAACAACTTCTTTAGACGACCAACACAGGCATACTATGTACCGCCTCGACGAATCCCGTGCAGCCTGCCACCTGCGACCAATAAGAAAGAAGAAGGAATCCCTGCGGAGAGGTATCTAGAGTTTGCTAGACTTCCTTTTTCCAATCATTTTTTATCTTACTGTATAGAAAAATAGTTTTTCTATTTCTATCGGTATGCGTATATGGCAGAGGCAAAGGGAAGTTTTAACAAACAAACAAAGTTGCCTTTTCTGCGTTTTTTTTGTCTTTTTGCATTATCTAAATCGGATATACAATATCATTAGTCTAATGGATCCTAAATATTATAATTCACTTTCCATTCTATCAAAAAAATTCTAATTTCAGATGTACCACAAATCAGCGTGCCGAGGGGCTGCGCGAAAAACCGTCCGACAAGGGCAAGCGCAGACCCGATGAGCAAACGCGTGGCACACCAAATACACAAAAATCTCCAGAAAGCAGGGTAAGTTTCCGATGGAATTGATACGGTACTTTGGCCGTTTTTTTAGCAAACCTCCGTCCGTGCCTCCAAACAACAGGTAGCTAAGCCGAAAACACCGCTTGTCTCGCCCAGCGACACTAGGTGGGTTGTTTATTGCAAAAAAAAATTGGAGAGAGTTCGATAAGTTTTCGGTGTAGTATGGTTTGGAAACAAAACGCTAATTAAAAAAGGTTATATAGCTCCATTTAAATGTTAATCGTCAGGCAAGCTTACTTTAATTTCTAAATTCTTCGATATTTTTACTATTTTAACGAGATTTCATCAACGTCTCGTGTAAAAAATATAATAAGTTTTGAATTTCAGCTCATGATAATGAATTATAAATAAGCTAAGTAGTGAAATGACAGCTTTAAAAATTTTGGGATCGGGGGCGGAGGGGAGCAAAGACTCACAAATCGTTACCGTATGTCTCAGAAAAACGAGCACTTCACCGCGACCACTCGATAACCATGAAGAAACCGTGATTTCTGCCGCGAAAGCCGAGACCCCGGTGGTCAATTATCGAGAGCCCATGGAGAAGATTCATTCTCCGAACAATACGCAAAAACCCAAGCAATCTTCACCACGGCAGGTCCGATTTGACGAGTCACTATATAAAAGAAAAATCAACCTTTCTTACAAAAAACGTGAAAAACATCGATGGCTATTTTAGGAAAAGAAACCGGCTCCTCCAGCATTGCATTTCGATCCGAACGCCCCGATTCTCTCGACGCCAGAGAAGGAGGGGACTTGCATCTGTGAGCGAGCCCCATGCCATTTGTACTGCAAAAGGTAACGAGCCCTGTAAACCTAGCCACACTTTTTTATTCTTCTATGGCGCGATTCGGCTATCAAAAACTCTAAAGCCTCGCTTGTAACCATCGATTTAGGTGTTCTTATGAGTGCATGGGCCGCTTAATGCGTGTCTGCCCGACGCACCCAACTCGGATGTCTTTGATGGATTTGAGGGAATGCCCGAATACCCTCTGTCGTTCTGTTCAACTTATCGAACTGTCCGATAAGTGAAAAGACAGTCACATCTACAAAGTCTTATTTAAGCTATTTAAACTCTAGAAGCTCTCAATTCGCTAGCTCGTTTTTTGTTTCATAATTACAATTCACAACAGCCACGCAGTATAATTCTTCGGCACACCTTGTCTGTTTTGATTCCTAGCTTTGATTTTTCAGTTGCAACGAAGATCAAATTCAGTTTCCTAAGGCCCGTCTTCGGTGTCAGTTTTTGCCGCTTTCCCCGCCTTGCAATGGTATTATTTTCACTTAACTGTTCACGCTTTTCGTGTCGCAACCTTTTCCAAAAATATCCTATTTGGCCCTGGGTATTCAGCTTGCTCAGCGCATGTGCCTTTAACTAATCAAAATTATACTAGTTAACGTTTCTATTTACGCGCTATGATACCTTTGATGAATGACCGCTGCTTGACTTTGAACCTTTCCGTGTTTGTACATATCGCTCATGAAATAAATCAATTCTTGAACGGTCTCAAAATTTATTAGTGAAGCATTTAAAAGATTTGAGACACGAACCTTGGTTAAAAAAAAGAAAATAAATTAGCGTAAGGCTGTAAGCAAGCGTATCACAGTTGAACGAATATACATTACACACCCATATTCCCGAATAAAAGTCATCAAAAGTATGTCACGAGATTAATTAAATTACCAGAACAGGTAGAGAACGAATATGCACACCGAGATTGTAAGCCCAAGGACAACGGCATCTTGGCGTTTGCGGCGCTGGATCTTTTGGAGGACGTTGTTGACCATCGGGAACTTCTCTAAAACAACAAGAAAATATAGAACAACTGTAAAAAACTGTCTTAACGGGGCAATAGATTCTCAAAGACAAGAAAAGCAAAAACTCACGCGCAATCTCAAACATTCGTGCCCGAATATTGTTCATCGACAAACGCTGTCGGGTGAGATTCTCCTTGGTTGCGTTGGCCATGCTAAAAAATCTTTTTAAAAGTTGCGGCTGAATGTACCCGAGTTGCTCATCCAGCAGCCGGTCGGTGAATGAGATATGGGTACTTTCCTGCAGGTAATAATCGTGCGCCTAGAAAAAATTACGAATGCTATTTAAATGCTGTTTCCATACCGACGCTCGATTCCCGCCCATTTTCGGCTCAGACTTGTCCTCCTTGATCTTCGCAAAAAGAAATTCTCTAAAGAAAATAAATTTGTAAAAAAGCCCGACTTTTGCTTGATACCTGTCGAGAATGGCTGAGGCAGTGTCCCTGACGCGTTTGTACTGCACTTGGAAATCGCTAAAATAAATAATTCTGGTCTTTAAAATTGGGGTACCGAATGCAATCGGCATGGCGCTGCAATTTGTGATGCAGGGCGGTGCTCATCCAATCGGCATGGCGATTCACTTCAACGTATGAGGACATCTAATATTTGGTCTACATTTTAGATGCGAGCGTACCTGCTGATAAATGGAAGACAGTTCGCCAAATTGCTCTGTCAGCTCCCTATCGAGTTTTTCAAACTGCGGACGCTTCGTGGCATTATTTTGTTGACCCCGACCTTGAAATAAGTTGAACGAAAGCAGCTACGTACCTCCATCTTCAATAAGGCCATTCATCGAAGAGATACGCCTGTCGATCGCATCTTCCAGCGCCTCTGAGCGGCGATTCATCTCTAAATTCATCAAAATAATCTGACGTATCTTTAGAGTCATACCATTAAATTCAAACATGGCTTAAACCACTGTATTTATCGGGGCAGCTGCTGATATTCAAGGGCGTGAGGCTTTCTAGAAAATATTTCTACAAGGCTTGAAAACGACACTTCGGCATATTCAAGTATTTCAACGGTTGAACGACCGGGATTCCAGTATTTTTGTGATCATTATTATACTTTATCGACCGGAACAAAATGCATCAAGAATAAGCACTTTATAAGTAGTATGACGAGGAACAATGAAAACTAGTCAGCACATATCATGACACCAGATGTGTATAAATACACGTCAACAAAATTTTGGCATAAAGGTGACGCTTTGGACAAAAAGGAGATCAAACCAGAAATAAATTCTATACCCAATCGCATGCAGCCACCATGTGAAGCGAAGATCAAAGTCGAACAAATGCCAGGTTGGGGGTTCCTTCATAATTCTTCCTCGCTGTCTGATGATATTGGCTGAAACAAATTCAATCGTAAAAAGGCATTAGGAAACCTCGTAAGTCAGTCCTTCTCCTAAAGTTCGGAGGACTTCCTTGGGATCATCCGCCTCTTCTTCTTTCCATTTTTCCACTTGTTTTTGAGCCAATTTAACACTAGGAGGTATCCTGAAACCAGTTAAGGAGCAAATTGGGCCACACCTTTCTTCCCGACCAGTTTCTTCGCTATCACTAATTTCCAAGAGCTCATCGTCCAAGATTGAAAAATCTAAACCAAAAACGGTTAAAGATGTGATTTTTGCGTACCAATCTCCGCATCCGAACCCGATAGATGATCGCTGGTAGGAACTGGAGCTCTTTTTGGCCTAACAATTTTGGATACAGTTGGAGTCTTCCTTTTTGAATGTCCAAGCGTGGGCCTTGATCTCTTCTGCGGCGGTGAGTCGATGGGCCTAAAAATCGGGTTCATTAACCGGAAGCAATTAGTTGCCAAATCCATAGTTGGTTCCTCGAACTGAGCTGAAGACCCTACACTTTATCTACCTGTTGCTCCGCCGGCGATGAGCATTCCGCGCCGACTTTTCAGCGTTCGGTGCTTCGACGAACAACTCCATCAAACGAGGTATAGGCCGAGAACGTGATACATGGAACTCCATTTGGTCCATAACACGACCATGGTCTCTTCGTCCATCTGATTGAGCCATTCGTTCGCGCTAAAAACCCAAATTCGCAGCATTTCCAAAAAAAAACCCACCGGCATCGGCCCTCGAAAGTCTATACGTGAAGAAATTCCAGATCGACTGTTTCGAACAAAGCTTTCGTCCATTTCCATTGAACCAAAGTGTGCGGCACGCAACCGATTATCCTGCTCTCTCGCCTGCATAATTCAAGATAAATAGTCAAGCTTTGTGGCTCACAATTAAGTTGCGCTCCATTTGATTAACTTCTTCCAGCTTGCGGTCGATTTCCCGCAACTTTCTTGCTACGGCCTCGTCAACTGGGCTCGATTGTATTGGTGAAGGAGTAAAGTAGGGACGTTGAGTTTGAGAATGCTGCAAAACATACCGCTTGAAAGTCATTAAAATCAAAGAATAATCCGCAAAATATTTTGAAACAAATTTGAACCGCATGAGTCTCCTATAAAAACAAACCTGCGGTTTCTTACTCCCTTCAATGCGATCAATTTCTTCTTGGATCGCCGAAATTCTATCAACAAGGTACGCTTCTTCTCGGTCTAGCCGGGACATCGCTAGGAAATTGTAACTGCAAAATATGCGTCGTACCTGGGTTTGGTGCTGGTGGTGCTGGTTGATATGCTCTATGTGGAGGAGCCCGAGGTGCCGAGTGGTTGGACGTATGTCTAGAAATCGTGTCTTGTTAATAACGGAATCAACTCCATCAGAGGAAAGGGCAAAAGCTAATGCTAAGGTGTATTAGGAAATACAGCCCAAATAATTACCCGGCCACATAGAACCTGATAGCCGAGCGTCTAAAACTTACGCCCTCCCTCGCACCTCCTGAAGCCAATTCGGCGATAAATAGCTATAGCCTTGATTGTTGGTAGTGCTCTAAAACATGTATCATCTTCACACATAAAAAGCCTACCGGTATGACAGCCGGTTGGATCATTTGCTCACTGCGCTGCTGGTATGCTGCCGCAGATGAAGACGCACTAGATAATATTCATCGTTTTTGACAACTATATACCTGTTAAAATGGGGAGCTTGAAAGCTGGCGTTTCTTCTTTCCGAGGCATAGCGCTCCCGCTCTATCTGGCGGGGCATGTTGTATAACCTGAAATTTACCCAGTTAGCGAAAATCTTGTGTATGTGGCCATTTGCAAAGCCACCGACAGCCCGCTACGGAACCCTGGGACCTAAGGGTTACTGCGTTCTATCATTGTAAATACAAACTGAATACATAGTTCGGTTCAGATGTGGCAGGCCGCCCACCATTACGAGAGACAAATCCACGAGACGTACGGCATAATCCAAAAGGCGGTAGTTCCCGCGGGAATTTAAAAAGTGGCATTCTTCTCAATAGGTTCGGGGTTGAGCTGGCGATTAGCAAATGCGGTTCGGAAGGTAGAAATCGGGGACCATGAATTTTCGGCAACTCGAGAGATAGGGGAAACAGAGAGACGCAGACGTAGTTTGTAGTTGCCGAAAATTCGTTCCCATGGAGTTGCGCAAAATTCATGGTCCCAGAAATCGTAGCGGATAGCGACCAATTGTAGCTGTAGCCATCTCAACTGATATCTCTATTCGTCAAGCCATTGTCTTTGTGCGCTTATGCCGGTGAAATTAACAAGTTATTAGACCTTTTCAAAAACTGCTTTGCCTCACAAATTCCCAGAAACGAAACTTTATTACTTTCCAGTGCTGGATCAAAAAAATAACGCGCTACCACTCGTATTCCATTGGAAGAGAGGAGATACCCATATTACCAAAGAACGCGAAAATACTCCTTTTCGAGGGGTCGCTGGCAAACAGTGCCGAAATTCACAGACAGAAAGGGGGGAGCAAATCATGGACGGGAAATGGTGAACTGACTAGCACGCTGTCAATCAATCCAACACATACAACGGCGAGTACTCCAGGGCTGCACTGGAGAAAGTTATGGACGAGCCGGAAAACAATGGGATATTGGGCAACCGAAATAGATCCAACGGATCGGCTTAGTGGGCGATCAACTTCTCGAATGCCTTAGAGAAGCCCTTTTGCTGAACGTTTACGACGAAGTCTTGACCACGGTGGATGACGGCAGTTGCCAGGGCTGAAACAGAACAACATTAGCCCATTCAATAAGTGCCGTCTGAGCACATCGAGATTTGAATCAGATCATCGAAGAACATTCTACGCAGATTTACTGTATAGAACATTCCACTAGAGCACCGGAACCAATCGCAAAAAACCTTACCAACAACTCCATTGATAGCCCAGACGGCGAAGTCGTAGACCATTTGCAAAACCATCTTCATACCGATCTAATAATGAAAAATTCCAGAAAAAGATCTAGCCGCTTACCAGGACACCCTCTCCGAAGCGGCTGATTTGCTTGTGCCCGTCCTTATTGTACCACGCACGAGCTCCTTCAGTCCAATTCATAATGTGGCGCCAAGCCAGAAGGCTGTATTCCGTGATGGTAGCGTGGGCGATGAGCAGATACTTGTCCACTTTGCTGCCCCATTCGCTGTTCGCAAAGTTTCGGTAGGCCGCGATTGTCTAAAATCGCCATATAATCTAAATAAAAAAGGGGCACCCGCGAAAGCTGTGGTAGCACAGGTGCACACCGGCCTTATATTGCTACGTGAACGTGAATGCAGAGACCAATTGCAAGCCAAAACGAATAAAACTTGGTTCACGTAGCAAAATGTTGCCGTTGCCTGAGCGTACGCTTTACTTGAAGAATAGAACACCATGCCCTGTTATCACCGACTAATGATGGTCAGTGCGTAACGAAAGCCTATGACACAGCCACATTCACGTTAGCGCAACACCACATTAGTATTCAAAAATTCCTCACATTGTTCTTGAATCCGCCAATAACAGTGCCATAGCTGTTGTAGGCATTGTCCGTGAATTTGTCGCTGGGCTTCGTGAACTTGGTCAATTTGGTGACGTCAGCGCAGAAGGGCTTGCTAAAATAGAAAGATTAGATAACATCGTAATAGAAGGAACATGCCAAAGAAAAACACAAAAAAGCACCTTCCGGCGATCTTCTTTCCGCCGTCATTGCAGTTCAGCAATAGGGTCACGGTTGCGGCTCCGAAGACGAGTAGCCCGATCCAGAAGGCCGTTCGGAACAACTTGCGGATAACTAAACAAAAAGCTTTTGAATGTAGGCGAATTATAATTCAAAAACCCAAGTCAGAACGCAAAACAGCGCTCTCCACCAACCATCCGGACCAAACTTTTGCATAGCCTAGACGTGAAAAATCACCTTTGGACGCGATACCTAGACAGAGGCGCAACACAAAATAGAGACAAACGGCAAATAAACCTAGCACCAACATCGATACTTTAGAAATGAGTGCTTCAGAATGAAATAGCGCGGCGCACTTCCGTTTCAATGTTTAAAGATGACACCTCCTTAGATAAGAAGCGTATCCAAAACTGACCCCAAGACAGGCACCCTTGACGCCTCGGCGACTCTTCTTGTTTCCTAACATTGCCACCGGATCTCTTCTCGCCGGCCGGCCGCTTCTCGTCGTTGTTGTTGCTTTGCTTCTTGCTGCCCTTGCTCATGACTATGGCTGGAAAAAACGAATGAGAAAAACGAAAATATATGAGGGGACATCATACATGGCGAAAAGAGGAATCAATAGCAACAAGATAATCCCTAGTAGTGACAGAAATGAGTTTCGATTGGGCCCACTCCAGGTGAAAATGCTAGCCAGACGTCTGCAAAAGCTCGCGATCGCCGTCGCAAGGAATTTGACGCGCAAAGCCCGGAAAGCTGATTGGTTGGGCAAACGCACTCACGAACATTGATGTATGTAGTTCAGGAGCGCATGCCAAGGCCTACGGATCAAAGAGACAAAAGATTCGGTACTACGTGATATAGCCTTCGATATAATTCTGTCTTGAGTAGATATTTTTTCAAGAAAACAAGACATTCGCGGGTTTAGAATTAGAGTTCGGATTCGGGGAAGGATGGCATGGCGTCCAAAGTGTATGATATTCAAATTCGCGGGTCATGGACGGGGAGGCGTGGGGAGTGAGAGGCTCAGGGAAAGGGCGAGGTATAGAGACGAGGATACGAGAGAAACAAAGAGCATCGGGGAACACTTGACTAGTGCAAAATGAGCCGGAAAAGTCGCCCAACCACGACGTAAGGATGATGCCAGCAATAATTTGGACTGATAACGTTAAAATAAATTTGTCGGTGGAGCAAAAAAGCGAAACTCATCGCAGCGCCCTTTGCGAAAGGATCGCGAGACGCGCGGTTTTTTGGCGTTTTGCGTAATGGGGCGTACTGATCGACCGCACGAACATCGCAGCTTTAGAACATGTTCTGCAATAGAAAGAAAAAAAAAACTAAAATAGTGGCTTCGTCCGATGCAGCCAAGCATAGCACCTTTGATAAAAAGTCAAATGTATCAGCTAGAGACTTATGGCGGCTTACTGAGCTCTATGAATATGCAACATTTAATTGAAATTTGATCACGCGCCGCGACCTTTATAGCTTTTAGATGCCGCAGCCTACCCATGATCCGAACGAAAGCTAAAGTTTCTCTAATTCTGAAAATTAGTCATAGACTGACTCAAAACTTGCCAAAAAATTGGCACTACTACGTTGAATTATATCACGCTAAACGAGCTCTGCGCCGGTAGTTCTCGGAAAAATACAAGGTCAGGCAATTCATGCAACCAGGTACAAATTGATTGATTCTAGCGCGGGTGTCAAGTCGTTGATCAACAGGTCTTGAAAAGGATAACAGTAGACCGAACGTAATCTATAGCCTTCGAAAAGCAGTAAACACCCGGTCGCCTCCACATAGACATATTTTGGTGACAAATAGGCCGGCGGCAATTGGAAAACATTCCGCATTCCGTATGAGTATAGCAAATCGTGCATCGAAGGAATCAAGGCTGACAACAAAAAACGGGTCAGATTTATAGTGACAAGGTCATTCGATTGCCCCGCCCAAATAGCGCTCATTCCCCGATGGTTCCGACGAAATTCGAACTAAAGTACGGTCAACCTACGCGAGCTAGAGATTTTGACACAGCCAAACAAATTTCACGATTTAATACCGATGAATGGGATGGGTTTTCTGGATAGGATAGATGAAAGAAAAGCCACGCGTCTGTTGTTGCAGCGTTCATTGGTTGCGTCTCCCCCTAGCACCGGTCAGCCTAGCCCTCTCGAGCCTTTAGCGTGTTCACGCCTAGTCTCGTACCCTCCTCAATAACCCAAGTGTCTCCCCCTTTCTTTCCCCTTCTAAAAAAAATCGATGGATAGCCGGGGGTAGGGGGTCGAGTAGCACGGCCGAACGCCCGAAAAACGCCTGGCCTAGATGGTTGCAGCCTGACAACAGCTCCCTCCATTTCGAAACCATAACCCCCCGCGGAGTATTGGATTTGCAGCTCGAAGCGTACGTCAGCCCTCGACATACAATTGGAAAGACGGAGCTGTATCTAGAAACAAGGTTCAAGTCAGACTGAACGAGCTTTTGAAACAACGCCGAGACGGCTGTACTTTAGCTTGTCATTCAATCATTAATTTCACCTAACGCAATCGCCACAAACTTTTCACCGTCAGAGATTCAGCAACAGCGGCTGGCCCGAAAACCCCCATTTACCGGTTAGTTTTACTCTAAGCTCCCACCACCATCATTTTGTGAACTTCAGCCCGACACATAACTTTTACTTCCTACCGTAACCCGGTGGTTAATCCCGGTGGGACCGGATCCATGGCAAAAAGAGCTTCATAATGGCATGTTCGTGCGGAAAAAGAGCAAAATCCCCGTTTGTTGAGCCGATTAGATGCCCGAAGGTAATCCTTGGGGGATATTTCGGGAGATCAGCCTAGTTGCCTACTCCTAGCTAAAACCCCAAGACGCCGGTAAACAATTAAAAGGAGGAACGGTACATTTTGGAAGGGATATGTTTCATAGCTAGCTGTATGTGGACAGCAATAGTGTTCGCATTTTCAGCTGACTAACCGTTTATTGAGACTACCACCGATCATTTTATCATCACATAAAATAAGAGTTACCGGTGCAAAAAATTTTGGTATCGGAAAAATTGAAAAGATCTAATCACAACACATTAATACCGATCATATTAACCGTGAATTCAGAGCTCAGGACGGACGATCTTCGGGCCCTTCTTGTTCTTGTTGTGGTCGGGCAGCTTTTCCTTGTTTTTGGTGGCAATAATCTGGATCTCCTCCGCGCCTCCAAAGTCAATCTCGACGGCTCGCACTACAAGGACAGAGAATAACGAACTTTACAGACGACTTACGGTCTTCTTCGTACCATTGGTTTTCGACATCCTCCATCTCAGTACCGTATGACATTGCTGCACTGAAGACGGAAATCTTTTGCTGTTGCACCTCGTCGAGAACCTTGAGAGCGCGAGCGAGCTCCACAGCCCAGAGGATCTCCTGAAACAAAATTGCGCACCAAGAATGATAAAACCTTATCGAAACCAGTCATTTTAGCGATGGACCCACGGGTTGCTTCCGGGAATCGACAGCCAATGTCAAGAAGGAGGACAAGGTTTTCTACAACCTAGAAAATCTATATTCAAAGAAACAGGCGGCACGAAAACACACCAAGCTGACCGACACCTTCAGTTCATCATCTGCAAGCCAATTCCCTTCGCGCAGCACCTTCGAATCAGCTTTGTCGACAACAGTTCTCGCTTGTGCCATCACACCCGAAATCGTCTTTGCCGTAATATCTAAAATCATTTAAAGTTTCAACTTATGCTCAAAATTGGTCTCACCTATCATTTCCAGGCGTTTCGGCTTGTCCCATTTCTTGAACTCGTCGACGACCTCCTCTTGCTCTCGAATTTTCAGACCCAGATGCTTGCGATCTAATAAAAGTATTCGCCCCTCCTAGAAGTCTTACAGTGTTTCGTTTTGTCGTCGAGCTCGCTGGCTGAGCTGTGTAGTTTCTCATCATGGCCCGACTCGACTTTGGCTACCGTCTGTTTGCAGCTGAAGGCCAGAAGGACACAGAAGATTAACTTGCCCCACATTTGTTAGGCTGAATCCCCCACTGCAATCACGATAATTTTCAAAACCGGTTGATCGATATCAACAAAGAAAAATTGGAATCGAAGCATATTTCCGAGCCACGGGTATCGCTCTAATTGACACAGGTTAGGTTGAATGCGAGGACTTGTGGCAAGCTACGAGTTGCGAACCGATTACAGCGTTTCTCCCTAGTTTCCTAAAAACACCGAATGAGGGTGTGAAGCAGATCCGAGATACAAACTGCTCAAGGCGGCGGCCTCCATCTATAAGTGTCACTTGCTGCGGAACGTACAGTACCTCCCGACCCGCCCCTTGTAAAATAATGTTTCGAAAAAGGTGCCACCGGGGGCCCCAATTGGGCCCTGCCCTCTCCACCGGCTCACAGCGGATTTGAGAGTCACTGGGCGACATGCGTTTTTGTGTGAATTCGTATAGCGGCCTGATGCATGCCTACAACGGACGGATTTAGAAATATACAGCAGGGACGAAGCGAAAAAAAAAAGTCAAAATAAGGGGGCGATTAGCGCGGGAAGAGAGCAGAACCCCACTATGTTGGATAGTTATTTTAAGGTACTGAACGAGTGGATCGAGCGAACCCGAATCTATGGTAGTACTAAATGAAATGTAAATCGTAAGTCGGCCACTGTATGCAACTTTTTATGGATTGTTGAACAGACTGCAAGCTGCACCCAAAAGCTACGATTGTCTTTTACTTCTAAGGCAACTGAAGGGAGGCCGTCATCAGATATTTTTTTGCCGACCCCTAGCATACGTTCAAAATTGTCACCACCGTTCGACGCATCCCCCAAGGACAGGACTAATGGACTAATTCGCTGCAAAGTCGTGAGGCCTAAGAACCAAAAAACCACCTACAAGAAAAATATGTACAATGTCCTACTTTTAAACACGAACTCAATAAGCTACCAATATATCGCGACGAGTCTCCTGAATTCAATAGTAACAGCTCAATAATGTTGTCAATTGAAAAAAAAACTGACTAGAGCAAAGCGATATGCCAATCGAACACACAAATTACCGAGTTTGCACCTGCTGCATGAAAAAAAACCGTTAGGGTTTCCCATCGTTTCTCGCAAATCGTCATCCACTGTAAGGGTATTTTCGGTACGGCTAATTCCCCATAATGTATGTAGCCTTCACTTATAAAAAAAAATTTATTGTAATCCGTTGCGCGAGGCCGCTGATCACAATAAGCAGACAGAAATCGAAACCGGGATCTCACAACAATTTTTGGGGAGTAAGACAGAGGTTCATAGGACAATGAACAAATTCCTAAGACCTCACAAAAAGGGGGACGGGCAATCAGGGCCAAATTGGCTTTTTAACGATAAATTTTAGAAGAGCGTGGTCTAGAACAAAGAAGGACTGCTATGGTCAAATGACACCAAGCAATCAATTTCCATCCACCAGTTTAGACGAGCTCAAAACTAAGACCGAGACCGTTGCGGGGTGAAAGTATTCTAACGAGGTAAAAAAGATACATGAACGATAAAAACAATACGAGTATACCGTTCATCAGGGGTAACTTAATCGACTTCCATATCCTTCGGAGCCGCATCAGCCTCGGGCGCCGGTGGCGGGGCTTCTTTCGGCACTTCCTCCTTCTTGGGAGTCGGCTTCGGCTTGTTGAGGATCGGATTGACGACATTTTCAAAAGCCTGGAATCAAAATATTGAAATGAGAAACCAATAACGGTTTCATTAATTCACCGCTTGTAGGGCGGGATAAATTCACGTAATAGCAATAACATTGAAATATGTACCTTATGCTCGGCATTGATCTCCGAAACGTAGACAAGGGGCGGCTCAGTCCTAGGGCGCTTTTCGGTGCGGCGACGAGCATCATCAAGCCAATTCTTCTTGTCTTCGATAGCCGTAATGACCTGTAAACTAAGTTAAGTAGTAAGTAATTAACTATTAACACCCCCATACGGAAACAAATAGATTTACCTTTGTCATATCCTTGCTTTCGACATGGGCGTGATCGGGACCGCCAGCGACGTAATTGTCGTAGGCCTTGCGTGCACGAATGATCGATTGATCAAATTTGTCGAACGCTGGCTAAAAACAGGGTTGATCATCAGAGGCAGCATTACCTGGCGTCCTTCGGCTTCATGGTGACGCTCGACAATCGGGTCGCCGATGGACTTCATGTGGCCGAGCCGATCCTTGTAGACCTTGGTTTCCGCATCTTCACCGTCCTCATAGAGCCAATCTTCAATCTCTTGAAGATGACTTTTGAATGCATCAGCGCTCTAAAAACATACTAAAAGCAAAAAAAAATAAAATGAACCTTTTCATCAATGAAAGACTCCAGCTGCGAAGAAAGTTTCTCCCGCATCTCGTAAACGTATTCCTCGACAGCGTTCTTGGCATCCGCTTTCTCTTTCTCGGCCAGATCGGCAGCGCGCATCTCATTCTAAAAAAATTGGCTTGGAATCGTAGAAAATACGCGCACCTCAAAGCCAATAAAGTTATCGATAGGGTACGTCGTGGCACGCTCTTCGATCTTCAGCTCAATCGGCACCATCTTGGGCTTGGGCTTCGACTCGAGCTTCTCCTCTTCCTTTTCCATAGGTTCGTCCTTGGCCTCCTTGGAGTCGGTTTCCATTGGCTCCTCAGCGGGAGCGGGGCGATACAAAGTGGCCGATGGCACACTAAAGATGCCGTTCGGATTGACGCGAACCTGAATAATCATGTTCAAGAAAGGTAAGCTGGCCATACCTTGACCTTCACTTTGCTAGCTCCACCCTCGGCCGAAGGAGTGACCCCATGGACCACCCATGATCCGATGTGACGAGCAGTATGCGGGATGGTATTGGGGAAGGCGTAACCGGCATTCAACTCGAACTGTTCGCTGCGGTAGAATGACAGCATCTTCGAAAACGGGAACTCGTCATGATCCTTGAACACATCCGATTCCCTGAAAGGGCGATAATAACAGAAGTAACCAGCGAACTCATAGTCCAACCCACAATCATTAAAAAAACCCCCGCCCTTTCTTCCCGAAATACCATAAAGATGAACATTCTTAAAAAAAGCTCACCCTCCCTCGACACCGTTGGCCTCTCCCCAATTGAGACGGATCGAATATGGCTGACAGTCCTTGATTTGGAAGTCACGAACGCGGAATGCTGGGGAAAGAATAGCACACTGCATGGCGGCTCCGCGCGAGACGGCCTCATCCTGGTTCATTGTTGTCTTCGGGTCTTGGCCGAAGACGTTGTGGACGATCTTGCGAATGTACGGAATGCGCGAGGAACCTGGAAAAGCAAGGTAACGACTCAAAACTCGAACAAAAACTCAAAGCCCCCCAAAACCTGATGATTACCTCCGACAATCTCAACGCTTTCGACATCCTCCCGCTTCACTTGGGCATCCGAGAGTAAACGAAGCAGGAGGGCTTGAATCTTCTCAAATAATGGCATGGCGACTTCTTCGAACTGCTCCCGCTTCATCGATCCGGAAACGTCCTTATCCTCCATAAAGCATTCGATGTTGAGCGGAATGGGGGTTGCGTTAGCCGACATCTGCTTCTTCACCTTCTCACATTCGTCGAGAAGGCGGAGCCATGCCCTGGAATTGAAGAATTGTTCAAAAAGAAACGCGAAGTCAACTCACCTCGGATTTTTCGAAGCATCGATCTTGTATTTGTCGGAAAATTCTTTGCGGAAATGGTCACGCAACAAGCCGTCGAACCAAAGCCCACCGACGTCGAGATCGAATGCGGTGCCCAACATCTAAAGCAATTTATATTAAACGGTCAGAATCGGGCCATCCGTTTAAAAGGAGCAAAAACGTACTTGTAGCTTTCCTTTATGGTAGGATACGAGAGAAGCCTGAGTAGAGGAATGCCCGCAGTCCAAAAACGCGACAATCCGAGGCTTCTCGGTCTCTGCCGGAAGATCTTGTTTGTAGATGCCGTAAGCCAATGCAATCGCCGTGGATTCATTGATCAAGCGAAGAGGATTCAGCTGAGCCGTTTGCACGCCCGCCAGCACAGCGCGACGCTGAACGTCGGTGAAATGGGAAGGCACCTGAAAATCAAAAATTAAAACAAATTGTGGGCTGCAGAGGAACAGCTGATGAGTAATAAAGAAGCAAGCTTACGCACAGCGAGAACGATGTCGTGAACTTTCGTGCCTTTTTCGCTATTGGCAGCAACGGTGTCCCGCATTTTCGTCAAGAAGGCGCCCAAGACTTGTTCGGGTGTTTGCGTGCCTTCTTTCCCAAGATGATTGACCTGAAAAAGGACTATATCTAACCGATAAAATATTTTAAGTTATCATATGGCGGCAGCCTATTTACCTTAAAGCCAACATGTCCATCGGAGAGCTCGACCAGTTCACACGGGATGTACGGACGAAATTTTTGCACGATTGGATCATTGAACTTCCGCCCGATCAGGTGTTTGAAGTTGATCAACGTATTCTAAACCAAAGTTTAATCGCGATCACGCAAACAACCTTGAAATTCGTGTTGACTTGCTGGCGCGCTGAGACACCCATGCTTCGGCTCTTGGGACCAAACGCCACGCAACTCCTAAAAAGCACGCAAATTATCTCATATCCAAAACAGCTCTGTGAAAACAAAATGGCAAATAAACTCACGGGGTCTCTCGAAGAGAATAGTCATTGGCGATCACATCGATTCCGCCCTGCCGAGCGACGCCGATGTAGCTGTTCAGGTTGCCGAAATCGATTCCGACGACCGACATTTTGAGATCGACCTGGAATTTAGAATGAATACTGGTATTGCAAAAAAAATGAGAAGGCATTGGAGAAAGGGACATGGATCATGGAGAAAGCATCTCGATACCAAGAATCAGTCATGTGGAATAATAGGAAATTCCAGATGTCGTTGGACAAAAACCAGTGCAATGAATTCCGAAAAACCGGCAGTTTTCAGCGCTAAAAGAAGAGCAGAAAGGTTGTTGTGGTAGGGTACATACTAATATTCCTGGCCGGAAAGGATAAAAATTGCAAAAGGCTTCTAGGACAAAGCAATGGTTGTTGAAAAAATCTCTGCGGCTTTTGAACCCTTGCGAAAGAGGGATTTTTACAGAGATATATGAAAATTCCAATATATACACGGCTGGAAATCTTCTAAAAGGGATCAGAGCAATTAGAGAATCATTATAGTTTTTTTATAAGCAATATTCTTTGGATTCAGAAAAACCGGCAGTTTTCAGCGCTAAAAGAAGAGCAGAAAGGTTGTTATGTTAGTAAATACTAATATTCCTGGCCGGAAAGGATAAAAACTGCAAAAAGCTTATGAAGACAAGGAAATGGTTGTAAAAAAAAAGCTCTGTGGTTTTTGAACCCTTGCGAAAGAGGGATTGTTGCAGAGATATAGGGAAAACTACAAATATACGGAGCTGGGAACCTTCTAAACGGAATCAGAGCAATTAGAACATCACAATAAGGTTTTTTCTAAGCAATATGTATTGAATGCCGCAAAACCGGCAGTTTTCAGCGCTAAAAGAAGAGCAGAAAGGATGGTGTGGTAGGGCAAATACTAATACTCCTGGCCGGAAAGGATAAAAATTGTAAAAAGCTTATAAGGACAAGGAAATGGTTGTTGAAAAAAGCTCTGTGGTTTTTGAACCCTTGCGAAAGAGGGATTTTTGCAGAGATATAGTGAAAACCCCAAATATACAGAGCTGGAAATCTTCTAAAAGGGATCAGAGCAATTAGAGAATCATTATAAGGTTTTTTTATAAGCAATATGTTTAATTTTATACAAAAAGGCGGCAGAGAAAGAAAAACAAGAAAAATAGGCGCGTTGCTGCCAGTCCAGACAGCCCTCCATCCATGTCTGGCCCCTCCCTTTTCGCGAATATTCTAGGCTCTTCCCCAGAGGGTGATTTCGAAACACTCCGCCGAACATCATAGGGCCGTGCGTTCGGCTGAACTGGTGTCACTTAGAAGTAATGCCCTCGGGCCGATTTTGGACCAAATAAAGCAGAAATTGAGAGAATTAACGGCAGTCGATATTTAGCGCTCCTTTGGCACTTCCTTGTAATTGACGCCCTTTTCATACGTTATATAGATTTTTGGGAGGGTTCAATACAAGGAGGCGCGAAAGCCCGCTAAATGCAGGTTGCCGAAATTTAGTATTAAAAAGTTTTGAAAATGCTGGAAACGTGAAGTGCATGTGTATGCCGCCTCTCCCCGCCACGTTTTTCAGAAAATTGTCCGTATATCTTGTACTTGATCGACGACAGTGGTGCAAAGAGCCTGAATGCAGCCAACGGACAACTGTCGGAAATTAATATAAAACAATTAGAAGGTTGTTCTGTGGATTTTTCGCGGAAAGCATAATCTGAAGAAAAATAGCCCTACATTCATGGTTTAGCACCCCGCGAAACAGGGTCATGAACAAAATTATTGAGTTGAACCACACACAACGTCATTGCCGCGTAAATTCGTTGTTTTTTTGTGTGAAGGAAAGAGGTTCATAAGATAAAATAAAGAAAAGAAGAGATGAGATTGTGAAGGAGTATGGGGTATGGACCAAGTATATGATGAATTGGTTTAGCGTACTTATCCGCGCTATTTTAAGTAGGGTTTAGTTTATAATGAGGATATACCACTTTTCCACTCCCGTTTATCGAGGAATCCTAGCCCACGATGTTTCTTATTAACCATTTTCTCACAATTATTCCCAACGCACAGCAGATCTCTACACTTATAATGGATTTTTTTATGCCTTCCAGAAAACCTTTCCAATTTTGGGCCAGTTCCCACAGAATGTCAAAAGTTTTGTGCCGATTGGCAGTGGACAGTGGCTGGCCGACCGGAGAGGGGGCAGTGTCACTGTTTTGTGACTGTCCTTTTTGCAGCTCCGGAGGGAAAAGCGGGGAGACGGAAGAAGCTCTTCTGGAGAAGGAGAAGAAGGAAAAGAGAGCCCCAATACTCTCAAGTAGCATTGTCCCCTCGGGCAGTCATCAACACATTTACATTTACTCCGTCCCTCTTCTTGGCCGCCCATTTCCCATTTGCCAATAGACTCATTGATCTTTAGCCAAAATGATATATTTTTATCGTCTTAGATGAATAAGGGAGCGTTTTAAATAGTTTGTGCTATGTTATTGAATTAGTTGGGCGCTGAGCTTTGAATACCGTTCCAGCGATTAGTGCAGGTAGGTGCGACACAATTTGTCAAGTTGTCAAGTTGTCATTGGGGGGAGTTGGCACGCGACCTGGTTGTTGCTAAGTCTCGTGGTCAGTCATTAGCTGTATGATCGTCGACTGTAATCGATCTTATGCTAGTATACTTTTATATGACTTCATTTTTACTACTTTTCGTTACGTACCCTACCTTCCGAAGAGTGCTTGGTTCTGGTTCGTCAGGGGGGGGGGACATTTTTTGACAATAGCTTCTCTTATCTTAAATTACATTATTTTTAGCTGTATATGAAACGCTTCGTTTATATTTTTGATGCTCTATCCAATAACGGCAACAGGATATCGAAAAACCCGAAAAATCGCTTATCAACCCCATTTTCAGGGTTATTTTTGCTTTTGTTATAACTTTCTTAAATTATAGTGTTTTTATCCAAAATTAACAATATTATTTAATTTTTTTGGTGCTCTACAGGGTCGCGATCATATAGTCACCAAAAACAGTGAAATATTGAAAAATCCACGACAGTAACCCACTCCCGCTAACGAACCAGAACCTAGTGCATAAAAATATTCAACACACTTACTTAGTTTCCGTAAAAACCTTTAAAGACTCCTAATTTCTCTTAATCCCGTAAATTAATTCTAAGTATCGTTTTTGAGTACTTGATCTATGTTTGCAAGCGTTACCAATATAGCTATTGAGCAACAAGGGTTCATTCAAAGTTCAAGACCGCTTATTCACCAAGTGAAGTAACAGCCCTCTGGGCGTCCGTGTCACGACTATCCAGCCGGGGGATTCCGCGTAAGGGTGGTGGTTCAGAGTAGCGTCTCGGAAAAGTTCTTCCCCTTTCTACCTCTCCCCTTTCAACTGTCCCGATTATGGCCCGCCTGGAGGTAATCTTTCTTTGCACAGCGCTTCCGCGACGCACGCCTCCATTCCCATACCCATATATACCCAACCCCTTTAGTGTCTAATCTCGAACGGGTCACTTTGTGCTCTGGTTTTTGGGGATCTGTTATACCTCTTACTTTAAATTTTTATACATTGACTGTAGATCGGTTTTTATTCTTAAAAAGGTTACATGTAGTAATTTATCCTCCAAAGTATTCCACAAACAATTTTTTTTTAGAAATGCGGGCATTACTTCAACTTCTAGCCATAACTTCAACAACACTCGCCGCTTCAGTGATCTCAATCAAAGATGTAAGCCCAGAAACTACCGATCATACCTCATTATCATTCCAGATTGTAAATCGTGAAACACCAGAATTCGAGACAACTTTGAAAGAAATCGATTTCAGCCAAAAAGAAACTTTGGAACCAGCAGATCTCATTAAATTAGGTATGGGTTTTTGTGGTATGCTGGGGATAAAAATTATGATTAGGTATCGATGTGAAATCGGATCCGACGATGGGCAATAAAATTGAGGGTGATATTGTCGCGGATCCGGAGCCGGAAAAGAAGTCAAGCCGTACCACCCGGAATGCTATTAGACAGAATTACAGGTGAATAAACTGTTTTGAAAGATCTAAGAAAATGCAAATAACGCATCTGGACGTTCGAGTTTAGTTAGTATAGGGAAGGCATTTTCAGGAAATATTCTTTCAATTTCAGGCGGTGGCCAAGCGGTGAGATTCCGTACACCCTCTCCTCGCAATACGGTACTTATGCGCGTTCTGTCATTGCTAAGGCGATGAAGGAATACCACGATAAAACATGCGTACGTTTCATTCCTCGGGACGCTGCGAAGCATAATGACTACGTGTATATACATCCTGACGATGGCTGCTACTCACTGGTAGGTTGACGTGGATCTGGGGTAGTATTTAATCTTTAGTCTTCCTAATAGATGACAAAAATTCCTTCGAGGTTAAAGAAATTGTTCTAGTGAACATCCAATACCAAACATTTGAATTTGCGATTTTGTGTGAAACAATTTTTGGATCTCACTGTAATGAAAAACGGAGCGAGAGCTGAAAAGCTAGACCGAAATTTTATATGCTCAGATTTTTGCAAGCATTCTAAGGGGTAATCAAACCATTTCTGACAATTGTTCGCATAAAACAATATTTTCAGGTCGGTCGGACAGGAGGGCGTCAACCATTGTCACTCGACTCTGGATGCATCCAAGTCGGAACAATTGTTCACGAGTTAATGCATGCTGTCGGCTTCTTCCACGAGCAAAGCCGGTAGCGGTGTTGTGATCACCTCGAAGCCTGATTTTTAAGATCGGACCGAGACGATTTCCTCGAAATTGTTTGGGGGAATGTGATGAAAGGAGCGGATGATCAATTCGAAAAATACACAAATGCCGTGATTGATCATCTTGGCGAGCCTTATGATTTTTCTTCCATCATGCATTATGGTATCATTCTAGTAACCAAACGGTAATTTGATTTTAGGCCCATATGCATTTAGTGGGAATGGCAAAAAGACATTACAACCTAAGAAGGTAATTTTGAAACTATAGCCGCTTAAAACCGGGCAAATTCTAGGGCAATGCAGAGCGGATGGGGCAACGTGTTGCCTTTTCTGATATTGATGTCCGGAAAATCAACCGGCTATATCAATGTCCGGTGAAAAACCAAGTAATTGGGAACTCTGTCCTCGAGACACAGGTATCTTTAGGGTTGAAACTGTGAACCATGCTACAAAACAACCATTCACCCCCACGCACTAATAGCCTGCGAACTAACATACTGGTGAGTAGAGGCCATTGTGTGGCTTATGCTTATCATTGTCGTGTGTTATATGTTGTCCTGTTGAGTTGAGATTGTCTTCTTTCAGCCGAAAATCGAAGCAACCTCAAAACCGCAGCCATTCCAGCCGATCCAAAATCGTAGCAACTTTCGCCTCGGCACCTTCAGTTCGAAGAGGATTCGCATTATTAGTGGTTAATTTATGTTTTCTGTGTTTTCAGGCATAATTTATTAACAACAGGGTTCCGCTTTCTAATTGGTAATTAACCTGCTACAGTTTTATTGTAAAATCGAGGCGTTTGACGATTGCAGCGCTTACATCTGCATCATTTTTTGCAAGCTTGTCTCACTTCCACAACTGCGGGTGTACCCATTGTGTATATTATTATTGATGTCTTGTCAATCTCTGTGTCTCTCTCAATTTTCGTGTCTTTCTCTCTCGGTGGATGTTTGCCCTCTGAACGAGTAATAGCCGCCGGTAGGTGGAAAGAAGGGTCATTTGCTCTTTTTCTCAATCGGAACCAGTGTCCATTTGTTTGGTGTTGTTTGTCCGGTGCTGTCCTATGTATAATGTTTGTCATGTTGAATAAAATCTATTTCAAAGACCGTTTCCATGGGTTTTGTACACAATTTTTAGTGTCGTGATGAAAACTGGAGATGTCCTTTCTGGTTGTTATACGATTTTTGTGAAGAATTCGAGGAGATACGGTAAATATTGAAATACTGATAAAATTTACTAGATCCTAAATAATTTTATTGAAGTTAAATTGCTAAACGATTAAAATACTCAACATTATTTTCAGATACATCGTTTGTCGATTATCATGTGGACAATGCAACCCAAAATCATCGAAATCACTGTTAAAACCACAGAAGAGTAGGGAATCATGCCATTTTTCCAAAACCAAGAACTTTCAGAACCTCTATTAGCACGACGACCAACCTTCAATCGTTTTGATGAAATCTAGCCACCAATATGAAATGACCTCCCATGATTTACGGGTATCCCATTAGCATGTTCAAATTTTGACGTCGATTCCGGGCACTCCAGACTTTATTGAATAAACTTTGAAAAATTAACCTTTAAACAGCAATAACATTTGAAAAAAAGGCACTGGGACGTTTGGAATATAACAGGGAGTTGGTGTCGATGGTTGGAAAATGGCAAAGTGAACGGGGCAGTGAATTGGCGAGTGGAAAATGGCAATTGGGACCATACGATACTAACTACAAATGAACTGATAACGCCGTAAGTGCATCTAATGGCCGACGAGATGAGCAGGAATATTGCAATGATTCGATCCATCTGAATTGTTTTCTTGTATAAAGTTTATGTCATACCGTAAGAATGCGTAGTGTGAATCGGTGCGGAAAAAATACGCAACTTGTTGGTGAGACAATTTGACGACGTTTCGGAAGGCGATATTATCTTGTAGTGTTGGGACAGATACCGTATAATCGATTAAATTGAGGGCAATCATTGGTGAAGGATCCTTAAGCATTAGACTTGCATATTGTTATCGATTTTCAACTACCTTATGGGAATTGAAAAAGAATAAATGTCCATGGGCATGTAGTACAAAGAGTTTTTGCCAACCGCTGCTGGTTTTTAACTTCCGGAGAACCAAACCGGCCCTCCACCTCTCAGCCATCTAAAGCAATACGTTTAAAAACTTATAAAAAAGGCCTACTTGGTGAACTTCTTCCCTCCTTAAAGTACCTCCTTTCGACCAACATGACGCGAGCAGGCTTTGTGCCTTGTTTGGGTCCCCTAAGCTCCAAATAATATAACTATTTTCTTGTTTACTAATTTCAGAATCCAGTACACATTCTCCTTCTCCCAGCACCATTTCTATCTTGAGCAAACTTGGCGGTTGCCTGGTATAGGATTTGATGGCTGATGTTAGTTCTTCTAAAAAATTCGAAATTAGAGAGAACCGACTATGCAATACCCACCAGCCCATGCTTGACAGTTTTTGGATGCAAAAATCAATGTTTCCTCGATGGTTTGTAGAGCAAAACAATTACGAGACTGATGGATTATTTGACTAACCGAGCCCGATTTCTAAAAACAGATAAGAATTTATAATGGCCGAGCACTACCAGTGTGTGCATCTGGATAACTTTTAGGACGGCAAATTTGTTTGCGGATTGTCGGGCAATGATGAGGGAATCATTGAAAAGGAGAAGCAAGCTGGGTATAAAATCGATTCCGCAATTTTCGGAAACTCGGCCCGCAACGAGGAGCTGCTAAAAAACGATTTTCTAGATTTTTAAATTCAGTAATCGCTATACCCGGTCTGGATGTGTCAATGGACTGATGCCGGTCAGAGCTTTTTCAATTTCAAGCAGCGTCGCAAAGTCGTACAATAATTTCCGCTAAAAGATGAAATATTCGGAATTAAATAGCTCTACCTTTTGAGCAGTAGCTGCAGCGTGGTGAGCCAATGAATCAACAGCCATTCTAGCTGTCCCCAAAGCTGCATCGCCATGTCCAAAACTTAACAATGTCTCGACAATTCTTGCTCCGGCCTAAACACGTTATCTTTGGCACGATAGCTTCTAACCTCCTGCCAGTGAAATAGCCTATTCATCACGCGTACCAATAACCACACCACCGGAAGGTAACACTCGGGAGATTGCTCGAATTCCCTAAATATTGATAATTTTTTAAAATTATTTGCTTACCGCAGTGTCCGCCTAAATTCTGTATTTGTTTGATAAAGCTGATAAAAGGCAGAGATGTAAGTTGTCATATTTCTTAAAAAATAGGCTATTTATTTTTAAACGTTTAGGAACAAACCTGAGCAGTGCATCCTGTTTTGAAATAGATGGGCCAGACGCTGCCAGAATAAGCGTGGCAAAACGTGTTGGCAAATCCGGGGATCTAAACAATCATGTGGTTTTTTATAAAAAAAGGCTCTCACTCAGTTTCCAGTGCATCGAGGTCTTGTATGAATCTGGTAATGGCGCTGGAAATCGCATCAATATAGGTAAACATTTCCCCCAGTAAATAGTATTCCTTTGTAAAATCCAGAATTCGTTGGTGAAGGACCTATGAAAATGTAAGATTTTTGATGCCTCCACAACCTTTGAAATCAGAACAGCATCGCGTAGCAGTGTCCTTTCCTGGATTCTCAGATCTTGTCGAATTTTTTCAACAGCTGCTACTTCCTACAACAAATTTGAGGGTATACTTTTAGTTATCTTACAGAAGTGCTTTGACCATAATCACTTTCAAACATCTCCGTCGAGTCATTTGTGTTGAGAATGGAATCCAAATCAACTTCACCATCTCTTCTTCTAGTGCTCTCATTCGAATCCTGTTTTTTGAAGGTCGTATATTGATTTGAAGGATGATGTCGAAAGATGGTTCCTAATCAGCCATTATTTAAACGGTAAAAAGGTTTTAGACTACCGTATCCATTTGGTTTAGCGCTTTTTTGCTTTTCGATGGCACTGTACGTTGATACGTCCATTGCACCTAATACCCAAAATAATTGTTTAATATGAAACAATACCGTAAGTGGAACTATTATAACCACCAAATGAGATGACACCATATTCACTAGAAGCACCACGCGACGAACAGCTCGAAATCATTCCCTATACTTCTTTTCTTAAAAAAAACTATTTATAAAACCTTATTGTGTTCCACGGAATTTGTTGATCGTTCCGAAAATGACGAATTTACGCCATACACAGATTTTCGCCTTTTCCCCGTAGGGTCTGAAAATCATTAGAATAGTGCTCATGGCTCCCTTTTCTGTGTGAAACAGTGTGAAAACAATTAATTTTAAAGAATTATCATTTATTCCGAAAATGGCACATAAAATAATTATCACCAGCCGAAGAGAAAAATGTCTAGTCCACGGTGCTGCTCTGTATGAGTTACAATTGATTCGAATTTTGAGAAAAATCAGAAATAGGGATGGGGTGATGATGACTTTTCTAATGGGCGGATCTAATAATAGGGAACACGACACAGATTGAGAAACACTCATTTGCAAGACAGCTTTTTAATAAATTAATATTAGAATTTTGGAAGCCGTCTTGCAAGGGTTTTCTTTTTTTTGAACGATATTTGGATGAATGAAGGGGGTTTTGGCATTCCTGTCTCCCGGGAACATCGAAATAAGCCCAAAACTCACGCAAACTGGGGCATCAAAAGGTTCGAAAGAATCAAAAAAGATAAAGAGAGCTGAATGAGGATGTCGAAGGTTTGAGTGTCAAATAAAATCTGTTGATGTGTGTGTCGGGGCTCTAATTTCGGTATAGTGCAACTAACTTTCGGAACTAGATAAAATTAAAATCTTTGATTTATTCAACAATAAAAAACGTTCTAGGCAGTGAAGCAAGCACCATATTGAACGGGAGAAATGTAAAGGGAAAAGCGAGAGCATAGGTTTTCAAGGCACTGCCGCTGGCTAGAAATAGAAACCTTTTGGAAGCGGGCCACGGAATTTGGCTATTGATTTAGACCACGGCTAGCTTTTCATGCTTGTAGCTACAACGAAAGCCAGTTTTCTCACTGAAAAGCAAAATTCCGCAACCATTACATCAGCTACGAAACGCTAAAAACTGTCGAAAAGTGCTGAGTAAAACGGTGCACATTGCTAGGGCCAGTGTTTAGGGTGTGGAGCTGAGTATTTGAAAAGAAAAGCAAGGGAAAAAGGAAAAGCGGAAAGTTTTGTATAAATGTAACTCCGGGGAGACTGTTAGCAACCAAGGAAAATGGGTATTCAGGGTGCAAAAGAACTAAAAAAACAAACGTGCAAATATTGCGTGACACCATTACCGTAAGAAGGAGAAGAGGCTTGGCAAGCATGGAACGATGGACCCGTCGATTGTTTCTTGCATTAAGGCTCCAAAAAGCAGAAGTTCTTCGACCGGACGATGGCATGCAAATTTTAAAGGGATGGTGTTGCATTGAATAGCCGTTGAAAGTTTTTGAGCTTTAAATACGCCAAATTAACCACGCTTTAGGTTTTCATAAACGGTTCACCATCCCTTCCAAAAGCGGAACCACTGAAATGCAACCTGGGAAGGCTTCAAAAACGTTTTACATTGAATTTGGTATGTTCCACCTAAAAAGCCATGCAAATGACCAGCTTAAAATAAATAAGCAAAGGGCAAGAGATCAAAAATCGGTCCACAAGACGCCACTTTCCGTTCTTCGTGACGATGGTAGTTGTTCGGATTCACTTTTTGGGCTCTCATCGATAAATGGCGGAGAATCAGAAGATGTTGGTGGTTGAGTAGGACTTGGTCCTTCTCTTTCTTCTTCTCTTACTGAATCCATTGGAGGTACCAATGGTCCTGCTTGCACAGACGTTGCTGTCACACTGCACATCTTCAATTGTGCCACCTTTTCTGCGGCTTCTTTGGATTTTGGAGGAGGTGGTGGTGGAGTCTTTTTCTTTTTCTCGGCTTCTGGAGGTGGTGGAGGCAGTTCTTCTTCTTCGCCTGGTTCAAGTGAACTTTGTCGATGTAAAGTTGGGGTAGATCCTGTATTGATTGTACAAATGTCATCAGGGGTTGGAAGTTGGAATCTAACAGGTTGTGTCTGCCTCCTTGGATCACCACGCTTTCCGTTCTTTTTAGCCAATGCTGATCGTTCTTGACTCATCGATCTTCTTCTCAATAAATATTCGAGAACATCTCCAGAATCAGGCGTTGTCGGTGAAATAGTGTGATCAGTGGAGGAAAAGGCGGTCGGTGACGGGAGCTTTTTTCTAGGAACTAGATCTAACGATTTCCTTCGAATAAAACTTTCTGGACTTTTTGAAGAAGCCCTTCCCAATGAATTTGTAGCAATAGGCTTTTGTTCAGATTTGAAACTTGTTGTTCCTGTCGGTGGGTTTAGACTTGGGGAATCAAGTTTTCTAACTGTCAAGGTATATGGTATCGGTGAATCATCAAAGAATTGACATTTCTCAATATCCGGTCGGTCCTCACTTTGAACAGAAATAAGAGCTGGTTTTGATAACTTTCTTTCCAGTTTTTCTTGATGTGGGGGTGGAGTGGGTTTGGTTTCTTCGGGCTTTTGCACATTTTCGGCTTTAGCTTCTTCGTTGACAAGTGTTGCTGCGAGGTTGACAACTGGATGATTTGCGCGTCTCTCCAATCTGGCATATCCATCATCTGGTGGTACTTCATCGTAGTCACCAGAAAGTGGACGGATAGGTATTCCTTTAGGTTTTGGTGGAACGATTGGTTTGACTTTAGCAGTTGTTGGTGTGGCTTTTTCTCTAACACCTTCAGGCGTAATCATCATCGTATCTTTCGTAATAACCCTTCCTGGTAATGGTCCAATAGCTCCATATGTCTGTGGAGAAGTTGATCGTTTCTCAGTAACAGATCCATACGATGCATATTCGGGGGAAATTTGACGACAAGTTATACGTTTTACCGTCGAATATTCATGCGTTTCGACGACACTTTCTTCAGCGGTGATTACTTTGGGTTTCATTAATAATGCTCCTGTAGACGTATAAATCGGAGTGGTCTTTGTAAATGTTGAGCTTAGAACGGTTGTCGTATTCTGATAACCAGTACTTGATGGGGTTGACTGGGCAGCTTCAACATTTGGGCCATCAATTTCAATTGGAACCAAATCTGCTCGATGCTGACTGAAAGGAAATTCTTTTAGTCTCTTTCGAGGTTCAGCTCTAGCCGATGGTTTCTCTTCATTTTCTGATCCTTGTGATCGAGCAGTTGTAACTACTCTCTTCACAATAACATCACCAACACGTTTTGCCGTAAAGGTAGTGTTCATGGCATCTTGATCACGAAGTCGATCATGATCGGATAAATTATACGAATCTTCCGAAACATTGTCAAAATCTTTCGAGTCGCGCCGTGAATTCTCTTGAAAATCTCCGGATCGAGATTTGGGAGGTTCATATGCATAAGGGGAAGTAGAAGTAGTCGGATTATCAGCATCATCAAGGACATTTGGAAGGGAAAGGGACATATTCTCAGGTGGTGTATGATTAGGGCTTTTATGTGGGGGACGAGGTTCACGAGTGCATGAGGTAGATGGGCCTTCAACATCAGAAACAGCTCCACGATCATAGAGATGATCACGATGTCGTGGTCGTGATAGTCTGGCATCAAGTGTACCTGCTTGTTCATGGCCCCTAATTGATGAAACATGAGGCATCGAAGCGTGATGATCTCTTTGAAGGCTTGATGTACCGCCGACGGATGATGCCACGCCGCAAGTGTGGTAACCCGAACGAAGTGGTCTGGAATTCAATTTTTTTTTAATAAGTCAATTTATCGAAGTTACTGAAACAGCTTTGTATGTGGGAATCGGATTTAAATGTCATTTTCGCAACATTTTAAATTTTTGAAAACTAGCGTTGACGGCTCAAGAGACAAAATAAACTCCCAAAATTCAATTTCGTATCCTAATTTTCGATAAAATCAAAATAGGCCGGAAGAAGATGCTGACCGCAATTTGCCTCAGCTTGGATTCAAATTACATTTTAGCGTGGATAGCGTGAATATCTACACAGTATTTTTTAAATTTTTGAAACCTGGTAAAGGGCTCCCTCCGTTTGTGATGCTCCCTCACATAATCGATCAGTTGCCTTTGCGTACGGCCGTGGAATCTAAAAATCATGAATTTAGTGGGGTTATTACCATACTCGATACCTGAAAGCGGATCCTTTACTAAATAATTTTGTGTCTTTTCGAGGAAATTCCACTTGGACGCATCTAAAAATGTAGGAATTAGAATTTCATTAAAGATCGCCACTTACCTAAAGAAACCGTGATGTTCCACACATTTCTTCCAAAAATTCTTGCACTCATTGCGGGTTTCAAAGTAGAATTCGATAGTTTCCTTGTAGCATTGCTAAAATTAATTACGGTATAGAGGATGCAATTGTCAAAGCATGAAAATATTCAAACGTACGTAGCTGTCTGGGTGGAGTTTTATTAACAGCTTTTTCCGCTTGAACGACAGCTTCCTAATTTTTGCCCAGCTGAAGGTCGAAACACAGTGGAACTGATGGAAGACCTAGACGTTTTAAGTAAAGAAAAAGCGGTTATGTCTAACTTTAATTCCAAGATGCATGACGGCAAGACACGCTTCTGTTCCCTCAATATCCTTGGCTGGATGGAGCTTGATCCCGTAAAAGTCGCATCTTCTGGCCACCTCCAACATTTGCATATCAGCATCCTCTGGGGTGAGACCACTGAAATGCGTCGTCATACAGCTGTGGTAAAAAATAATCAAGAAACTCTAGTTTTTTTTCTGTTTATTGTCAACCCATTTTTGGACGACTACATCAAAACTGAAGTTCCGCCATGCAGTGGGTTTAGTTAATATTGCTCTATTTTGAGGGCTATCAACCGTATGGTCAACGCCTGTAATCTTAGAGCCTCAGGAAACCAAATGCTGTTTATCAATGCGGCGTATAAGATTGACTTACATCAACTTCTTGTGGCATTCCATGACTTTCTGCTGGAAATGGATGGTTTGATTTGGGACGAAGCGGGTGTGGGATAGATATGATGGGTCTGGGTAGTCATCAGGTGAGAAGTCACCACAATCCGACTAAAAAGTATGGGTAGAAATCATGGATCGAGGGCAAACCTGCACAAAATAGGCTGCCAGCAACGCTGCCGTACTGTCAGCACAAAGAAAATGGCCTTGGGAGAGATCTCTTCGGATTTGTAGCGAAAGGAGGTATCTGAAAGAATTTGATACCATAAGTGTCTACACTAAAATCTCTTCTCTAAAATAAGCTACCACCTGTATAAAATCTGTTCACATTTTACTTAGAATTAAAAAAGTGAATATGACCTTAGTTTTAGTTTTGTTAAAACCTAGAGGGTATTGGGTAAAACTCGATGGAATTGGAAAAATTTATCACTTTTGCGCTACATTTTGGGCATTTCGGTCGATCAAAAAAACCAAAACCCGCTTCCTCTTTTCTCTTTTTTTAAAAAGTTCCCTCACTTCCGGTCAAACCTAAGCTTTTCCTCAGCATTTTGTCGGACACTTTTCACACCCTTCCCCCTCTTTCCGTCTTTCCAGTATAGTGTAACCCCGAGCAAATGTCTCTCTCTCTCTCTCTCTCTCTCTCTCTCTCTCTCTCTCTCTCCACCCAACCACAGACTACTGACCTCGTGTACTCCTCCTCCAAGTCCATCGGGTTCGGCGTATAAAATTTTACGATCAGGTGAAATTTCACATCGGTCGTGCCGGCGATTTGGCGTAAAATTGTCTTGTCCTTGTCCAGCCACACCTACAATTAAGTGGTGGCCGGTTTTCGTTACGGGAAGCCCCGTTCTTTTTGGCTAAAAGCATCGGAGATCCGGGGTGACTAATCGCTTTAAACAACCGGCAAGGAGGGGGGATCGTGATTTGGGTAGAGGTGTAAAACGTAAAAACTGACGTGACATCCCTCGTTGTCGACAAATTCTAGGCCAAAATAGTCGGACTCGAGGAGGTTGAGATGGCGCGCTACTTCTTCCAAGAGGGTTTGACCGGTGGCCTTTTGCTGGAAAAGGTTAGATAGGATTTTTTATGTACCTTATTCAAAGCTGATTTATTATTTAAGCAATCCACTCCCTTTCCTAATCCTAACTATTCCGTAATTGCACTCTGTGGTTAGCGGATCTCTCCGAAACTAATCGGAATATTCGATAGGGGACGTCTAGAAAGCCGACCCGGCCCGTTCCCACAATCCGGACCCTCCTTTTGCCGGATCGGGTTACAACGGTCCACTAGAAGATTGCAGGAAATATGCGAAGAAGATGAGAGAGTGGTTAAGATTTTGAGAATGAGAGAAAGAGAGCCCGGGTCAGTATGGATGGCCGTTTTGCTCATCTTTCCCGGTTCCCAAAGGATTAGTCGGAAATGGGGCCGATTTTGAAGGGGTGGGAGAAAGAGTAAGGTGTGGCTTGAATAGAATTTTACGCTAAGTTCTAATCTATTTTTAAGAATCGCGGCATTTAGGAAAAGTTTGGGCATAGTAGTGAGCGCGAGGTAGTCGGAAGCGGTAGATTGGAAACCCTAACAATAAGGATGTATTCAGGATTCCCAATCGCGCTTGAAAAAGAAATTTTTAGAACTCACGCCAAGGTGAAAAACAGCCACCGATTCGTCCAGTAAGCGGACCTAAAATTGCATAAAAACCGGCATAAAAATAAAAATACCTTGACACACATGAGCTTTCCTCGACGAGGATCGACTCCAGGAGGGCCTGCCCGTGGGCCGCCCATAGCGACCGCTGCAAATTCTTGAGAGGTTATCAGTCAACCGGAGGGTGGATCTATTTGATCGGGGACATCACCCAAAATATATCCCCCCTCTCAATGCTCTTCAGAAACAAGGGAACACTGCCCGGATCGTCATCAGGAATGTCGTGTACATATTATTTTATGGGGGACCGGAATTTCCCGAAGACAACTATGTAGTTTAAAGGGAGTGGGAAGCCAGAACATGGCTCGAAAAGGACGCAAGAAAGCTGAGAAAAAAATTAGTGAGTCTGTCCTCATGCAGTATTGCCTGGCGCAATTGCTATTTAGCTAATCTATTTCCCGAATCACAAGGTATTTTTGACCAATTTTAATCTAAAAAACTAATTTCGGGTAAAAAGCGCTCAAAATACGGAATATGAAATGAGAATTTCAGCAGTTAACAACATTACTTTGCAGATACGAAACGTTTTTCGGGAAATGCAGTGGCAGCGGATTCAGCGGATTCTGATGCCTTGTTCGCCATGTCTTCTCTTTAAAGTTAATTCCCTTAACTATTACTCGGCTCCATTCGGACCAAAAATTAGCATGCCTTTCTCTGTGGCTTCTCCTTCACATCCCCCAGGTTGATGCCCATTCCCCGGAAAAAATATGCCAAACAATACGATGGCGTAGTGGAGCTAGCCCCCCCTTTCTGCCCCCCTTCTAAACGAAATACCCCACGGCTAATTCCCGGCTTCCGGCCCTCCCGTAACGCTACCATCTTTTATGGGTTCCCATTGCATAGACAAGAAGGCTCACAGCCCCGAAATAAACGATCACGCTTTAGATGGGGGGTGGAAGTGGGAACAATACTCTACCTCGGCCATGTTTTAGCAAATCAAAGATCAATCAAAATCAACTAACCTGAATGCGGAGCCACGGCGTCCCCACCCCGATATTGCTGCCGAATCTGAATAATGTGACGCGTTTTGCCGGGAACGTAAAATGGGAAAACGATGATCGAATGGCATGGGAAGTGGTGGCATATGGAAGCAATTGTCGGAATAGAATTGACGAACTCCGAGAGAAATAGAGAAAGAAGGAGACAATTTGGATTTACAACACAACAATTTCAATTCTAAAATTTCTTTGAAAAACTGAAAAGCTAAAATATTTGGCTAGCTAGATATGAGAAACTACTGGACGAAGTCAAATCCGAAGCTTGGCAAAAAAAACTGTAACTTTCCAAGAAAAAGTGGAATTAGAGAGATCCGGGCAAATTTTTGGGGTTTAAATTTTTGACTTCTCTAGCCCTTTAAACCGGAACTAGGTACTCGTCAAAATCACAACTTATTCAAACAAATTCGAGGATTGTTGCGTTTATTGTTTCAAACACGGGCACGAGGATAAAAAATTCAGAATGCGCACCCGTGCGGTGGGGGGGTGGGCGGAGTAGGGTTTTTGGAAAAAGAGAGAAGGGGGAGTATGTGTGTATGTATACATGTATATCATGGCCAGTAGTGGAAGCGAGGGAGAAGGGACTGACTGGGGGGCAGAAGCAGCAGCCGTGTGGCACATTGACGGGACACGAAAGGGACCCACAGAGAGGGCCCAGACATTCCCCTCTCTTACCCTCCGCCCTTCTCCTTTAGCAGAACTGAGCCTTCAACCCCAAAAAGCAAAAAGACCCGCCCTAGGCCCCACAGCCGTCCAAAAAAGAGTTCCTCGCCTTTGGCCCTGTCCATGTGGTCCTCTTTTGACTATAGAATGAGATAGAAAGCGAGAGATAGAGAAGGAGAGATAGATATATTCTCCAACCCCGGCATCCATAACAAATCACCGAGTCTTCGTTCTCCATCTCCCCCTCCACCTCCTTCACACTCTCCATTCCGTCCCTCACCCAAATTAAAGTTCTTCTAGCCACCTTTTTCGGTGCGGCGACAATTCCGAGGAGTAACAGGGGTTGGAATTCAGAAAGACGAGAGGCCATCTACGGTACGGAGCTCATGACGTTAGACATGGCTATTTGAATCTGCGTAAAATATAAAATGCAAAACTTGAAAATGGCATTGCTATCGTAATTGCGCAAAGGCGAATTATGAATTAGGGGTAGTCAATTCAGGAAATCAACTAGTACATATAATGCTGACACAAGTACAAAAAATAGATGCAAAAAATTTACAAATGTTACAAAAAATATGTATTAATTAGGATTCCACTCAGTACGTATCGAGAGCCTTTTCCAAAAATCCATAAGCAGAATTGGCCGGACAATCGCACAGCTGCGATAGTTTTTTAAAGGCACCGCCGCATATGTCCATTTTTTGCAACCCGATACAGGAAGGGCTATGCAGCCTGGGTATTTACAGTTGTATTATCCGGGCACTAGCAACAAAACACGAATAAATAAAGGATCGACCCAGATAACTATGATGTATCCAAAACATGTATCAAGTCATGTGTTTCGACGACAAATGTCATCCATTTTCTCTTCTCCATCCCAACCCCAGCAGGTGCCCAACCACCCCGTGGATAGTGTGCAGGATTTGAAAAAATGGATTTCGATTCGAGGACAACAACTGTTTTGGCAACAATTCAAGTGACACCCCCAGAAACCCCTTACCCTGGAGAAGTCGACGATTTGAAAGGTGGGCGGGGCCTTTGGAGGGTTGGAAAAGCCATTTGTTATGGATGCTGGGGGGCGAGATTTGTCGCGTTGGCCCAGCTGCTAGTTGCGTCGTTTCGAGTTTTTGGGCCGTACAACGTCCGGGTAAAACAATATGAAAAATCGGGATAAAGGTGGTAGCGCTTCAGAATATATTTAATGGAGTTGTTACATGTCAGTAATATGGAGTTCCGTATGCATATCACCTACACAATTGTGTACAACGCTCAAATGCAAATGCGAATTTTGATATTCAAGTAATCATTGATGTCTTTCAGAATGTTTTGTTATTTAGGCAAATTTAATTGAGTTTGTTGCATGCGATCTAGATAAGCTTGTTTCCAAACAAGCACACAGTGTTAAAACCCTTTTGGCGTTTCCTGTTTTCCATTTGAGTTTTCAAGTTTTCTTAAGAATAAGTAAAATTAGTAAAGAATTAATACTTTTCCATAAGAACTAGATTTTTAAAACCTTTCAATATTTGAATGTTGTTCAGATGAATTCAGACAAAACAGTTAACGCGCTATTACGCAAGTTATTGCCGGTTTGTTCCACCAAATTACCCGATTTCAAAAACGGAAATTGGCTGGCAGATAAACCATCAAATAACATGCAATTCTATCTGTGTGCAAATCTTATATACATGTGCTTCCTTCTAATTAACAGTATGTAGTCTTCTACGTTTAAAAAACCCCCTTGCCAGCTGATCAAAAAACACCCAATCTTTTTCGGAACCTTGAAAAACCCCTCCAGAAGCGGAACCAACCCCATTCCCCCAAGAAAAAGACCGGATATAGCGAACGGCCCGTTAAGGGGTTTTGGAAGATGGGTATGCCGGCCCTCCCTAAAGGTTGGTTGGGCCTCTGGAAAGCAGAGGCGAAGCAGGGGGCATGCCCGTAGCCTATGTGGCCCGTTGATTACTCCACTTGAGGAAGAACGGGACCGCAAATTGGGCTCTCGGTCGGTCCCACCCATTGGTCCGTCTTCAGCCAACCTCTTCTTTTCATCCTCCTCTAGCCACATCCACACCTGCTCTCTACTCTTCTCTCTCGGATACGGACTTATCCGGACATGGCTGCCGGCGCGCAAAATTATATTTACGTCATTTCTGGAGAGGTGGCACCTCCCGTATAACTTAATTTGGGAAAGTGGGGGATGGGGAAGTTGGGATGAGGGTGTAAGTAAGATATAACATAGTAATGTCTGTGTTGTTTATAAGGTATACAAGTCGAAGGTGTCAAATTGATAAAGAAGAAGGTTCACAAGGCGTCGTTATTATAACTTTGTGATCTGATACCGCTCTCATAGAGCATCAAATGCTGAAAAACTGAAAATTTTAGTCCTCATGACTCATACCATCCCTCTGCACAAAGTGCTAATCCCAGAAATAACACTACCCCAAAAACGCGCGGGAAATAAATCTAAACAAAGGAATTGCGGTGCGAAGAAGGGCGAGGAGGAGAAGAATGAGGAGGACCCTCGTTAGGAAGGGGTACTTAAGTGGCCGGAAAAAGCAAGGATGTGGCACCTCGTTTTAGGGGCCCGAAAATTCGATATTTTTTAGGGGAAAGTTTCAAGATGTTGGAAAGCAGGAAAAACGGCGCTAATTGTTGCGTTCCGGATGGGAGTTTTTGGGATGCAGATGGGATGAGTGGCGGTAATGCGATTACTCAAGGAAACTTGTCGTTTGGGTCATGTAATAACTACTGATCGCGGATTTCTAAATATGGAAACAGGTTTAAGCTACAAAGCAAATTCACTAGAATTGTCGTTATTAATACATGCTATATATGTTCTCAAAGATTGAAAAGTCCATAAGTTGGGATAGAATAGTACGGGGGCCATGGGGCCAGAGGCAGAAGCTGGACCCGGGGCGGGTGAGGAGCACACTGGGCAGGCGAGTGATTCGATTTGCGCAGCCCTTGGACATCTCTCCGAGGGCCATCTTCTTGGCCTTCCGAACGCTTCAAAACTGCCGTTGGGGCCGAAATATTGGGTTCAGATGGATGGGGATAGATGGTCATACAGTTTGGGCAAGGAGTTCAACCCAAATTCAAGCCAACACCAGTTTTGCGGTAGAGAATGACGGTCGATATTACAGTAAGGTATAGGAATCTAACGGAGTTTATAGAAATTTAATTCTACAAACTCAATAACCAAGTTTTCGAATCTTCTCGCAACCTTTCAAAGGCCGAAACGGGATTACAACATCTTAAAAACTGATGGTTCTTTGAAGATGTAAAATCCCTATGCAATTCCCTGTCCCCGGATTTCACTTTTCAAATTTTGAAATATGAACTCCCAATTGAATAAACGTAATTTGTCGTCGGGCGGACAGCAATGAGCCGTGTTCGGGTTGTTCCCATCGCTTTTGTTTGTTGTTGAAAGGGAATGTGGTGGGATGAAATGGATGGGACGGGGGCCCCATGGTAACCATTTTCCTCTATTTATACATTTTATATACATATAGCATTATTTATCAAAAGTCGAAGGCCCTGTGATTGCTTTCGGTTGGTTGAAAAACTTTCATTATTGGGTACCGTTCTGATGCAATCGAAGCAAAAATTAATTTTGCCATAATCCTCGATTCGGCAATAACCCGAGAGAGAGAGAGAGAGAGAGAGAGAGAGTGAGCGCGAGAGAGAACATGAATCAGAGACATAGAACAACACACAGACATTTTGCGTTCTAGAGCAACTATTCCTGTTTTCCATAATTTGTCCCAATCCATCGTCTAATTAGATGGTATGCTGCGTGAAGTCTGGCCATTCTCCAAAGCCCCCGAATTTGTGGTGTCCTTTTGCGATTAAAAAGCTTCACCCCTTTCCTATCACCCACCGGCCAGGCATCAATATGTAATTTCATTTACACCTTCAAAAATAGTGTACCAAAATTCGATGTTTTGACTAGGATCAGCTCAAATATCATAATGCGAAAGACCTCACCAGGAAAATGATAATCTTAATAAATTTCTTACCCTCCTTCGCGGCGTAACTTTCTAAATTCAACTTTTTATTTATTGTTTCTCTAGTTCTGTAATGAACCCAATTCGTTAGAATATGGTTTCGCCCAGCCAAATTGGCTTCAGACCACAAAAAGATTTTTGATCACCGCAATTAGGTGATTTCCGGATCTGTTTTGCTTGGGTCTCGTGTTTCTTTCTAGGTCAGCCCACTTCTTGTCACGTTCTTTAAAGCGTGCATTTTCTAAAGATTGCTAGTAATGAATCTTCTAATTTTTGATCTTTGACCAGAAACATATAAGCCCTTCAGTGCGCAAATTAGCACCGGCACGCGATATTGAAAAGTCATGCTGAAACGTTCTTTGGAAAATATAGTCTGTTCCGAGGGTTGGGAAGGCGCCACATCACTCCAGACAGATGGTGGATTAGGAAATAGTACTTTTTAGAAAGTTATCCAAGTTGTTTCCGGCCCTAGGTCAACCCCCGGGACACCAACGGGACGGATGTCACCCTCCGTCCAAAATAAGTGGATTCTTGTGATTTTAAATGTACTAGGGTTGTGAATGAAAGCTTTGTCCAAATTTACCTTTGAACACTTTGCATCTGCTAATACTCCTTCCTAAAACGGTGAAAAAGACCGGAAATTTTCACTTTCCTTGCATTGCCACGTCAGTCCATCTTACACTAATGTCGTTAATCCTATTTTTAATCCGTTTTTGGAGGGTAATCCACGGTTTGGCGTAGGTACTGCTCGGGTTTCTGGGTCGGCACGTCGACAGTTTCCAGGGTCTTTTTTAGTGTGGATTTTCGAGGAGGTAAGTTTTGAATTTTGGCAGATTTTAGTAGTCGTAGCCCCCAAATCCTGGCCTTGCAATATCCAAAATCATAGGGAAGAAGCCCGGTGATGCAGAGCGTAATTAGTATCACAGTGCGATGGATGGATAGAGAGCGGAGGGCTAGAAGGCAAGGGAAGGGACGTAATCCTCAGTACGAAGCCTTATAAAAACGGCAATTAGCACAGGTGGACAAGATGCTGCCTTCCTCTCAAGATGCTCTCCTTCATCCCCCATCTTGCCTACCTACCTTTTAGGGTATTTTGCTCATAACGGGGGGAGATGGCTGGTTTTTTGGCATTCGTTGTGTGTACCGGTAGCGGAACCACCCAAAGAAGTGGTGCCCTGTGTTTTGCCGCACACGCGACGGGATTCATTATTCTTCTGGGAACGCCCCCCGAAGGATTCTAATTGATTTTCGGGTTGTGTAGTAATGTTGGGATTACTCAGTGATGAGACGGGCGATTTTTAGGTTTGCAATATTATTCGTGGAAGACTTTTATGTCGATTGTTCGCTGGTGATTCTAGCTTGTTCATTCAAATCAAAAAATCTACTGAATTTCTAAGTTAATGCCAGTTTTAGACAAGTGTTTTGCTTTTTCCATGGCCTGATCTATACTTTCAGGATATACGAAAGCATTACCGACCTATTCGTGGAAGGGTACCGTCTCCCACTCCACGCACCGTCGAAACGTCATACCCGTAATAATTGGTTGGTTCATTAGTTGATTGAAGAATCATGGTAGTGCCAGTCTCTCTCTCTCTCTCTCTCTCTCTCTCTCACTCTCAATTACCACCCCCACAAAAAGGTGTTCATCGGAAGGGAGTCAGTCTCCCGATGGGACCCCCTTTATTCCTAACATTCGAATCGATGGGTTCAAGAAGTGGGATACCGATGTTAAGCCGTATTCTTTTTAGTCTACGCGCCAGGATACCACTTATTCGGAAGATTTCCGGAAAGCAGAAAATCGCTACGCAGCCGTCCATGGTATGCTTATCCTTCAAAAGATATAATACCTATACTCTAGGCACCGCGCCCGGACGGTCCACCACCCGATCCAGACCCTGGGCAAACAAGTAAAAACGGAAAACCAAAACCGGGCGTATCATTTAATGTAGGTTTCACGAATAATTTTATAGACATTATTAATTTTAATATATTTTAATATATTGAAGGATCCATCCCAAACGGAGAGGGTCCGTTGCCTATTGACGGCTGCAGTAACCGGAGACTCGGATACAATTCGTCTCCTTCTCGATCATCCACACACACGCAAGGTGAATTAATAAATACCTTCGCCCCCTCAAAAAACGTTCACTTTGAACGTTTTCTCCCAAACGATGATTTTTATAGTTTGTCGAAGATTAGTGCTTTTACAAAATGTTGCTCCCCAAATATGCTAATATTGTTTAGAAATCCTTCTGGCTTCAAGCTTGCCATCCTGTAACTGGGTGCTCATTATTGCATCTCGCCGTTATTTTTGGGTAATGGACACTTCGATTTCTAAATCATGGTTTTCCAGTAATACCAAAGCTGTTGAAGCTTTGATCAAACATTCGGGCTGTCCGCTAACGTTTCGAGACGCGGTAAGTCTAATATAATAAAGTACCACCCAGTTCTCACTGTATCAAACTGTCAAAAACGGAGCGATTAGCGCAAAAACGGGACATGGGTGACCCTGGTGAAAAAGGGTGTCGGCTTCCGGAATCCATTAGAACCTCTCGCCGGCAGTGGATCGGTGTTCGTTTAGAAACTCCAGACATTTGATTGCTATAAATGGATTAGTAGCGTTTTGTCGAGAATTTCTTAGTTGATGCTTCATATTTACAGGAAGGCAGAACGGCTCTTCACTATGCAGCAGCTCTTTCCGGGATTCACAATGATCCAACGTTGTATTTTGCTTTGATAGAGGTTGGTCTGGCCAATGGTTGGGAAATAGGCTTTCTGTCTCTCTCTCTCTCTCTCTCTCTCTCTCTCTCTCTCTCTCCCTCTCGTTCTTTCCTAGCTCCCTACCTCTACCCAACCAATTAACCCTATGTTCCGACAATGACTGACTAAAATTCGATTCCGAACAAGGCTCCGTTGTTTTTTTTGCGGAATGACTATCCCTGATTTTATAAATTTAAGACTGCACCCAAAAGCGTCTCTTTTCGCTCAAAGGGCACTCATGGTATGAGACGGCACTGGTTTTTAATTTTCTAAAATCGGAGACGGCTATTTCGCAAAAATGAACAACGGTACCTTGTTCAGAATTGAATCTTCTATCAAATGAGCTGGGTCTCGTAAGGTTTTGCCGATGACTAAAAAAGCACTCCTTGTAAGACCGTAATTTTCGTAGACTTACCTTTTCTCCCTTTCCCTTTTACAATTATAACGTTCTGGTTTCGGTTTCAAATAACTGGAAATACGCGTTTTCGTTCCAATCACGAGGCCCACCACTCATTTTCGGTGCATTTCCACAAAGGGCCAATTTCCGTCCGGCATCATCCATTCGGTACATAGACGCCAAGTCCCTGTTTTGAACTATTTCATTTGGTGCTGAAATACCCCAAAGTCACTTCCTTGTAGATGGCGGGAAGGATACGGGTTTGTTTCAATTTAGCTATGCTGAATGTTTAATTAAGTTATGTTCCATCAGCTTTCTCTTGCGAATTCTTAGTAATTGCAAAAATAGCTTTTCAAGACGGGAATATCTTAGCAACGGTGTTAAAACAATAATTTGATGTCTCAGGCCGGATCGTCAGAATCCATCGTTGACTACGAGGCATTTTCACCGGTAGATGTCCGTCAAGATCCCCTTCTAATTGATATGAACGCCGTGCGACTAGCTAATAGATGTAAGTGTTCAATTCGAATTTAATAAAGACTAGGAAGTTATTTAAACAGTTCTTTCAGTAAAAATGTGTTTAGATCCGGTGACGCTACATGATGAATCCGGCTCATTGCTCGCGGTGCTCACAGAAGAAGCGCTTGAGACAATGGTAAATAATTTACCTGAGTTGAAAAAGCGCTCGGGTGGCTGAGATTTTTACAAAATCTAATGTTAATAGTCGTAACCCTTTGTAAAACTTATATTGGCAGTCGCGCTAAACCTGATCCCTTTCGCTCCTATCTAAAAATCTATCTCCTTGAATACAAATGCATGCCCACAAAGACAATTTTTTATATCTAATAGTAAGCTTGCTCTTTTCAGGTCCTTGAAGGTCAATATGATGCTTTTGCTGAACCAGCCGTTCTTCCCGAACATACACCCGTACATCAAAAACTTCAGGACCTACAGGTCTGAATTTACACACCCGCTTTAATTTACATACAGACCCGAGTGGATGGATTGTGGCAAGCCATTTACGATGGAGACATTAGGACCCTAAAGCATTTGGTACGTTTTAAAGATAGCGTTCCAGATAATTTTTCCATGTAGGTTTGCGAGCCAAGAATGGGCCTTTGTCGAGACGGTCTGGGGCGTACACCCTTACACATTGCATATTTGGTCGGCCGAATTGATATTGTGGACTATCTACTCTATGTAGCTCCAGATGCAGCAAACATAAAGGACAGGGTTCGTCTAGGAAGTACGGAAAGTGCAGGATTTATTAGACGGATCGGCTTCCTGTGGAGTATTCTCTGCTTTCGGAAAGTGAAGAGGATCTTCTGAATAAGGATCGTCCAGCGAGAAAGAAGCGCCGTCGGCATAAGGGATTTTCCACTAGGAAGAGGAGGAGTACGGTAAGAATTATATTCAAGTTGAATTTTAACTTGTATTTTTTGATATCTTTTCTATTTTCTGGTGTTTCTAATATCAATCGCATACCCTTGGTTGGCCCTTTCCATTAGTTATTGTCGGCATTCCCCATACCCCATCCATTGCCTCATATTAGTCGGGGGCAGAAGATGACTTCAGGGATTTGGCCCCTCTCAGTATATGACGAAAGCTTTCCGAGATTGGAGAGTCTGCCGGGTGTTGGGATAATCCTTCTCGGGCGATTTGTCAAGGTGGATGGATGGGCTGGCTAGGCTCATCGATTTGGTACTTAGCCAAGATGCCATAGAAGAGCGGGTGTGAGTAGAAGAAGAAGAAGAAGCCATATCAGCAATCCAACCACTTGGATACCACCACACAAACACAGCTACTACACAATCAGCCTCAAGCTGCGAATATTCAGATTTGCCATCAATCCTTTATCACGTATTTTTGAATCTGGATTGATTTTAAGGAATCATTGCAAATTTTTTAAACTTTTGAATTTTTAAATTTTTTTTGAAATTTTTTAAATTCAATTGAAAAACGCCCGTCATGGATATAATTTTGATTCTGATACCTACACACCACCTTAATTCTAAACCCAAACAGCAAAACCACGAATTTTTCCTTGACTGTTCTATTTTTCTTTCCCCCACCCTCGTTCCTCCCCCACCTAATTCATTGGACCACGAAAAACTATTTTCGACTGCGTCTGGATTTTCCTAGGAACTTTTTGCCCGTCAGCGTTGGCTCAGCCTGGATGAATTTTTAGTGAAGATGCCGCTTTTCGAGGATCTGCGAGATTCGGGCTCCATTTCGTGGGCCCTTGCAAAAATGAATCTTGCTCCCGTCTAGCGACACTTTATCCCATTTTTGCATTTCCAGCCTTTGAAACCAGCGCATGCTAATTGGAATGTGTTTAACATCGTTATTTTATCTTTCACTTTTTTACGCCGTTAATTCCCTGTTTTTGAGATTGTTAACGCAGAAAAAGGGCGTGGATAACCATCACCCCCAATCCTCACCCCCAGATAATTACCACCTATTGAAAAACGCGTTGATTCGGAATGAATAGCGAGGGGGGCCCCCTCCTTTTGCCATCGATGGGCCACAATGTCCATTTTGCCGAAATACTATTTCCGTTCACGAGCCCCCAAATCCTCCGATCTTCTACACAACCCCCAGCCAGATATTCCATCCAATTTATCCGCTAAAGTCATTTATACAATGCGCAGAACAATGCGGTGGCCCGCGTCGATCGGATGCTGTCCACTTTCTGATCTCACTTATTTCTGAAAGCTATTATAGTACAAATCTATTAGTCTATATTGTTGGAATAATATGCCGGCTACATTTACAGCAAGATTAAGGGTGCGATTTGTCTCCTTGGGCCCCTAAAAGCGAACAAAATAAAGGAAAACGCGAAAAAGATTTTTAAGACCAATATTGTTTAATATTTTTAGGCCCGAATGCGGGTTCCGCTAATGAGTGATTTTGAAGACGATGCAGAGGTGGAATACAGGTTAAAATGTTTATAGATAGTTTTAAAATTTTTAGGATCTTGGGCATCGACACTTCGCTCAAGACAAAATTCGATGTGTTAGAGGATTTACAGATTGAGGTATATATTTACTTTTCTGAAGTCATAGACTTGGATTAATTTATCTCCCATTAGAAAAAAATTTATAGGGAAAGGCCGACCAGCTGTGGAGGACGGTTAAGAAAAACGTTGCCAATGAACGACTGGTTCGATATGTGAATGATTTCAGGAATCAGCAGGTCAGATACCATTTGATTTCTCATTAATCCATTTTTTCATTTCACTCCATTTAAAATAAAGTTACTTGACATACATGCCATTTTGACATAAATTTATTTTCCCCAAAGCGCGTTTGTTATCAATTTCTTTTCTCATGGATCTCGCGTTTCTGAGCCACGAAAGCTAAAAATCAATTTATGCGAAATGAGATTATGTGGAGTGAGTTTGCGATGCGCCCAAAAGCGGCTTTATAAAACCATAAACTTGGCGATACTGTAGTTTATGTCTTTTCCAAGACCACCCATCGCCGCAAATCGATATGATCGCGTGGGTGGTCTCGGCACAAACCTTCCAAATGGCATTTGCCATTTCGTGTGGAAAAGCGGGGAAATCATCGGGGTGGGCCGCAAATTCATAAAAAATTAAAAATAACCAAAAAATGGGGCTTGAAGCTTATAATTATCATTAACGCTTTATAAATTCACATTTAGGCTTTTTGTGTTAAAGACTACCAGAACGATGGAACGCACACTGTCACCCCGAGGGTGCTGCCCCCAAGAACGCGCGGAGAGATGCGTCATTAGTGGTGCCCCGTACTGGGCAAAGGCCCTCTGGGGTTTGGGGCGTCTCTGACTCCCTTCCCCACTTGGCCCTGTGGTGTAGTGGCTAGCGCGTCGGACTGTGGAGCGAACCGTCGTGGGTTCGACTCCCGCCCGGTGCGCAACTTTCTTGCTCTCAACGGAATTTCATCGTTCTGACGGTCTTTAAAGACAAAACCACGTCACGAGCCTAATTCTGACCACATAGTATTCGAAATCGGCTTCGTATCCATTTATTACTTTCCAGGGATTAAATCCGACGAACCGGAAGTAATGTGCCCCCCCCCATTCTCTTTTTCTAGATGCGTCTCAACAGCGCAATAGAAGCCATTGAAAAGAATGACGAAAAGAGATTACGACAGCTCGTCGATGAGGAATTGGTTGGGGCCCGAGATTCCCGAGGTTGTCTTCTTCATATCGACCCCCCAACTGGAAGTTTTGAATGCTAATTTTGGGAGTTTAGGAATGAGGCTGCTCCATATTGCCGTGCTTCGAGAGCGCCATGAGATGGCTGAATTTCTTGCATCTGAATATCCGAAGGAGATGGATTTGATAGATGCGGTAGGTTGTTTGTCGATGTAAATGCAATATTTGTTGTTGTTGCTGTTTTTTATTTGATGTAAATTCGCCAACAAAACTTACCTTCTAGCAAGGGCGATCACCGTTACACTACGCGGCCGTACAGCCGAATGCTATTTATGATACCTTGGTGGAGTTAGGGTCTAATCCTGATATTAATGATTTGGTAAGTCGGGGAAAACTACGCACTCTGGGGCCAAGGATTACAAAAAAGGTAAGTAATATACTTCCCTGAATTTGACTGTAAGTTAATCGGCCAAAAATAAAATTCAATATTGAAAATGCGTTGATTTTGTAAAATCCCTTACTCGTGCGGTGATTATGGGACCATAGATGACTTATGCTAAATAAAAATATGCTTAAATCCTGCCCCGATTCAAATATTACCGGCACATGCAGCTGCTGCATGCAAATGCACTTACAAATGAATATATTCAGGATGGCTTCTCTGCCTCGTTCTACCGTGAAAATCCAGATCGACTATGCCGACCGATTTCCGCTCCATCACCACTCATCCACACGCTGAGCTCAGATGACGATTGGGTTGATCCGGGTACGGTAACCCCGTCAAATTGAATAACAATCCGCTCGGGTTGCTGGTTTTTTGGGTGGCGGATATTTGGCGGTGGAGATATTGCCGAGGTATCCCCCATTAGCTGTGGATAAGATGAGAATCCGGGGCGACAGTCCGGCCTGGCCAAGCCCGCATTATTGTCTGAATCTGAATCCGGGAATTCAGTTTTGGAGGTGGTGGTATTGTGCGGGGGAATTCGCTGTCTGTCTGTGACTATGACTCCACGGCCGGTCCGTTTATTGCGTACGGATCCGCTGAGGAAGACTATTAAATTTGAGCATCCGCCGAGGTCTCCGGTTGAACCGATGGTTGTTGATGGTGAGGGTAGAAGAATTTAGGATTTTAATTGTAGCGGCATGAGCCATAAAATATTATTTGGCCGCAGTAATTTGACGGCAACACGATCGCGCCGCATGTTCTTTTGTTTGGGTGTGAAAATTTGATAATTCCGCGGCCATTAGAGGAATCTTCCGGTGATGTTAATCATCATTTCATATTTAAATAAAATCATTAAATTATTGAATTTTTCCATATAAGAGCATGTTCCTTGTAAGAACATTGCACGTAATATACATATTCTTCCTACATAGCCCGAGTTCATAACAAAAAAACACCATAAACCGTCATCGCAATCCGTGCGAATTCACAAATTTCCGCTCCCCTTTATTAATTCATAAACCAATGGGCTTAGTTCCAAGTTTATCCCACCAGCTTCTATCTAAAAGAAAGACTAGGAAAGAGAGATAGAATTGATGTCAAGAGGGATGAAGGGGAGCATTGCGTGTTTGGCAAGCATTACCCTTATATACCTCCTCCGGGGAGACATGGTCCCTTCGAAAAATCCATCCCACATCCCTCTGCCATAATACGCACTCTTCCCATTTCCGCCTTCATTTTTATTCACTAAAATGCAAATTGTACAGTCGCCACCCTTTGAAGAGTATTTCTATGTGGCAGATTCGGGCGCGCAAATTAGATTTTTCATAGATGAGGAGGGTGAGGAATCAGGCAAGCAAATAAACGCAGGGGTCAAATGATTTTGAAAGCAGCTAGTTCGTACAATTTTTAATAAATTTATCCAATACATAAATACTTTAGATGCGCCCCGAGATGACGAGATTGAAACGTGGCTTGCAACCGGAGAGGTGACCAATTTATGCGATTTTTATGGGAATTGAAGGTGGCTCGATTGGAACAGTTGATCTTGGATGGTCGTGGACATATGCTGGCTGATAAGCAATCCCAAAATACACAAACTCGCGAATTCCTCAAATCGATGCCACAATATCAGGTATCAAACGACAACGGGCTGTTCTTTGATAATTACTTTAGTCTAAAATCGAAGCTATCCATAAGGCAGTCGAAGATGGAGATGTGCGGAGGGTGAAGTCGTTGATTGATCGTCCTCAATTGGCTACGGCTAGGGATTCGTACGGTAAGAAAAGTGCTGGATCGAGCTAATGTATGGTTTTTAGGAATGACACCATTGCATAAGGCTCTTCTCCACGGTCAAACCAACACTGTCCGCTATCTTTTGGCCAAGTATCCGATTGCTGTAAATGCTACCGATCATGTAAGTGTTTTAGATCTTATAGCGCATTAACAATAGCATATTACAATCGTATTTTTCGGAACGTTGCATGGGAATTAGCCTCGTATATTATGTAAAGCGCGCTAACGAAGGTATAACACACAAAAAACTGCGGGAAAAACAATTTTTTGGAATATTTACCGGGAATGAACCTTGCCTGCCACATAAATCAGAGCGTCTTAATGAAAGTATGTTGGATTGCCATGTTCGAAACAGTTTCCGACTGCGCCGTATCTTCTATTACGTATTCCGTCTCTATCGCAAATCCATTCCTCCAATCCTCCACATGCGCCTATTTGCCTAAACCTCCTCCTTCTCCTCCCCCACTTAATCTTCGTCCCGGATTATCAATGGCACACACACAACACAGGAAGGTGGATCCCCCCGGAATATCCATCTACCACCCCCCCCTCTTCCTCCCTTTCATATCAAAGACCAGGATCTTATTTTTGACACTCACTGAATGAAGTTCGTCGACCCTCTTTACCATCCCTACTCTATCCAAAACGATGTCAAAGAACGAAATTAGCTTCCGGAGCCCCGGTGCATCCTGTAATTATGATGGGTATTGTGGCCATGTGGTGGGTATCCCCTCACTACCCCCCAAAAATGGCGTCAATTTCGATGGCCTATGGCTTCTCCGAATCCCGGCCCTCATTTCGGTGCGAACTTCAGGGGTTTTCAATGGATTTTGTTTTGGGAATACTTTAAAATTTCCAGACAATTTAGCATTATTTCCAATTTTCATTTTGCCTTGGAAGTTAGACATGCCAATTATTACGCAAATAGACAATTGACGGTTATTAAGGGGTCATTAACCGGACCAGGTTATTTTTGGTATTGGGAAGATTTTCTGCTTTTTCTGTGCGGCGTCTGGGATTGGAATCAACAATCAATCAATAGATTACGTTTAAATTTTATTTAAAATTGAAAAATTTTCAGGCGGGTCGTACAGCGTTGCATTATGCGGCGGCGGATCCGAATGGTGAACACATGATCAAGGTGCTACAGAAGAGCGGCGGCGACGCATTTATTGAGGATAAGGTACTCCTTTACATCCATTAAAATATACAATTCTATAAATCTATAAAATAAGTCTATTGTATTCAGCACGGCCATACACCATTCTACTATCGTACGCACGGGCAGAGGTTGAACGTGCGCACCCTAAAGGACAACGCAATAATGAGCCAACTCATTTCCGGCCAGCTCCACCGACCGCTTTTGCAAGGTTTGGATTTAGTGAACTATTCTAGCTAATTAAAAATACTTTTTTAGATCTAGAAGAAGACATCTACGATTGGATCCACACGGGAAATGTCGGAAAGTTGGAAGAATTGGTGCTGACCGGATATGCCGATCTGTTGTTGGGACGGTAGTGCACTTTTAACGTAACATCCTCTTTCTTATTTCAGTAACCATGAAGTCGAAGATGCAGACAGTATCGGATTCTTGGAAGTTTTGCCCCAGTATCAGGTATTTCAAATGGCTTCTCCAACGTGAACCTTTTCCCATTTTCAGGCCAAAATCGCCGCTATCCATAAAGCTGTTGAGACGGGCAATTTGCGAGCTGTCAAACTACTCACCGACCGGAAAAAGTTAGCGCTATGCCGGGATTCCAGAGGATTATCCCCACTTCACAAGGTATATCCGAAAAACCATCAACGTACAACAACTTTTCCAGGCTATCGTCTTCGAAAAAAGCGACATTGCCAAATATCTAATCCGCAATTATCCGCAAAGCGTAAATGCCATGGACCAGGCGAGTGACGCTTCTGAAAGTCTTAACTTGAATTTTAGAAAAAACGAACCCCGCTTCATTACGCAGCCGCATTAAAGGATGGCGGCTACTTGTACAAAGTGATGCGCCGGAGTGGTGCCGATCCAAATGTTTACGATTGTGTACGGGCTCCACTAATCTACACAAAAATTAATAATTACATTTTTAGCATGGCCGACCGGCAAAGTATTATCTGAAGCATCCAGGAGAGATCGACTTGGCTGCAATGAGGCTTGATACGAAAGCTGCGTTGAAGCAAGTGCTGCACAACCGAGTGGCTCCTTCATATCTCGAATCATCCATCCAACAGTGGTTACGGTAAATTTACTTTTTTGGTCGACCAATAAACTTTAATTGCAGTGATGGTCAAATAGCAAAGCTGGAACAATTGGTGCTGAGTGGATGTGGTGACCTACTTCAGAATCGCTCAAGCGCTAACGCAGACACCGGCGTTTTCCTTGACCAACTACCCGAATATTTGGTACCTTGAAAACCGGAGCTAATATATAAACATAATTTTAGGAAAAAATTGACGGTATCCACAAGGCTATTCGTGAGGGTGAAATCGAGAGGGTGAAGGAGTTAATGACAACGAAGAAGCTGGCAATCGCTCGCGATCGGTGGGCTAGAAGCTTGCAGCTTTACGTTATGTATTTCTTTAGGTTCGGGTGCACACCCCTTCACGCAGCCGTTGTTCACGAACACACAGATATCGTGCGATTTATTGCTGGGCATTATCCCTCAGTCCTGAATGCTCCTGATTACGTAAGTTATTGATTTGTAATTCAAATGTGACTTGATTAGGGTTGAATTGATTTGGTGGATCGCTGTCAAAGCTGCCTTTTTATTTTTGATTTTAGAATAAACGCACTGCAATGCACTACGCTGCGGCAGCACGCGATGGTGGTCATTATTTGAAAATTCTGGGGAAAGCCGGAGCAGACCCGATGGCAGTTGATAATGTGGGTTGGAAGCGTTATGGTAACAGGCACAAACAAAAAGTTGAAAATACAGATTTACAACGTTATATTGAAATTTGAATATTCCGACATTGAGTGTAATGGATCTAATGGATTTCTGCACTTTGAAATGTCTAAATAACGTGAAAATCCAAGAAAAATACCATTTTTTCAGGAAGGTCGTACCCCGGATTATTATCGCCGTAATGCTGTAATTGATCTAAAGATGATCAAGGTACGCTCTAAGGCGGGTGCTTGTTTCCTTAGTTCCTTTAGTTGCTCTCTTTCTTTCAAAACGAACCCTCGAATATTCGAGAGGCTCCCGGGGTTTCCTTTTATGGGGGCTCATTTCAGGATCGGGAAGACGATTTCGAGATATTGCAAGAGGAACTGCTTGAAGATGGGCCAATGGTTGATAGCCCTGGGACACCCGATTCAGCCAGTATTGATAGGTAGAAAGAAAACCCGGTTTTGGCCATTCGTTTTTGATTTCACGTTTCCACGATTGAGCGCTTGCGTGTTAGCGGCGAGACCAATTTTTTTTAGGGGGAGCAACAAATTTTATGTAAAATAGAGACCATTATGCTTCACAATTGATCATAATACGGAAGAATTGATATAAATTTACAAAAATTTGTAAAAATGGCGAGTTTTTCGTCAAAGTTTTTCTGGCTTTGTTTTTTGTCTGACTTTTTTCTGACTTCACTTTGTGTGGTGTTTGGAATCCACTAAAAACATCGAACATATTTAATTGTGTGGTAATAGGCAGAAGTCGGTAGGATTCAAATTTATCTTGCTCCCCGCTCTAAAATGGTTTGCCGATAACACTGAGCACCCACATTTCAAAAAACAAACGTGTATAAAACGTTTAAGGTTAAAAACAAGTTTCATTGGTAAACAAGGTTCCTATTAAGTGAACAAGTGGATTCGGCTCGAATCTACGAAGAAGATGACGAATTTGATCGTCACCGTTTCGAACGCATGGTCAATAATAATAGAGTATACTTATCAACTTTTCGTAAAAGTCTTTTGCCTAGGTCGACCTGCCGACAAGTGAAAATGGTATCTACTTGGCCCGCACGGTGGCTCCAGTGCTGACAAAAGCCTTGGCTGAGGTAACATTAATTTCCAAAAAACTGTAAATAAACAATAATAGGTGCTTCTACGTCGCCCGGCTGACCCGATCGGTTTCATTTCGGATTGGCTCATCAAATACACAAATGAGATCCCGAAACGAACGCCATAAAAGAATTGGTACTATTCAAGTTGGGGGGGGGGGGGGGGCAAAATGTTTTTAGGTCATTTTTAGGCTACCTGATCAGTTTTTCGCGGCTAATCCAGCGCAATACTCAACTCCTAAGCTATGCTAAGCCGAAGCACAGTTAAATTGAGCTTGAACAAAGCTAAGTCGAAGCCAAAAGCAGTGATGCTGTGACGAAGCCAAGCTAAGGACCAGGTACTAAGGCTTAGGCTAAGCATAGGCCTAAGCCTAGGTTAAACTAGTTCTAAGCCTAGACTAAGTTAAACTTAAGCCTAAGCTAAAGCCTAAGCCAAGCCAATACGAAGTTAAGCTAAGCCTAAGCCAGAGAAAAACTGACCAATTAGCCCAAAAATGACCCGAAAAAAATTTTGTCCCCCCCCAACTTGAATAGTACCAAAGAATTTATCTGATGCCTTGGCTAAAACCCTCCCTTTCTTCAATAAATATTTATCTGGTTGTAAGCTGATAGTCAGGGTTTTTGCATCTGAACTTTTGAAGCACCATTTATCAATAGATCCAATAATTAGCGAAGTGTAATGAGTGTCATTAGCATAGACCCACGAGCCATAAATGGAAAGTGTCATGAAGTGAAAATATTTGGGCAAGTAAATAAAATAGTCATGTAAAGATTAGTCATGGGGAAAGGGAAAGGGTGTCGTGGACAAGGCGAAACGAAAAATATAGAAAAATAGAACTAGCTAGACGGCTATTCAACATAACGAATCACACTTGATATTGGCAACTAGAAAGAACGCACGAAATGTAAGCGAAAACCGAAATATAGTAATATGGTTCGAACCCGATCCGATTTTAGGGGAACGGAAAGCCACGAAAAGTATGGCTGGCCGTAGGATAATTATGGGTTGCTTCGAAAGCTTAGATTTCGACGTTGAGAAATGGGTTTTCCATCTCTGAAGACACCGGAGATTCTGATTTTACGGGAAGACCAAGTAGCGAGAATCGAGAAGTTGGCGTTGGTTTACGGGCATGTGGCTAAATATTTATATCTTAAGTAAAGTTCTGGAGTTACAGTGCTGATACCTGAATCTTGATGAGAGCCGCGGAGAAGGGATGCGTGGAGGTGAGGTGTTGAACGTATGAATCAAACAGTTCAGCCGTGTAGCCGCAATCCTCACAAACGAATACCTAGAAAAAATTGGTTTTGCGGGGGTGGAAGGGGAGTTTTGCTACCTTGCTTCTGCGTTCCTTGTATCCGTAGCGGTGTTCGACTCCGTGCACCTTTCTTTAGATTGGGTTGTGATGTGGGCAAATAGAATGTGAGGATACCTTAGATGAGATTCGAGAGAGCAGCGTTGGGTGAATGATTTGTCGCAGCACTCACATTTGTAGGGGCGGACACCTGGAAATGAATACGGTATTTTTGGGATGAAACGCTGGTAAATCTTTTCGGCCGGTTTTTAGAATATAATCCAATCAGCACGAGTCACTAAATGGTTATATATGATTGCACTGGCATAATAGATTTCCAAGCACTGCAAAAATAAAATACTATTTAGAAAAACTTTACAACTTCGATTACCAATGATTGGAAAATCAATAATCCCCGTGTAAACAGTTGTGACTTGTTTCGTTTGAGGGCTTAAATGCCCGGCAAAACTTCCAAGATTTCCTACTTTACAGCCTCGCCCTTTAGGATCCAGATAACCGAACAAATGCGGGCAATAGCCGCACTTTTCTTGGGAGCGATGACAGGTTTTACCGGTGGCCCCTTCTACCCTCACCCTCACCACCTCACCCGATTCAACACAACCACCCAAGCGGAAACTGAGCGACATTTCACCGGACACATATTCCCCCGTCACTTAGGAGCAACCGGAGCCGCTCAAGTTATGCACAATTTGTTGAGGAATGTTGGGAGAGAGATGGTTATTAATGGATAGAAAGTGAGAGCGAAGATTTTCATTAGGTCTTAAATCTTCTTTAGGTGTTAATGGAGTGTTGCTATGTGATATAGCTGATTTTATAGAGCTTGAAATTGTGAGCGGGTCCTGCCTTACAAAGACAGCTGAGAAATAACAGTCTTCGAGCAACTTCAATCGGAAATAGCCAATTTCGCCCGACTTCTCAAAATATACACCTTGAAGACACAGTGGAAGGAATCTTTTTAAGGAATGTACAGCACAAGAGGGCTAATTAACTATTCGTACGGAAATGGAATCCAAATATTTCTATTAGCTCCCCAATCCCCCTAAACTCCCAGCAATTAACCTGTATGCGTGCGGGTGTGGCGCTTCAAATCGAAGGTGTCGTTGAATCCCTTTCCACAAAAGGTGCAGAGGTATCTCTTCAGCTCTGAGTGGCACTTGAGATGCCGATTGAGTAGACGCTGCATCGAGAATTTCTGGAGGTAGGGGAAGATGTGGGTATTGATTTTGGGGGTTTGCAATTATTACCTTTCCACAAGTGCCGCATGTAAATTCGCCAGGGCGTGATTCGAAGACCTCGACACCATTTTGGGATGTTCTGGCTAGCGGGTTTTTCATGCCATATCCACCGTTGACAAATTCCAGGCTGGCAACAGTTGGTAGTACCTAGAAATTGCAATGATTAGGAGTGTCTCATTAGGGCTCATTTAAAAAAAAAACCCACCGTGGGCATTAGAGAAGGGATCGGGGCTCTTTGTGCTGACGGCAACCTTGAAGGTGAGGGTAGTACAGCTGGTAATGTTGATGATGGCATGATTGGCATCTCCAGTTTGAGCCCCTCTTTGGGCTCTATTGGTTCGACATCCACCTTCTCGGCTTTCACATTTTCACAGCCTCGATGCTGTGTTTCCCGTTCGGAATTCAATGAAGAAAGGAGCTGATCCACCAGGAATTTGCTCGAGTTCGGCTTCTAAAATGAGTTGTGCTTTCGCAGTGCCGAACTGACCGGTTTCGGTTTTTCCGGTCTGAGACCCGCGGTTGCGGCCACATTGCTGATTGGGCGGAAGAATAGTGGCTAAAAATCAGAATTAAAAAGAAGCTTCCATCAGATTGCTTAAGATTATTGTATGATTGTTTACTGCCAAATTTAATGCCTACAAACATTAGAAACTTTCAACCTGCAGTGGATTGTAGAGGTGCAATGCTAAATATTGCAACCGCGGGTCCATCAGGGGTAGAAGCTAAAGAATATAGAATTATTGTTTGTATTTTAAGGAGCAGATTTAAATGTAGGAAATGGAAGGACGGATTGGTGGATGGCGGTGGTTGTCAATCATTGGGTATCGGCACCGTTTTTGGTGGGGAGGCGGGGCTTCGGTGGGTTGGGGAGAAACGGTAAGGTGGTTGATATTGATGGAAAGAGAGAAAAATATATAATATAGCAAAAAAATCTATATAAGATTCTACAGTGGAGTCAAAACCTAGACATTCCTATTAGCTCAACGATAAATTCTATTAAATCATACCTTTCAAACTAAAGTTTTGAAACTACCTTTTCCACAAAGCCCACAACGAAAAACTAGGTTCCCATGTTAGAGGTGTTTATGAGATGTTTGGCAGAGAGAATTCGAGCGGTAGCCTCCCGCTCTATCCTGTCGCTTCTATGTTGAGGCAAATCCCCGGAACTGAGCCTCCGACAAGCGCACAGCTCCCCCTCTCCCTATTCAACCGACCCAAGTATTCCTGCCACAAATCGCTATGGCAGAATGGGGGCAAAAAAAACGGAATCCTGATCGGTGGTGATATAGTATCTGGGTATTTATCTAAGGCTAATTGTGGAATAGTAGGATATGAACAACTCTCGGCTATCTGGGTTTCTTTGAAAAACGGCTTGAATCAATCCAGAGAAATCAGTGCGACTGCAGAAAACCGGAATGGATATTTATGCTAGTCCAAATGTTTTAAATAAGTATGTTGGATGAGACTGGTGTTAAAATATTGTCAACAATCTCAAGATCTATACCCAGGTATACTTCCTGCTTCAAAATCCAGAAGGAAGGGGGCAATACAAAAACGTAATCCCAAGAAACAGGCTTGAAAGTCAACCATAGAGTTTAAAAAAGGAATCAGTGGTTCGGGCGTCATATTCAAAATTTTCTAGGACCGTATACCTTTTATCTCGAAAAACAATAGAATCCTTTCGAAGCCAGAGTATGATGTACTACTACCCTCCCCACCGTAACCCATACCTATGAAACATCACCAATACATGCCATACCCACCCAAAATGCGTCAACCACGGCACACAAAACGTTCGGCTAGTCACGGGAAAAACGGGTCGTCTGCCGACTTCTGTAAGCGAACTCCTCCCCCTCTTCTCCTCAATGCCGAAAATCCCGTAAACGGGCAGGGAAACGGCGTTCTCGACCGGGGGGATAGGGCTTCTTTTCAGCCAGACTCTTCGGGTAGCCGTAGTTGGCTGGCTGCCGTCACGGACGATTCGGTGGGGGGGTTTAGCCGAAAATTGGCCTCCTCCAACCCCTTCAACCCATCGCACTTCTTTTTTGAAAAGGCAAAACATTGTCTCGTCGATATCGTGTGGTGGGGTGGGGGGCAGTTGACGGCGGATTTTCGCGGTGGGCTAGCTAGAGGGCGCTATTCTCCGCTACCGTAATCGGCTGGCGGTCGCGCCTGTTGCGGTCAAGGTTGGAGAGAGGGAGGGGAAGGATGGCTGATTGAGGTATCCACGATTCCCCGCATCGCTACAGAACAATACCTTAGACGGGGCTTTGATCTTTCTGGGGGTAATTGTTTCTTAAGGGATCAACGGGTGGGGGGTTGAGGTCGAGAATGAAGACGGATATAGGGTTTGACGTACAGGGCTGTATAAAATAGGTTCAAAAATTGATATAGTGGGATTTAAGGGCTATTGAAGGCAGACCAGAGCTAAATGAAGTTGTTTAGACACGGACTTTATATAGGAACGTCGAAAGTCAAGATGCAAAAATTCCGAATGTGGGAATAGATCGTGGAATTACGGTATCCGAAAATTGAAGCGTTATGAAATTTAGTATTTGGGAACCCGACTAAACCCAGAATGCATAAATTCAGAATGCAGGAGCAGGGGCATTTAGGCATTCAATTTCTACATCTGATCTTAGGCATTGTGAATACATCCCTAGACCCTCCAAAACCCCTGTACCGTAACCCCACCACCAATAGCCAAATCTCTCCCCCACCCTCACGAAAAGGGCAACGGATGGTGGGTGATTCAAATCGGTGGTGGTTGTGGTGGTTGTGGGTGTTGTTGAGGTGAGGAAGCGGTTGTGGAAGACCACCCGGTGGTTCGAAGGAGGTAGTCCGTGACGGAGCCGTCGTCTCGGCCCATTTCTCCGCTCCTCCTCCCTTCCCTCCCGCTTTCCTTTAACCCACCGTATCCTTTTCCCCCTCCTTTCTTTCCTTCTTTTCTGTCGGCAATCCCCGTTCAACCCGCAGCGTCGAGCGATTGAGATAGCTTCTGCCCAAAGGGGGGGAGGATGGCCTTGGCACAGGGCGATTGCAAATCCGGGCTGCTATTTGCCCATATATTTGCCTTTCTTCCGCCCAGCCATCTTGGTTCCCGTGTATTTCATTGTCAGAGAGGGGGGAGCGGGTGGCTACTATCGGCAATATGAACGTGGTAGGGTGGCAGAATGGCAGGAATGCCTTAGACAAACTGATGCTTAAGTGCTGAACCCAAAATCCTCCAATAAATCCAAAAATCATTATACTGACTGCAAAATTTTAGACATAGTGAACGAGGCACCGCGCGTTTCGAAGGCAAGGCCCCTTCAAATTCCGAAAAACCCCCACGTGCGTTTTCTGCCTTCGAAACTTACCTTTTTATAACTCGTTGAAAGATAAGCATTTAAGGAGTGCGATAATAAGCCTTTACTTCGCATACACCTATTTACGCATGACGATTAAGGGGAAAGAGAGAAATTCAGCCGTTCAGAGCAGCTGCACGCAAATTAACGGAATACCGAACGAACTCATTTTGGTCGAGCCAACTTGAATGGTTGAGAATGGGGGGTGTGAAAAGAAGCTGTGCCTCAGTGGCTGGAGCTCATGCTCGTCTGCTACCGGCCCTCCTCTCCTCCACCTCATGTTCCGGCCTCATAATCCACTCAAGACGCTTTTGCTGCCGCCAAATTGCCACCCTTCCTTCCTTCCCTCCCACCATCTTCACAGAGCGGCGCTACTTTGTGCGGACACGCGTCTCTCCATCGAGCACCGGCATAACAATCTATTAGGTGCTACAGTATGTTGAGGGAGGAGAGGGGGAAGGGCTCGACCGGTTGGTAGCCTCAGGGGGAGATGTGATTGATTGACATGATGAGAGGGCTGGCCCTCGGTTACGGTACCGTAAACTCAATCAAACAGCTTAAGCACCACACTATTAAAAGAAGCCTGGAATTTTTTTGTGTCTAAATTTGTAACTTTAAGGCAACTGTGCCTTGTCCGTATGATAAAAAATTAGGCTAGACTTTTGCCCTCCCCGCCCCCGGCCGGAAGCCCCAAAAATTTTCGATTTTTCCGCTATTTTGTCGGGATTTTGACTACGCCATTCGATAGAGTATCAAAAAATATACTAAGAGTTTCAATTACAGCCCAGGATAATTCAATCTAACAAAAGGTTATTGCGAAACACTTCTGGAGACTTCTGGCTGGGGGGTAAAGTAATCTTCCATGCAAAAACCTCTCCAAATAAAGTACCTTTCCATGCCACTTCCGCCAGGCTGTTCCAGCGCTATCGGGTTAGGAGAAGGATTTTTGGGTAACTATGATACGTCATTAGGCGTGCTATGCATATGAAATGGCTCAAACGAATACGATAACTTGGAAAAGTGCTATTTTCGTTAATAACTCTTTTAAATTCTGCTTACCGGCTCTTAGTTCCGCTCGCCTTTTTCAAACCCGCCAAAATTTTAAAATCAGAGCATCAAGCCGCATAGGGACAGCTTGAATCCTGTATTCGCATCTACCTAAGAAAGATTCGCCATTTGCCGTGGGAGTACCGTATCCGGCGGAAACGGCAGCTGGCGCTAAGTGGGCGCGCCGAAAGGCAAATTAGATGGCTTGGTGAAGAGAGGGGTAGATGGGCAGACAAATGGTGCCAAGCGTAAATGTGCCAACCCTTATGCGGCCATGTTTATTTACCGTTGGCCGGTTCGTTTTTTTGCGTAAAACATTAACGTAGGAACAAGATAATGGGAATGAAAACCATAGCTCTTGACTAGTGTAACCGGAATACCGTAATTCCTCAAGAGGAGTTACGACTCACAGCTCAAAATTTCTAGTTTTGCAAAACCCGCAAGGAGGAATAGCCTAAGCTAGAGAAAATACGATACAACACATATCTAAGTCCAACGGTCAAGTTTGGAAAAGACCGTGGTCGAGTGAGCCCCAAAAATGAGTTCGACCTTGTTTCCGGTGCGGGACGGCGGTGGCCGGCTGAAGACACAAATGGTGCTCTCGGAGTCGAGGGGCAAGTGTGACACCGTTATTAGCGGGGGCATAAGGAGGGCGGCCTTCGTTCAACTGACCACATAGAAAGAAGAAGAAAAGAGAACGAGAGATGGCTCCTGGAGGAGACCAAAACCTTTTTAGGGCCGATCCCAGCCGGCCACCCGTGAAACTGTCGACCACCCCTCGGGGGGACAATCCTTTGTTTGGGCATCCGTTCCCACCATTCACGGCCATCTTTCTCAAATCGGCACAAATTAAAGGAATTGGAACACAGAGGGATTGCCTGGCTGTTAAAGGGATTGGCAAGGCATGATTTAACATTTACGGCGAGATACAATGCCACCCGGTGTGGTTTTTCAAGCGGTTGTGGGATTTGTAAAGCCGTTAGGTGTTTTTTAACCGGTGTGTAACGGAAAATTTAAAGGCTCAAGCTGCACGCTGCCAACCAAAGACTAAGAAAAACTCACGCTCGAACTGCATGCACGCTTTTTGAGGTGCGGACCCAGCTGCCCGCACTCCCGATGCAGCTGGTGATTCTTTCTCCTAAAAATTTGCTGATGAGGCAGATCGCAGCGCCCCAGTTCTCGATGCCTTGATGGCTGTGTAATTGTAAAGTTTACAGATCCATCGGGATCTAAATAAACCTACGGCCGTTGGTTCCGTTAAAAGCGTACCATTTTCGTTACAATTTGTGCTATTTTGAGGCACGCTCATTGGCGAATCGTAGCACCAGCTACCCTGAATCGTTTTACCTCATGGCCAGTAGCATCCGCCTTTTCAGTGTTTGCCCATCTTGAATCTTGAGCACTTCCTGTCTTTTCTGAACATTGTATATTGCCAGATTCGTTACCAGTTTATAGAGCAAAAAAGACACATTAGAAATGAGTGCATAAGATACGCGTATTGGGGGGTTCGGGTGTTGGCGAACGGGGCGGGCGTATATCACAAGATGATAAAGATCTTCACAGGAACTAACACTCGTATCGGACACATAAAAGCCCTGTAATCACATAGTATTTTTGGATGTACTTGGAAAATATTGAAGTCAAATGGTAAGAGGGGCAACTGATTGGGGCTTGTTATTACATTGCATCTAAACCGGGATATTAAAAAAGGCAACATGTACAGGCTAACTAGTCGAGTGGGACAGGGGGTTTGCGGGAGGGGCGAGGCCCCAGAAAAAGCTAGACAATTTGAAAGGTACAAAGTTTAACAGGACGATTGAGGGGGCAGAAAACTCAAGCAGCTTGTGGGACGTCGGGGTTTTCAAAGGACTGGAAGATGGCGACGAAATTGGAATAAACACCGGCTACGATGGTGAACAGTCCAATAGCGATCACGAAGCAGTTCCATACAATCTTGGCCATCCTCTGACGGTACGTGAGAAGACCCTAAAATACAAGGTTAATCTCAATTTTCGCACAACAGTCGGAAGCAACTAGCGTCAGTACATTAGCGACGTACCTTCCAGTCTGTCCAAAACGTGATCATCTCAAACAATGGTGGATAAACGAGTCCACACAACGTCCCAGAAGTAACACCGACGAGCGGAATCATGATTTCCAAGTGGGGAATCCCGATTGCCATAAAATAAGTGACGAGTACCCAGAAGAACCTAGAAAAAACCATAACGTTGTTCTTTACCAATCTCATCGCAAAAGTAGATGCGCTTCAAACGTATAACTCACCTAAATCCCTTATCGACCAACATCTTCGGGCAATTCGGGAATCGATTTGTGAACTTCCGGCGGAAACCATTGAAGAACATATCAAAGACCACGTAGCTAAAATGAAATTGACGCCAGAAAAAACGGCCTACAGAGCCACAGAATGTCCAAGGAGGGTCTGAAGCATCAGAAACACGTTGACGGTTGAGTAGAGCCTGAAAAGTATCACATAAACCAGGTACACGAAATAAGTAGCTACTACAAGCAGCTAGCAAAACTCACCCTTCCTTTGGCACATTTGTTGTGATGGCTGGCGCGATGGCATCACCAAAGCCGGTATATCTGGAAGGAAATGTAAAATCGTCGTATAAAGGCCATCCTCACCCGTAGAAACCGAGTGCGGTCATGAATGCGCCACAAACAAGCATCGTTGTCGGCAAAACGCCGAACCGTGCCAGGAAGTATTCGGGGTGTTCGAGCTTGTTCTCAATCGGCAAAATCTTAAACACACATTCTAACCATGAACGTGAAGTGCCTACCATAGTTTGTCCTTCAAATGCATACATGCACATGCCGATCATCATGATAGTGCCGGTGAAATCGCTGTAGGCGGGCAACTCGGCCCATTTGTTCGGTTGCCGCACCGTATACTGCATGATGACGAGCAGTCCCAGCATGAAGAATACGGCAGATACCTAGAAACCAAACATAAATAGAAAGCGCATATGAGAATCGATAAATGGTTAAAAACTAACCAACGCAAAGAAGGAGACAACCCGCATTTCGGTGAACATGTTAGTAATGGCAACGAGTACCAGAGAGATCGTCGCTGCGACAAGCATCTGTTCTTGCCGGGTTGACCCGAGGTGATCACCGATCAAATTCACCTAAAATACAATCTCATCATCAAGCGCAGGTAATACCATATTGTCGGAGATGAAGAGAATAGCAACGCTGCACATGCCAAGTTGATAGAAGAGAATCGTCACATTGACAATGTACCTGTAAAAACAAAGTTACCATAATCCAGGACAAATTCAGGTGAATCAGGGGATTGTTTGGACTGACATCACGGCTTTTGAATTGTTTCGCAGTAACCGCAGGTCGGAATAGTCGCACACCTTCTTTGCAAAATGGCCATAGTCAAGCGCTGAGCGTTCAGATCTAAAAACTAGTCAATGCTTCCGAAAAGGGATTACTTTCTGGCAAGATGTTGACTCGACCGGACAAGGATGTGGTTGCCGTACCAGTTGAATCCACATATCACAAAAGACATGAAGAACGACACCTAAAAATGAATAGATGTTGTAACCTCCACAAAATAATAAAAAAGGTTAAACCACTGCTCGCAATCGGCATCGGTGAGATTAGACTCAAAAATAAACGCACCCATAATCCACCAAGTTTCCACGCATAAGGTAAAGAAAAACAGCCTGCGTTGAACATCGACTTGGACAGCGTTAAAACTGCACGAGACGGGCTAAAAATGATGTGGTGAGGCAATAAATAATAATAATAAATACCTGATGACATCGCCCTGGCGTTGCTCGCGCTCCACCAGCGCCCTTCCATCGTTTACAGATTCTTGGTCGATGGGTGGCGGCGGCGCCTCCTCCATACCTGTAAAGTGTACATGAGAAAAGAATTCAGGATTCAAACCAAAGAAATCATAAAGAATGAAAAGATCCCCCACGCTATGGCCAGAAAAACGATTGCATTCTCTCGGAAAAATATCTTTCAAGAAGCTCTAGAATTGAAGATCAAAGCTAATCGATCAAGCGACAGTTGAGGGTGAAAACAAGAAACAAAGCGATGCGGCGGTGAGGTGAGTCAATGGGGAGAACGGAGGAAACGAGCGTTGAAATGGGTGCGCTGGCTCCGAGCAGCTACACGGCACTCCTCTTCACACCACTATAGTGACTACATAGTACAGAACGATTGCGGGGTCGACAGAAGATAAGCAAGTCTGGTGCAAATTCTAAGGACCAATCTGGTCAGAAAAAGCCAAGATCAGAGATGGCCATTGGCCGTAGAGTATCATGGCAACAAAATTCGATCGGCAAGTTTAGCGGGATGTTGATATTTCTATAAAAAACCTACTGGAAAAGTCGAATATGCCATACGTCTTAAATTATTGGTTTCGAAGCGTCGTAAGCACTATAGTCGCTGTTAAATTCATATAGATAAATTAATAATAGAGATTTTATTCCGCGACATTGAAAATAAGATCAAACTTGGGTATTTAACCGAAGGGGGTACGGCTTCGAGTCGCGTATCAGGTTGCACTATTCCTACAAGAACTTTTTTTGCAAACTGCGGCCTCTACAAACTCTTTTTCGGAACAGACACTGTGATTGCAGAAATAACTACCACTTTACGAACTTAATTTGATGCAAAAATGACGATAGCACCGGCCATTTTGACCTCCACAAATTCCGGCGCAATAGTCCCACCTCAGTCCTCCGACCCCCTCGGCCCGAAAACCGGGCCGCCCGAAAAAGAAAAACCGGGCCGCCCGGTTTCATACCCGGTTTTCGGGCCAAAACCGGACCGGGCAAATTGCCCAACACTAGTCCCACCGTCCTGACCAGTAGATAGAGCGTTTCAAGCCGACATAACGCTTTGAAATGAATGAAATTGGCTTAATTGAATCGCCTTGACGAAGATTTCTATCGATTATCGAAAAATAATGTTTCCCAAAACTCCCCAGCCTTAGTTCAACGCAACGCTATAGTTACTTTTTGTGCCAAAATTATTCTAAATAAATCGGACCTGGAAGGGCGGATTGTGTATTGTAAATATTCGTTCGACGAGTCGTAAGCTTTTTAAACTTTAAATTTCTCAAAAAACATTAATAATAGGCGTTTCTTTTTGGCCGATGGAAAGTAACCCCAAACTTGGGTAATTAAACCGAAAGGTGGCGGCTTGAGAGTCGCGCCAAAGAACACCAGGTCCAGATGCACAACTCTTGCTTGCAACAGAGGTGCCGAGTGTTTCAACTATAAGGACTTTACAAGTTTACAGCTATTTCAATGCATGCATGAAATTGAAGCTCCACAATCGGTTAGATAGAAAGATAGACGATTAGAAAGGATCGAAATATACGACAACTTTGGAAAATCGAAGCACAGGGAGGAAACGTTGCCCGTCCTTGTCTGGCTGTGTGGTTGGTTTGTGGTATTTTCGGTCATGGTACATTTAATTTTCTTTTTAGCTGCTGTCCATTTTATTATACCACGCATTGCTTGGCGTTGTTTTGTGTAGAAAGAAATAGATCGAGTAGAAAATCACAAAAATCATAATCCAACGCTTTTTTACCAAATAGACCTTCGATGAAATTTCCTTAAAAATGCCGCGAGAACGCATTTTGCATTAAAAATTTATTTATTTTCAAAAATGGCACCTAGACTTCTTTTTCCTTTTGACTATCCTTGCTAAATTGTTTGAACATTGATGCGAACATCATGGCTGTCCAGATGACGTGCAAACATTGAAGGATCAGCATTGCGAACATCATTACGATATATGGCCAAGGGGCTTCCCAAGCTGACGTCGCCTGCAAAGCGTATTTAGGGGAAAAATTGCGTATCAAGAATGTGCTGAGAGATGTAGGTGGCATTAGGTAAAATAGACCAGGTGCGACGCTAGGTTTCAGATTAAAATCGAACTCACATGGATCTGCTGTGCTCCGTATGCATATGAATAGAAGAGGATCTGCGGAAAAGTGTAGAGTCGCGTGGATACCCAGAAGAAGAGCAAAACGGCAAATGATGGGTATAGCAGCGCATCGCTCATTTTCTTTTCTCGGATGATTTGGGCGGTGTCCCTAGATATTTATTTATTTCTGAAAAAATAGGTTTCGACAAATTTTCTGGGCTTTTTAGTACTGTTTCAATTTTTACAGCGGGAATCATACTGTCAGACGCGCATTGGTTGAACGACTGATAACCCATTGCGTACTCCTTGTATTGAGTTGTTTACTTTGCGTTAAAAGTATTTACTTACACGGATGTAAAAAAAAAATCATAAAATACCAGATTTTGATGATGGTTCTCTCGAAAGCTTTCTAAATGCCGAGAAAAAGTCTTCTAGTTTCCTCTTTCGATTTCGTCTTCTAGATTAAGGATAAAATCATCCAGATCTGAGCTTCCTTCGGGCCGCTGGGGTCGGGGAGGGGGGTATTTTTTTGAGACGCTATCCATTCTGAGCGCTTTGGAAGGGATGAATTTTATCGTTATCTTCACTGTATTTTACTTTTTTGCGCCCTATATTTCAGGTCTTTCCGATTTACAACACCTGGCGGTAAACCTAACGAGGGCGACATCAATGACATTTTGCCGATAGTGACTGACTGCTGCGAGCTGAGAAGTGATCAGAAGGCCCGCGGGCAAATAGACCATCCCTAATTTTCTATCTACCTTGATCATGGTGCCCCGGGCACCCCACGACCTCAGATACGGCCGTCTGGCCAGGGGGAGCGTTCTTGACAAACAATGGTTCAAGATAGTGTTAATTTGTTTTTAATTAAGGTAAGGATCGAAAATGATAACAAAAATTAGCATGCGAATTCCGATCAGTTCCGATTCCGATCCATTTATCCTAAACCGATAGCGCCCCAAACTAATTTCGACGAAAACCCATAAAGTCCAACGATGAAAGCTTTTCCAAAAATACGGAAAGTATGAAAACTTTTCATTTTTTGGTCAAAAATGCTTAAAAGTTACGGAAGATTTAGCTTAGTTTAATTTAGCAAACTTAACAACCTTTTCTAGTACTACTGGGCAACCACAGGCCAACTTGAAACCAGGAGGTTTGCACCCTTTCCCGTTACTATCCACGATTTAACCGCTATGCCTATTAAAGCTGGGCATTTTGTATTGATCTTCTATAAACCCACAAGAAAAGGTCAGAGAGGTTGTGGATGAGAAGAACGAGGAGTGCGACTCCATGATAGCCGACATAGATGGCTCCAGCCAGCAGGCAGTTCGTGACGACGTGATGGATCAAGAGCAGCACGTTACCACGTCCTTTCCGCTTTGAAGGGCTAAAATTGCAAATTGTGCTAATTGCAAACATGCACGTTTGGTGCCGATTGTATCAACCAAAAATATGGCTCTCTCGATCTATAAAATTTGGTAGATTTTAAGGGGAAACTACAAAATAATCCTCCGTTTTCTACTAATCTAAAGCCCACATACCTCATCGTAATCGCAAATCGTAGTGCCAACTCGATTGCAAAATACATATGCAATCGTTCCTCGCCTCGTCCATAGCCAAAGCTCTTCTGAATGGCCTCCCATACTGATTCTGGTGTCCACAGATTCCATACCTGTAAGGTAGACCTATTAACAACCCTAAGGAATAATAAATATGATTACTAGCCAATCATAAAAAAACAAGCTGACTTCGATTGTGCCAAAGGCCGTTATCGGCACCAGTAGAGTGAGCTTCCACACGGCCACTCGAATTTCCGGATCGATACGCCGAAAGATGGAACTGCAATGCCGAAGAGAAGTTAGCACGGTAGCTACCTTATCACTAACACCAATGCCCAGTCACCAGTAGTACTGTTAGCTCCTCCCATCGTTCCCCCCGTACTTTTTGCGTTGCCACTGATTATCGTAAAAGTACAGCGCATGTTCTTTTGCCTTTCACTCGATATTCATCGATTTTATTTTTATGTCTTGGTTAGGTTAAACATCGGGGAAACAGATAGTGTCAAATACCGGATGTTTTCTGGCAACTGCGTCTTTTATGAAGTAAAATAAGTGCTATGGCGTGAGAGAACTTTTAGGGGCGTACATTCCCCCCGCGTGAACGTTCAATCTTCTGATAAGTTTTTATGGTAGCGCCACGTTTCGACAGACTTTTGTGTAGTCGAATATCCAGGTGACATTTATGTTCCTTGTCCAATTAAAACATTAAATACCTTGTACCTTTTTAGTAATAAAATTGAATTGACGTTTAATTAGGGGTTTGATTATCAATAAATTTAAGAAAAGGTTATTAAAAGCTGTTGATTGTGGCAAACATCAGGTAACAACTGGCGAAATAAAGGGGGCGGGGCTATTTATCAGCTAGCTAGTCAAGCCGGGCCCAAATAAACACATTTCCAAGTGCCTCCTATGTTCTTTCTAGTATTTGCCTTTTATTTTATTGCCTATGTATTTTTCCAATGAAAGTATGCTATTCTTCCAAATTAATTGTCGAATGCCTACATACCGTTGTATAATTACAATTAACGCCGTCAAAGGTATCGCTGCGTAGTAAGAAAAATAGGATATATCCTCTGGGGCGACGATCGCACAAGAAGGCATTGTCGAATTTTGGTGTGCCAAGCGGTAAAGTGAGGCTTCCATCTTGAAGAGCTGAAGAGGGTGGGCGTTTTTACCTTGGCCCCGGCCACATGTCAATCATTCTACCGTTTCCCCCCTCGTGTCTTCAAGAACCATCACAGAATCCCCGCCCCTTTTCACACTTGCAACCAATATGACCTAAGGACATGTTGCGTGTGTATATCGCACATCTGCATGCAAATAAAACTGATCGACAATGACGAGGGCCTTAAAAACTTGTTTCTAGTATGATCACAGCGCGGGCCTGAAGGCGTTGCATTTGCTCCAAGCGCTAGCAACTTTTAGACGTATGACATGAATATCTTTGATACTTATTTCAACTTTGTAGGCCTATAGGGAACTCATACAACTAGTGCCAAAATTAAGGCATACCTTTCTCAGACACTACGGCTTTTTCGGTTTTGTTTTTTGGTCAGCGCGAAAACGTCATATAAGCTAATCCCCAAGAATTAAGCAAATTTTTAATTAGAGCTCTTATAAAGAAAGGTTTGAAGTACATGGAGTGCCAAAAAGACCCCTTCCGGTAAATCGCCGCCTTACACCCAATCGATCCCAAAATTCGACCCGCGGGGTGTCGGTCACTAACTAACAACAATCCTGACTTATAGAGCGATAGTTACAATACTTTTCGAGTTATCTAAAAATTATGTTTTTTTTTCCACAATGCAAAACTAGTTTTCGGCACGTTTTGGACGTTGCATCGATTGACATCAATTCCGGCTGGGTATCCCCGGTGCGTCTTCAGACCATGGGTAATTTTGCGTTGTAAAAATCGTTGAAATAGACGCTTATGGATACATTTCGATTCTGAAAAAAAATTATTTTTCTTGCCGAGTCATTTGCAGATTAGGTTTAGGGGAGAACGGGAATTCACGGGATCCCTATGAACAATTCAAAATAAAGTTTATTTTTCTGTTTTGTCTATATTTTCCAGAATTTCCTCTGGCTATGGAGCTATGAGTCAGGAGCGTTGTTATCGAGGGTCTAGTACACCTCCGATCATTATGGGGCCAATTTGATGGTAGACGACGAACAGCCGGATGGGCCACGTCTATTTTTGATTCCCGGCATCGTTTTTATAATATAATTTTAGAATCTAACTTAGAAGTCGTTCTGCAATTGTCTAACTAGCAAAATCCTTGATTTTGCATAAAAAATACAGGCAGCCAAGGCCGGCTCCTCCCGACGGGTTTTGGGAGCATTGTAACTTGACAGCAGGTAATGCAAATTGCCCGGCATTAATTTCTTTATGAAAAGCACCCTTTGAATTCTCCCTTGGTCAGAGATCGAGCAGTCATTTTTTGCATTATTTAGTTTTCGATTGTTGTCTACAGACGCTTTAGCTAAAACGTTTTCAGGTTTCATCGAAGTTGGACCATCGAACCTCATATCAAAGAAATGTGCTATGACGATTTCAATTTGGATTTGAATTTTATTAAAATAAAACAGATTGGATTGGCATCGTAGATTCAATTGTTTCCGGTATCCGATATCCGTCCCTCTCATCCGGGCCCGTTTTGATCAACCCTACTCAGGTTTTGATGTAGATTCTAATAGCTCCAAAGTTTGCAGGAACTAAAAACGACATATGCTCATGTTCGTAATTACATTTTTCCTAAAACAAATTTTCGTTATTTCTCGGTGCTCATTTTTTGCGTTCTGTAGCTCCTTCCGCTTATTGGCGCCTGGGCATCCAATAAAACACCAAAATGCTGAATTTCGAACTGCTGTTAGGGTTTTCCTACCATTAAAGTTTTCGCTTTGCATGGTACTTCCCGAATGTTTGTCCAGAAAAACAGAAAAGATTCCTTGTTTCCCTTTATATACAGGGTGTCCCAATAAAAAAGGTCACGCTGGCATTTCGCCATTTCAAATCTGATCGACCTGAAATTTGGAAGAGAGCCGCGGAAGGGAATTTAAAATGTTCACAGAAACTTTCAGCCCAATCGGTGTAGTAGTTTTCGAGTTATAGCAAAAATACTGTTTTTTTCAACCATTTGGTTCATTTTTTCGTCTATCTTTGCATCAATTACCATCAATTTCGGCCCTAAATCTCTCATTCTCCTTGACATCGGGGATGATAACACCTTGTTAAAATTACTTAAACACTTATTTCTAGACGAATTTTACGAATTAAAAAAATTTCTGAGGTGAAAAAGGGTCGGCGCTTCATTTTGCGATACATTCCAAGACTCAATTCCGGCTAAATCCAGGTTAAAAAGGTAAAATAAAGTTTATTTTCGCTATAACTCGAAAACTACTGTACCGATCGGGGTGAAAGTTTCTGTGAGCATGCTAAATTCCCTTCCGCAGCTCTGTTCGAAATTTCAAGTCGATCGGATTTGAAATGACAAAACGCCAGCGTGACCTTTTTTTATTGGGACACCCTGTAGGATAAGCGTGTGTTGCTTCCTAACAAAGAAATCATCCGAGGTTTTCTCGAAAACATAATTTTCAAAGCGAAAATGATGCCGAAGCCGTTCATTCCCTACCCAAGAAGCCATCCCAGTGGCTCTAGGAGCAGAATAATGCCATGGAAACGGTAATGTCTCTGCAGAGAGACGTAAAAAGACATTTTTCGACATATAGTATGATTCACTGAATTCGCTCGCAACAGTGCTTGCATCTTGAACTGTTGCCTATCCTGTATTTTCCAAGCGTTATACGTATCAATTATAGTAACTCTGCTTAACATTAGCTAAATATTCTTATCTTGAATGTTTGACCCAAAGCCGTCATCTCGCCATTCTTCAACTCCCACCCCCTCAACCCGATTCAGCCCCCCCCCCCCCCTGAATTCGTTGATAAGCTTACTACCGTACTTCTGTACTTTTCAATTTTGTCCAGAGGTGGATTGATGTGTGCCAAATTTTGTTGCAGCTCAAAATTGCGTTATCTCCATTTTGTGCACGTATGGCCGACGTTTTGGAGCGTCTTTTTTATTGGGCTGTAGCGGAAACTCGTGTTGTTTTATGAGACGGGAGCTTTTAGTTTGACAGGTTAGTCATTCGAATTTTGTTGCGTACGAAATTAAATTTGGAGTGCAGGGCTTCATAGTTTATTACTTGTTTTGTAGGGAACAAAGTAACAATGGATAAATATTTATCAAAATTCGTGGTTGTAAGAGGAGTTGCAATTTAGCCATGATAAATAATAATTAGTGCTTTGAGTGCAATCTATTAAGACTCGATAATTGTATTGTGGTAGACCCGCTTTCCAGCAATGAATGTGGCCAGAATGTTGATGTTGTCATCTGCAGAAACAATGTACGGATAAATAATACAGAATGCTTTGGTTTTTACCTAGAAGCACTAGATCGGCATCAGCTCCAACGTCCAGGTTGCCTTTATTGGCAAGGCTGAGGAGACTCGCTAAAAATAAGCAAAATTCGCCATCGAGAATTATACGTACTAAACTTTCAGAATTGACAGCGACAAAAAAATACTAAAGCTTGAGATTTTCTGGCTAACACGAATGGATAGAGCGAAGGTCATTTCTTGGTCTGATAGGCAGTCGATAAGAAATACTGTAGCCGACAAGAACAACCACAGTGCATCCATTTTTTATGAATTTTTGTAGCTAGAGTTCAGCTGTCAAATAGATTCTAGTAAGCACTTTTGCAAAAACCGCTTGCCGCGGTTGCTGGTTTTAACAGATTTCACTTCGGTTAACATCAAGAATTCCGTAGATTGAACTTAGGGTTTGGCCTTTGCAACTTCTGTATTTATTATTACCCTAGCGTTATATGTTTTTTATTGAATCTCCATTATTTCATGCCCAAACCGTGCTGCATTCAGCTCGATTTTCGTACCCACCAGGTCTAGCTGTAGCTGCAGTAAGTGCTTCTTGAATTGAGCACCTGGCAGCTTGTACGAAATGTCGGATACAGTACGGCATCGAAGCGACGCTATAACGGACAATCGATAAATTGAAGGGGGCGGGGTTGATACGGTACGCCGGCCAATCAGAGTGGTCGTAAATGACAGGCAGCTGGTAGCATAGAGCCCCCGCTGAATCTTTAATCCCAAGTGCTCTTTCACTGCTTTTATTCGATGGCATCAGATACTTTTGATGTTTATAAGATTTTAGTAATAGCACGCATAACTCTGACTCCACAAGCTTGCAGTTTCGGGTTTTGAAGGCCTTACCTGCCAGCCGTTGTTTCAGTGCCCTCTAGAATAGCATGATGGCCCTTGACAATAATGCTTTGTTGGCCTAACCTAAATTGCAATTTCAATGAAGGAATATGGTGGAAATACCGATGAACTCCATCACCCATTCCCAGTGCTGCAATTGCATCGGTGACAAGGATTAGTCCTTCCGGAAGTGTTTTGTAAGCAAGTCGCAATGCCGAGTCGTGAGTGTGAATTCCATCGGAAATGATTCCTATAAATTTAGAAAAAAAAACTAGAAAATGTTGCCAATTTTGGACGGTAGTAAGAAATCTTTTATCCATGCATATTTTTGCCCTAATATCACAGACTGGGCCTTTAAAGTATACTCTGATACCTTAAATCTTGGCACAGTTCAACATTTGCTAATTGCCTTTGAAACCTTATGAGCTCAAATTTGCCGATGCAAGAATTTTTGTATAAAATGATATTCTACGTTTTCGGGCTTACCGTAATATAACGGCTCGGTCCTTCGCTTAAACTGCGTTGTCAGCAATCCGATAAGCCCCGGATCCCTGTGATGGTACTAAAAGGCGTAGCTTAAAACCAAAAACCGCGTGTCAAGTGAAAGTAATGACGTTTGGCCACCCACCGAAGCCATCGCGTTGAACAAATGAGTAATACATTTGGCGCCAGCCTTGACGCCAGCCACCCCTTCTTCCCAGCCAGCTGATGAATGCCCAAGCGAACAGACGATACCCTTTTTCGTCAGCCAGTCAATCGCTTTTTCAGCATGCTGCAAAGCGTTTTTGGATAACTTTTCCAACATTGAATTCAATAGTATTTTAACCAGGGTAGAAAAACAACGCCGCGGCAGGGTGATCATGGCCCGAGCATAATAAGTATTTACATAGACAATTCAACTACAAATCTCAGTCAAAAGATGGAAAAACCATCGCATAGGCCCCTTTTGCATGCCTACTTACTTCCATTGCATAAGTGACTAAAAACCGCTTCGCGGCTTTTCAGCAAAACCCCCTCGGTCCAAAGGAGTTTGCTATGCTTTGCCGTGGGGGAAAAAGTGGGATCTCACACCTGCCACTTTTATGGGCGACCTCCGCTTCCGGTGCACGCTAGTTTTTGCTAACAAACAGCGAGTTTGACGTTTCTGATCAAGGTGTGCTACCAAGATGATGTTTGCGAGTAGCTAGACACACCTAGTTTTTCAGAGATTTCTATTCATGTATCGAATTCGATCCTTTACAGAAAATTGATTACAGTTTTAATGCAGTGCGACAAAAAAACTTGCAGGGTCTGCGATTTTGAAATAAGTAGAAAGAATAGGTAATAATAATGAATAAGATAGATCCTAGGAAACTAGCAGAAACATTAAACCCCATTTTCCATTCAAAATTTCAGATTTTAGCCAAGATGCAACAGATAATAGAGACAAATACGATCAGCCATCATTGGTCAAAAGTTTCACGGGCGATGCCATAAAATACGTTATAATTTAAATGATATTAAAATTTAAATGAGGATTCTCCCCACCTGTTTCTCTGGAGCAATGGTGATGATAGCAATATTATCGAGTCCTCCATAAACACGTGTCAAATCGAGTCTGTATTCTTCCGTCAAATCTTTGACTTGTTCTGGGGGATGGCATCCTCGTTTGTGGAAGGAAATGAATGGACCTTCCATATGCGCCCCTCAAACATATATTCTTTTCAGGTTTGTTAGAGGTTTAGAGGTTAGAGGTTAAATTCGGATTGTACAACGGCTTTCTTTGTGCCCCCTTTCTTTCAGCTATTAAAAATTTGAGATACCTAGCATTGCAGCACCATCCTTGTCTCCCGGCGTTCGAGGCAAAAGTGGTAGGACCTAAATGAACTTAGATTTTTTATAAGTCAGTAATACCTTATAATAGCTTTCTGTTGATGAAGTAATTACGGTGGGGCAGAAAGCCGTCACTCCATGAGCCAATAATCCTTTGCGTACCGCAGCGATTCCTTCCAAGTAAGATTTTTCACCAGCTTCAAACGAGCTGAAGTCGACATTGAAGGCACCTAAAATAATCTTATTACTATGTAGATCAGGGTTGAAAAACCGCTTCGCGGCTTTTCAACCCTGGCCCCGTCTAGGATCGATGAAGTTATTGACTTTGCATAATCCTTGCCAAAACCGCTCACCAAAAAATGAAAAGCGCGCCCTCTCTTCCTTTTTATAAACCATTTCCACTTCCGGCGTATGCTAATTGCTTCCTAACAAAGCGGTTGGCAGAAAACTTTACAAAAACCTAATTTTAATATCGAAAATAGCAATTTTTCAAAACTTTTATGTGTGTGCAGTCGATTCCAGCCCCTTCTTTACCCTATGACGTTTCTTCCCTACCGAAAAAATGCTTCCCTGAGGCTGTAGGTGCGGAACATCCAAACGGAAGTGCATGCAAATATACACACACACACAGACACTATTTTTTTATATTTAGTAGGATTCTAGAGATCGACATCGCCAATAGCAGCGTCTGTGCAATATTAGATGTTTAGCCCCACCATTTAATTGAATGTCGATGAAACCTGGAGCCAAAATCTTCCCACCGCAATCAACCTGAAAAAAGTTTACATTATGCTATTAATCATACCTGAATATCGGCCAGACTAGCTTCATCAAAAAAAACTTGCGAACCCGGTATGATGCGCCCATCACGGACCTGAAATATTTTTCCTTGCCTCCGCTCCGTTCTTATGTAAATATTTTTGCCTGTTGCGACTGTGCAGAGATTTCATCGCAGCTAAAAATATACCACGTGATAAGAGTGATAGCTTTGAAATGTGCAACGGATGGCGTGAGAATTGTTACCCAGATGTGATCGTCGCAGAATTTTCCGTTTTTAAGGACCCTGGCGTTGATAAATTGGATCAGTTTTCCATCGAGTGGTTGATCGAGCTCGGGTGAATCGAATGTGATCGGCATCCTAGATTTTTAAAATTTCTTGTTACCGTGAGTTACAAAAAATTCAAGGCTTTAAAAAGCCTAATATATTTCCGTGGTGGCAGAAAAACGAAGAATAGAAGAAAGTTGAGAATGTAGGCATTTAGACCTGGCAGTCGAGCCAACTGAATCGGCTCTAAAGTGCTGGAAAACAACGAGAAACAAGGAAAACAATCGCAACCTATCGTCAAAACAAGGCCAAAAATCGTTGGTTTAGTTTATTAGTATAGCGAATGATTTGGAGGAGTGGCCCATCAGCTGCATTCGTTATCTAATCGTTTCGGGGGCCTTCGTTGTCCTAATCATTGTTAAGCGAGCTGTCGATTTTCTTTGAGGTCTCTTCATGTATTTTGTAGTGAAAGAATAGGAGATAATGGATCTGTGTGTGATAATATAACAATATTAAAGGACAAAGGTGAGAAAATCTTGGATTCGGATAAAATCGAGAAAAAAATTGAGAGTGGTAACGCGGGTTTTGATGTTTTTCACTTGTGATTTTTAGATTCCTGAAGAATTGGCGAGTCTGCTGTGTCGAAGCTTATTTCTGGTACACAGCTGTACAAAAAATTGCGATAATATGCCTGAATATATCAATACTTTATTTAGCTGTTGCATAAAAGTGCAGAAAATTATCCCTGAAAAAGCATTACATACGTCTTTTAACTCATTAAGTATGTAGGTGTTATCCTACTATATATAAAAAATAGTGTTTGTGTGTGTGTGCCACTTTGCATGCAACTTCCGTCAGGGTGTCCGGAGAATATCTCGATAATAGAGTAGGTTTGAGGTGCATACGATACGTCATTAGGTGCGTAATGGTCTGGAGATGACTGCACACATATAGTATTTTACGGAATCCGCTATTAGACGTTAAATTTAAGTTTTTGCAAAAATTTTCGGGAGCCCTCTTTGTTAGGAAACAATTAACATACACCGGAAGTGGTGACAGTCTATATAATGGGAGAGAGGACGTGGTTTTCATTTTTTGCCATCTGAATTCGGGCAAATTATGTAAAGTGAAGAATTTCATGGCAATAGACGGGGCCAGGGTTGACAAGTCGCGAAGCGGCTTTTCAACCCTGGTTTGAAAGAAAAAAAAATAGTGGTTCCAAAGGTATATGCCTACTAAATTATAAGGAAACGGTTCAGAAGCACCCATAGAAATTGGTAATTTTTTAATGAGCACGACCTCAGAGTACATCATACCAATCAGAATATTTTAGGGGACATTTCCCTTTTAGCGTGGATAACAGGGATCAAAATTTTATCTAAATATCTATAAAAAAGACAGCGTCTGTGTGCATTTGCGCGCAACTTACAAGGAGACGTTTTTGAGCGTCGTCGGGACTTTGGCACGGGACCAAGTCTATCTTGTGCAGAATTTTTCGCTGATTCCGAATATGGTAACCGTTTTTGCGGAATAGCCATTTCTCGAAAGTTATGAACGATTTCAAACCTGAGAACAGCCCAAAATCGGCTACTTTGGATAGTCATAAAAGGCTTCGGAATAGGTTTTAGACAAAACTTGATAGTGCATCTGTTCAGAAAAAAGATTCGCTATAAAATAAGTTACTTATCTCAAAAATGATGGAATTTTGAAAATTTTTGTAAAATTATGGGCCGCCCACTTTATCAAATTTTTCCAATTTTTCAATGATTTTGGAAAGATGGTACATTTTATAGAGAATTTTTTTGAACAAGATGCATTAACAAGTTTTGTCTAAAACCTATTCCGAAGCCTTTTATGACTATCGAAAGTAGCCGATTTTGGGCTGTTCTCAGGTTTAAATAGTTCATAACTTTCGAGAAATGGCTATTCCGCAAAAACGGTTACCATATTCGGAATCAGCGTAAAATTCTGCACAAGATAGACTTGGTCCCGTGCCAAAGTCCCGACGAGACTCAAAAACGTCTCCTTGTTAGGATGTACTGCACCTAGAGCCTCAGGGAAGCCTTTCAAATATGTTTAACACGTCATTTGATGCATAATGGTCTCGAGATGAGTGCACGCATAAAGGTTAGGAAAACGGGCCGTTTTCGCTATTAAGATTAAATTTTTGGGAAAAATCTCGGGTACTTTCTTTGTTAAGAGCCAATTAACATTGGCCTCGCGCTATTTTCAACCCAGGTTGATTTCGGAAAAAACAACACACCAATGTTTGCCAGGCTCATTCCTCAAAAATTGTAATTCTTCCCAAAATTTCTCCTCCAACCTTTCCAGAACCCATTCCAATTCCGAACAACAACAATGTCCACCGATCCAAGGTATCCGTTTGTGAGTCAGGATGGATGGGCGTTATGTGGTAGATGCATGTTGTATGCCTGCGTGTGTTTGGAAGAGGATGGCGGGGGGGGGGGGTGATTGGTGTTTGCGCGGGGAGAATCCCCGGCCATTCTCGAAATGCTTCTTCCATAAAAGGGGGGATGGGGGGATGTCGACAGAGCGGTCACAATTCCTCGTTCACCTCTATTTCGGCCGCGATGCATATACATACACACGCAGCCCGACAAATATGACGCATACAGGGTTGTCTTCAAGACGCTCGCCTGGGTGGGCTTGTTGCCATGTAGTCTCCAAGTGCTGTATCGTACAGATATATCTCGTTATATACGCTATTTCTGCCGGTATTTGGTTGTCTTCTATGCGTCAGGTTAGAACTTATAGCAGCGGTGCGTATGCTTAAAAACTACGCACATTCAAATTTTCATAAACATTTTAAAGCAAGAAAATTATAGCTTGATGATATTATTTTTTTTATTTCCGGTCAAAAAATGAAGGTTTCCAGCCTTGAAGTGGACAAAAACATAAAGCATTTATTTCCTGTCTGGAGAATGTCTCTTTTACAAATTATTGTTTAATTGGAACCGTTTAATTCTGTTTTTTATCACCAGATTGACATGGTTGTCCAGAAAATGGCCGCTTCCGCGCATGCTAGCCAAAATTCGCCTGTTGATTCCCCAAAATCCTAGAAACCGTTCATTGCAATTTTCATAAAATCGGCTTTCTCACCCTGAGTTTTTATTTTACAAATTTTTGTTTTGAAAATTTGCGTAAATATGATTTCTATGGGTCCGAATAGTTCATAAAAATTTTAGCTCGAAAAGAAGGTGCGCTGTTTCCTTCGGACCCTGTAGTTCCGTTAAAAAATGTCTAGACATTCCAAACCTTTTTTTGAAGCCCTTCACCTCATGAACTATTCATCGTTGTAGGTCATTCTACCGTTCTTTCCCTTGTGTCCAATGTTATTGGTCCACCCCACGGGAAGTCATTGAACACAATTACAGTCTCTACATGTCGTGTGTTGTCAAGTGTTCGGAGGACTATAGTACCCGAAGCCCTCCTCACATAGTATCGGACCCTCCTCCCCCCTCCTCTTCTAAATGGCCCACCAACGATTTCCATTTGGCCCGTCATTGTTGCTCCCTTGTTGGTGAGCATCCAAAATATCCATCTGGTTATTATATATTCATGGTTTGGTGGGTTGGGTTTGCTGTATTACAAATTATAGCTAACTAGTGAATCGATTTTTTATTCAAATTTATAATACTCTGCCCGTTTTTTGTTATTCTTTCGTTAATCTGATTCAGACCTTGAATCAGTGTAGACTAACACTTAGTAGTAAGCAACCAAAAGTTTCAAACTTTCTTTTTCTCCCGTGAATTTTAGAAAAACTATTTTTATCAAAATGATTAAAATGGTTTCTCCACCGTTTCTATAATTCTTCACCCAAATTGATAATCACATTTTCAGAAATGCTCGAAACAGCAGTAATTTTCTCGTCGCTCGTATTCGGCGTCTATTCGTACTATTCATGTCCAATGGGTCTTGGCGGAGGGATGATGGGGATAAACAGTGGATACGGTGGATACGGCGGGAGACCGTGGGTTTTGGTCAATGATCATCAATGAATCCCACCTCAAAACAAAGCTATAAAGGCGGTTATTGTCAAATATTTGTCGGAGGTAGGCGAATGGTGTTAGCGTATCGCATGAGAAAACGATTATTTTATGATTTGTGTAAATATTCGAGGTTGAGGGTGGTAGGAAGTGCTGAAATCCGGTCTCTAGACAAAAATTTGTGATGCGCTTGGGCGTGCCGCGCGACACCCAAAAACCAAAAGCATCCATTCTAGTGTCTAAATAAAACGAATATTAAGTACCACTATATGAAATTAAGAAGAACCAGGGTTGTAAAGCCGCTTCGCGACTTTTCAACCCTGGCCCCATCTGACCCCATTTTATCCTTCACTTTGCATAATTATCCTAAACTCGGATGACTAAAAAATGAAAAACAGCCTCCCCTGTGCATTTACTTAGTCGAATCCCCACTTCCGGTCCATGCTAATTATTCCTAACAAAGAAGTTTTCACAAAAACTTAATGTAATGTCGTAAATCGATAATTTTGTAAAATCTATTAGGTGTGCAGTCATCGCAAGCCCATTGCGCACCTAATGACGTATCACACATACCTTAAAATTCTTCCCATACCGAGATATCCTCCGGACAGACAGACGGAAGTGGATGCAAAGTGGCACACACAGACACACACAGACACTATTTTTTTATATATAGTAGGATAAACAACAAAAATACAAATAAATCAACAATAAATGTAAATACAACTCATTTTTTAGCTGTGGCCAAGAATCAATTTTCCATCACTACCGCTGCTGCGACTATAATCAATATGAGTGCTGTGTGGAGCTCGAGACATGGTTCATGTATGTCTATGCAAAAATTACCCGTTTAAAACCCTTTCAGTATCTTCTTAATCATCGTCGCAATCTGTCTACTCGTTTGCTGCTGTCTCTGCATCGGAGGAGCCATCTTCGGATTTCAGAGGGCAAACAACTAAACCAACTTTAAACAACTTTTGTTTCATTCGACCCATTGAATTCCTCTCAAATTCCGATATCCGCCGGTGTCCCTCCGCCACAGCAATTTTTGAATCATTCTCAAATAAATCTCTCTGTTTTCTTAAATACATAATTTATTTACAACCTTTATCAAAAATGGCAAAAAAATGTGTCCCGTTCCGGCAAAATTCATGGGTTTTCTCACGGCGTGCGTAGATGATCAGATCTCATGATAGGTGTTCCTTCTTTTGTAGACCAGATATTTCATCAATACCACCATTCCAACAGCCAACACCGCCAGTACACCTCCGATCACGGCAATTGTTGCTGCAAACAAATCGATTTCGATCACCGGGCTCTCCGGTAAAAAAAGGGAACGGATTCCGCCCCGGAAAGGAAGAACGCTCGTTTCGCCCGGTCTTATCGCGACCTTTCCGGCAAAAAGGGCAACATTTAGGGGGGTTTGTGGCTACCGACAGGTACGAATGAAACCTGCCGGTGAGATTCAGCTAATCTTAGGGTTTGATGTGGGATTAGAGCGCTGGAGTGGAGGATTTGCACACCGGAAATTCTTAAGGGATTTCGGCTTTTAGCGCAGTCTTGGATCCAGTACATTTTTCTGTTTAGTTAAACTGTTACGACTAGCGAACTTACTAAAACTTATTAGAAACCTTCATCCCACCATAATTTTTCAAAAATTCAAACATGTTTAGACCAAGTCTGTCTGAACCGCATGGATGTCCTTGAAAAATGACCTCAAAACACGATAGATATTGGGACCCCCGTGAAAAGATGCACGGATGCCTTGAAACATTTGCCAAAATGAACCAGCCATTTGCCAATTTGTTTTTGGCGTCCGCTATTTTCAAGGAAGACATATTAAACTGGCCCCATCAGACAGACACACGGCTTTTCCTGATCAACTGTTGCGGCGGGGAATGGACTAGAGATTAGATCTTTAAAGATATCCCAACATCCCTCCATTAAAGCTAGCGAAATCCGTCCAATGATCAGTTTTCTCCCCCAATTTTTTTATGGATGGGACGCAACAATAGGTGGTAATTCTTAAAACCGCAAATTTTCGGGATGGAGCCACGGGGCCGGCCTCGTGTACCCCAAGTAAAAAGGAGGGCAAAGAAAAATGGAATTTCCCATGGGGTGGGTAAAGAGCAAAAAGTGATGACTAACGAGGAACGCAACAGCAAAATTTTGGAATTGAGAGAGGGAATTGTAGCTTTCGGTAAGAAGCTGGTCGGAGTTATGAGGTTTTGGGATTTTCGGGGTGCGAATTTTGGAATTATGTTTGGGAAAGCTAAAATGAAGAAGATTCAAAGTTATGAAAGGTTTTTTCATGAACCGTTTTGAACTCCATGCGTTGTTTTTAAATCCTTAGCCTCGAAAATTTCGAATTCGAAATTCGAATTCGAAGGGTTTTTTTCAAACAGAGTAGTTCGAATGGATTTAAAAAGCACAATTCTATCAAAGGAATATTAGCTCTACTTCTAGCATAATTCTACGATTTCTCGAGAAGAATTCAAGAATTCTAAGAATTCTGAAAAAAATCCAGTGGATGCATGACGTAAAAAAAATTCTACAAACATTAATGCTGTTCCTAATTTTACTAAAACGGACTTTTTGTAGACGACAGCTAAAAGACTTCTGTAGAAGGGTTTTCGTAGATTTGGTTTCAAAGAAAATGTGACTCGTCAGGCATGTAAAATCGCGAGAAAACTTCGCAATTCCCTACTTCCAAATTTATTAAAATAACCCGATTTTAACCAAATCTCACTTACACCACATTTGAACAGGTGGAGTTGCTGCTTCTTCGTGCTTCGGTTTCTCGTCCACCAAACTGAAGAATCGACTGGCGACAGGATCCCCGTTCTCGTCACTGTTGTTGAATATAGGATCTGGGAGCATGAACATTTTAGATGAGACGGGACTGGTGGGTGACTGACCAATTGTGAGGAATGGGACTGCTGCTGCTGCCCTATTCCTTTTTCTTTTCTCCGCCTCCACGAATCGGGCCCACGCGGTGAAGGCGAGCTGTTGCGAGGCGGTGCTCTTGTCCCCCTACAAAAAAACGGTCATATTTTTGGGTGGGACGAGATAATAAGTTGACAAGTTGACGTAAACGCACCCAAATGGTCTGGAAGAAAGTATAATCTAGTAAAAGTGAAAAATAGATAATTTAAAAAGAGGAGAATCTCTCAAAAAAAAGAGAAATGGGTGGCAAACGTGAATCCATTAATATTTCGCGACAAGTTTTAGAAAACTAAAGAGAATTTATTAGCCCAGGTGGTTAAAAAAGTGAAATAATTTTATGTGAACAATCATCCAAATAACTGTATCGAAAATGTAGAATTCATTACGGGTTTCTAAAATGTAACGAGCATTCAAAACACCCTAAAACTTGCTTTGTGCCTCGATATTTACTATTCACGTTCCGAGATACGGATTTTTGTCGATACAGATAAGAAGTGCACCTGATCTTGAAAACAAAAAAATGGTTTATTTAAACTACAATCCATGCTTTCATAAAAAGTTTTTGCCGAAGTACTAATCTATTTTAACCGACTTATGAAACATGTAATTTTGTGTCGAGTTGAAACTTAATTTGAGGATAGTTTATCGTTCAAAGGTTCAAACTATACTCCCCAAAAAACTCCATCTCAATCCAATTTACGGCGGCATGTGCCTGGAAATGTGCAGAAAAACGTTCAAAAATCCATCGAGGCTGAAAAGAGAAAAAAGTGTTGTAAGTGGGACGTGAGAGATTTGAAGGGATAGCAGAGGTGTTGGAAGGTGTAGGTGGTGGAGGTATGGATGGAAAAGACCAGTCAGAGGCTGTTGGAAAAAGTGGTCGTTCGGATGGTCAGTCCTATCAAGGCTAGCAGTGGAATGAATCGATTCCCGCATTCCCATCCCGACTCCCCTAGCTATTGTTTATTGACTGAACATCTGCACGAAAAGAGCATTAATGGGTGGATTTTCGCACGCCTTTAAAATAGTAATTATGCCAGAGTCCATTATTCACTAATATCATCGTTTCGAGAGAACGAATCAGGAAAACTCAAACCAGTAGACGACCGGCCCATTAATTTTTCACTTAAGTTGTTGAGAAGCCAGATATTCTAATGAAAACTCAACCATAAAATATCAATAGAAAAAAACGATAGGTGGCAAGTGCTCGGATGGGAGAAAATATGGGATTGTTTATATTTCCGCTTTCTGAGACGTAAAATAACGCTCTTGAGGGAAAATCGGCCCTGAGCACGTTAGGGTGAACGTTTTGAACTAGCATTTACCGGCCTGCCAACCTTGAGAACCCGTTTTTCGACAGTTTTGGTCAGGTGAGGAACGAACGTAAGTCTGGATGCTGAATAGGTGAATCTATGCGAATAGATTAAACAGAAAAGATTAAAGAAGAAAATTTAGCTGCTATGGAAGTAACTAAAAGCCTCTATTACCTACAACTGGAGGGAATAATTCTTTGTTTATACATTGATTTTAAATGAATTTTCCGTTAATTTTTTAAAGACCGTAAAAAATCTGCTTGAAACCTCAGAAGAAATGTAAAATGGTCCAGGATTGTACATTCTAAAGGCTTGACAAGACAGCCAACGAATCATCCGTAAACCGTCGTCAAAAAGGAAGGGAAAAAGCAAAAAAAGCCCCGCCGACAGAAAACATACAATGGATCGATTCAGCGATCTGTCTGTCCCGTTTTTACATCCATCCCTTTTCAGGCGGGAAAGCGCGTTTCAGGATAAAAAGTGCAAAAGGACCTAATAGTTGTAAAGAGTAAATCGAATTTTACATTATCTATTTTGAAAAACTTACGTGACTGATTCCGGTCACCACTGATGCCAGGTAGTCAATCACATCCTGGAACGGAATATTGTCGAACCCTGGCGGGTAATTTGTTAGGGCAGCCCTCCCTCCAGATGCCCTGAAATAAAATTTTTAATTCTCTGTATTCTGAATTTTGCTAAATTGCTAAATTTACTTCTTCAGCTTTTTTTCCCAAAAATCGTACTGGTGTCGATAATAATCTACGGCCGGTCCACCGTTAAATTGCCCATCTTTGTCGAAATCTAGGAAAAATGTCGATATTTTTATAATGTCCGATTACCTATCACCAAATGTTCCATTCCGTCCGTAGTATATCTTGGAAAAGAAACATTTCCGAAGCTTGGGCTATGATATTTTACAAAATTCGCCAGGATTTCTTAAAATGACAAAGAAACCTTTGTAAAATCCAAAAGGAAATACTACCGGTGTAAATCCGTTCGACTTCGTAGTCTTTTTCCTTGAATATCCCTCGATGCATACCAAATATGTAAATCTAAAAATGTAAAACTAAATGAATATTAAAGCTTACAAAGTCTTCCGAATGTAGGGGACTATCAGAACGATCCTTTTGATATGCATCATATGCCAAGCCAGCATCTGCATATCTGTAGCTGTATACAAATACCTAGGTAAAATTCGAAATTATTAACAATGATAATTATTTACATACATTCGGATTTGCCAGTGACAGCTGGCTATTTGCATATACTATGGTTGCCATATAAAAAACTGCATCGTCAAAAATGTGACGGGTTTTGTTCGCTGAAAAATGACATGTATATTGACAATAGAACAAGTATCCTACCTTATATAATTTTGGCGTGTAACTGTGTGTGTGTGTGTGGATGTCACTTTCGAGGCCCGATTTGAGGGCCTTCCCGTGCATAAAATGTCCTAATTCTTCGTCACTTAGGGGAATCGACCCTTCTGTTTCCGATGGCGTTCTCAGAATTTCGATAAAATACAAGTTTACAAAGTTAAAGCCGGTTTTATCCATTTTTGGGGGTAATTTGCATAATGTGAAAAAATAAAAATTTCCTCATTCTTGCGAGTTGCACGCGAGCGTGTGGTGGGGGGGAGGTCCGAAGGACCCGAGCTACCGTAAAGTCAAATTTCTCATGCAAACGCACCATTCCAGCGCCCAAGGCCCGCGAAGCGGGTTTTGGGCGCTGGTAACATATAGAAACGTAGTATAAATACAGAGGTCGCTTACAAGTTGAATTGCCACTTACGTTGATTATATTCTTCCACGCACATCTGAGCCACCACTTCCGGTCTGGCAAATCCAAATCCATAAGCATAGGCTTCACAGACCCAAGTCAACTGCGCGATATCGGGCATCCCACCAGTTCCCTCGATAAATCTAGAAAATATAAGAATCATTAGGTAACAAGGTTAAGAGTTTACTTTCCAGCATTCATCTCACCAGTCACGGTTCCAACTAATGTTGGCAATTGTTTCCGTTTTGCAGCCAATACAGCGTAGGGCTTTGTGAAAAACTAAGAACTTTGTTTTCTTCTCTCTCCACGAAATATGCCTTACATAATCATCTAAAGAAATCCCATAAAAATCTTCATAGCTCCCAGCTATTCCAATTTGTGCGTCTTTTATTTCGTCCGCCGATTTGGCGAGAATGCAGTCAAGCGCTAAACTTACTTAAACTTTTCATGATACTTACATACCTTTTTTAGCAATTGCTGTTTTTCTAATTTTTGCATCTTCCGTTGCACATCCAAGATTAATCAGCATTCTCCTCGTTACAGAAACATTGATATCTAAAGAATTCGAAGGAACTTGGACGGAATATAATTGATTAATTCACTTTTGTTAACATCCATTCTCGCAGCATTGCCGCTTTGTGAGATCACCGCTTGGAAGAGACCCTCCATTTTTGGGGTAAGTGAGATCTGAATCGAATATACCCCATATTTCATATGGTTTAATGTTACCGGATCAACCATTTGTGCACCAGCACTGTGACCATATAAAGTCACCCTTCCATTATCACCGCCAAAATTATGTATTTCTCGTTGTACCCATTCCAAACCAATTTTAATATCTATAAAAATGGGATTGTTGGTTAGTAGCGGCCTACCATATAATGCTAAATTTGGTGGAACACCACTTTCTGGTAAATTAAACCAGCCCAAAATGCCTAGTCGATACGGTAACATAACGACAATCACATTACGGTCCTACAAAGCGCTATGACGACATAAAGCAAAAGGCTGGAACCTGGCCAGGAAAATTATTGACAATAACTTCTGCCGGAAAGGCAGCTGGAGATTCCATAACATAAGCACCACCATGGATTGCTACCAATACTGCGCAACCACCCTGAAACCAAATCAGATTTTCACATTTTTCAGTTAGTCGCCGGATAAATCTTAGATTGCCGTTTTGGTTTCCTTAATTCCTCACCATTTTCAAGCATTTCCTATTTGTAAAAACATTCAAATACAAACAATCTTCAGAAACCGGTCCGCCTTCGTCTCGCTTGTAAGTGCGACTAAAGTAAACCACCAAATTTACGCAAATTTGCAAATTACACTGGATTGGATATACAGGCATTTCGATATTGCCTGGCTGACATGACACCGTCCCATTTTGAGACAGGAATTGGCTTTTTTAACCTAAAAATTGCATCTTTTGGGTTCCATGGAATTCATTTATTTAGTGTTTTCCTATGTTTAGAAATACCCATAGTTTTTCCTGTTTTTAAACAATGCAAAGGAAGAAACGGTCAGTTGATGAAATTTTGCTCTGAGGCGCTATTTTCAAACTTGTTTTACCGTAGTCTCCCAACTGGCGGCTCGGCAATTGGAATGCCCAAGAATCCAAGACCACTTGTATTTGAATGGCCTGAAATCTCGATTCCCTGGAGTAGGCCGGTGCTGTAAATTGAATAAATGAATGCAGGGGTGGTGACTGCCAGCAAAAAGTGGTGGTTGACCAAATCAGGCGTAGGCGGTTTGTGAAACTTGAATAGTGTCTAGTCAGTCAGAATTTAAAACAGGAAAATACGGAAAACTGAGGTTATCACCCTTGTTGAGAACTATGGAGTATCTACGAATTATTTCGGTTTTTTTTTCACTGGCCTTGATTCTTAAAAATGTGAATTCAAAGAGACTAATAAGTGCCGGAAGGGTATTCAATAAATCTCGGGTAATACTGTAATAATCTTCCCCTCTAAGATCCAAATCCCGGTCTATTCAACGCCTTTAGCCGGAAACGGCTGACAAAATAAAGCTCACCTAATCTGCACCAAATTGGCCAAATAATCGACCCCACCAAAGCCTATAGCCAAATGGACGATGAATGAGAGTAAAAAAAAGATATTCCGGGCCATTTTTCCATCGAAAGGCGGCGTCCGAAGACCAGGAAGACGCTTGGATGGGCCGTCGAAAAAGCTCGAAAGTGGTCACAAACTATTGAACCGATAAGCGTATAGAGTCGGCCCTGGTGTGAGAGGGGACATCACTGACCACTAGAACACCCCGGGGCATAACCACTCTTTATGCAAATAAAGGTTGGGGATTTTTGGATATTTAATTCATATTGATTGGGTGATAGCTTCCCTGGAAAAGTGCCGTTATTTTTTAAACTTGAGAAACAACACCACTCGACTTAACAACTTGGCTCTGTTGTCAAATTCTATATTTTTTTAGGTTACGAGGCTTCGTTAATTAATAATACTCAAAATTAAAGCTGATCCCTTACTTACCTCGATGCATTCTATATGCGTACTTATTTTCATAGCAGATTCATATTGCGAGCCGATCAAGTTCAATAATTATTCACCAGAAACTGCACGGGAACCGTTTTCCCGCAATTTACGTAACCCAGTTTCTATTTCCGCAATTTTCTATTATATTTCTAATGCAAACTGATGGAAATTACAGGTTAAGGTTTCTCCTATAGTTTTGTTAGATTTGTTCCCGCTATTTTTAAAGTTATTGTGAATAGTACTTCACAAGGACATTTGAAGTAGAATAAAAGGTGAGCTCCGGATGCCAATATCTATGACATGGCTTTTAGGACATGCTACCGCCGAGAAAATGGCAAAAACCAGATTTCTCTAACATTTTGACACATACATTTTTGAAATGCTTTTTTCATTGCCATTGCTTTTGCTGATCCTATGTCTTTGCGAGCTAAATTTTCACTTCCCAAGCATTGTCTCAGGGTCCTTGCAGACAAATGAATGAAGGTTCTTTTCAGGCCGTACTTCACTGATCATTCAGCCAAAGAATGCACTATTCCACGAAATGCCTGGAGGGCACCTGGGGGGTTGCCGCATCAAGCGAATAAGGGGTACTGGTGGTTTGTCTAATTGCGGTTCGGTGGGTTCGCAGCAAAACGGTATTCTAGAAAATATATTGGAGGAGGCAGGGGGCACTTACCAAGATTGCGAGAAGAGGTTTCCGGGGGCCAACTAATCCGGAAGACGGATTTTAGGGGGTGAAAGCTGAATGGAACTGTTTCGCGAGCATGGATTTGGGATTAGAAGGAATCCTCGGGATACCGTGCTGTCGGCATTTTTATAGAAATGTTCAAAAATCTATGTAATGTCAGGCTGCCCGTTCAAATTCTTTTAAAGGCGCTTGTAGAAAAAGAGTCTCGGTTGTGAAATGGCCTTGAAAAGGGCAAAAATGGTAGCAATTGCTGTAGTTTTTGCAACCAGTACTGTATGTAATTTTTGTCTGCGTTTTTCAGCTGCAAATTTGAATACGTTGTAAGGTTTGTAGAATAAAAGAAAACAATTTTTATTCCCACTACATTTTTACAACTAATCAGTCAACTGACAAGTATACGGGAATAGAGAGTTTTTAGCCGTCAAACGTGCTCGATGAATATATTATGATGATGTAGCTGGGAGGTCTATGCATTAACGCAACGGGTCATTGTGTGATATGGGCAACAGTCGCATAGCGGAACCAAAACAACAATTTAAAATGGTTAAGACACAAATTAAATTAAGAAGGTTGTACGGTAAATGTTGTATGAGGGGGAAACAATTATAGGCTATGCCAGTATGAAGAAGTACCGGGCGGTTAACCGATTCTATGGTAATAATGAAGCTAGTGGAGGTCGGTGGTTTTTTTGGGGAATTGCACGCTAATAATTGGAATCTTAGTATTGTGTGGTAATTTACACTGATAGAAGTATACTTATAGAGATGGGCAGGTGCAAAAAAATGTTGTACATCAGAAAAATTTGTAAGGGCTGAAGAATAAGGAGAGAGATATGCAAGAAAAATCCCAGCTAGGGTAACGAGATAAAGCGGAAAAGAAGTATCGTAGAGAGTACGGTAGGTTACAGCTTACGAGCGGTTGATGGCCGTTTTGCGGGGAATACCACGCGTTAGGTAGTGGGTGAGAACGTAGCCCTTGTGGTGTTTGTAGTGCTCGACGAGCTCGACGACGCCCCTGCAAAAAATGGTGTTTAAAAGCGAATTCTAGTTTTTTTTTGCTTGAGAAGTGATTTAATGATAAAAACTCACTTAAAGGCCTGGTCAAGGTTAATGCGGAAGCTCGGAGCTCCACGACGGTTTGAGACGGCGATCGGAATATGGACTATTCTGCCGTGACGGTATTGGGCGATGGTCAGCTTTCCGTCCCAGGAATATACGATGAAGTCACTAAAAACAGACAGATTAGAAATAAAGATAAGCACATAAATACAGCATCATAATAATAATCTTTGTCAAAATACCGTACCCGTCTTCGGTATCCTCGCTCCTCAAGATCTCAGTGGCTTGGTTGGATGGGGTATCCGCGTAATACCAGGGTTGTACCACATGAAGGTGGCAGCTGGGGATCAGATCGGAATTGCGGCGAGAACCTCTGAAAATGGATGGTAATTTTTAATTTCTAGAAAGCTTTTTAAGATAATTGCTTGATGTTTTAAAACGCTGATAAACTTACTGGGTAAGCATTTTTCTGGTGGCTGCATTTTGTGGCAGGAGCCGGACGCCTTTGGCGCTGAATTCCATTGGCACGCGGTCGCAATCATCGAAATGTGGCGGGAGTGGTGTGGCGCGGCTCTGCAAATAGCGTGGTAATTTTTGATTCCCAGATGAGAACTCAATCATCAGTTCGTCTATTTCCCAAAATTTTTATTGAAGTATGTTGCCTTGATCCCCTTACAACAAAGAACCACTTCCGGACCGTGAATAACCTTTTAAAAAATAACCCACTCTACGGCAGAAACTTTTAATCGGCTCTCAACTCCCCCACAAACCGCTCTACTTGAGGTTTATGCAAAAAGAGGGGGGAAAGACAGGGAGTAGGGGCCCCCCTCACGTGCGGGGGAAGGCTATTTTCCCTCGTCGACAACCCGAAAAACCCCATTTCGCAAGGCATGGATGGGGGAAAGAGCCTGGCTGGTGTCCAGGGGCCGTTCGAATGCGAGTGGTCAACAATCAACAGCCCATGTTTTGCACTCTGCGCTGCGTTTCTCGTTTCTCGCCCTGTTTCCATCCAACGCGGTCGGCTAGACCTTCAACTGCACATGCACTTTTTGGAAAGGGCTGCCAATTCTCGACTCTCGCTGCTCAAGATGAAATCATTTTGAGTCAACCGGTTAGGGCAGTTTATTTTGGGTGGTAGATTCGAGTAATCTGGACCTACTTGGTGGCGTTATCCAGTTTCTATCTCTGCTCCCTCCCTCTCTAAATCATTTCCGGAACATTCCGTTCCCCCTAATCATCCTTATCTCTAGTCCGAGCATTCCGATGTTCAAGACCACCCTCGATTTCGAAAAATTTCGTCAACCCAATCTGATCGGACCGCCCATAGCGGTTAGTGGGGAGCGTCGAGCCAGCGATCAAACTTGCGTCACCATCCCCCTCCCCTCTAACCCCACCCATAAAATCACTTTTTTGATCGTGCGACCCGACCAGTTTCTCAGAGGTGCACGCTCCCCGATAAAGTGATCGACAGCCGATAAACGCCTGATAGCCCCCAACAGAACAATTCCTCCACGTGGAGTTCTCGGAAATGGACTACAGGACTAGAACACTTACAGTAGTCGGCTCCATCAACATGTAATCAGCATTGTCGAGGTCTCCGGTTGAACGGGACTTGCGCTCTCCAGCTTTGGAGAGCTTCTTGTGGACATTCTTGCCAAATCGTCCAGTAACAGCCTAAAAAGAGAATAAAGTTTTGAATGATAAAACTAACCCGGAACAGATCGGCGGCACAGGCAAATGGACGCTGGAGCGGTATCGCTGAGGGCATCGTTTCTGAAAAATTGGGTTTGGGAGGGTGGAACCATGCAAGGAAGAGGAAGTGGAAAATAGGAGTTGAAAGAGCGGAACAATGAGGTTGCGGTGGCTACCGTAGTGGAATGGTAGAGGTCGGATCATATAGATATCGGAAAGGGGAGGAGGAGGTTTCTTTGGAAAACGGCCTTGACGATTGTCAAGGGATAACGTCGAACATATATCGTGGGGGCCTAGACTTGGTTTGATAGGATGGGAAGGCACGCCTTTCGCGTTAATTTGAGAGATAGCCGTTCGAGAAAGAATGGTGGCTTTGACCGGAAGCTAGTGGAGGTGATCAGCTATTGGGTGTGTCCGGGAAAAGGTTTCGGATCTGAATGTTTGAGGTCTGGGGGCGGGGGGCGATATCGTTAGGGCAATGACGTGAGAGTGAAAAGCCGGTTTCGATTTATTTGAACGTAAAATCCAAATAGAATAGCAAACTAGAGAAAGGGGCTAGATCAAGGCGCAAAAACTCGGCCATGACTACGGTAACCACATCCCATTCGCGCAGACCTCACAAAAGGAACCAGTTCGCCGGATAAACCAAAAAAGGCGAAGATCTTGGACGACTGGAACAGATCGGATAGGGAGAAAGAGAGAAGAATTGGGTCGAACGATGGGGAGTCAGAGCTGCACGAGCACCTCCAGGTGTGAGAATGGCTGGACGCCCGTGGGAACGATCTGGGCGAGTCTCTATGTGAGACCCTCCCCTTCCCTTGAAAAGCCCCTCCCCTCCTCACCCCTCTCCCCCCTCAAACCCCGCCCCCCCTTCTCTGCACCTCTCAATCTCCTTCTGTCTTTCGCTTTCCCGTATAATTACCGGAAGGGGGATAAGAAAAAGCTTTCTCTCTATATCTAGTGATCATCCAATCGCATACCTTGCGGTAGACCCAGTTTATTGGGATGTCAGCCAGGGATCAAGGATAAATCTTTTGGGCTGGTCGAGCTGACCAGCGCGGAAGTGATACCAGATACCGAGGGGTTGAGTTATCGGCGGGTATCGCTGTATTCATTTTTACAGTCCAATCAGCGAAGGAATGCGCAGTGCCAGGTATACAGTGGTATCAGTGTGCTGACCAGGCTGAATCGGTAATCATAAAGGTAGAATTCGTGGGAGGGTATTGGTCTGGAGATCACGTGAGAAAACGGCGTGCTTCTTTTCGAGATTTTAAAGGGATGGCGCCATCACGCATCCGAGGAATAAGATTCAGAGTTTTTGTGCCGGGATCAGCACTATTTCCCACCGGCGTGCTTTTTCGGGTCCATAAGTGAATGGCAACATCAAACTTCTGGGGAAAATGTGGAGTTCTTATCCAGTGATCAGCCTTATTTCTTAACCGCTCTATAAATAATACACACGCGCCGATCCCCCTCATTTCTAAATCTAACCCGCTTAGCCCGGAAGTGATTCATTGGTGACAGTCTGACAGTTCAGCCTTTCAATAGACCAGACAATGTGGCGGCCATTTGACTGGTGCTCCCTTTTTCACTTGCGCGCGCTGAACGGAAGGATGGCTAGTACCAGTTTTCCGAAAGTTGACGTCATGCTCAGAGAAACTGAGTGAGCCCCACGATCTGACCAGGTGGGAGTTGAGGCCCAAAGTTCGACAAAGATTGGAAAACTAGGAATTTTGGGTATGATAGCTGACGTTAGCCGTAACCATTGTAACGCAGAGAACAAGTGAACTAGCGTGGTTAAAAGCCTTCAATTTATAGGCCGCTTATACGCTTGATAACGACGTGCCTTTTAATGAAATTCAACTTAAGATGCCCCGCCCGCCCAAGTACCGCAACTTTTAATCAGCAATACCACACCCTAGGGAGATATGATGACGCATCGAGGCCGGGGAGGTCAACCACATTTTGGTATACACGCCCATTAAGATAAGGAATTAAGGAAAGACATTAGTAGCGCAACTATATGAATAAGCGATAGCGTAGAAAGTTCAAAAAATCAACGCAACGCATCTGTAAATTTTGATTTTCTGATTTTTTTTGATTTCGAGTTAGTATCTGGCGATTAAAAATTTGCATAATTACATTGCATTGAGGTCGCTCGTATTCAAAATCTAAATCAATTTCTAAATGATATCCGCGTGACTCATAGCCAGCGCCTAGAGCCTCTAGGGCAAGGTTTCCGGGAAAGCTACCGCGCCCCGCAGGTTCTTATCAGGAAAAAAACGAAAAGTGCCATTCCGGCCGCTTTTGGCATCGACCGGTGAGAAGGTTCTGGAAATAGGCGGGTGAACAAAGATTGAATAGATCGGCATGACATGTCTCACAATGGGTAGTTTGCAACCATGTACAATGTCGGGCCTTATTAAAAACGGCTGCCGGGGTCGAAAAATTGCAGAGGAATCGATTGCTTCAGGTCCGGCTTCTTCCATTGAGTTTTTCAAACTGCCTTTATTTCCTTAAATTTGTAAAGCTCCGACAAGGTCACGTGGTTGATCAACCCCTCTCATCCGCTTCCCCCCTTAATGGATCAGGCTCAATTTCATTGACAAGCTGGGCAAAAACTGAACTGCCTCGCCCCTCGATTGGTCAGCGCCTATTCCCATATGTTGGCTAAAGGATGGGCTTTTCATCAGTCTGCCCCGCCCTATCCGCCCATTCTCCTTCACCCAGACTTTTCACCGTACTTGGCCTACAGTCTCTGTGCGAAAATTGGATCCCTACGCCGCGAGCCTAACGGGGGAATGTCTGGGCGATGGATACCGCCGAGCACATGTGAATCGGAGTGGAACACTCAAAATGTTCAGAACTTGAGCAATCACTGGGAACTATAGATTCAAATATTAACACCAAATACCACACCATACATATAGCAACAAACATTAGCTCTATATATTAACATGTTAAGACCGCCCATTAAACCCAGATCCCTGGTCAGCGGCACGGCAAAAACCCAACGAAGTACCCACACTTTATAGAATCCCTTTTCTACCCCGCCCAAACCGGTTTTCTCGTTTCACTAAACCCTCCACCTTTCTACCAACTCTGCCCCCTGCAAATTAACCCGTTTTAAAGATCTGAAAGCGTACCACCTTTGTCCAGGAAATAGTCTATTTTTAGCGCTGCCCGCAAGAAATTGCAAAACGGATCCATCAACCCTATTTTTGTTTAGACCCCGGAAACCTTTTGGAGTTTCACAATGTCGAGCTCCGCTCTCATCGCATCGGTGTTTCAGAGTTGCGTGCGGTGAGGGGGATTACCGTAGCCGCTCGAGGAGGAGGAGGAGGAGGAGATCAGGGCCCAAATCTCCTCCGTGCGCAAGGTGGGGCCGGAAAAAACTTGAATCCTGTGGATCAGGCTGCTGCACCCAAAAACGAAGGGCTGATTGCCTTTGGCATGTGACCGGGGCGGATTAACATTTACTCATTCTAACTATTAGAGGAGCAGTACAATTCTCTAGAGACCGCAGGCGGGTGGGCAACATTTTTGGTGTTTTTCACCTGCAAAATGAACTCAAACGAACGTAGGGATAGGTCAGTATGCAGGTGAATGTCTAGAAGAGGGGTTCAGAAGTTGGGTTCAATTTTAAGGAAGGTTTTTCCTTTAAAGGGATAGTATAAGAAGAAATCGGCGTGTCACGTGGTTTCTGGAATTTTGGATTTGGATACATGCTGGGCGCAAACTATAGTTTATCGGTCTTTCAGCACATTAATGAGAGCCTAGGAAGATGGCAGACGTCCTCAGGCTAGCAAGTCCGTTGCCTTTTTCCATCCCTATGTAAAATGACCAATGTGTGTGTGCCGTTGACCTCGAAACGCTGGATGACTCAACGACCCTCGGATCATGGGGATCTTTGGCAGATTGCCAAATGCTGCCTTTGGCAGAGCCCACGTGCGCATACCAAGGAACCATGGCAGGTGTCGACGGGATGACATGCCTCTTCACGAATAAGACAAAAATTTTCTCGAAAACTAGGGATTTTAATTAGAGTTCCTAAGCCCGAATACATAGATTTGAACCACGTCATTTTCCAAATTCCACCCATCCTACCCAAGGCGATTTCCGGGCGCACCTGTCCTTAGGATCGAAAATTCCTGGGGGGATCAAGACCAGCCTAGACCAAAGTGATGAATCATCTCAGCCGATGGTGGGGGGGGGAAGACCCCCCTCCCCCTGAGGCGTGTGAGCGATTGGAATCTCTCATGGGTTTGGCCGTGCGCCAAGACGCTGTGGGAGCGACATGACGCAACACGTTACACCCACTATTCGATGGGTCCACCATACCGAATGATAGGGCCATTCGAAAGACGGGGACTCGGGTCTAGGAGCCTCGGCTCGTTTTTGGGATTAGAGCCTTTGGCTCGTTATCCTCCTTCTCTCTCCCTCTCCCTCCCTCTCTCTCTCTCTGGCTCTCTCTTTCTCTCTCTCTCTCTTACCGTTGGTCAGATCATTTGCGTCACTTGGGGGGTGGACGAGGGAGGGGCAGCCGTGTTAAAGAACCAACTCAAAAGATTCCCTTGAACCTCGTTTAAAGTCACCGGAAGTGTAGGGGAAGGGTGGGGTGTTCGAAAGCTAGAGGTAAAAATAACTGTCCATACCTGGTACTGTTTTTTTTATGAGGGATGCACGGCTGTAATATTTTGATATCCCATCATTGCACGGACTATTGCAAAAGGTGTCAGCTTCTCCCGCTGATAAAAAAATATTTCGTTCCTTGCGTCATGTTCAGAAATGTCGCGAGCTATTCGCATAGCCATGCCTCGGGTGATCGCCAGCAAAAAAGTTAAACGAGTTTACACCGGTTGACGGGCCGGTGGTTGATGGTCACTGGAATTGAGCGGAAAGTTCTGCGAGTATTTGAAACCAAAAGCTCAACTTGGGCCAAAAACCATTCAAATAAAATCTTCACCAACATTCAATTAAAACGGGATACTTCATAGAAAATTGGTTCCAAGAACAAAGTCCGAATCTGCAACTGCATCTCGCATTCCTAGACACGGATTAGTTAGGAAATGCCCA